CAACGGGTTGCCAGCGGGATAGGTCAGCCGCTGAACGATCAGATCGAACACATGTTGTCTTCAGAGATTTCAAATTTCAAATAATTTACTAACATCTATTTTTTCATAATTTCAAAATTTCTTCAAAATTTCAAAAATTTCTTCAAAATTTCAAAAATTTCTTCAAAATTTCAAAAATTTCTTCAAAATTTCAAAAATTTCTTCAAAATTTCAAAATATTTTCAAAATTTGAAAGAATTCGAATCTCTGAAAACGACGTGAAGACGACGCTCCTCTGTGGTCGATCTGATCTCTATGGCGACCCGATGGTCATGCGCCCGTCACCAATATCGTCACACCGTGACGAAAAGTGAATTTGACATGGAAATTCCTTCAGTTTGTTTAATAAGTCATGTATTGTGGTCATTTTGGTACAGGTGTCCACCCTTAACTCGTTGGACACCTCGGTATGTTCCCTTGTTAGTGAGGTAAATACCTAACAACCTAATAAGTATTCATTTACCCCACCCCAAAAAAGTGAAATAATTCTATTTCTCGGCCAATTCTCAACCGATTTTGATGAAATTTTGCATAGATCATTGTTACGGAGTCTGAAAACGATTTCTGGTTCTCAAGTTCTTCTGGACGAAAATGGACAAAAATTTGCACTCCGAGCCACATTTCTCTCCATTGTTCCATCTTGGAGCATCACATAATCTTGAATTATTTGAAAAAGTTACACCCATTTTTTTCTGAACGTTTTAAGACTAATCCTAAGTTGATCGAAATCGGTTAGGAAATAACGATGTTATTCAATTTTGAAAACCAAAAATTTAGTAAAATTATAAATTGCAAATATTTAATGACGGTGTAATCCAATGTAGTGCAATAATGTCCATGCCAGCCCAGTTACAAGTTTAAAATAAACAAGGCCCTAAAAAATGGGAAATCTTAGTGAGACAGTGCAATCACACTTAATAAATAAAATTATATTGCAGAAATTTTGCATTACGCATACATACAGGTATGCGCACATGCTTTTACATACATACATACATTTAGAAAATTAGATAAAGGTATATATGAAAGAATCTTGGATGTCTACTTTTGATTCAACTTGGAAACGTTCATAGAAGAAACTAGTGTAATAAACTGGTGATATTACATACGTACATACGTATGATAATGCGATTGTACGGACAATCTGTACGCATTACGGAACATTAAGTAATTGATTAAATCTGTATTACGGACTTACATAGATCATAAACTACTTACGGCTCCATACAGATATCTCATCAAAAGAGGTCGTAAATACAAGTATACTCTTACATCATGACAATGTATTTTGTCCCTCAGTCATCACTCAAAGTATTAAATAGAAACAAGAAATGTGTTATTGTTGAAACAATAAAACTTGTACATAATTAACGACACATTGTTGAAAGTGAATTCCATCAGCATCCTGGAGCAGTGGGGGTATTTTCTTAACTTCAAATGAAATTTGTATCATTGGATGATGGAGGAATGAGATTACGTGCGTCGTAATTTTATGAGATATTGATTTCCATTGCAGCTTTATTGCTTTGCGAATGTTAACGGAAGCCGAAGGAGGACATCAGAACAATTACAAATTACATAATTCCACTGCCTTATAAACTCGTGTTCGCCCCTCTTGGTCAGCACTCTAGACCCGAAACCATTTCTATCCCAACTCTTGCCATCATTCCCGATTTTTGTAAAAAAAAAACATGCAGCTAACCTGGGTCCTTGTCGTCCTTTCCAGCATCGTGCTGACAGCCAAAGCGCTCAATAACGCTGAAATTTACAACAATGAATTCTTGTCGGACCAAGGTGACTGAAATCGAATTTATATTTTGATGAGATCCGTCCCTAAATTAAATATTTGTTACCTTGCCGTAGTTGCGGACGATGGTTTGGAAGGACTCCTCCGAGAAACCCGTGAAGCTAAGGCTCACTACTATGATGATGAACCAATGTACAGAAGACCGTACAGTCGTCGTTTCCATTCCATGTCATCTGGTTATCGAGGTGTGTGAGGTATGATGGTAAATTATGGCTGAGAAAAGTAACTTGGGCGTCAGATCAGCGATATATTCTGATACGGTTTGCGTGTGTTCAGTGAATGAAATAGTTTTTTTTACATGGGATAATTTGTACGTAAAATAGGTTTGTTAGATTAAAATCACAGAATTAGATAATACAAAAATTTATCTAGAATGAACGATAGAATAATTCAAATAAGAATATTACAACGGTATAGAAATGAAGAATTGGTTTTTGATTTTATAAAATTCCAGAAGACTGTAAATTATGCAGATAAATGTGCAATAGTAAAATTCCAGATCCACGGTGCTTCATTTTAAGCAAATCTTATGAATTTTTAAAATTTTGTCACTTACAAAATATGTTGGTCCCGCAGATAAAAAATATATGTTTATTATGATTAAAATTATTAAACAATCTTAAAAACTGTAATTGTTTTAGTAAAATAAAAGTACTTGAATGTGTTGTCCTCCAATCAATGTTCCCGTTACGTTTATAGTTGTACCTTAAAATTAAAAATAACGCCATATATAATTAAAAGACACGAAGCCATTTAAATATATGACTACTTCCTTACCAAAGAATTACGGATCCCTTGACCGGTTTAACCATCAGGTTCAAATTTGGGAATATGGTTTCTCTTCCAAAATGAACGTCGTTCATCTAGGGATACGAGAGCATGCTTATCATAATTACTTATAAAAGCCTAGATTTTATGTCAATGGGTGTTGCATCCCCTTTTGAGAAGGGCCTTCTCACCCTATATACATAGTTATAAAGGGCCTATATTTGGGTACGGCTTTTACGTATCACATTTTTTATAATTAAAAAGAACAAACAGAATCCATGGTTTTAATTTGTTATTCCCATCAAAGCAAGCTAGGTATGTATAATACCAGAAGATAAAGGATCCCTTGACAGGCTAAACCCTCAAATCCAAACGAGGAAGTCAATATGAAAGCCTCAACACATTATTTACGACGAGAGAAATTTGCACAATTTACGTAAATCAATTATGGGGGTAGAAGATCTGTCAGCTAATGCAATCAGTGCCCTCCCTGCGACGACATTGTATGCGTCATGATAAGCATCTGCCTTTCCGGAGAGGAAGTATGTATTGTGTCACAGTGAGTCTATCCATTTCAGGCAAACTTCATTTTTCCAACGTTGATGTGTTTAAAAAGCCCATAAGACCATTTCGCTTATTTTTCCAATTGGCATCTGCAGAAATCAAGAAGATGATTAATCTAACTACGCAGACAGGCAAATTATAATTTTGAAAAGCTTGTGCCCTATGTTACTGATAAAAGATTGGCCTCCATATTCGCGTGCGCTTTCGTCCAAGGGACTCAGAGCCGATTTCAAAATTTTGTTAATCAAATTTTGTTAATCCACGACGACATCATGAAAATAAATAATTTCCAGATTTACAAGAAAACCTCTGTTTTTATAGGCGATAAGACAAAATGTGGGGTTGAAATGTAAGCGTGTGTAGAGTAGATGGACTATAAACGATGAACTATTTAGAACAATGCAATTTTGAACAATAAAAAGAACACAATACAAAATGTGTGCATAATTTTATAATAAAGAAAGTGAAGTCTAAATAATTGTAATATTTGTGCGGAAGCAATTTCTTAGTGGACATTGTAGTTTAATTACAATTGGTCATTTTGGTACTACAGTCCTTTCACTTTGCTCGTCACGTGAATAAAATATTGTTGTTCTTTTGGTCATTTTTAATATGCGGTCATTTTATTCAGGCATTTCTGTATTTGTTAGTATTTTACACGTAACCGTATTTTTCGACCCTGGGACAACATACTATTCCAAAATTTCGGTACCTCAAACTAGTAGTGCATAGATATTTATAGTCGGAACTAATTAGTGTTTTTTTTACTTTTTAGCCCACTTTAACCTTTCCTTTCTCCTGATCACATTTTTACCTTGCCCGTCTAGCCCAAAGGGAACAACTTATCTACACAAAACTCAGAGATGATGCAATTTTATCAAAGAACAATAACCCTGCCGCAGTACGAGAGTATTTGTCAGATTATGAGCAAAGCACGGGAATTCGTGGAGAATGGAAAGTGGAAGAACACCCCTTTCTCGTCTACAGAATGATCTGGAGATTTGTCAGATCGCAGATTGCATTTCAAAATTTTCGTTACTAGGTAGGTTATCAAAAATAGGAAAGCACAAACTATGAATCAGCTTGACTCAATCTATTGTCATCCATTTATGTCGTATCGTAATTTAGGTATAGTAGACCCAGACCGAACGGAAGCAATCTTCCCTGACCAAACTGCCTTAGAAAACCGTCGAAGCAATTGTTGATATACAGAGTAATTTCCGTTTACCGGTGGCAGAGGTATAATGCAACAGAATTTTAATTAAATAACGATGTACAATCCAATTGTAATAATAATTTCAGCTAATACATGGAAAATTTGGAGATTTTGAGACTGGCATCGGCCTAACTATTAACCAGGCCACAGAATTTGCCAATATCTCTGTGAAACTGGAGTATTTCGTTCAAGCATGGGATTGGCTGGAGTTTTTAGATTCGCATCCTTCCAGTGATATAAAGGCCGTTCAAAAATTAAGACAGGCCCTCATTCAACGGCATGATTTGAACCACAACTTCAAAAGGTGGGCATATCATAAAGTTTTATAAAATAAACAAACTACTTATAGCTTCATTTCAAACCTTTTTCAGTGATTCTGGCGATCTGCACATTTTTTCGGCCCCACTTGAATCTGGGGTCTCAGGATGGAGAAAAGATGAAGAAATGAAGAGCTGGCTAACCACCCACGCTGGAAGTGGGATGTTTAAGGAATTATTTTTCCGAACCTATGCACTCTGCGCCAATTCCTCGCTAATACGCAGGGAATCAGCCTCTGTTTGTAGAACAATTCAAAATAATCCACACTTTATCCTCTCACCATTGAAAATGGAGATTTTGTCAGAAAGCCCAGAAATTATAATCTTCCATGATGTCGTTAAAGGGGAACTAATTAACAAAATTTGGGACGCGGCTGTGGTTCCTTTGGAGGAAGATGCACAACAACCTGAAAGCAAATCTCTTATTGGGGACTTGTGCTGTAAGCTATCGTAAAATTCTATAAATCTGATAGGCCTACACACCGAACAGGATACGGCGAAACACTTTGAGATAATTTATTCCCATAAGAATATCTCAGAATTTATTATTTAATATTCTCCATGCACAACTAGAATTTGAATTTTCAGTACACATCCCGAAATATTTTTATAGCACCAGAAGGTCTTCGACTTATCTGCGTTGGTCTCTGTGCCCTAATCTTTATTTATATTCATTCAGTCGTCAATGGTGAAAGCATGGGGAAAAGTTATGCTCGCCTATACTCAACCTTGGAGTTGGTCACTGGACTAAATTTCAGGCAAGCGGATTTCCTCCGTTTGACCCAGTACTTCATCTCCGCTAGCGCTGGTGTCCACCATGACTCGCATAATGTCCTCGTCTCGGGTACATCGATAACCTTTGGAGACAGGTTGGCCACAGTCATTATTTACGTGAGTCATGCAATAACTATTGACATCCACTCTATGTAATCTATAAATAGGGTAAGCGTGCTCTCGTATCTTTAGATGAATGACGTTCTTTTTGGAGGTGAAACTGTATTCCCAAATTTGAACTTGATGGTTAAACCGGTCAAGGGATCCGTAATTTATTGGTAAAGAAGCAGTTATATATTTAAACGACTTTATATATTTTTTTAATTATATATGTATGACGCTATTTTTAATTTTAAGGTACAATTATAAACGTAACGGGAACGTTGATTGGAGGACGAAACACTCAAGTATTTTTATTTTACTAAAACAATCACAGTTTATAAGCTTGTTTAATAATTTTACCATCATAATTTTGACATTTAACAGCATGCCCACCCATACTTGGACATAAGCGAATTGCAACCACATTTATTGGAATGAAGACTAACACTTGTTCTCTAAATAAAGAGGAATAAAAATATTATCTTTATCTGCGAGACCTACATATTTTTTAAGCGACAAACTTTTTAACAGTCATAAGATATGCTTAAAATGAAGACCGTGAATTTGGAAATTTACTCATGCATATTCACCTTCTAAACTTACTGTCTGGTGAAGTTTATAAAATCACAAAACCAATCCTACATTTCTATACATTAAGTAATATCTAATTCTGTGATTCTGATCTAACAAACCTATTATGAAAAATTATTCCATGTAAAAAATTATTTCATTCACTGAACACACGCAAACCGAATCAGAATTTATTGCTCATCTGACGCCCAAGTTATTTTTCTCCGCCATAATTTACCATCATACCGCATACACCTCGAAAACCAGTTGACATGGAATGGAAACGACGACTGTAAGGTCTTCTGTACATTGGTTCATCGTAGTAGTAGTAGTAATGAGGGTTGGCTTCACGAGATTTACGGACGAGTCCTAAACCATCGTCCTCAACTAAATACGACAAGATAACAAATCATAAATCAGACAACGAATTAGACGAAATATAAAATGTAAATGGATGGTTAGGTCACCTTCGTGGTCTGGTGATTCAACGTTGTCAATTTCAGCCTTATCGTATGCGTTCGCTGCCAGGACGACGGTGGAAATGGCGAGCAAGACCCAGGTCAGTTACATTTTTTTAATAAATCGGAAGTGGTATCAAGAGGTGTGACAGAAACTTGTTGTTCGGAAGGATGTGTGGAAAGGGAGGGCGAATTCTGCTGCATTTAACGGAGTGGAATTACGCAATTTCATTTGTTTTTGTGATTTCACAAATAAATTGTTGATGAAACATTTTCAAAATATGTACTTATTGCACTTGATATTCTTTATTTCAATGTAAAAGGTTGGCATTCACTTTCTTATTTCATAACTTATTTTAAGCCGTTTTTACACTATATGTAATGCTGAATATGCAAATACAGATAGTTCCATGCAAATTGTTCAGAAACAACATCAGCGTTTTACACAACGTTTAAATTGTTGGGAAAGATCTATTGTTCCAATCATCACACATTTAACCATGACATTTTTTCGAGAGAAAAAGCATGACCACATTGCGTAAACAAACAACTTAATTGTATTTAATTCGCATACCGTTCACATGTGTATTTAAATGTGTTCATAAATCAAATTAAATTAAATTAAATGCCACGAGAAAAAATTGGGGTCAAATAAGTACATACGAGGAAAGACTTTTGACGCATGTCAATTGTAACTAAACCAATAAAAACAGTGTGATTTCTCTATTGCTGACAAATAAGTAGTTTATTTATGATTTCTCCGTCATTAATAAACTTTATAGTAGAAAGTTTCCACTTTGTTCGCTCACGACCTTCAGAAGCAGCAGCAGTTGTGCAATTTACCTACGCATCAATAACTTTGAGATAAATCTGTTCCAAAATGATCAACTTACAGTATTTTGATTTGAAATTGTTCAAATTGTGTATCATTTGTTTAACTTTTCCATGCAGTTTTACAAATACCTTAACGGTACCTTAATTTATTTTAAGAATAAAAATTGTATGCACAGTTATGTAAAGTACATAAGATTTAATCTTACAGGATGTGGCTGCCCCTTTGCCATTTTCTCTCTCCATGTTATACTTATCTCGCCTTGCCGACAGGGAGTCGCAAATATATGCCAAACTAAAGGATATTTCATCGTCGCCCGTCACGACAAACCAGACAACTCCACTGTTGGAAGAGTACTTATCAGATTATGAACAAAGCACTGGAATTCGTAAAAAATGGAAAGTGGAAGAACATCCACTCCTTGTCTACAGAATGATCTGGCGATTTGTCCATCATGTTCCCAAACTGCGGAAACAATTTTCCGAATACTTTCCTCTTCCTCAAGTCGGACTGGAGGATCCAGCATCAAATTTATTACCATTATCTTACGCCCTCCAATCCATAATCTCAATTCAAAATGATTTTCGCCTCCCACCTTCCGACGTAATAATATAAAATGAAGTATGAAACACAGCCTAAAACACTTTAAAGTCTACGAATATTGATTATTTTTCAGCTAATGGTTGGAAAATTTCGTCATATTGAGACTGGGATAGGACTCACAGTAGCCCAGGTAACCCAGCTAGTTAACATTTCCTCCCAGTTGGACTACTTTGTCGAAGCCTGGGACTGGCTTGATTTGCTAGATTCGCTGCCATCCAAGGATGAAAAAGGTATTGAAAAGCTACGACACGAGCTCGTCAACAGGCATGATTTGCTTCACAACGCGAAGTGGTATGTATGACAAAAGGCAACTATTTCGCCCAAAAATGCAGTAAATATTTAGAGCAAAATACCTCGTTAGTACACAGGACGATCCGCACATCTTTCAAAATCCGCTCCGGAAAGGAATTTCACCTTGGAGGAAGGATGTCGAAATGGAAGCCTGGCTTACCACCGGCCAAGGGAGTGGCGTCCTGAAAGAGTATTTCTACCAGACTTACGCCCTTTGTAGTAACCGCGCGCGATCAAAGAATTCAAAGCGACCTCTAACTTGCTGGTTGGACACTAAGAAACACCCCTATTTCATTTTGGTACCCTTGAAAACAGAGCTACTGCATCAAGATCCAGACTATTTTTACTTCCACGATGTCGCACGGGATGAGGTTTTGGACTCCATTTGGAACGCGGCGTTGCCCGGAATACAAAAAGATGCCACACTCCCACGGGAAAAAGCCAGAATCAGATCAATGAATCTCGATTGTATGGGAATATTATTCGTAAATTTATTTTTATGTGTATTTAACTTAACGGAGTGACGTTGCAGGGATAAATGAGGCCAGCATGGAGCAGTATAACAAACTTTACTCGAAATTTGAGTTTATCACGGGACTGAATATGAAAGACGATGCTGCTGACGTTTTGCGGGTTTCGCAATATTTGACGCTTGGAGACGCAGGAGTACACCATGATGCGTAATTTCATAAAATTCGTAAATTTCAAAAATTTTAAATCAATTAATTTTAAAGGTACAAAATTTCTGTCGCAAACGAAAACAAGAAGCGTATCTTTGGCGATCGATTAGCAACTATTATCTTATATGTACGTCGACACAAAATCAACTTGTTTCAGGTTGAAGCATTATGTAGAACTTTTGTTAACAACTGTTTCAGATGAACGACGTTATTCTGGGTGGTGAGACCGTCTTTCCCGTACTCGATTTAGTAGTTAAACCTGTGAAAGGGTCTCTCCTTTTCTGGTAAGTATGTACATATGTAATTTTTAGGAAAATACAAACAGAATTTCTCAAATCAGGCCAACTAACTGGGTCAATAAATTTTATGATTTTTCAGGTACAATTATGGCAGAGAAGGAAATACAGATTGGAAGTCATGGCACGGTGTATGTCCCCCCATTTTGGGGAGAAAACGGATTGCTACAACCTTTATTGGTAAATTGGACAATATGTTTCAGTACAAATGCGTTTAATAAAGTGCATGGTCGTGCCTTACATCTCCATACTTTTATCAAAAATTATTTAACTTCTTTTAGTGTTTCAAATCAATATTTTCTAACTTGGCAAAATAAGAATTCATGTACATGGATCTTGTTTCTAGTATACGGAATTGAAATCATAATCAATCCTACAATTGTATAAACCAAATGTCATCTTTACTTTCCCCGTCCAAAGTATCCAAATGGAGCGTTCGTCCCCCAAAGAAATAAATCCTATTCAATTTTTCGACATAAGCCGCCGCCGAGTTGTAAAACATGGTTCGTCCTCCGCCCGGAAAGTTCTCCACCGGTAACATTTCGATCGACTCCGTCCCGAGATTCATCCTCATGATGGCGTCATTTTGCTCGAAACCTCCAATCGCATAGGCAAACTCGAACCTCGAATCCCACGTGGTGGCTGGGGTTGAGTTCATGTCGGGAAAGTCGATTTCTCCCATGAGCACGGCTTGACCGGAGGGGATGTCATACTTAATGATGACATGTGGCGGACCCGTCTCCATCTGACTGGACCCAATCACATACGCCGTTTGATTCCCATTCCAGAAGACGCCCGTTCTCATAAGAACCACTGGAAGACGAACACCTACATTTAGTTGGACTCCATCCAAGTCAAATTGCACCATCGCGGTAGGAGAACGTCCCACGATGTAGGAGATTGTGTCGTTATATTGAAATCCCACCGCGTCGAAGAGGCTGTTCGAAAAGGAGCCCAACTCCACAACTTGACCAGTAGCGGGCGAAAAATGGTAAATTTTCTGGGAGGGCAGGCTGTCATCGTCAAATCCACCAAAATAATAGTAGTTTCCAAACCTGTCACGGGTCACGGTGCCAGACGAAATCTCAATCGGAAAAGTTCCTGCTGGTTGAATTCGAATTGAATCAGTGGAAATCCTGTACTCTAGAATGTCCCGAGAACGGTAGAGTGGGGCCGTGCGAAATCCGCCGAAAATATAAATTGTGTCGTCCCCATCGTACGAAACAGTGGTTTTCTCCATGCGAGTGGGGAGCTTGACTTGAGAGAGTTGCGCAACGAGGGGAGATTGGCCATTGCAGAAATTGACTGCAAGAGTGCAGAGGAAAATGTATACTAATTTAAGTTGCATGATTGCTGTTGGTTTTGTGTAGAAGACAAACGTATTTATTTTATGTCGCGAAAAGGATTGCTGTCAGATGTGATCACACGTTTGTGGACATCAGTATTTAACGGCGAGACTCTTGATGCAAAGTGTGCTTTGATGGTGACATTGTTTTACAACAGCATAGATAATTGTGATTGATTGATTGCTTTATGCTGGATAATGCAATGCACCCATCAACTGAACTTATGAACCCAAGTCGTGCTATCGGAATAACCCACCAAGTTATTTTTGTACCGAATCAATGTAATACGTACATATGTACATATTTATGGCAGTTATACACGTCATACATATATGTAGTGATGTAGTGCTTAACATTAATTAGTACTTATCACACGTTGTTCGTTCTTTGTAACCCGATCCGATAATTTATTTTGCAAAATGTCATGTCATAGATTGTTTGAAATAAGTTTTAATTGAAATAGAGAAAGTATAAGTTATGCAGATTATATCAGATATTCTGCGTGTCAAAATTTTAGCTCAGTCTTGTGATTACTGAGCAGTATCACTGAGAAGACGCCCGGTCCCTGGAAAGCTGTACGTAGACGGGGTCAATCTTGTGGGTCCAGCGTCTCGATAGTCTTCGACATAAATCCCCTCAGACATTTGTGCCACCCTTGGATTGCGGAAAAGGGATTGGCTAAATCGAACACGGTTAAATGTAAATGACTACATCCATCCATAATGATACACAAGTAAAATTTATATGATTACAAGAACCGTGGGGTTTCAAATAGTGGTCTCCCAGTAATCCTGGCCCATTTCGTGGTGGAGAAATAGTACGCGTGACCAGCAAGAATTCCAATGACTTGGGCTTCCCATCTATCAAACCAAATACGTACTCACTTATTTATATAAATAGATAATTAGCTATAAATTTCCTTACTCGTCGTAAATGATGAGATCTACGACGGCGAGGACAAGCGGAAATATTTTAGCCTTGAACTCGGTCCCAAACCAAAACCGGATAATCACATTCGGGTTTAATTGACACCAAATGTAAACGACAGAATTTATCATCGGGTCCAGCAGAATCTACAAAGTTAGCATTGGAAGTTCCATATGAGGTTAATAAATTCTTCATTCATTACATTTATCTAAATTCATTCTTACTGGGTAATAAAATACAAGTCCAAGAGTGACACACACAATCCAATTTACCAGCAAGAGAAACGCATATGTTCCTCGTCTCGTGGCATAGTGTTCTGCAAAAATAAAATGTATTAAGATTCTAGTAGCTGACTTGTTAGCTTTTTGCATTACCTTCTTCCAATTTTTTTGAGTAAGTAACCAACAGATAGAGCTTCATCAGCCAGAGGAAACCCACCGGAAAAAATATTGCAGCTGTCACCGGTCTCCATAACTAGGTAGAAAGATTTTTTAAAGTTAAAACATTAAGGAAATTACTATTTGAAACCATAATTTCTGATTTCGTTCTCCCATAAATAACATATGTATTGGTATAATAATTCTCTCTTGACAGATTCTTTACACTATCATATTGACAAAAAATACATGCTTTTAAATGCTGAAACGTAATCAATTAATTAAATGAACTTATTAATTAATAATGAAAAAATTGCCTGAAATCCATAAACAATGCGGTCCCAGGCTAAAATAACTCGATCCCCCCCATGCCTCGTAACACCATAGTCAATTTGGAGATGAAATAAAAGTGAATGAAGGTGAGGCCTCTCGCGGAGACAGGCCATAAGTAGTAGCTCCTCTCATATCATCATCATCAAATCCATCATCATCATCACTTGTTTACAATATAAAAGTCTCGCAAATAATTGCAAATTATATTTTGAAATACTGAAAAAAGTGTATCTGGCCATCGCAGCAGTACACAGTAAGTACATAGGTAATTTTTTATATTTTTTTCATATTGAATTGATTCATTGCGTACATTTATTTGAATATTTATTATTTGATGGTGTGCATTTGTAAGTGGAAGGAAAGTCGAGGTTGTCCATTGAGTACGGTGCGATTTTACGTTTTTAAAATTTCGTTTAAAACAGTTTTCAATGAGTAAAAACTATAGTCTTTTCTGTACACCGTAATGGATGGATGGCCTCGCAAGCGAGCTAGGATACGGCCGGTCTTACGGAGCAGGGACCGAATTCAGTGCTAGGTTACCATGGTTACCAAGGTGCATATTGACTTTAAGCCCAGCTAAGACTAATTTTACCTACGTTTCAACTGGAATTTAATTTCATGAAGCCATTTCTATTATTTTACGCTACAAATTCATTGGCACCGAAAGTAAGCATTATCACCCATTTTGGAAAAATAAGATCGAATTGTAATTAAAATTCCGAAGTCTTTTTAGACCAAAGTAGGATACAATCTCTAATTTTACGCGAATGTAGTTGAATAAACAAATAAGTTTCATAAATCTTAAACGTCTAAATCATAGGTCCAACGTGAACAATGGCCTGTGTACAGAATGAAATACGTGGGAATTAGAGAGTATAAGAGGTCAGGTAAACGTGCGGTGTACGAGAAAAGGCTGATAGATAGTGATTCAAGACGGGCTGCATTAGGAATGATGATATCCATCAAGTCAGTCATTGCTATTAGCAAAGCTCTTCTGATCAGAGAGTTTAATCCTTTCAAATTCGTGCTGACGTATCGGTTTTGCCAAGATCCTTTAGAACTTTTTTTTAATACCGCGAGGGGAAGATTAGGTAATAACAACAATCCAACTGTGGTCGAGTTTAGGAACATTATGAAATCCATCTGGCACCAAAATCTCCTCAAGTCCACCAACACGGGTAACTGCATTGCGCAGATTGACGAAGGTGAAGTTCCTGGTGGTATGTTGCCTCTCAAACGTGTTCGGAAATTGAAGGTGCTCGATATGGATGACATTGATGCGTTGGACATTATAGATCTTAGCGCCCTCTCTGATCCACATTATTCAGATTTTTATAGGAATTGTCTAGCTTATATTAGCGGGAATGTGGTCAGAGTAGTTGGGACGAAGTTGAAGTGTGAGATTTGTGCCAATCACTTCTTAACACAGACGATGATCTTCTTCCTTCTCACTTTGCTAAGCTAATTGATGCTAAGGATCGCGGAGGCTTATTCACCCCTGGTCATTCCGTTTTCCGTATAGTTGAGCTGACTGATGCATGTTATCGGCAAATTTGCAAAACTTCTGGTGGTTTAATGAAGGTATCTAATCTAGACCGTAGGATTTCTATGATGGTTACTGCACGATGCTTAGAAACCACAATTTTCCCACATCTGACGCATCACGTAGTTGATTTTGATCCATTAACTGAAACTAGTCATTTGTCTGATCTCATTTCTCGAATTTCGATGCATTTTTTGAAAATTCGCTTATTTGATCATGGAAATAGGTTTCAAAAGATGCGAGAAATTTCAACTTCTGTACGGCACAAATTTGGCAAATTAACAATATTTACCGAAGCGCATTAGAATAGGTTTAGAATTATCTTACAGATGCTCCTTATAATTTTTAAGAATATATTTTAAGTATTTACAACTATTTGGAATTATTTAAATGTATTTTAAGTTGTATTTAGCATTATTTGGGATTACCTAGTTTAATTGAAGTTGTCTTTAGAATTATGTTAGAGTTACAATAGTTAAAAATTGTGTAAACATTATATTAGAATAATTTACTGATTATTTTTAAATTGTTCTACGTGACTGATTCACGTTAAGATGCCTTAAGAGACTTGTATCTCACTAAAAATTGTTAATCAATAAATAAATGTTTCATTGTTGGACTGTGGATTCTGATTATATAACTTCACTATTTGCACATAAAAAATATTAAACAGAATGCATAATGTTTTATTCTCACAGGTCACCATGCCTTTGCATCCCGGCGATTTTGAAATTGCGGAGGCAATTTTTCGATTGTTCGATCATAAACTGATCGATTACGTCGTGCGTCAAAATTACAAATTACATGTAAATCATAATGCATAATAGATTGTTATTAATGAAATTTTTGTGTACAGGTCCTGACGGAGCGGGAATAGCGAGTTGCCCTCCAGGCAATTCCATTGCACCTCCGAGAGATGGCGAGGGTTTGGTGCTACGCATCTATTTGCCACTCCATGCGTTATAACGCAACTTCAGCTTTTAAAAGCTTGTGTACTAATCGTTTGTACATGAGATTAGCGAAGTTGCAAAAATTTCTGCGTATTTATTTAATTAATGTTAATTTTTTTTAAGAAATATTATTAAATAAGTTCCAAAATTAATCAAGTTAATTATATGATGATTTTATTGCAACTCGTACTGAATTTGTCGTAAGCTGGTCTTAACTAAGTGATTTTCAACTCGTTTACTGAATTCAGCCCCGAATACAGGCCAAATCCGACATGTTGCTCTGGCAACAAAGTACTGAAGCCGATTTATCCCTTCCTTTAGATCCATGATCCCCCCGTACCACACCGAATCTGACCAGTAAAGGCAACACGGTAGCTGCAATAAACCAATGCCTCGTTAAAAACGGGAGACGAAGTAGCCAATTCTTTATGTCTTGCATTATTATTATCTGCAAGGGGTCAAGTTTAACGACTCAAAGTTGAAATATTTTAAACTTTTGACTATGTAGTTGGAAGTGCGACAGGATATTTCACTTCTTCAATTTCTTGATTGCACCAGAACGATTAATGTTAACGCTTTGTAAGAAATTGAGCCTCGCGCTTGACAAAGATAAATGAGAAAGGACTCGTGAGGAACAGGGGTGTACCGCTCTTTGATACCTTCTGTATGGCATCCTAAATCACAGAATGAATGATTTATGGTCGACATTCTTTTTACATGGAGAGCAGCTGCATTTTAAATAATTTGAATGGACAAATAGTAACGAATCCACATTTCTTCTGTGCATACTTTCTTGAAACTTTAAGTACGAGTACTTACGTTACTGTTTCCTGCCTAGCCAAAAAATGTATGAAATTTTTGAGCAGATCTGATAAATGAAAAATTTCATTCAAACCTTTATCTATCATTATTTATCTCGTACTGCAAAGGTTACTTGCAAGTAAAGATTAGTGTAATCTGATTTACCCGATCACTGGCGTATGTAGAGCAAATCTTATATGAACCCGATCACTAGGGCGTTTAATAGCAGAGTCCTCAAAAGTAGGGTTAGAAATCTGAAATTCTTGCAAGATATGCTAAACATATCTGACCACGTCTCCCCAAAATTTCATAAGTTTTCATTGGAAAATAAATTTCCTACACCACTTAAAATTGAGGAAATCGGGAAACGAGTTTTTGTAAGTCCAAAAATTTGAGTGACAAAGACTCGAAGTAGACTTGACTGCATTTCAACGGAGAAGGGGGTGGGCGTGAAAAAATTGAGACATACATAAAAAAGTATGCAGAATCCGAAAATGTCAACCTAAACTACGCACCATGAGAAAAAACCACCATATAGGCCCTTCGAAAGTTAATAACGATTGAATCATTTTTTGAAAATTATTCATCCACGTACGTGCCTGATGCCGCCATGAAGTCAAAGATTAATACAAACTATTTGTATCATATTAAAGCCCATAAATTGCGGGTCAAAGCGTATTCAAAGAAATCTCCAGCAAAGCATACGGAACGTCAAAAAAAATGGTAAACGCAAGACCTACCAAGCCGTGCAACAAAATGTCACCAAAATAATTGGTCACTAACGACGAGTCCTACGTCCTTAAAAACGTGACAGAAACTTCGGGAAGGGAATTTTTTCATGGGAAATATATCTCTCAACTGAAAACCGAACAGAAATTAAAATGTTTTTCGAAATTTCTCAAAAATCTCAGGTTTGGCTGGCGTTCGGTCAATTTGGACATGTTTCGGACCCCTCAGTTCATATGGGCTATGAGGACGCACAGGTTTGTTTTCGGAAATGTGTGATAGACCGTCTGATTCCTTTCATCAAGGTGTATCATAAAATACAAAATGCAATTTTTTGGACCCACCTTGGGCTACTCCACAATTCAATAACTATCAAGGAAAAAATCGAGAAAAAAATCATTTTGATGCTGGAAAATTAAAATCCCACATACATCCATTATCTTCGTTCAATTAAAAAAATTTGGGCTATATGTGAGAAGACATACTCCCAGCTTTGTGAAACAGTCGATACTTAAAGAAAATCTTGGTTACGGAGGGAGAAAATTAACAATGAAGTTGCAAAGTCTTCCGGAAAAGAATTAATGGCGGGCGCGATGAAAAAGACTAAATACGAAGTCAGTAATTGATTAAGGTCTGCTTTCTTCGCGGATACCTAATGTCAGTAATGTTTATAATAACCACCAAAAATTTGAGATTTTAAAAATCATTTTTGACCATTTTGAGGATAAATTTCCAAGTGATCGGGTTCATATAAGATTTGCTCTATTTAAGTAAATATGTAATGTACTTTAATGTACATGAATGGTAGATAAAACCTCAAAATATAAATGCAATATAACCGTAAAAATCACAAAAATATGATCACAAAAATTACTATTTTTTTAATTTTTGGCTTGTGTGTGCAGTACACTGTTTTGATCAATAAAACAAACGTCCTCTAAAGCTCATAATGATAAACCCACTCCATTTACAAATTTTCGGGTTTTAGAGCCGAAATTTGCAATTTTCTGAAAATATCCTCACAAGGAATCATTGTGGAAACTTTTATTGATTTTCTCATAATTTGGTGCGAAAATTTGCAAATTTTGCAAAAAGTCATAAAATGAAATATGATCGAGAATATGTCCCAAAACCTGAACATATGACAAACATGAGAAATTCTGCTTTTATCTACGTGACCTACACGTGCTCCACCGTGTACGATTTTCTTGAAACTTCCAGGGAATACTCGACAAGTGTCCCTCAACAAGTTTGAGTAATCGGAACACGCCCGAAGTCACATAAAATTGTCAAATGGAAAAAGTGAAAGCTGACTTTAAGGTGGTGAAAAATTGAATTTTGGCCAATTTTGAAGGGGTCTGCCGACGGGAATCTTCTGGAAACTTTCATGGAATACGCAACAAGTGTCCCTGAACATGTTTGAGTAATCAGACCACGCCCGCAGTCACATTTGAGATCGTCAAAATTCATTGAAAAAGTGAAAGCTGACTTTGAGGTGACGAAAAATTTAGTTTGTCCGTTTTTGAAGGGGTATTTTGAACACAATTTTGTTGAAACTTCCCTGAAGGGGTGTGCCGAGCTGAATTTTCTTGAAGCTTTTAGAAAGTACTCGTCAAGTATCCCTGAACATGTGTAATCAGAACACGCAAGCACACCCATTTGAAATTATTAAAATTTATTGAAAAAGTGAAAGCTGAATTTAGGTGCTTAAAAACTTGAATTTGTCCGTTTCTGAGAGATTCTCCCGAGCACAATATTCTTGAAACTTTCAAGGCACACTGGCCAAGTACCCTTGAACATGATTCAGTAATCAGAACACGCCAACACGCATATTCGAAATTATTAAAATTAATTGAAAAAGTGAAAGCTGAGTTTGAGGTGGTGAAAAAATTGAATTTGTACATTTCTGAAGGGGTGTGTCGAGCTGAATTTTCTTGAAGCTTTTAGAAAGTACTCGTCAAGTATCCCTGAACATGTTTGCGTATCCAGAACACGCAAGCACACCCATTTGAAATTATTAAAATGTATTGAAATAGTGAAAGCTGACTTTTAGGTGGATAAAAACTTGAATTTGTCAATTTTTGAAGGGGTGTGCCGGGTTCAATTTTCTTAAAACTCTTAGAAAGTACGAAACAACTGTCGCTGAACATGTTTGCGTAACCAGAACACGCCTGCACTCCCATTTGAAATTATTAAAATTAATTGAAAAAGAGAAAGCTGAGTTTGAGGTGGTGAAAAAATTGAGTTTGGCCATTTTTAAAGGGGTGTGCCGAGCTGAATTTTCTTGAAGCTTTTAGAAAGTAGTCGTCAAGTATACCTGAACATGTTTGCGTAACCAGAACACGCAAGCACACCCATTTGAAATTATTAAAATTCATTGAAAAAGTGAACGCTGACTTTGAGGTGGTGAAAAAATTGAATTTGACCATTGTTGATGGGGTTTGCCGAGTTCAATTTTCTTGAAGCTTTTAGACAGTTCTCGTAAAGTATCCCTGAACATGTTTGCGTAACGAGAACACGCAAGCACACCCATTTGAAATGATTAAAATTCATTGAAAAAGTGAAAGCTGAGTTTGAGGTGGTGAAAAAATTGAATTTGCCAATTTTTGAAGGGGTGTGCCGAGCTGAATTTTCTTGAAGCTTGTAGAAAGTACTCGTCAAGTATCCCTGAACATGTTTGCGTAACCAGAACACGCAAGCACACCCATTTGAAATTATTAAAATTCACTGAAAAAGTGTAAGCTGAGTTTGAGGTGGTGAAAAAATTGAATTTGACCATTTTTGAAGGGGTGTGCCGTGTACAATGTTTTTGAAACTCTCAGAGAGTACTAGCCAAGTATGCCTGAACATGATTTAGTAATCCGAACACGCCCACTCTCATATTTGAAATTATTAAAATTAATTGAAAAAGTGAAAGCTGAGTTTAAGGTGGTGAAAAAATTGAATTTGTACATTTTTGAAGGGGTGTGCCGTGTACAATGTTTTTGAAACTTTCAGGAAGTACTCGCCAAGTATCCCTGAACATGATTGAGTAATCGGAACGCGCCCGCATTCCCATTTGAAATTGGAAAAATTCATTGAAAAAGAGAAAGCTGAGAGTACATTTAAATATATACATTTTAACATGCTCAAGGTGTGCAAATTGGATGGGATGAATGATTGTGCAGATTGAATGGGAGCAGATCATCTTGACCATAAATAAAACTTCAAAACTGGTTTGTTTGGCAAATGGCAATCTCTACCGTTGGTATCTAAATCCATGCAATAAATGCAAAAGTGAAAGTGAGTACATAGGCGTGCAGATTTTATTTAGCTTTTGCGTCCGACCCCCCTCATACCAGTGGCTCAATGGTCTAGGGGTATGATTCCTGCTTTGGGTGCAGGAGGTCCCGGGTTCAAATCCCGGTTGAGCCCAAAATTTTTGCACTCTTTATCTTGAACTTTTTGATAATCCGAAGCTTTTGCCCACTTCAGAAATCCTCAAAACGATCAAATTATCAACTTTTAGTACACTAAATGCTTCTATTCAGAGTGTATGGACATTTTTGTGTGTATTCGTCAATATACCACACCCACCGGTCAACCACTTGACAGATCTTACCAATTTTCGAAGACTAAGATAAGATTTATGTCATATGTAGTTACATAGTTATATCTGTTACATTTACTTGGTTGGGATAGGTTAGTTCAGCTGGACAAAGGCAGTCAATTTGTCAAACTCTCACTTTCACTTTTAAACAAACGACTAAAACCTTTTCTATTACGCATTAGTGCGTATATTTGTGTAGTCCTTATCAAATAAACCTTACCCAGAATGTATGTACATACACATAATTGCAATTAATAAAAGTTACAAATCAAATTAATAAACCAAATCAAATTAATAAAGTTGCAATTGATAAAATGCAACTCGTTATACTGATGTTATGATGTTACATCGTAAATTGTTCGTTTGATATTTGTAGTTGATACAATGTAACCTGTTATATTGTTAAATCATGCCGAGACTTAACTTGTGATTCTATGGGCCATAAGCCTTGCAAGAATTCTTCATTGAATAATTATAATAAATTATTATAATTATTACATTATATGTACATACACATTTTTGATGCAGGGATTCATTTCCTTTTCTTAAATTTAACATCTTTCTAATTTGTCACGTGTTAAAAGTCCAGTATAAAAAGGCGTCAAAAACTTGAATACGACCATTTCTACGAGAGCACTTTCCTTTGTATTTATTTATGTATGTGTGTATTTATTTATTTCTGAACTTTTTCAGGCAAAAGCCTATAAGGTTGCATTACAATTTATAATTAATTAATTATAGAAAAAAGAGGAGTCCGGTATTGAATAATTTGAGAATATTGAAACAATAATAATGTATGTATGTATGTATGATTTATTCCACCACTCTTTTAGGCCTCGGGCCCATAGAACACAACAAGTACATCATTCAGTATAACGGGTTACATATCAAAAAAATTAATTTTCCAAAACAACAAATATTACCAATTTCGATCAACGAGTATAACTACCCAATTTTACAATTTGAATTAGGACAAGTTAATAGCAAGATGATTATCCAGATTCGCCAGCTTTATGCTGGGGAATCGAGAAAGGCTCCGACACAATAATCGCATGTAAGTGCATTGAGATGTATGCAATATTTCCAACTGGTGACCTGCGCAGCTGGATGTCTACCCCCATGGGTAGGAATCCTTATCACATAATACATACATACAAGATGATTATCATTACGGTTTACATAACAGTTTTATACAGTTCCAAAATCTTATATGTCAAAACCTTAAAAGGTAATATCTAACAACGTAACCGGAGACGTGCGCTTTGAAATACCAAAAGTGCATTTCATACACTCAGCAAAGTGGTGGTGTGAGGTTGCTCATAATGTCAGTGCAAATCCGTTTGCGAAATACATAACCAAGTACAGTAAGTATACTTACTCACAGTACAGTTGTGAGCATCATCCCAATACAGGCTAAATACATACAACGCTTAATGGTTAATACGAGAGCAGTTTGGTCGTTTGTAATTGTTGTATGATGGGAAAATTGCAGAGGGTGTCAGGTTTCACATGTCAGACATGGTGAAGTCAGAATCCCAATACAGTAACACAATGATAATGCTCTTTCCTTAGGGTCCACCAACAAAATGTTAACCTGTTAAATCGGAGAGTTAATTTCTTCATAAATCGGATGTTCTTATAATCCGACAATCTTTTTTAACTAATTCTTTGGACTTTTACGAGTCTATTGAATAGCCTAAAATCATAAATTAGCAAGTACATTTGTTAAGATCTTCTACAAGTTCTATACATTAAATTCTGTTTTGTGTAATTTATCTGTGCAAGATTTCATCATTTTAATTGCACATACATATTTCAATCCACCAGTGGACATATAATAATTTATTTTAAGGCTATTTATAATACGTATAGCTTGTTGATTAGAAATCAATACTTGACTAAATTAAGTTACACCAGATAACTATTTACTACACATTCGTCATTTTGAACATTTTCTACTTGTCATTAATTTTCCAGGAATCCGTACTTATGGAGAAATGCATGCATTTGCATTCCTAGACAAACAACCATAAATTCGGTGTAAATACATACGTCAATAATTAAACATCTTAATAAAGAATCCATACATTTTTCAACGTATGCTTAGAAAATGTTCGTATTGTTTGTTAATCATGGCAAGAAAAATAAGAGTTGCGTTGAAACATTCATTCATTCCAAGATCTTCCAAGGTACTCTGATCACCGATGGACGTACATATGTATGTATAGGTCATCTTGCTATGTGAGACGGCCGAAAATTGTTCAGTCCCGACTCCGGGTAACATTTTCTCCATTTCTGCTGAATTTCGATGAAACTTACGTGAATTACGTGAATACCCATGGATGACTGTTGTTAGATATTAATATTTCATGGTGAATACCACCAAGAAGGTGGTACCCCACAACACGAGAACTGTTGTCGCATCAAACTGTCTTATGCCAGTCTAACTGCTGCATGCAGTTCAAAAATCACGAAATGTCAAACATTATTTTTGCGCGATCTATTGATATTAAATATTTCCATTCATTTGAAAACTCTGGCTGCATATGTATCCATGTTTTTTTCGTAAATATGCTAGATTTGATTATACATATCACAAAATTTGTCACACCATTTATATTATTTAACCGAACTTTAAAACCTGAAATGCTTTAATTAATTAATATAAAAGAGACCCAAAAAAGGAAAGCTTAGATGAGACTAAGAAGTGCGATAAAAAGTATTTAATAAATTTCTTCTCCAGTGAAGGATATAGAATTTTAATATTTCCAGCATCAGCGCCCCATTTTATTTTAAACTGACTAAAGTACATAAGCAACATGTTCATGTATGTTACCTATGTATCATGTATCAACTTTAAGTATAATTGCAAGCATTCATAATCTTTTAGTGACAAGAACAAGTAACAAATGATTTTAATATTTTTCGCTACATTATATTTGAAATTTGATAGTTATTGTATATTTATATGATAATGAATGAAACGGGGCGCTGATGCTCGAAATATTAAAATTCTATATCCTTCACTGGAGAAGAAATTTATTAAATATCGCACTTCTTAGTCTCATCTAAGCTTTCCTTTTTTGGGTCTCTTTTATTTATTAGTTTTTATTCGCATTGTTAGTAATTTAGTAATTATCACTCTGGTGGGCCTTAGCAACTAAACTTGGTGGTGGTGGGAGAGGTAATATTTTGACCACCATCAAAACTTTCTCAGTTTTAAACCGATTTTGGGTATTTTAATTTTATATTTTTCTAAAAAATATTTATCAACTTTTTTCCCATTTACATTTATCATATATGCCTTCATTTTTTTTTAATCTCCCAAAAACACATTTTTGATGGTGTTTTTGTTGCATATCTCAGAAACAGGTCAACATTTTAGCCTCCCGTTCGGCAGTTCAATTCTAATTTCCCATAATTAACTCTGGACACTAATTTCATTCAAATCGGATGGAAATTGACCTAGATCTGAAAAAATTAAGCTTTTCAAAACCGTAGTGATTGCTTACTTAGATGATTTTTTTTCTGCAGTAACTATAGCCTCATCTAAGAAAAATGCATGTGTTTGAAAATGACGAAAAAGTATCTGTGCAATGAAAGATGAGGGTGAAACATGAAGATGAGATTTATGGGACTAGCATGTTTGATGCCAACCAATTTTTATGGAAATTACTAATTTCAAATTAGTACGTAATAATAACTGTCAGCATGAAAATTTTCATATCACGTCATTCTTGTTAGTCATGATTTATGTTATTATTTCGGGTGATATTTAATTAATTTGAATTAGTACACATTGTCCACAGTGAGCATGTATGTGTCCCCAATTACGTTACGTAGCACGGCTTTCGTATTAAAAGGCAGCGGATGATTAGTGTTTGTGTGACCGATTCCAAACAGCCTAAAAACGGGCGCGGTCACTCTCGGGTTCTCGTTCGCAAATTTTTCCAGAATCCACTGAATTTTGTGTGGAGGGTGAAACATATCTGCCATAAAATCGCCAAAAACAATTGCGGACACATTGTCAAACGTTCCAGAAAAAAGGAGAGCATCAAAAAAGTCTTGCACAGAATTCGGATCTTGCTCAAACATCTCGAGGAATAGAATTCTGCCCGTCGTGTTAAGCTGTCGTAAAATAATAAGTTGTTATTCATAACCAAGTATGATTTAAATGCAGGACTCAATTCTTGTTTAGGTAATTTCCAGTGTTTATCATTAAGGTACCACAAGAGAGTTGGCAAGGAATTATACCACTAACTTTGATTGTAATTTTCTCAGAAATTATAGTAGGTAGAAATTTGGTTCAAATACAAATTTTGTAAAAAATTTACTGCTCTAAATTTTGGTAAATGTCCCCTTTTGCTGTTACTTATACTTACGTATTTATAGCCAAAATAGTCGACCATGATGAATTTTTTTTAAAACGTCCTAGCGTCAAAACCATACGGAGCACAAACGTGGGACGACTCCCACATCGTGCGAAATAGTTTTACTTGGGGAGCATAACGGGTCTCATTTCCATATTCTCTTCCATACTTTCCGAAACAGCATTTCTATACTTGCCCCTCCATATTATTTTATGTTTCTGAGGACAAAAATGGTTCACATCTCATCACCTGACACAAGTGAGCCCATAAACGGATTATACACCCTGCAGAAATATATAATGATTCCAAATAACAACCATTATGACCTCAAAGTCCACCCCCTCCATCTCGGGAGCTCTTAAAAATACCCAAATGCTCTTGTTGTTATGCGGAGCCGTACTTCATGTCTTGACTCATTTTCTCTAAAAAGTCATGTTGCTAAGTCCAGAAAAAATTGAAATATTCAACCTCTTGTGGTACCTGTATGTAAACTGTATGTTTCCAACCTTATACGGCGTTCCAATTGTTAACGCAATCTGTCTGAAACTACCTCCCACCACTGTAGAAATTAATGGTTCGTCAAGCACCGTTCCGTTATCTATCCTCGTCAAAAATGGCACCGTCGTATTGGTGATATTTCCATACATTAAATCTATCAACGGGTCCACCGAAATTTCTGTGCTGTTTTCATAATAGTTCTGCACAATTAAATCTAGCACTGCTCCATGAATCGTGGGCCAGTCATATTTTTGTTGGAGGTACGCAAATATCGGCGTGACTGCACTGAATCCTGAAATGTAAATAAAATCAAAATAAATATTTTTAAAGTTGTAAAACAAATTTAACAAATAAATATAAATTGATTTAAACCTATGATTGGTTTAGAAGGCAGCGGAGCAGGTGGCAACATCCTCTCGAGCCCTTCGATGGTCCGAAACGCTCCAGAGCCGCCGTTGATCAACCAAATAATTTTAACTTGCGGGTCCAATATTGCATCGGCCAAGTCGCGAGCTCGGAACTCGTCCGTGTTGGAATACCACTGTTCCCCATCGTCCGGTCCAATAATGTCGTAAATATCGTTAGATATTTGTGCCGTGAAGCCTAGATCCGTCACAACTTGTACGGTTTCGTTGAGAAGTTGGGGCAGACCAGGGCTCAAGGGTGCTACAATACGACAAATATCGCCAGCTTGAGCGCGCCTGCCAACTCTGTTGGTACTGACGCCTCCAATTCCTAACCAATTGAAAAATGTAAGATTATAAAGCTACTGAAAATTCGATTTACTCAAAATTTTACCTGTGCCAATCATGGCTAGAGATCCAAGAAAAATAAAGAAGAGATACATTATGGGTCACAGAAGAGTTGATACTGATACAACTCATCCAGAGATGACATTATCTGAGGATGAGAGTTGTGTTGAACTAACATAAAATGGACAAAGCTTGTGGCATAACTGCAGACTTAGCATTTTTAAGATAGGAGAGACAATTGACATGAGATAAGACCATATCTTGGTTGAGAGGTGATTCAGTTGAATTACATACATAACCTCGATCGCTCGGAAGACTGAATGCAGGTAGACATGTAAATACATAAATAATTGACCGATTTGGTTGTATACAGACTCACTATATGTGTCACGCTGTAATCCTCAATTTTCCATATTATTTACTATACATGTACGGGAATGCTACATATGTACTGCCGATCGGTAGAAGTATGCAAATATTTACGGTGCAAGAATTGATAGCAGAAATGAATGAATTATACGCACCAATAAATACATAGATATATGTATGTATGTATGTATATATATTAAAGGTATCACAGTTTCAGAGCTGGGATAATCCTGATTAAGGATTATGGATTTTAATCCCGGATTAAGGATTATTAATCCATAATCTATAATCCGGCAACGGTAGTTTGTTAGAATTAATCCTAATCCATAATCCCGATTTTTTAGGAATGAGAATTAATCCTGGAATAATCCCGTCAGGTGTCTTTAATCCATAATCACGATTATGGATTACTAATCCCGATTAATCCCAATCATGATTACTAATCCTGATTATTAATCCAGTTTAATCCCAATCATGATTAATCATGATTACGTATTCATGATTAATTCTCAATCTGGATTACTCAGTTCAATTCCCATAGTTCTATTTCATCCCACTCTGTGTAGCTTGAAGTCTCAAGTTCTCACAACTTTCTTCTGTCAGCTACCATTTGAAGAGTCAACATGTTCTCGCTGCCTTGCACTATATATATCAATTGAAACTGCTTTTTAAATATTTTATGTGAACCCACATAGTTGAAATTTGTTGCGCTAGATATAGTGTAAAAATCATTAATCACCAAATTAATCAGGATTATTAATCCATAATCCATAATCCTGAAATTTCCAGAATGTATGGATTAATCCGGATTAATCCTGACATAAATTAATCTCACGAAAATAATTTAATCACAATCCACATTATTTTGTGGTTAATCCATAATCCATAATCCACCCTCAAAAACCAATAATCACCCAGCTCTGCACAGTTTATTAAATTGTTTACATACACATTCTTGCAACTTCCACAGCAAATATGTTAATGCATTCGTCAACTACACAAACGGAATTTTCAGTATTTCTCATTCTCATCTCATTGTTATATCATACTCTGTGGTATTTCTGCTACATTTGAGCTCAGTCTATTGTGAGCTTACTTGCCAGATTAAGTAATTAGATACTTAATTTGTTTAAATTAATTACTTACACAAGATACTATTCAATTGTCTAAAAGATACAAAATGCAAGATAAATACAAGATACTTCTTTGATGAGGCGACCAAGATACAAGATAAAGATATTGTATCTCGTATCTTTTAGGTTCTTGTATCTTGATAAAGTCTCTTGCTCACCCCTGCTAATCTTAAATGTCGCTTTGAACTTAATATTTAGATTTAAATGTTATCGAAACATTTTGGGTGCTTCGATACTTTAATTCACGGGATTATGTTTTTTGTATGTTTAATTATTTGTTTGTATTGCTTTACATTTACAAAAAAATCGATTGGTTGCAAATTTTAATGTTGCGAAAATTATTCCTTCCTTTTGGTTGGAAGAAAATACATTTTGGTTTGCATTATAAATTTGACCCTATATTTAATTTATACACGCAAAATCATCATTCTTTCATTAATTTTTATTCAACATATTAGTTACATTTCTTTCCAATAGTTAGCAATGCTCTAAAAGTCCCTTTTACAATGCCCCTAAAAAACTTAAGTATCGTATTTCGTTTTACGGAGAAAATCCCTTCAATACCAATGTGCATTGGGGGACACGCTCTGCAGATTTTTAAAATCAATTTCCTCTCAAAGGTAGAGTTACCCTTCACGCTTCCATGATTTTGGTACTTTTCTCAATTTCACGTCAATTCGTCCCGATAGTTCCAAAACTACTGCCCAGATTACTTGCGCAGCTATAGACCAAATTGCTAGGAGGGTCTGGAATAAGAAGAACAGCGATAATGATTACTAGTAACTTGGATACATACAAAATACTGCACACATCAATAAACTGTTTATAGTGTGTCGTGTGTATTATACCTTTGTATAATAATCAAGATGAACCCATTGCCGAATAATTACAAAATTACAGTAGAGCACAAATTGGGCAAACGCTCCGAGCACGTAGAAAAGAATGTATCCAACAATTCCCATAATTTCCTTGTGGATCAGTTGTATGCAATTATACTCATGAAAAATGTCTGAAAATTTTACCAACGTGTTAGATGGTTTTTTCCTTTTTGCTGCAGTGTATCCAAGCTCCGGTGTAATTATAATGTACACAGGAACTACAGCGTTTAAAAACCGACAACATATTACTTGAGAAAACATGGTTATACATAAATTACAGAAAATCTTTAGTACTAAACTTACCAGCATACACACAGAATACTACTATCTTGCAAAGTATAAGGAACCAGACTAAGGATGCAAGCTGCAGAGTGAGAATTATGTCAAGCAGCAAGACCAACTTGTAGATTAGTCCGAAATATGCTTCCTCCACCCAGTGTCCGTCCAGCAATGCTGGTATGTAAAGGTATGAGGAAATATTGGAGTTTTTGGGAAAAATATGAAAAAAGCGACACTAGTCCACGGCGCTGGGAAAATGATCAGGATTGATCCTGTGACAACGACATCCAAACTGCGAGAAATCACAGATTCCTCCGGAACATAAGAAAACATCCACTTCCCTGAAGACGTTAAAGCCATTACACAATGGAAACTATGTACTCAATATTTCGTTAAAATACCTTGAAATTGCACGCAATATCTCAACACCCGATTCAAGGCGACTTTGAAATTTTCCCGTTTAACTGACAGCAAGCACATTATGGGAAAGCTAATCATCGCGACAGACCACCATGCAACACAAGTGTAGAAGACTTTATCAGGACGACCTCCATGAAAAGACTGATGCAATTCCCATATGCGAAATGAAGAGAAGAAGACAAAAGTTAGTGACAACAAGGACAACAATTGGCGTAGTTGCAAGTCTCGGGTTGTAATAAATCTGTGTGTTGGTAGTTAAACTCCATACCGAATGGCGAAACTGGGGAACACAATTTGCCCGCAATAAATAGTAACTTATAGAATAGTTGTGTATACATTTCTGAAATTTGCAGTACAAAAAAGGTTTCCAATACTTTAAAATATTTCCCAATTTTTTCAGGTTATTTAAAACAGTAACTATGTTTAATTTACTGGAACTACTGGAAATTAACGCTTATTTAACGACTTAAATAAAACTGAGCAAATTGGAGACGACTTGTAACTCATCCGTATAAACGAATTAACGTTATAAAAATAATAACAGTAGTTTAGTATGTACAAATTAAAATGATTGTCTGCACTTTTACCTCTTCCCGACTTCTATTTATTTCCCCGCAGAGAAATACATAGATACATACGTATTGTATGCACATAATCTCTATATGAATATGCACATTACTATTGGTAATATTGATTGCACACAAATTTATTTTTTTTGTTCGAGTTGTTTTGTTAAATCTATATGTAAAAAAATAGTCCAATGATCCAAAATAAATTCCATTCAGATTATGAAATTATCGTACCCAGTGCAGTATCCCTTTCAAACATTCCTGTTTATAAACTTTGGCGTTCATGGTACCCTTTCAACGCGTATGCAATGATACTATTGATAGAATTGTATAAAAAAATTAAAACTCTTTTAAATAACAATGAATTTTATTGAACGTAATTTCCATTTTTTGTCGTAATTATTTTTGACTCTGTTATTTACATGGTAATGTTCATTTTAATATGAAACCTGCACTCTGAAGTATCAAACAAATATTGAGGAGACAGCCACCACCTTGTTGTCACTACGCCCTGAAATCAATTTTTTGGATGAAGTTATCTAATTTAACTGAATACCAAAATAGCTCCAACTCACCGTTTTCTTAAGATACATTACAGGTTCCATATTCGGGTCTGCATATAAGTTAGTCCTTAACGTATGCAATTTTCCAGAAGCTAAATTCGGACAGCCCAACAGTCCAAGGTTTTTACATGATCGATCCCACGCCAGATCCGAGCCATGCATGCTTCCCACTCCTGCAACTTTCCAATATGGGGCGAAAACCTGGAACGCAACTTCCCTCGCAACTTCGGGATAAGAAAACTTGAAGTCCACTTCGATAGGCAGCTTATCCCCCTTTTTGATCGCGCACGGCTCCTGGTCGCATCCGTCAATGTGAACGCGGTGGATTGATGCGTTGTTGTTACCTGCAATATTAACCATCCACATTTATGTCTTGTTTTATCAAATGGATTAAAAACAAAATTGTGTGCTTACAAACTATGCTTCTCACACTTAAACTGTAGCCACTGGTGAATGAAAGTACAAAAATTATTAAACCTAAGAAATCCATTGCTCAGCTAAATATAAATGGTTCAGTTTACTATGTTGTGTAGTAAAGTCCAGTTTTTTTGTTTTTATTTTAGTTTGACGAAAAACAAGAAAGTGTCCTCGATAAGGATATGCAAATACTATCTATTTACTGTTAGGCAGAATAAATTAGTAAGACTTGCATGAAACGATCTATTATTTGGAGTAGCTATTTCCATTTTTATTTCTGAGCATGCATTATTGATGGATCTTCTGTGTGCTGCAGAAACAATGGAAATGAAAACCTGGACTGATTGCTGGTAATGCAGTTATTAGTTTTTGTGGCGAATTTCTAATAATTATTGCGACGAAGATTCGCTGTCTCTCGTACAAATATTTATCTATATACCATCCGGCAAAATAATAAATTGTTTGTCATAAAATAAGCAAGTAGGTTTTAATTGGACCGCAATAATAAGTAACACCATCATTTGTAAGATAACCATAGTATCATAAAATCTGTGACTTGTAGAAAATCAACTTCAGATACGTAAATACGTGCAACACGCCTTCAGAGGACCAGATAATTCCAGTGAAAACTCGAAAATTTATTCATGAAAAAATGGATTGGGTTACTTTAACTGTCTTGTTAATTACTTCAACGCTTGATCAATACGTTTCCCTATTTACTGAATTTATTGATTATTAGTTATAAGTGCAAAGTTTAAGTTTTTAGTAAAACTGCAATCTGTAAAAGTTCAAAAGGTCAGGGGGAGTATTTTTCTCGTTATGCCATATGTTCGTATACATGCATAAATACATATGTGCATGTGCCATAAATATGTACATATGTATGCTTGCCTTTATCAATTATTCGCACATTCATGCTGCAGAAAACCTCAAAACAGTAATTAAAACAAATCATTCTCCCTGGCGTCGTCAACAACTTTAACCAATTTCAACTTCATAAACAACCATATCATTTCCAGAACTCCAGATAATTCTCATGGCGCCAGTACTTCGTCCCGGTCTGCTGTATATAAGAAACGCCATATTCGCCTTGGAAATTAGTTTGTCCAGAACATTTGGCTAGACTCTACCCCATCTTTAATATTACGTCAATTCGAAATTAAATTATCATCCCGTTTTAAAATCTTAATTACCAAAAATTCACTAAATTCATAATGTGTCCGGCTGCAATGGACATGTGGGCAAATCGTCGGAGTTCTTATCATTACTTGGATGAAAAGAAAATTAGAATGCTGACAGTAAGTCCAACTCGCAATTTTTTAAATTCAATATCTGTAAAATTTAAATTAATTACAGGAAGCAGCTCATCCAATACAATCCAATACATTTTGTCAAACCCCTTCAGCAAATCCAACTTGCAGTAGATCCATGGGTGATATTCAGGAAGGAGTTTGTCGTGACGGCAATCTTGTTAAGGATGAAATTCATCACGAGTCAAAGTTTATCAATTTCTTGTTCAACAGAAAGAAAAAGGTTAATTAATTTTTAAGAAGAAAATTAGTTAATTACTACCCACCGCTAGTAAAATTAATTTATTAACCATGTTTTTAAAACAAATACAGAACTTCTGAATATTTATTATTTTTAACGGCAATTCATAAATAAATCCGATAACCATTTTGATTATCTTTCTGATTGATTAAATTGTTAATAAACCTTCATGGCAGCTTGTCAAGAATGAAAAACACCTGTTGGTATTTGGTATGGCTGCAACCATGCTAATTAAAAATTAATGATAAAGTTGTAATTTAAAAAACGTGAGAAATTTTCATGTTAATTTAATTTTTAAAGGTATGTAGATACTTAGCATCCCTAAATCTGGCAATACGATGTTGGATGTATCAGATAATTCTTTCTTTAATATGCGTTGTTCTCGTGATGATGTATGTAACTAGCATGTGCATATAAATGCATATTGTATGTAATTACTTCCTTAATAAAATACGCTCCACGGAAATACTTAAATACATGCGTACATGAATCTTGCCCAAGAACCAATAATAATTTCCTATAACAAAGCTACCGGGTGGGTATTGAAATTCATAATTCATACACATTTATGTATGCACATCTCATTTTCCAGCACAATGGCAGACTGAAGATTCATCTTGTTATGAAAACGCGTAAAAAACAATGAAGTTCTTACAGACATTCATAAAAGCATGATATACAAGAAATAAGTATGAAAGAAGAGTAGTTAAGACGTACATATGCAGGAATGTGAGATACGAGTGTCTTGTGTATACTAACTAATGCCCATGCAATGAAACCAAATTCCATTCAAGTAATATATTTAATTGAAATTGGTAGAAAATATACTTTCAGAATAATTCCAGCCATAAGTATTTAAGACTTATATTTGTAGCATCAATACGGTTTGTTTGAGATTAGAAAAAGCGAAATTAGAGACACTTTGTAGAAATAAATAAAGTTTATTTTGCATACTAATTTCCAGCAGACTTGATTAAAAATTATAAATAGCAATAAAACTGCATCCTTTCAGGTCTCAGTTTTCATGGCGTCGTACATTTTTTTATGCTGTAGATTAACGCCGTTCTCAATCAAACGTAGCTATAATGTTTTGTAGTGTAATTTTCATTTACACGCATAAGTATCTATGAAAAATTGTGCCAACCTTATCACACTAAATTTTTGAATGCCATGACTCATGTCACGATATCGATGTCAATTTTCCTTTATTTAAGAAGCAGCGAAGAAACAAATCGCTAGTTAGATATGTACGTGGTCAGGAAAACAATTAAATGCATGTGTGTACGTATGTATGACATAAATAAGTAAATATATATGTAGATTGGTACCACTGCATACGTACGTGGATTGGCAACTCAATAAAATTTTGAATATGATGTGCATATACATACGCGGACGACCTGGAGAAGCGATAAGCTATTTGACAGACATTAATAGATCCATTGGGGCTTCGGAATTTTCATGATCCATGCAGAAAATTTTTGAGACGATGATCTACAGCTATTTAGGGCAAGAAATCGATAAGAATTTGAAGACTAAATAACATAAATGAAACGTGAGATGTTTAATGAAAAATAAATTAATCAAATTCGTCGTTTCCTATGCCTGACTTGTTTTCATAATGACGCATTAACATATATTGAGTTAACGAAAGTTGAGAACTGTAAATTCCTTATCTTTAATGAGTTCATCTAATAGTAAAACTAAAGGGAGGAATATCATTAAATGCTGTTAAATAAGACTCAAATGAGGCTTATCCTTAGTAGACTTACTTATCGATAAAGTTGTTAAGCTCATCACAAATATCTATATGCATGTTCTAGTCTTTCATTCCGTTCGGGTTATTGTCCTTCCTGAAGTGGATTTGATTCTACTAATGCGTTCATGTTAACTACATAAAAGAGTGGTGTGAACTCAACCAAGTACAGAAATGCAATCCGAAAACCAAACCACTCAACATCGCTGGTGTATGCTTATGAACACAAATTCACAATCAAACACTGCTACCTAAATGCAAAGAGCTACATTTTGCTATGCAGTTTGGTTCGGTTATTACGACGGGAAAAGGGTTATTTATGGGCGAGTGAGTACTGTGGGATGGTCCGTAAATGGTTCACAGACTGCTCTTCCACTAACTTTTTCTTATCTCGCTAACTAAACAACTATGCGTTGCACAGCTTAACGTAATATTATACAGATTGACTCTGCTTACATATAACTAATAGCACTGTGAGTACAGACTTTTTATTAGTCACAGAACAAATAAGAAGCCAACTCAACAAGACTGGCACAATATCATTCTTCTCGTTTTTACTCGCCCACTCTCCATTTTAATATTGTGTGATTCTGCCTCACCAGTTAAGCATCATTGCGTTAAAGGTTCCTTTAAACTTGTTTTCTCAAAGTGCTGGATATGTCGCTCTTTTAATACGGATAGATATTCAGCCAGTATCAACATTTTTTGCTGGCCGTGAGTAAAAGTTGGTTGACAACTGAGTGAGACACACTCATCGGCACATTGACATTTCTCAGCCTAAAAACTCTTCTCATTCTTTAGTAAATTCACGTGCTTCCAATTTTGTGATTGACTTATTAGATCTGATTTGATTAAACCGTGAATGCTTCGACTTTTTACTCGTGCGATGCAAGCGGAGAAAGGTGGCGTCGATGAAGGGCTGTTGTCCACAAGTGTTAAAAATGGGGACACAAATGGACATCATGTGGTCCAGAGTCAGAAAAGAAAAGTGTTTCTTTCCCCGATGGAAAAGGGGACATTGGCCACGCTCTGTTTCATCAACTTGCTCAACTATATGGACAGATTTACCTTGTCAGGTTGGTTGTCATGGTTACCATGCAATGTAGAAAAACATGGTTTAATTTAATCTTCATATATTGCAGGAGTTCTTGACCAATTGCAAAACTACTTTGACTTGAACAACGAAGCTGCCGGCCTTGTGCAGACGGTTTACACGTTGGCGTATATGGCCGCCGCGGTCCCCTTTGGCTACTGGGGGGATCGGCACTCTCGTCGATGGGGGATGGGTGTGGGTGTGGGCGTTTGGGCGGCGGCAACTCTGCTCGGATCCGTGGTTGGAAATTCCTTCCCTGCATTTCTAGTTACGAGGGGGTTGGTTGGGGTTGGGCAGGCGGCTTTTTCCACCATTGCGCCAACCGTGATTAGTGATATGGTCGCGGAGAAGCAGAGGTCGAGGATGCTGGCCGTGTTTTACTTTCTCCTCCCGATAGGAAGGTATTTGAGTCAGTGCAACGATCTAGTGACAGAATACGTGCATGAAACTAATCATATTTTCTAGTGGTCTCGGCTACATTGTGGGGGCAGGGGCAGCTACTGTTGGCAACGATTGGAGCTGGAGTCTCCGCGTGACCCCAATTTTGGGTGGGATTGCCCTTCTACTCATCATATTTGTGGTGATTGATCCGCCCAGAGGTGCTTGCGAGGGGGGTGGTTCCGACGCGGGTGTGGTCTTGGTCAGCTCATCATCGTACGCGTCAGATATTTGGTATCTGCTAAGAAAGTAAGAAATTAGCATATTCATGATTCGTGAATTTATACCCAGATTGACAATATTTATTTGTTAATAACCCAGCCGAAGCTTCATGCTGTCAACCATGGGCTACACGAGTGTGGCTTTCGTCTCTGGAGCTCTGGCGTGGTGGGGTCCAATCTTTCTAGCGTCCGGGTTTGCACTTCAGGAGGGAAGCGATGGTCTCATTCATATGGCACAGTTAGTCACATTCTACATTGTGTACATAATTTATGACTATTTAGCAAATTACTACAGAATTTTTGCAATTTTCATGACAGAGTTTCTTTCCAATTCGGAATCGCCATGATGCTCTCGGGAATTATTGGCGTTCCCGTCGGCAGTCTCTCATCACAATGGTTGAGGCGAATCTCTCTCCGCACGGATCCGCTAATCTGTGCAGTTGGTCTATTCATATCCGCTCCAACGTTGTGGGGGGCAGCTACGCTTGCCACGAGTCATACATGGGTCACCCTAATTTTCATCTTTATTGGCATGATGACGCTCAACCTTAGCTGGTGCATTGTTGCGGACATTTTATTGGTAAGAAGTGCAAACACACGTGTAAATCCATCAATCGGTTGCAAATTGAGAACAAATATTAAATAATTTAGTATACCGTCATCCCGACAAGACGCGCGGCGGCGCAAGGCCTCCAAATTTTGATCTCATTCGCACTTGGAGCAGCCATCTCGCCCTATTTGGTGGGCCTCCTATCCGACATCTTTACCACGGGGGAGGGAGCCGCTGGGGAGTACGAGGGACTGAGTCGAGCCCTGTATTTCGTCTACGGGGTGGAGCTGCTGGGTGGCGTGTTTTTCCTCCTGACGGCAATCTTTGTCGTCCGGGACAAGACGGCATGCGACTGTGCCATGACACAGGGAAAGGGGACGACAGTCACGGGGAAAAAGGGAGGCAATGAAATTACCAAGTCGTGACGAGACAATCTACTTATTTATTTATTACGCTCATTTAGAGATATGCCACATATGCTATTTTGGACTTTTTTAAACAAAAAATTTACAATGAAATAGAGACTGAACAATTTTGTCACTAAATGCAAAGCAGGTGTGCCCAATAATTATCTATGTGCGTATTGCCAATTTGATTGCATAACTAACTACGATTATTTATTAAAGTGAGCAAATTTCTAGTTAGCATTGTAAATGATCCATGTTTTAGGACATTTCATTCCCTCATAATTCACGTTCATACTGTCGTTTTTATTTCAATTTATGTATGTCTTATATCTGTCAGAACTGAAAATACTATCTTTTATGACACAAGATAATGTCGTTAGGTCGACTCCGGTTTGTACAAAATATTAAATCTCTGCACATTATGTTTGTAACTAATATTTTCGTAGTATTTGGAAATGTAAGCTCCTCCCAATGCTGTAAAGGCAAGGACAAACATTCCCACAAAACAAAGCATTACAATCACCCAGATTTTAGGAGTGGATTGTTGATACCCATCTTTTAGTCCTGAATCCTGATTTGTCTTATCATCAGATTCTGCATCCCAGGGCATTTCATCATCGCATAATTGGATAGATTTCGGAAGAAATGGGATCGTAAGAGTGAGAAGTTTCTCGACATAGTACTCCAACGGTTTTCTGGCGGTTTGCAACGTATAATATCCCTGCGTTTCTACGCAGCCAGCCACCCCGTATAGAATAACGCATTGACCATAAGTTCTAATGGATAAATATCGGTTATTACTGTCAAGGGTGACACAGCCGCTGGTGAGATTCACATTCGTAGCGTGACCTAACCGTTAGAAAAATCTGTGCTTAAAATCTGACGAAAAAAGCGTGACAAAACATTCCATTTTCTAATTGGATATTAATTTTAATACCATAGTGTCCCTGATGATCGAAAAATGTGACGGTATTTTTTCCCAGATAATCCGATCCAGTATCATGGTTGAGATCAGGCACTGATTTATTGCAGAACCCCCCACATCGAGATATTGCTTTCGCACTATACGCAGCATACTTGTGTTCTCCACCCAACCCACAATCAAATAGATCGTGCAGTTGAAGATATCCAGGTCGAAATTGGGTGAATTCTCCACCACAACTTGACGCACTATGAAGTTCGATACAAGAATTTTCATCTCCACTTATTTTCATGGATCTAAAATGTGGCAGTGATCGTGGAATCAGGACACAGCCATCCCCGTCCAGAACTAGGTCAGTTTTGTTACCTAGAATGAATAATATTCATTTCAAAACTTACCTAGTTAGAAAAAAATTGTAGCCCTCATACCCTTGAATTCAGTCCTTTCATACAATGTCACAGCGACTGGTTGCTTGCTATCACCTTGCCAGTTTCTAGAGTCGCACTTATCAAAACAAGGTCCAACTGATCCAATTCGTAAATCTTCCTCCGTCAAGTCGTCCCCCACCCAACGGTATGTTTTTGGTGAGTACATCGTGCCCGTAATCTCGTTCACGGTGAATCTAATAAACCAACCTGTGCAATTTTGTCCAGGATAAATGTTGAAACATTTTTTGTTCGTTTCTATCCGGTTTACGAATCCTCCAATTCCGTTCGAAATGGTAGGATTGCATTTTGAAATATCATAATCGACTCCTGCTGACGAAGAATAGTATGAACTTGTGTCTTCGCGAATTGCAATATTGATAATATTCTAATCTGCTCTACAACGGGTTACGGCAGATTGAAGCAGTATGATTAACAGTATTGCAACAAACTCATGAAATTGGGGCCCACAAGTATTAACACGAAACAAATTGTACATTTTTATAATTATTTTATATTTAAGTTGTGGAAATTATAATAAACTATCTATGTATTTCCAGTTGAGATTGCTATGAATGCTGGGAATAGAATGGATAAATAAATTATTCTTATGAACGACTGTTATATACAGCTGCTCTTAAATTCGTTCTCGGTACTAGTCTTACTAAACTTTGACCTTTATTGATGTAGAGCTAAAAGTGTGCGATTAATGATTAATGTGATAAAACTGGAAGGAAAATTATAAGATGTGCATAAAGAAGAGGCAAAATCATACAGGTTGTCCTTGTGTTGATATCTGATTTAAAACTTTAAAAATTTTAAGATTCGCTATTACTTCCCAAGTTGAAGCAAAATTCATAAATCAGAGTTGACCTGAAAAGTATTATAATAATAAATAATATTATAATAAATAATAATAATAATAATAATAATATTATAATAAATAATATTATAATAAATAAATTAGCATTCAAAACCATTTTGGATTTCATATGTGTTCTTTGGATTTTTTAAAAATACATTCGACTTCTTTATTTAGTTGCATTATAGTTTAGTAACTAATATGCCCAATTGTAGCTAAACTTGGCCCAGTAAGCCGGAGCTCATCGGCCCAAAAATTTTGAGATCAAACTCATCATCCATCATTGGTTGATGGCAAAAATTTGCCAAAATCGGTCAATGCATTTCTGATATACTTATCACCAGACAAATACCTTGGGAGCAATTAAATTAGTTCCCTGGATTTTAAAATTTTCCACAATAAGACACTTTAGTTTGTAAATCACAAAGTAAAGGTTTTGCAATTCTCCTCACTTGTCGAGGGCTACGAGGTAGACTCTTATGCGAATTAAGTAGAATTTTATAAATTTACATGTATACGTAAGTATGTAAAATTACATATGCATGTTAAGTATGTTATCTAATTTATAACGATCTTGTCAAGAAATATTCATACATACATACATGTACACACATGCATAAATATATAAATATATATACATACATATGTAAAATCAACCACGGCTACTGAGTAAAATCCAAAGAAAATTTTATTGATGGACGTTCACGCTAAAAGATATCATTCATTGAAGTTAATTCGCTCCAATTAAGAATGCATACATACAGAGGGTGTTACGTGCGTAAACCGTTTTGACTTTCGACTTAATTCCGAGATTTTTGTCCCGATATTTGGTGACTTTCACTACAAATTGTAGTCTACCAGGTACACATTCATAAACGAAAATGAAGTAAAAATGACATCGGTAATTTAGAAACCCGAGTTACTTAGTTTCTAAATAAATCCAATCATATCTCAAAATCTAAAAAAAAGTATCCCTATTAACTGAAGAATTTATCCAACCAACGCTTACATGAACGAACGTCGCACCCTATGTATTGGATTTGTTATTTCTGCGAAAGTTTTCATGCATACTGGATAGCTGGTAGACCATTCATAATTTCGAGTATAAAAGACAAACGACGCCTGCACTCGTCCCCATCATCAAATAGATCGAGCTGTTGTTCATATACTTATCTTGAAGTACGCATCATGGCATCGAAACTAAAAAGTTTCTGCCTAACCTCCATTTTCATTCTGGTTATTGTTGGGATTACTTCAGGGGTACCACTTTCAACTTCACGATCAGATCACATTCTAACCAAACGGGCAACCGGCGATCAATTCAACAATGGCCACGTCATGTCTTGGAAAACTTACAACAATTTATTAAAGTCCAAACCTGGCACGATGGGAAATAATATGGATAATTACTTTGGGTACGTTGATCGACACGACCCCAGGCCCATTCAGCCCTCACAAACTTACTCAAATAGGAAGATCCACACTTTTGTCGTCGGTTCGAGACAAGACGTGCAGAATGCGGTTGTTAATGGACAGGTATTTACTTTTGCCAACTTGAATATTGATTGACTATAACTCCACTCCATAAACAGCCATTTGTGACTTTTGTTAACGCAGGTACTTCCTCCCCAAGGCAGGCACACGGTTACAAATCTACACGAAACTAAGCAGCCTCACACGCTTGTTAATGTACAGAGAAATAATGCAGGTCAAATTTCCAAAATTTCCGACACCAATCGGCACTTCGCTGGTGCTACGGTGAGCGGTAACGCGGTCCATTACCAGGCGAATTATCAAGGTGGCATTAACGGTAATCCGATCGGAGTGGCAAATCCTATCACACCACCTTCGAGGACTCTTTATCAATTAACCACGCCCGCGTCTGCACCCAAAGGATTTGGTCGCGGTCGAGGTGGTGGCGGCCGGCGTGGGAGAGGATAAATTATAATTTCATGCGACCTACTTCGGCCATTCGATACTTTCTTTACTAGAACTGATAGTAAATAAATAGTGACCATTCCATGCAAATTATTCATTTGCTTAACAATTTAAACTAATTATTTATAATAGTGATGTTATATATTTTAATTGTAAAGACTACGGCATTCCCATAGAGATGTATCTATGCACCTAGAGGTGTAACTATAGTTACATATCTACATATTTATACATATATGTACACATACTCAATGTTTTTGCTGCAGCGTATGTATATTTACTGCAAACCTATTTAACACCGTCGATAAGTACATTCTCAGTTCACATTCACCCACATACATGTATATACACAGCTCACGGGTATGTAAATAAATATGTACCCAATAAAACCAATTTGTTCTCATAATTTGCATTTTGTATCTTTAGAAATGTGAACTTGTCAACAAGTCAACAAATTAATCTTAAGATAAATATATATGCGTAATTGTTGTACATACCTTTTGCTAGTCATAGCTATTTGGATCATATTAATTTTACCTCGTGCATTCCATTTAATGTTAAACTATAAGAAAGACCGTTATTTAGGTAGAAATGACGAGGTCTCCACGTGGTCAATTTAATACCATAGATATGCGTATTATGTATCATTTTGTACTATTATGAGTTAATAATTAGCTAGGTATTATTGTACAATTTAATTTAATTGAATACCTGTAGCCAAAATGATGCACATTAAATGTTTCAAGTTCTCGAATAACTATCGATATTTTTCAATAATTAACTCTGTAGGAAGGACAGTAATTCGTATTTTACAACTTTTAAGTTATTTTTCCAAACTTTAGTGTAAGGAAACTCCTACGAAAATAATTCTTTTACGTTACGGTACACAAATTTACTAAGCACTTTGAAGATGATATTAATCATCGGAGAATTAAATGCCCCTCATCCTCAGTTATGCACAAACGACCAGTGGCTTAAAACTCTAGCGTTACCGACCTCGTTTTTAACCAGCACTACGCGTGCATGTATGTATTTAGCCATTCGATGCGTAATCCAGCACAAGCATTATTAACCAACACAGTACAGTATTAAATTAAAGGTAGGATTCGCCAGTCTGGCTTCAAAATGTTTACACCCCTATTTTACAAACTTTTTGAAATCCAATGCAGAATTTCGAGCTTCCTAGGAGTATTTAGTCTTCAATTTGATGCAACTAAAAGAAAATGCTACATAACTTCAAAATCGAGAGTAAAAAGCCGAAAATTGCTGATCTACTGGATTAACACCACTGTTTTCTGCAGCTTTCAAACTATATCTACTTCCCTAGAGGATGGTAATTCCTCAAATCGCAATTTCCGCATGTGTTTCGCAATTTCGCAATTGACATTAATGATTTTGCTCACCTTGGGAGTCTTCAATATGAAGGAAGACCTACTTGCGCGTGCAATATCGCAAACGTTACTGCATGCAGAAAAATTCAAAAGTGAGCCACGAGCATTCATTATGCAGTAATGTAATTATGTAATTCATGCATATTTTCCATATATTTTCCAGAAAAATGGATGCCTAAATACAACCCAAAGAAACAACTCGCTTCTGTAATGATTGACTGTGTCATAATATGTGCCCTCGTTAGCAATTGTTTAATTATCCTAGCCACTTTACGAGTCATGACATATTTCCGAAACATGCCAATCTTTGTTCATACCGTGTTTCCTCCGAATTGGGGACTAGAGGAGGGTTGGACCATATTTGCAATCGAACTTGGTGTCTTTGCCGGAAATTGTTGTGTCGTCTCGTACGTGGGGATGATCTTTGTCGTTTTTGGGCTAGCATATTTCGGTGAGACAATCAAAATAATGTGCCCATAAATTATGTAATGCATTTGTTTGATACACTATTGCACTTAAACCCCACGATCTCCTTGCATCGTCTTCTTTACATATCTTCATATCTCTTTGCTTCTATTTTAGTTCCGATGTTTGTCATTATAATGCAAGAATTTCGTCACGGAAGAAAACATTACCTTACTTATCATACTTTGAGAACAGCAAGATCGGTCCCTCCGCAATATCGAAGCGTGGAACTGATTCATAAACAATTAATGGAGATAACTGGTTTGGCGATGGTCCTCATTCATGGATTCTTCAGCCAGTTTATCATTTTTGCAAATTTTAGCATATTAAAGCACTGGGACAGTTTGGACTCTGATACAAAGGTGTGTGTAAATAATATGCAATTTTTAGATAATAAATTAATATGTAGGTAATTATCATTTATTAGATGCTACTTGCCATCTGGTCTTTTGGTTCACAAATTATGTGGGGCTTGATTCTAGAATTTGGAGGTAAAGGTCAGCAAGCAGCCAAGTCGACAATCGATTCCTGGAAATATATGAACTTCCGAAAACCAATGGATAAACTTTACATGGACAAATTTCGGAGATCATGTCGTCCACTTTTTATCGGGGAACCGGGCGTGTTCACCATTAAGCGATTGTCTTCCCTTTCATTTCAAAGGGCCATTATCAGAGGGACATTTAGAGCTTGCATGACGCTAAGTAAAGACAGAAAAATCGTAATCCACATTCTAACCATTTAATGTGTAATTCTCTAAATAAATATGTAAATGAAAATCATTAGAATATGTTACTAAGTATACAAAATTTTACGTAACATAATAATTGTAATTAATAATGTGAAATAAATATATGTACATATGTAAATACATAAAGTATTCTCTGCTGTATTTTACAGATAATAAGGTCCGAAAATGTAGCGATTTCGACTGGGCACACAAATACTTTCGAGGGTTAGAAACAATGCATTCTGAATCTATTTTCAAAAAAACTGTGAAAAAAGTACATCTTATTTTCCAGATTTACTTATTTATTCGAAGTGCATGTCATTTTTAAGGTGCTACTGGCCACGAACCCCCGAAATCTTAATCGTCATAGAGTACAACTTGTCTCCTTATTGGGCTGGATAATGTTCTAAGTATTTAACAAATTATTTTTGCCGTCTCAAGACTATACAGCTTTAAGAATAGATAAGTTAATCAGAAGAGGAATGAACTACACTACGAAAGTACGAACATTAATTTAATCAAACATCCGACACAAGATTACTGATGTGGTGACTATCCACATCTTTAACTCGTAACATTGAGTCAATCCAGTTTCGAAAATACGAGAAACGAATAAAAACTGAAGTGCGCCCGGAATGACAGTCTTCGCCTTGAGACCCCACTGCTGCAGGGCTAACTACACCTTCGATAACCCAGCGCCCTAAATCTCCGGATCGCGTGATCACGCATCCACCTCCGCCAATGTCACACGTCGACAGTCCTACAGCATTTAACCGATATTTTCAAACTATGCATTTTAACTTGCATTATAGATAATTAGCCATTTACCTGGTTTTTCAACGTCGCAATACGGTCTGTTTCTCTGTACCATACTAAACCACCGTCTATGAATGGGTTGTTCTGGCTTACAAACTTTGACGCCGATTGACAACGATGCAGAACCAATTTTTGGGATGGAACTTTTTCTCCCTCCGGTCAAAGGGCTTCCCCAAATCAACTGCATGAAAATCAGTAGTTAATTAACATTACATATATATTTTTATAATACGCAAAAATAGACGTCATACCGATCCATACTCTCCTGCCTTCTCGTTAGCTTTAGGTAGACACTGATGGACAAAAACATGAATGTTTCATGCGGACAAATTATATTTCCAAATTTAGAATTGAATTTGAAAATACTTACCATCGGTCGAGTATGTTCTGTGATTTGAACTTCCTGTATACATTATAAACTCGCATTAGTACCTTAATTTATGCAGATTTCTTGAAATATTACATGCATCTTGATCACCTTATCTAACCACAAAAGAGCAATATCGCCCGTTGAGGTGGTGGTATTCCGATACGATGGATGGACATCAAAGTCCACAACGTGCCTCAACTGCACCTTTCTGAAATCATTCAGCTCAAAAATCCGGTGGAATTTACCAACCACGGCGACAACACTTTTGTCACTGGTGAGAATTTCCTCCTTCATCCAGCTCCTCGTTGCACAGTGAGCAGCTAATTAGAAAGCAAAATACATGTTCATAATTCTCATCAGGATGAGTTACGATAAGCAATGCCGTACCGGTGACAAGAGCCCGTGCACTATTTCCAATCATTGTTGCGTGGCAAAATAATTTATAATTTCTCGATCCCACAGGATTCTCATAAAACAGTCCTGCAGCCGCTGGACAACTATGTTTCCCGTTGATAAGGTCCTGCATATGACCCGCTTCCGTTCCGCAGTCCACCACACAGTGGAAATTACTCGGACTTAGTTCGCTCCATTTGGAGTTTGATTGGCAGAATATTTCTGCACTGTTTCTCAAAACACCTTCACCAAGTTTGTATAGTCTTTTGCATTTTAAAATGGCGAAGGTTTTATGTGGCACTAAAGCATTAGGATTTAGGCAATCCACTGGCTTCCCCGTACCAAATCTGGACGATCTATAGCTGTGACATGTGATAACTGTGCCGGCAACTGGTTTGAGTGGTGGGCAACCGAAGCTGGCACCGGTATTTGGCTTTATAGTGGTTTGAATTGCAGGAATTGAAGATGTTGCTGTTTCTTGGTACGTTACGCGAGGTTTCTTTGTGCTTGGAACTTGTGTCGTTGTTATTGTGAAAAACGTCGCAGTAGTAGATTTTGGAGCAGTGATCGTCGTTGTGGTGGGTTTTTTGGTGGTCGTCGTTGTCGTAGATTTTTGGGTGGTTGTTGTCGTCGTAGGTTTTTGGGTGGTCATTGTCGTCGTAGATTTTTGGGTGGTCGTTGTCGTCGTAGGTTTTTTGATGGTAGTCGTTGTTGTAGGTTTTTTGGTCGTCGTTGTCGTGGGCGATGTTCTAGTCGTCGTAGGAATAGTGGAAGTTACAAATTTTTGTGAAACACTCATCGACACAAAATCACGAACGTCATCCCCCACTTCAACTTCCGATTCTTCTGACAAACTTAATTCAAACATTTCAATTGTTCGGGCTACAAAGTCTAAAAATTTGTGAACGCGAGTAAACACAGCAACACTTTGGCAAGGAGCTCCGTTTGGATTTAAACGGCCAAAACTGACCACACCCAAAATATAGTATCGCTTTATGGGGGCATAAATGTTTCTCATGATGTATCCTCCTCCCGAATCGCCTCTGCAGACGCGTGCATTTTTTTCACCTAAAATAGAAACCTACATATGTAATCAGAACAATAGCAAAGTTTGGCCATGAGAGTTATTTAGAATACCGTTATTGCTTTCTATAAATCCTGAACAAAATTGATTAAAAGTTGGAATAGTGTCCAACGCGTCATAGCATTGTCTCGGGCTGAGGATGGGGAGCTCCGCGTACTTCAGTGATTCGGATACTTTTCCAAATTCATTTATTCCAAATCCAACCACCTAAAAAAATTCTATGTGTGAATCTGAACTATACAAAATATATGCACATTTTTTTGGTTTTAAGTACTTCTCCTGTATTTCCGGTTGACAAAATTAGTTGTATAATGTCCTGAAATTCTTTTGAATTTGCGTATGGAAAACACACGGGCAAAATGTAATCACTGAGCTCGACCTGCTCGCTCAGATGCATTAACGCCAAGTCTGACTCGTGCGTTGCAATATCAAACTCGGGAGCCAAACTTATGTTTTTCACCTGCAAGAAAAATTACTTGCTTTACGATTCGAAACAATTACATAAACACAGCAACAAGATCATACCGTGAAAACCATTGAATGGAAATCTTTCTCATTTTTCTCAAGAATGCTCGATTTTGCCCCAAGGACCACTTTAAACTGCTTGTTCGGAAGCAAGTTACCATCCTTGTCAGTGAGACAGTGAGCTAGAAATGTGTATTTGAGGTAATACTGATGATAAGCACATGATAAAGTATTACGCCAATACCTCCAGTAATTATGGATGAGGGTCGGCCAAGAAAAGGCGACGAAATTAATGTTCCACCACAAATATAAATAAAGTCATTCTCAGTTCCTTCCTGCAACCGGAAAATTGCTGCGTGCCATGGCCATCTATTTCTCTCGGCAGTCTTACCAAACACGATAAGTGGTTGTCTTATAGATTCCACCGTTGGTTGTCCGCATCCTGAAAAATTTTTGTAAGTTGGACTTTCAATCGGAATGATAACCATAATTGTCGGGTCACCATAATTGCAGTTAAATTCTGTAAATGCTCCAAGGCGTCTCCATTTTCCGTTGATGCAGGAAATCTCCCTTCTTCTCGCGTCACCACCGGCAGAAGTGAAAAACTTTGCGCAGTCATATTTCACAACGGTTCCAGAAGCAAAGTTTCCAGTGCACTTTGCAGGTGTGGTTGAGGCTGGGTAAACACAGGTTACAACAATCTGCAGATATTTATATCAATATGAAAGGTAATGATTATGCGAATAAAGTTAAAGTATGGAAAATATATTTGCTTTTACGTTATCTGGCCTTTTCGGTAAAGGTGGGCAATCTTGAGTAGATGTAATTTCAATCCAACTTAAAGCAATCCAAATAATCAAGAAACTTATTGTTTTCATGTTAATGAAATATTGTTAATTTCTATTTTAATTTGGTCTGTTTTAGGGAATTTACGGAATGCATGATTCTGCAGCTAGAAAAGAGCAACTGTGATCATTATAAATATCTATGTGCATACAACATATTGAATGAAATGATTACTACGTAAAATGCCAAACTGGCTGGTCTACATAGATCATGCCGAAATCTATGTACATATGTGTCTAGGAATTTTTTTTGTCAAACAATGAACGACTACGAACAACCATGCTACTTGGAACCAGTTCAACTTTTAGCAACTTCTTGGAACTGGACGCATCTGATTGCCTATGGTCAAAAAAGGCAGTGCTTCATCTTTGTTGACTTCATTGGGTGTGGTACTGCAGTGAAGATACATTTGATTATGGGGATAATCGCGACAATTTCCCAAGTGGAGAAATAGACTTAACTTCTTTTACAAAAAAAACTTCGCTATTCTGCTATGCGAAATTTGCCACGTATTTATGAGTAAGATGATTGTCTTGAGTACGCGTTATCTGATCATATCCATCCATACGTTAGTTCATCTTAATCTGCTTAGTTAAATATGCAAGCCGCTTCATTAATTTCAATCGTCCTTGATGTGTAAGATGCTGGCGAGTTCCTATTTACTAAATTGTATGATGTGGGATGTACATACTTTATGGAATGTAAATATGAGAAGATGTCAAAAACCGGTTGCCAATATACTACGAAGAATCATTGTTAAGACTACCATAAGGAAATATGTATGTAGGCGATTAGCACTAAAATTGCGCATGAATGAAATCGTTGAATGCAATGCTGAAAAAATTAAACTAAAATAATGCTTGACTTGTGCACATGTGACTCATTATTTATATTTAAATCTCTCATGTTAATTTCTCAACAACAGGTGCGGATCATCAAGTAAATAACATCTCAGCATGTCAAGGACGCTGCTGAATGCTGACCGTTCCGGGTTCCGGGACCGTTCCGGTGAAGAGTATCCATGTGCATACGCATCATTTCAACTGGTTATGATGGCAAATTTATTTCTAGAATTTCGGTAACCATGATAGATTTAAATTAAATGATAATATATATATTTTATTATGGAGAAATTTTAATTTTTTGTAAAGCAGTTTGATTTGGAATCAATAATTTCACAAAAATATCATTCAGGAAAATAATTAATTTTAATTAAGAATTAATTAAAAATATATTAAAGTATGTAAACTTACAATTTTGTTCTACATTATTTTTAAGCATCTAGTTAATTGAGTAAGACATTGAGCAAACAGAAGACAAAGTAGAATAAAATACACACATATTTACATTTCTGTGGTTTCATACTTGAAAATAAAAATGTAGCAATTTACAACTTAATTTGATTAGTTGTTCACAATATCGGTCGGTGCTCAATGTTCATTGGAATTTGTGTCGGACAACGTGTCTAAAATCCAATCTTTGAAATTTGAGACTTTTGTGAAAACAGAATAATGTCCAGGACTGCAGCCACCCTTCCAATTGGCCACCCCTCCACTAACGAGGCCACCCAGTACCCACTTATTCACTCTCGTCGAGTCCCTATAAAATATCCCAGAGCCTGAGTCCCCGTCGCCTATTAATTAGCAATTGAATAAATCACATTCTTATTTTTACACTCATTTTCATTTTTATTGTTTAAACTTACAAGCACCAGTCGAATTTCTGTATCCGGCACAGTAGTTCGTGGAGGGTCGAACCAATTGTCCAAAAGTGGGATGTGAATGCTGACAAGTTTTATATGGTACGAAAGGCAACCTTGCTTCTTGCATCTCTTCTGGAAAACTGCCATCCAAAAGTCTTCCCCACCCGATCAACTGACGGATTGCAAAAATTTCTTGAGGTAATTTTTGTACTTTTTACTAAGTAATTAATTATTAATTACCGATCCAAAATTGCGTTCGATTTCGACTCCATAAATTGGGAGACAGACGGGATGAACAGAATTTGTAATTTTAATTGGCTGTAAAAATGTTCACCACTTTCTTAGAAATGTTACGTACATAAGGAAAACTGCATACATATGTGGGAACGCACCTTGTTTAATATTGCAATGGCGATGTCACTGTCAAGGGTAAGGGGGTTAAAGTGTGGATAGAGGTGAATACTGCGGACTTCCCTAACTTGAGTTTCAGCCTCAATTTTATCGAAACTTCTAAGAAACTTTCCAAAATGTAGCTGGATTTGTGACTTTTGTCTTGTTCTAGACGTTCCGGGAATGGCGAGACAATGTCCGGCTAAATGGGGTACAAATTGTTCACCTTTGTCCGATTCAAATTCTTCGCTAATTAATGTTTATTACCTGTGGCTATTGCAGTTTGCGAAATTAGTGTTGCACCACAAACGAACTCAAACTGTCCAGAATGTGGTGGCGTTTCTACATAAATTGCACCCGCCCATGGCCATCGTCCTCGCGCACTTGTAAATCCTTCAGTTATGAAGCCTGCCTTGTCAGAACCTTCAGAACCATTCCCACAATCCAGTCGACAGCCGAATCCGGGAGGGAGAGGTGTCCATGATCCACCAGACCGACATTGAATTTTGGCTTCAGAACTTCCACCCGTAAATGTTTGAAAATGTGGTTTGCATCTAAAACAATGACCAACTTATATAATCGTATATAATCGATCTTTACAAATGTTGTTAATAAAATGTAGAATTAACAGACTCACGAATATCTTGCAACCGTGTTTGCTGGCGAATAATCCTTCAAACAGTCCACCATGCTGTCGCATTGAATTTCAAACCCTTGATCGCTTATTTTTATTGGGGGACAGCCCTTCTTGTTCATGAAAAATCCAATTTCCTCCTCAGTTACGGAGGAAACTTTTTCCACTTCCATTTCCGCTTCCAATTCCAAAATCTCCGTCACCCAGTCCATATGATGCTCAATTTTGGTAAAACCCATTTTAGAGTTGCAATCAGGACGTTTTAATACTCCATTTTGAATGCCAACTATTGAATAAATTGGGTTCAACTGATTTTCAATTGCATAAAATCCTCGGCCAGATGTTGAACAAAACTTTGGAGTTTGATGAACTTTGGCCCCCACCTCTGAAATGAATGAGTAGTTCATTTGTGCATCAAAACGTCAACCTTTAACTGATTGATAAAGCTCACCAGCGCAAAATTGAGATCGATCTGCAGTACGAGAAATTTCTGAGAAGCATTCTTCAACACTCCCACCGAGCACAGTCATTCTTAAATTCCCAGACTGAAATACATGTCAAACATCCGAAGAATTGATGAATATTTGTGTTCAAACATTATGAAATTTATTATTTAAAAAATCCTTACAAGCCCCATTGTCCCACTGACCAAAGTGACCCCACCGTACTCGTCCTCGGAAGGAAGGCACTCCGGAAGTGCAGTTGAGCCTAGTTGAATGGGTCGTTGGAGTAGGAGAATGGCCAAATTGGTAGCTTCACTATCCGGTGTTTTTATCGCTTTCACCTAAAAGAAAACTCGATTTTGAGCTAGACATGCCTAGAAAAGGATGTAAAAAGCAGTCAGCAATAATAACTTACAGCATACTCCTGATCATCAATGGTAACTCTGACACGGTTTGGAAAGTTGGTAGAAATGCATTCTCTTGAGGTAAGAATTGCAGATACGTTTCCTCTCAGAGAAGGGATTAATGTCCCCTGACAATTCCAAGGACCACTTTGTATGGATACTTCCCAAGGGAGTCTTAATTGTGAGGATGACTGGGCAGGTCTGCTGGCCAAATTGGATTTGGATATTTTTCCGCATTCTAACAAAAAATTCATACATATGCCATTGCACCGCAAATTTGTGGTCATTCATATGTACAACTAACTAACCTGGAAGACATGCAAAACTCTGGAAATACTGAAATCCCAACCATTTTCCATTGATGCAGCTTATTTCTCTTTTGGAGCTGAATGATAAATCCTGATTGGATTTAAAAAATGGGGCACAATCAAAGGCCACCACTGTCCCGTGACCCAAGGGACGACTTTCGCCACAATCGAATGATGCCCCTCCACTCTCGCTGTGGCATTTTATCACGACGTTCTACAGGAAATGGGTCAATGTAAAACGACATTTATCACATTGTAACTATGTATTTGTGCTAGACCTTTGTACTTTTATTCGGAAGTGGAGGACATTCACGACCCCCGAAAACTGAACTTGATAAATACAACAAATATAATAATAAATATAATGCGATCACGCTGGCACTCCGAAATTGACACATCACTAAATCACTGTTACTATCTTACTCCACACATATATGAGTTCAAATAATATTTACTTTGCTGTTGATTGTGTGAAATTGTTTTTTGGCGGAACTGCTCCAATTTATCCGTGACATTTAGAGCACACGAAATGCAATACATTTACATATATTTTGTCTGCTACGTAAATTGCGACAACTGTCGGTTCATTTATGTTGCAACAATTATTGTACTGTTGTCGAGTATTTTATGAATATGTATTGTGCGTAAATCGGTCGTGTGGGAACCACTGGAGTTTGCGTCGATAGAAATGTAACCACGTAATTTTGCAATGCCAATATGGTTTATACATAGTTTCATGATGTCAGTGGAAATTTGTGCAAATTTGCAACTGGTCTTTCATATTAATCAGCTGCTGAACGACTTCCAAGTAATCCATTTTGGAACCGGTTTTGATATTAATGTAGTCGCCAAATTGACTAACCAAAGTTACACAAAAGTGCAGAATGCTGTAAATTAGATTGACGCTACAAGATAGAGAAACGAGCATGTCATACGTCGGTTACTTACTTGCAGTGTAAAATACAATGACGGCGTACAAATCCAGAACATGTAAATGTGATGCAAAAGAAAACAGTGAAATCATTGAAGAACGCACGCACGTTTAGCATAATCATTAATAAATTTATTTCACATTCAATATGGATTTAAATATTGATATGCAGTTCCTTCCTTTTGTATCAAGGACAAAAATGAATGTACATACCCCATCTTCATTCAAATAGTGCTAATGGGCCACTCTTATAATTCATTTATTCATATAAGTAAGAATCTTGAACTTAAATCTTGTTCTTTGTTGTTCATTAATTTAAGTACACTCTCAATCTACAAAAAGACAACTTCATCAGAAGATTCAAGTGTAGCGTTACCTGTTAGAATAGATATTATGCTTTATACACTTGAATACGCGACAGTAAAAATAAAACATGAAATGGAACCAGTGCTACAGTGAGTGGTCACTCATCCGTATACATATGTATGCCCATGTTTATCTACAAATATGCTTAAATACATTCGCATACATATGTACTTACATATATACGCATGGCGTTCGGCGTTCTTGTATTTGAGTGTTGTGGGGTGTGAAACTGTAACCATGATCTTAAAACGAGGAAGTGTTTAAAGCATCATAAGTACATAATTTGCATGAGGGATAATCATTCAATAATTTGCGAAGTAGTTTAGTTGTTTTGTTATATGCTGTAATATTTATATCAGTGTACAACTGTACATACATACATATGTATGTACGCTTTGTAGACATATGTAATACGTAATAATAATGAAAACTAAAGTAGGTAGCCTTATATAGTAGCATAGCAATTACATACATAAATCGTTGGAAAGAACCAATTTTCTTATTGTTGTGTATTATGTGACTTCCCTGTAGAGAATTGTAGCAGTATTATAAAATAGGTGACGGCAGTACTGAAAATCTGATAGACCACAAAAAATTTTACGTTGTACATATTTCTAATTGCTCATATGCACAGTTATCTGAAAAATCTGGAAATCAGTGGTAACGGACTCACCGTAACAATGAATCCAAAAGATATTCGAAAATCTGAGGCCTTCAGGCCCAAAGGGTTCTGCTGCATGTTTGCCATCATTAAGTGCAATTTTTTATTTTCACAATAGCCACGATCTTGCTTCTTACGAAATATAAAGTCATGTACACTGTCCAACTGTAAATCATAAGTATTATCATATCACTAGTAATACGAAAATATTGTAAAAGTTACGCGATATGAAGCCAGGGCAGCAAATCGAAGGAAGGTGAGGAACACTGTAAATATGACTGCAGAATAAATTCGATCCAACGCTCCTAGTTTTGGATTAAATATAGTGGCAAGCGTTTGACTAAAGAACGTGAGGACGTTGATAATCCAGAATTGCATGAGATGTTTCACAACACCATTTATGTCCGAGATCAGTTGGTACACTTGGTCGTACATTTTGATAAACTGAAATAAAATTCCGGCAAATTTTTCTTGTTTGTAATGCAAGTAACTTCAGTAATTTTGTTATTTTACCATTTCACAATCCATGGAATCGTTATTGTCAAGGTAGTCGCACATCTCGTCTCCGATCATTTTAATGATGTAACACGTTAGCATTGGGAGATGAATCGTGGATATGAATCGGAATAAATTATCGTAGAAAGACAGGAAAATGATAAGAACTGGGCTTATTCCCATGTTGACAACATCTCGAAAGATCGGGACGTCAGAGACAATGTTACGTAGAAATATGACTGGCTCATGAGAAAACTGCCACTGTTTAACGATATTAAAGTCATTCTTGACAAGTCCAGAGAGTTGACCTCCAATTGTTACCAGAATAAAAATGAGAAAAAGGACAAATAATTTGGAGTACGTCTGTAAAATTGGAAAGCAAAGGGGCAGTTTATATTCTTTTTTTGAAATGGTTTTTGACAAAAGTATTAATCATTTATTACCGCAATACTGTGGCCTGAATGTGAGGCTGCTTTAAAACACGACCGGTACAAATAATCCAGTCCCATCTTACGAGTCCAAGATATGTACAAGAACGTCAAAATAGTAAATTTGGGTGCAGTTTCAGTAACAATTTCATATAAAGCGAGTGGGTTCTCAGTGATGTTTTCAACCTTCAAAAGTTTCCTGAAGTTTGAAGAGATAAGATTGTAAGTCATGTATGCGTGAAGGATAAAGCAGCAGACCTGCAAAATCATGAATATCCTGAAATAAATGTAATAATGCTATGTTATGTATTATGTACATGATTTTGTACCTTTTGTAGTTTGTTCGACTTGATAGACACGCTTCCTCCGACAACAACTGCACATGATGGAGTAATTAATGTATAATAGCAAAATTGGGAAAATGCTTTATAAAACAAGAATGCGGAGGATTGAAATGGCAGTAATTTTGGTGGATGAAGGAATATCTGTTTGTTGAATGGAAACGAGTCCCCAATTTTTTGGACCATTATCCCCATAATTTTTATGATAAGACTTAATTAATTAAACCAGGTCAGGTTTATTAAATAATGTGTCACAAACTATCTATCTGAAATGTTCAAATGGAAAACTTACGTGCACCCAAATTATGAATGTACAAACGTATTTTGGGCGAAAAACCAATTTGTTAAGTAATTTGCCTAAGTCAACATAAACGGCCACTTAATTTAGCGACAATGCAGAGTAGAGCAATTCATCGACTCATAGCAAACAATTTTTAATATACATAGAAATTTGAACAAACTATAAGCATAAACTCATTGAAGGTAACAATATTATGTAATACCAATATATTGGTATATTAATATACCAATACCTGATTATGAGATGATAAATTCAGTAAGTAAACATGTAATAACGTAAATTGAACTGAAATTGAAACATTTTACCCTTTGATTTAAGAATTTATTTAATATTTGCTGTGAAAATTACAAAACTGTGTATGCAAATTAATAAGATTACACATGCGTCTAATTCATTCATGATTATATTTACCTGTTTACTCATCGATATTAATTACGTTTACAGATGGAAATGAAAATCCATTGATATTTTAATGGATCATACATACAAATATAGTCTCCAATTTACTTTACAAGTTTCATGTGATTTTTGAACTGCATGCAGCATGCAACTGCTGCATCATGCTGCAGTTTGATGCGACAACAGTCCTCGTGTTGTGGGGCACCACGTTTTTGGTGGTACTCACGTAATTCACGTAAGTTTCATCGAAATTCAGCAGAGAAATAGAGAAAATGTTACCCGGAGTCGACAATTTTCTGCCGTCTCAAATAAAATAAAATCCCCATCTATCTTGGAACACACAGTTTCTATAGGCTCACTGTATTGTACGCATAACTACATTTTGGTACCTGCTAGTATTTCCAAGACCCAATACTTGTTTAAGACTATCAATATAATGGTAAAATTCTGCACCCCGCACAAAATTTTGCATCATTTTTTTAAGTATGAACATTTTTTACATAGGTTTACATGCACGGTTGACGGTTTCTTCACAGGATCGTACTTTTGACTTTTGTGTACAATTTTTACTACGTATATTTTACGTTGGGTGCTAGATAAGTACATAAAAAAAACTCCACATTTGAGAAGTCTAGGCAAATGAACATGTTTTACCCATGACTATTTTGGCCGATTCTCAATTGTATTCACGTGTCCAAAATAATACGTGCCTTAAGTTGCACCACTATAGTGGTGCACTATCTATTTCTACGAATATATTCCATTTTCCTGTTTTTTGTCTATAGTTGTACCATATGTACAACAAAAAATGCTTCCAGGCAAATGCAAGTGAAAGGGAGAGAGAATTAATGCAATTGATGGAGCATAGTGTAGATTGTTAATCTGCATTATAATTAGATAATTAGAATATTAGCCCGTAAAAACACAATGCTTTACTCGAAAAAATTATAAAAATTAACGCTATACTTTTGAAAATGATATATATTTTGAAACTGAAGTTTTGATTTATTTATACGAAACAGTGTCGAATAAACATTACATGAAATGTGTACAAATAGATACTTCTGGCTGAGTTATATAATTATTAGGAATATCCTGTGGAATTTCTACAGAACTACCATCTAAAATGTTGCAAAACCCGTTTCCGTTTGGAACCCATGATTTTGATTCTGGTGAATCACTTGGGAATGATGCTGACTCTCTTCGTGTTTCTTCAACCCACCCGCGGAAGAAAATGATTTCCCACAAGTCGGACACAAATGGGGTTTGGCTGTCCCGACATTATGAACATTTTGAATATGGATCCGTAAATTGAAAATATTTCTCAACTGTTTCCCGCAAATTTCACAGGTTCTGACCATGGCGTCTGAATGTTGAAATTTGACGTGTTTACGCAGCGCAACTTTCGTCTTGTATGCGCCCCCACAGATATCGCACATCCAGGCTCGCTCCTCCGAATGTCTCGCCATGTGAGTGGCCAAGTCACAACTTCGCTTAAACTTGGCGACGCAGATGTCACAGGTGAATGGAAACTCGGTCTGGGGGACGTGGTCGAAGCGATGTGTAGCCAGGCTAGCCGGGTACGCGAAGGACCTTTCAGGTAATATATATTTAGTTATTTAGTATCTAATTAATGATTAATTTATCATTAAATATACGAGTATTATTAATTATTATATTATATTGACCTTCCACATCCGGGCACCTTGCACACGTAGAGTTGTTGTCCCCCATCCGCAGAATGGAATCGGACCGTGTGTAACTGTAATGAACTGCTCGAGGAGAATAGTTTGGCGCACGTCTCACACTTGAATCGTTTTTCTTGCTCATGAACGCATCTTATATGAGTCACAAGGTTTGACGAGGTCGTAGCCATTTTCGAACACCCTTCGGTGGGACACTTGAAAAATTTGGTGCCTCCAATAATCTCAATTTCGAACTTTGAGGGTTTAGAAGCACGATTTCTTTTTCGGGGGTTTTTATTGACGGGTTTTTTCCTTGACTTCTCTTCTTCTTCCTCGTCCTGCTTGAGGTCAACGTCTTGGTCTTGATCTCCCCTTTTGAAATTGCAGGAGCTGGAACTTTCTTCCGAGTCGTCAGTTCGTTGTGATTTTATAGGGCAAAATTTTTGCTCTTGACTCAAAGCTTGATCAACTTCAGCATCTACATTTTTTGCGGGTGTACGAGAACCTGTCCCCTTGTTATTAATCGTTCGAGAAGGACTTGAAGCTTTCCGAGGCCGGCCTACTTTCCCTTTCAGACGGGATGAAGGTGACGAATTAATTTGTCGGGGACGGCCCCTCTTTTTCTTCAACTTGGCTACATCATCCGGAATTATTATAAAATTATTCATCGGGTCACGTCGATCCAAATATGAGGTATCAAAATTATCGTATTCGTTCTCCCAATCGTCCTGGCGTTCGTTTTCAAGTTTTACGTGTACGGCATCAGCATCTATTAAGAAAGATCCAGGATCCCTAGAATTTTCGCGTACCTGGAAAACATAAGTTACATTATGATAAGTCCATCCGGTTTTTAATATAAAATTATAAATTTTTCTATCAAAGACTGTGTACTTTTCTCTTTTTGCATTGGATCCGATTTACAGTAGTATTATTGGCAAAATATTTCCCATAAAGTAGTGACTCCTTCTTCGTTAACTTCACAAAATTTTGATAGTGTTTATACAATTTGGTTAAAATTATTGAACAAGTGCTGCACAAAGTCCAAGAATCCCCTTCGTCATCGTATTTTACTTGGTCACCAAATGGAGAGACTGAAGAGAATATTGTTGCAATTATTTTAGAAAATTTCACTTTCTCTTCACTATTGTTCAGCTGAATTTCAGTTCCAAATCCTTCAGCTTCTTCTGAATTACTCGAAGAATCTGTACAATTTGCACAAATTGGAACCGAAGCCATTTTTCAATTGAATTAAGTATTTGGCTAAAGACTAAAGTTTAGGATGCTGCGAGTTAATTTTTGAATATTTATTTCAGTTTCGTTCTTCCGTTAATTACTTTGGTTAATAGTTATGCTGTTTGTAAAAATTACAAACAATTGTTATTGTGAATTGTAGATGAAATATTGTGTATTGTTTTTACACTCATTTGTGATTTGTGTACTTTTTGCTTTGATGTAAACGAAACCGCACTTTTACGTAATCTCATTTTCCCTTTTGGTATATAAAGTTATGTATGCATTCATTATATTTCCGATGAATAAAATGGACACAACGCATGGTTTCTGAACCGAATTTATGAATTTATGAATGGTCAGTTTGTTTGTCCCAGTTATCACCTACTACAGATAATAATTCAGTTCGATGCCCGTTAATTTTAATTTTAATTCAGATCTCTTATTCTTTCTAGTGGGATCACATTCTTTGAGCGTCAATGTTTAAAGAAGGATGCTGAATTTATTTATGTTTTTGAGCAATTTTACAAGTTATCCAAATTTTGCATATCTTATCTTATCGGAATGATACTTTTAGGCCAATTTTTCACACAACTGGTAATAAGGAGTGTCGCATGATCGCGTCTCCCAACGACCGTGATAATTTCCCCCGTAATTAATGTAGACGCAATATTCTGGTATGGCAGACATGACCCACGTTTCTCCCACGCTGGAGATCGAACCTCCAGTAGAGTCCCATTTAAACTGGTCGATTGTCCTGGCTTCTCGCGCACCGATCCAATATACTACACGGATTCGGATCCAAATTAATGAACAGATTATTTTGTGCAATATTTATTTAGTTTATTTTATTACTTACTTCCTGTTAGGGCAAGGTTAGGAGGATTGAATTTATATTTCAGTAGTGCCAGTTGACTTTGTGTGTCTATGGTTGCTATTTGCATTCCGGCTGCCTTACAATTGGACCTAGCTTGGTACCAAGTCTGATTAAAAACGAAAAAAATTGTCACTCTACGGTTATAAAAAATTATTCACAAAATTATGTATGTCGTACTTACAGCGGCCTGTGTTCTGTCGTAGAAATACTCCTTCCCGTCAACCGATCCAAAACTAGTAAAATTGTTGATAGGCTCTTCGAATTGACGTCCTATTGGTACATGCAAAATATAGTTTTCCTCAAACTTTTATGTAACCGTAATATTTCAGCCGTAATTGATTTTCTTACCATGTCCTTTCAACGGTGTTGAAGACACGGCAAGAATGCAGAATTGGACGATCAGATACGCACAAATATTTGTGAAAATCATTTTGCCGTAATCGATCAGTTATGTATTAATAGTTTCCTGTGGTTGTGGGTGAGAACAAAAACTAATGTAATGTAATAAACCTGATTGAATTTGCCTTAAATACCGAAATGCTGTAACGAGATTTGCATGATTAACTGAAAGGCGAGGAAGGATATTATCTTATCTTCTTCAACATTTTAGTGATGTACAAGAGTATCCTCTCAATTAATGTTCTGTTACCCATTGACGCAGCGAGGACGGTTAATTACAGAATATTGCAGTTGGTCGAGGTTGACAAATATTTATAAGTGCAGTGTCAAGTTGTGCAACTTTAGACTCTTATTTATAACATCGCTCAGAATTTGGTAACAATTATTAACATCAACAGATCGTAACGTAACACTTGACAAAGATTATATGTACATGATAATGACTTTTTGCAAGACGCATCTACTGACGCATATGTATGGACCACGTCAGATATGTAAAATGTACCGCATGACCCAGGAATGACCAAGCAGATACGTAAGGCGAACGCCACATATGTAACAATACAATTATCATTAATTTTTTTAAATCAAGTTTTATTCTAATTATGTCGAAAGATTGATTTATAAATTAATCATTAAAAAAAATTACAAAAAATGCAGTCAGAATGAGCAATCAAAAACTTGGCACAAATTTTCCTTGTAAATAAAAAATTTCAACACAAAGTTCTTATAAATAACGTTTTGAATTATATAAAAATGCTCACAACTTCAAATATTCTTGAATGTGGACAAAATTCCAAGGAATAGTGAAGTCTTGGGTAACAACAATTAGAACCTCTGACGATTCAGTAGGCGGTAGCTCTTCAACAATCACTGTTCCCTTTGAAAGATTGGATTTTCGCCGTTGCTTAACCACTTTTACATTATTAGAATCTGTAGCAGCAGCTGCCTCTCTCTTTCTCTGAGTTTCTAGCCTCTTTTCTACTAGAATTCGATAAGGATAATGTTTCGTCCATCGATCAGGACTACAATTGTGAATTGTCAAACTAGTACGGGTTTTGAATGTCTTTCCGCACTCGGAGCAAAGGAAGGCACGCTCTTCTCCATGAATTGCTCGATGATAATTTAGCTTGAACTGGTATTGCAATGTTTCCCACAAATATCACGGATAAAGTTTCCTGATGTGTTGTTGTGCACATATTTCACATGGTAATTGAGGCGACTGCTGTGTTAAATAATGTGTCGCATTCGCATGATAAGTAAAAGGTACACACATAAATAACTTAACGAATAAGGAATATGCTTACAACTGTGCAAATGCTGTTCCACATTGCTTTCTCCATGCTAACTTGAGTCGCGAGTCGATCCTTGTTGGGAAATACTTTGCAACAATTTGCAACCAGACATGGGTGCATAATTGTTTGTAAAGGTTCTAAAGGAATGTATTTGTGATACTTGACCCGATGGGGTGCGAGAATATTCGCATCAGAAAAGATGAAGTGACATGTGGACACTTAAATTCTTCTTGACGAGGATGCTGTTCAGCAATGTGAATGGTCAATTGCGTTTCACCACGGTACTTGTACTTGCATCTATAATAATTATTTTATAAAAGGTGTTGATTTAATTGTTCATATTTACAATTTAACAAAATTATAACTAACCAAATTCGAGGACAGACTTCCAACCGCCCAAACTCCATTGTACTAGCATGATTCTCAGATTTTAAATGATTCTGCAGCACCATCAATGATATAAATCGTAATCGACATGGTTTGCACATGAAGGGCCACTTTCTAAATATTTCCTCATCAGTTTCTGGCGTCTCGGGAGTTTTAGATATGATATCCTTCTGTGGGAGCCTAGCGTCGGGATGTTTCTCAAAAACGTGAGCCTCCCATCGACTTAAAGAATTAAATTCTTTAAGTCGACGGGTATTTAATCACCACAATAGTCACAACATTTGTTTTCAAATTTAAAGGAGTTTTAACCATTGTGGGATATATTATGTAAACGTAATTAAGTAGTGATTAAGAGTATGGTAATTAGTAACTCAAACTTGTATCAGAGGCTCACAGTGCTGCAATTGTATCTACGATTTCTATGCTCTTATATAAGCAATTGACTAATACTAGTAATTACGCATTACCGGTGGATATTTTATCTATTCAAAACTTACTTTCATTTTTGAAAAAGTTGTGATAAATATAGTCATTAAATGCCCATCATCACCTCCAAGCGCAAACGGCAGCGAATTGGCGTCATGAGCGGCCTGGAGGGGGAGGGATTCAGATCTTTAAATATCCTTATATATCTTTGAATAGTCAAATCCCATGGTTATGTAGATTGTCCTTTGGAATCATAAAATTCGAACCAATCAATTCGGAACCATTAAATGTCATAACATTTTTCCCATATATGTAGGTATAGTAAATATGCATGTACAGTCAATGGAACAAGTATTGGCAACACCCACACAAGCTAAATAAAATTGGCTATAACTTTGGCATGCATTATCAAATTAGCATGAAAATTTGTACGCATTTAGCAAATCTAATGTAGTTTTCGATTATAATCATGTTTTACTGATTAAAATTAGATTAACGCAGTTTTTCAATAATTTGCTGGAAAATTTGTGAAATTAACCCACAAAAAGTATTGGCACCCTCTAACTTAAAAAATCATAGAGCAACGAAACGCCAATTTTACTGCGACAAAGTGCTTCTAGTATTACGTGGCACCTCCCCTCGACACAATAAGAGCAGAACTAGGCTGTGGAATTTATTCGACAAGTTCCTATATAACGTTTTTTTAAATGGCTGCCCACACTTCTTTTAAACTTTTGACAAGCTCGTTTTTCGACTAGTGGTTTCCCATCGGTCTCTCTTTTCTCAACCCGGACAATCAGAATCACATCAGGAGACTGTGCAGCCAACGAAAGAATCTTAACCTTTTCGGTCTCCGAAAACTTGCATCGTTAATTTGGCTACATGTTTGGGGTCACTGCATTTTTGGAATATGAAATTTTTTCCTAGGTCAGGTTTTTGTTAAATGATTTCAAATTATCGTTTGGAATGATTGACAACACCTTCCTGGTCATAATTTTATCGATAATGACCAGGTAAACACGCCGCCTCCTAGTCATTTAACCCCAAACCATAATCGATCCACCTATGTGTTAAACTGCCATACGAACGTTTTAGTATTTCTGAGTCTTTTATTGCATCCGCCAGACTTGAACCAATTAATGAGCTCCGAATAAGTAAAATATGCCTATGTCGGACCAGTATGCCCTTTTTCATTGATCGGAACTATATTTAGGGTGATATTTAGCCCATTCCGATTTATTGAGGTGGTTCGCTTTGGGGACTCTCGCGTCGGTCGGGCGTCTGGAGCCTGAAACCCCAAGGCATAATTTTTGATTGATCACCAGATTGTATGATATGTTGACCCTACAGTTGATACTCCAATTTAACATGGATTTGGAAGCTGAAATCTTCCGCTCTCTAGTGGTTCGTTGCTTGAGGCATCCTTAGGTTTTAGGCGTAGATGACTTTTTTCTTCCGCATCATGGAAAAGTAGAAACTGAGATTGTCATTTTATATTTCTTTGCTACGTATTCAAAAGTAAATATGGAAAAGTATGTTTTCTTATTGATTTTTCGATAGTAAAGCTTTTTTGTGCAAGAGACATGATTATTTCTCGCCGCGCCAAATACAGCTCGTTTGGTGTCGCCATTTTGGCTCCAGACAACACAACTGTAGACTTAAAATGTAGCTAACCTCATATTTTGTCACCTAATTAACTTACCGTAACGAAATGTGGAAGATGGTTAAGAAAATTGTTTCGAGTAATTAATTTGGCCACATGTTGCCAATACTTTTTGCAGGTTTGCATCTGACTCGTTGGGGTAAAAATCAGTATTGTGTTATGTTTACTAGATTTAAATCAGAAACATGATTATAATCGAACACTACATTAGATTTGCTAAATGCGTACAAATTTTCATGCTAATTTGATAATGCATGCCAAAGTTATAGCCAATTTTATTTAGCTTGTGTGGGTGTTGCCAATACTTGTTCCATTGACTGTACGTATATAAATATTTTCAATCTTCTAGTAATGCCCGCATAATTTGATTTTCCCGTATAATTACACACTAACGGGAGTTACAAGATCAAATTCCATTCGATCACACCATCCATCATGCAGCTGTCATCTAAATGTCGTTATTTAAAACCTGTGCGTCACTCCTCACTCCTATGTATTTAGGCTTGACAATGCCTTTATTATTTGTCAATCAAAGCACAAATTTTATCAATCACGCAATGCCCGTCAAATTCTAAATTTGCAACTTTTATCTCAGCAATAATCCCCCCCAGGGACGTCATGTGGCATACCATCTTCACCTGGTAATATTTAGCATATGAATGTATTTATTAAATTTAATAACCGGTTACCATTTCAATGTTGTGTAACCGAATAAATTCTTGTTATGATAAAACTGACACGTTTAAGATTAGTTAATATTATGTAAATACGTATACGTATTTAATGGAATGCAAGGAAATTGGTATAAATTGAAATGATCCGCTATGCTTAGTCACATTATCTCCCAGTTTTCTCGCTATTCTGAGACAATTAATTTTGTAACCCCACAAAATGAAGTTTATTGATGGCATTGCAGTTTTCTGCATCATCTGCGGAATAGCTGACGCAAAATGTATCATTTCCAAAGAAAACGACAAAGTCGCACCTTGGCCATCTAAAGTTGGTAAGTAGAAAATATCTTGCTACACTATTTTGCGTGCCATATTTGCAATTTGCAAACGTTAAGTTCTTAATGTCTTATTTAGTTTGGATTGGCGACTCTCTCACCGCGTACTGGATGAACACCGGTCGAGCAGTCTGGGATCGTCACTATGCGGCCTTAGAATCCGTCAATACTGGAATATCCGGGGCCCCATCGACCCTCAACATCCAACAAGTTGAGCGAGACGGAATTCTGGATGGCCTCAACTCCTCCGTCGTTGTGATCATGACTGGAGGCAACGACTTGAAACAGCTCCACTTACCGGGAACCATCATTGCAAACGTGACGACGTTAGTCGGTCTCGTTAAGGAGAAACTACCCGCCGCCAACGTCCTGCTCCTCGGTCTCCTCCCAGCTGATCTACCCGACCTGGTCATCGAAATTGGGAAAGTGATCAATGCCGGATACGCAAGATTGGACAATGGCAATGATATACGATTTTTGGATATGACGAGACAGTTTGCAGATGCGAATGACAGACCTTTGCCAGAACTTTACACCAGCGACGGAGTACATCTGTCATCCTTGGGATATGACAGATGGCAGGCGACTATGAACCCATTATTTCAAGAGCTGCTTGGCTAAAAATTTTGCTACGTTGACAGCCTTAAGAACTAACTAATCATATCTAAAATGTTTTAAATAATTTGAACAACACTTATCGACCAAAGCAATGATTATTCGTCTAGAAGCTATTTACATAAATTTTCACTCATTATTTTTCAACTAATTTATTTCACTGCGTCTGATAAAATTTAACACTTATGGATCAGGAAAGGTGACCATCAAATTCCACGTGTTATCCAGTACCCTGGCATAAAAACTTTTGACAAAGGGCTTTTCAATACGAAACAGTCTATAACCCGGTAACCCGCAATCCATTCCGAGGACACGCATCGATTCCACAATTTTTTTCCCGACTGATTTGTCTCGTGTGAAGCGGCACATTCTCGTCCTCATAAGACTCACCTCCGACAATGCGTGTATCTTGATAAAGGCAGGCAGGAGAAAATATGCCAAACAGAACATCAGGCCGCATAAGTACGGTGCCATGATCCAAACCATTTGCGGCATCTTTCCCCATAGTTTAATCGTGACATAATTGAAGCCCACAATCACGACAAAGGTCGTCGTCAACAGGAGGGAGATCCAAACCATGACAAAGTCCCGCCCGATCTTTTGCACTACTTCAAGTTCCCGATACGTCCGTACAATTATGTTAAATTGGGTCCTCGTCTTTGTAGGCAACGACGCCATTAAGGTAACAATTCGGACAAAGGTGAAAGCAATCGTTGCCGTAAAAGTTATGAAGATGGCCAGCATTTGACAAGTTTTGAGCACCATAATGCCGAAAAGGATGTGACTAATGACTCGTAAAGTCCAGACTATGAATTGATTCTGTGGGAAGAATGACCCTCTGATGATTTCTTCAACCAGGAAACCATATGGGCAGACGGGGATAAAGATGCCAGAGAAAGCTGATAGTATCGAAAAGAGAGGCATGCTCCAAAATTGGTATCGCATTAGGCGAATGACTCGATCATATCGTGACAACGTCATGAGAACATTTTGCGTGGAATCTGTAATAAATAATATGCAAATAAGATAATGTGAAATATGAGCCGCATAAAAATTTCTCATACAATTTAATACGCGTTCCTCCAACTTGACCAGACTTTCCACCAAGCCAGTAGCGCCACCCACGTAATACGTGAGAAAGAAGGTGAAGCAGTATTGACTCGTGAACATGAAAAATATAATTGGAATGAAGATGCCCGTCCACGAGTCATTATTTCTGTAGAGGAATTGACGCAAGATGAAAATCCAGGTAACGATATTTGCCATCCCGCCCTGTACGACTAGGACATTGAACCAGTACAGCTTGCAGTTCCAGAAAGGATTGATGGTGAACTTTTTCTTCTTTGTGTCCCACGCTATCGGGGGTGTTTCAAAAAATTGGGTGTCGTAAACGGAGGAATACGCATCCAGAAATTGGACAGACAAGAGGGGAAAAGGGAAGAAGAAAGAATTTTTCCCCATCTTTAACAAAACAACAGTACAATTTATTTGAAAACTTGACGGAAAATAGAACAATGCTTAAAAACCACCAATACGAGTTTGGGGTATTCTTATAGACACAGTTACGTATCCTTAGTTTCAAACCTTTTAATACGAATGTAGAATATATTTAATGGATGATTATGCCAGTTAATTAGATATTTTTCGCCATATTAAGGAGAATGATACACATATTTAAGTGCCATAAAAGAGAAAGTACATTTACTTACTCTGGCTTGAGAGACTTGTAAATTTTGTCAATATATAAGAGTCTCAACTTTGGACTTCCCTACATGTTTGGGATCGTTTAATTCAACTTCATAATGGACAATTAAATGTATTTTCTCAATAAACATTTTAAAGGTAAAATCAAAATAAACTTTTATGGAGTTCATTTAATTAAAGACATCAGCTTAGCTTAATAACCCCATACGCATTGTAACCACGCAATTACTGCCATTAAGCACATACATACACCCACATATTACCTACATACATACGTTATTTATGCACATGCTCTGTAAATTATACCTCAGAGAAGCAATAAACTGATCAGTCGATCTACACAAAATTGCCAAATGACGAGTGATGTCAACCCATCAAAAAACTTACCATCTCCCATGCCGACCTTAAGAGAAGGACATGACCTTAAAAACTTTTTAAACCAAGGATCTCGCTTGTGCAGGCGTTTCATACTTTGGATAAACTTTACCGAAGTCACATAAGACTTACTCAAAGCTCGAAGAACGACATGAATAACTATAAAATAATCCACCCCCATGAGCACGAAGAACATTGCGGCATCAACGGTAAGGTGATTAGAGGAAATTATCATGACGTAAAGCGCAGATATTTCAGCAATTATGGTCAAACCCAACGTAAGCTGGAGACAAGGTTTGCTTAACACGTGGTTTGTAAGATTCTGTGCGACTTGGGCGACTCTGTAGTCCTTGACGGCACGAGCGGATTTTCGAATTTGCCTTAAAATTTCGAACAAAGAACTCACTAATAATTAATAACTTAAACTAGACTACATGCTTATACTACGACGACTTACATTTCGTTGCCATTTATCCACAGCTCAATCATAACGACTTGGTAAATAATGATCTCCGCCATCGTTGCTACGACAACGGCTGCCAGCACGTGCCACACCCACGCATAGCAGAACGCATTAAACAATCTCACCATAAAACTCGCAGTATTATCAGCCCAACCGTGTTTACACTGAAAAACAAATGAGCTGACGACGGATGGGGGTGCACAGGGTCGAAAATAACCAAACAATGACATCAAAATTATTACTGTGGACAAGGAAAACTTGGCTATGAGCATACTTCCCAGCATTTTGGGTTGAACGTAATTCGAAGCTCCTGTAGAAATCATATTTTCGTATACTAAATTTCTTTAGGTAGAATGTGTATGCTGAGGTATTTAAGCACTTGGATTCATGAATTACCTCTCTTAATGCAAGTTTCTTCCATCCATAACGAAGTTTCTAATAGGAATTGAAACTCGTACCTTCTTTGAAACAGGGTCACTTGGAGGCCAAATATGATCAAGTATGAAACCAGATAATAAATTGACATGATTGTTTGCCAAATTTCGAGATTGTGCCGAGGTGTGTGAATCCACCAGTAACAAAAATTGGCTGTGTAGAACAAAGTTATGGAGAAAGAAGCCCAATAGAAGCACCAGTCCAATTTTTTACTGATAATGTAGAAGTGGTTCTTCTTGTTTGAATCTTCTTTCATTGGGATCGCGTAGGATATGGTGCTTAGTTTTGTAATGTAAGTAATTTCAGGAATATAAGAAGCATGGGAAAGGGGATTTAATATATAGTTAAATTTCCCCATTTTTGAAGAAATGATTTTTTTCAAATGATAAAATAGTGAATAAAGTGCTTCAAAGCTTTTTACATTTGTAGAATCGATGTTAAGTCAAAATTTAGGTAGACTTTGATGTTACATGTACAATATCCGTTAAATTAAATACTTTAATTGCTTTGGTTAAGCAAGAGTTTGCAAACAATTTACGGAAATAATTGAATATTGTGAGGATTGTTTTCCTAAACAATTTTAGCCATAATTTCCTTTGGGTATAATTTAAATGTAGTTATCGTAGTCCTTTATGTTATCTCTCCTATTTATACAATACTATAATTGACGTGTTGTACATAATTCTTGACAATGATAGCTTTCTGTGGGTCTAATAAATAATCGTCTTATGCAACGCGGTAACAATTGTAATTAATCGTCATCCGAGACTATGTACCTACATAAAAGTATTTAACGGAGTTACGAGATCAAAGTTGCATACTAAATTGAGTTTTCAAGTGAAAATAATAATTGAAATTGAAAGTTGTTTTTGACCATCTTTAACACATTTTCACACTCACCCCATATTTAGTAACCAAGATTCCGAAGCGATTAACAGAATGTGAAGGCTACACATACATATGTACATATGCATCTAATTTATTGTCAACAACTTTGATATAGCTGTGTTTCATCAATTTGATGAATTATATTTAGAATGCAATTATCTAATTGCAAGGTTGGTAAGAAAATAGATGTGCATAGCATGAGATTGCTAATCTTTACTTCAAATTATTTGCCAGGGATCACAAAAATGTGGTTAACTTTACATTCACTAACTAAAATCCCAACTATAAGTACTTATTGTACATTCATAATAACAAATATTCGCTCTACTTGGTTTATGTTTGAAACTTGTCTTTCAGTATTTTTATTATTTTTTATGAATAGTATGCAGGTTAGAATGACTTCAATTACGTATGTAATGCATACGTAATTGAAGTAATTTTTGAGCATCGAGGATTGCGGGTTTGGATAATGACAGGAAATAAATATATATGCACATATTTACACACATATGTGACTATTGATTTGACTTAATCGTGCATGAAATTTCGTTACTCAAATAACGGGTATATGTAGTAAGTACGATGGTAACAATAATTAAAGTAATTAAAGGATTTGACCAATTAATTCAACATACTAGAATACGTAGGAGTGCACCATTATTGGCTGTATTTACTATATTTAGCATTACATTCCTACACAAATAAAAATGTTAGATTTCATTCACTATGTAATACCAGTTTTATCAATAATATGCGTTTGTTAAAAAAATATTTCTTTTAATGTACGTACTTAAGTTAAGTACCCATTTATTCTCATTTGTGATTTCTCCTGAGTCCCTTTAAATGAAAGAAATGGATCCGCAATACTCTTTTTGTATGCAGGACTGCATGAACGATGCGAACTATGAATTACTGCACGTGATGTTTCTATGGTTTTAGATCTACTGCTTCATAAACATGATCAGAAATGGTTAGGGGTAAGCTTGGAGAAAGTTGCACCCATTGAAAGTTGAACAGTTAGAATTACGACCCGATTCGACAACAAGTCTGCTTCTACTTGGCCCACATTCCTTCAAATGCAAGATGCAAGAAAGATTTTGATGAGACTGTAAAAATTGGACAATCCAATCAATTTTTCAGGGTTAACACAATGTACTTTCCTGCAGTCTATGTTAACCTTGAATGAAAGGTTCTCAACTTATCTAATACATATGAACGAACATATACAGCTGACCTCGATGTCAGGGTGGCCTATTTATATATTACATATATACACATACATATTCATAAATACATGTTACTTTATTTTTTTTAAATCTGTTCCACAGATTCACAAACTTATTTAGTTTGATAGAATGGAAAAAATGCATTCCTGCAACGACAATATTTGAATTTCATGTGACTGATTATGAAATGCGTATCAATCGATTAATTTCTGACCGCATTTGTTGATCGGCTCACTAATTTGAAATAATTACTTCTATGGATTAATGTTCTAAATGTACATAATAGTTCAAGGTCATCCTCATAATTTATCTTTATTTCTTGAATGAAAGAAGCAACACGATATGAATGCACTTCGAGGGGCTTCTTCTCGTTGTCAGTACGACGACCTTCAAAAGAGAAAAATAGACGATGATGACGCACCAATTTCTTTCCAGAAGACGCCATTTTTTCTTCCCTTTCACCAGCAATGAAAAGGAAGGATGAGCTGGGGATGCATCGGAGAAATCTACAGGTTGCGATTACTCAAAGGAGGAGAAAGTGAGATTTCCTTCGACAATATTGAGCTACTTAAGATTGCAATTATTCTAAAGAATTCTCGTAAATATGGTCATCATGTCGAAAGTGAAAGTGAAATTTTCTGAATTCAGCTTGGCTGCCATGGGAGTTTTAAGTCTCACCCTTAACTTGGCAACCTCGGTATTAATCTGGAGAAAGTCACTGACCAAAAAATTGATGTAGGTGAAAAAGTATCACAAACTTCTTGAATATTTAGATTCATTGAAATAATAATTTTCGTAAATTAATGGTGACAATTTGTAAAATGCAATTTAAATCTGCAGACAAGAGGACTACTTGATTCTGAACGCATCCTTGACAGCCGCCGTCGCATCGCTAATTGGGCTCGTGTACTTGTTTGACAATGGTTCTTTGCTCGTAGGAGAACTGACCTGTCCCATTGCAGCTTTGATCTGGAGTAATGGGATTTATGAAATTTTGCTAATGTTAATTTCATTTAGGGTTAAGTTTATGGGTTGATAAAGATTTGAGAAACTCATTTGGAGCAACACACTATGTTTAAGAAGAAAATCTTTAGTGAAGTATTTTAAAAATTTTTTTCCGATTAAAATGCAGTGGATGTCATCAATCTGATTCCAACCGCCGTGCTCGGACTGAATTACGAGCGGATGAGAGGTCATCTGAAGCCGGCGATGAAGCGGCTCAACCTCCCGTTGACGCTGACCGTCTCCTGGGTGATGGCGATTCTTGGCGCTGTGCCCAATTATTTCAGCGTCGTTTACAATGCAAAGAGGGAAATGTGCGTCAAGGCAAGTAAATATTTTAATTTTGACGACAAACTGTAAATTTAGTATGAGAATAATTTATACAGATAAATACACTTATTTTGAAACAGAAACTCCTGTTCGACATGAAATATGCAGGATTGGTGTATGAAATTATTAGATGTTGCATAGTCCACGTGGCTGTCAGCATTTACATGGCCTGTGGTAAATTCTTAATAATTTTTAGTAATAACTGCAATTACAGTCCATTCATAATCCATCACATGTGAAATAATAGACTTGTACCAAGTGAGGCCAATGCTCCCCTACATCTATAAGAGCAATGTACGTTGAAATTAATCCAATTAGTATTTTATAAATTTTTCATCCAAACTTATACACATCCAGAAATTTCTGAATAAATTGTTTCTTTTTTAGGCTGGGGTGAACATTCGGCTGAACCAATGTGTATCTCGGGTCCGCTTCCTCTACGCCAACTCTGTCGCGTTTATCGTGACCTGGATTCCCTTCGGAGTGATTATGACCGTGTATCCCAACATTGGCTCCCCTCAGGCGAACGGGGGCGTGGTTGACTACTCCGGAACGGACTTTGCAATTGGCGTCCTCTTTTTCGCCTATCTCATGGCCCTCCCCCTCACCATTTTTGGCACAAGCAAGGAACTTACCGGGAGAACCGTTTACCATCCGAGAGGCCCCCACGGGACGCCTCAACCAATCAGGATTGTCCGTTGGAGGGGTCGACACGGTCGTAGCGGTCCGATTGATAGTGGTGGCAGATTTGGAGGGGGCCGTCAAGGTGGTTCTGCGTATGGTCGGATTGGTCAAAATGATGGTCATATTCGGGGTGATCGGATTTATGGAGAGGTCGGTAGAAGTGTGCAGGAAAATGAGGGAAACATTCCGGACCTTGAGGAATTCGAAATGAGTGGCGTGGGGGTTGGTAAACGAGGATAGTTTATTATTCGTAAGGGGATGATCTGAAACAATTTGAAATTAGATCCCTTGATTTAATAGTACATACATATGTTTAACGTACATACATAAATATGTATATACTAGCGTATAGCCCGGCCAAGGCTGGGTTCTAGAGTTCCAGTGGGGGGTGTGCCCAAAGCGAAAAATCCGTCATACTATATTTTAAATAATTCCCAGTGGAGACTTTGTCATACTACATACATACATCAGACTGAGGGTTTGCCCAAGTCATACTGCATTTTAATTAACCTGGTCACAGTAAAATTTGATTCCCCCCTGTGGGAGTAGTTGAATAGCTAATTACTTAAATTCCCGTCGCGTGGGAGTAACTGCATAGCTAACTATTTAAATTCCCACGCTTCACGCTCCCGTTAAGTTCCATAAACCCCGTTAACTTCTACAATTAACGCCAAGCTATTGACGGATTCGGATTCAGCGTCAAAAATACATTCGAATTGATATGCGACATCACGAATAAGCCAGATTTGGACACCACGGTCACGGCGAGGTCACGGGGGCCTCGCAGGTCAAAACCATTGACGGCGTTGGATTCAGCGTCAAAAATACATTCGAATTGACATGCCACTCGCTGTGGGTAGAGTTTCTCAAACTAAAATAATTAATTAATAGTGTTTATCACGATCACTTATCATGATAACCACTATTGATGAGTGATGTATGTATGATGTATGTGGGGTGTACATGTTCATGTATTCATTTATTCATGCAGTGGTTGCTCCGCTTCCTTCTTTGTCTACTGTATGGGGCAATTTGCATTGCGAAGACGGACCCAGGGACCCAGGGATCATACTAACACTTTATTAGAGTAGATAAGTCTTTGTGCATACATAAGTGCATACAATTCGATTCACTAGGACAGTGGAATTGCATGGATATTGCTTTGCCTATCTAAACCTTACATATGTAAACAATAAAACAATTGCGTGGTGAATCCATAAACATATATTTAATGTAAATTTGTTATGTTTGATTTGCAGTTCTGCAAATCGGCATCTGTAGTATCAAGTCTTTTTATTTGGCTTATTTTATATGCTTCGAAGCTTTATTTCGAAGTATCTAAATGTAGGCAATTTCAAGCTATTTTTTTGTTTTTGCCGTAGTTGAACCAATTTATTTACTTTAAAAATTCGTTTTATATCTCGTAATTAATGCATACAAAGTTTACAGTTATAATCAATGTTTTCATTTAAAAGTAGTATATAATAGTTGTTTAGTACTAAAATTTTAAAAAAGCCTACCATTAAGCTAAATACATGCAACATATTAGTAAATGTGTATAATTTGTATCTTACAGTTAACAGTGGATATGATTATTTATTAAGTAAATTATTTTAGGATATGACTGAAAAATATTTTCAAAATTCTAAGAAAATAATTTTAGTGGCTATTTAGTAGCAACTAACAAGTGAAGTACATATACAATAACAGAAAACTCATAAAAATGTCATCACTGTCTAATTAAATATTATGTTCTCGGCACTACAGATTGAGTGTAACTTTTCATTATTAATAATTATATAATTTGATCATGGGCAATGGCTATTTCAGCTACTGAAGTATTTATATTCAAAAAATGCAAAACAAATTTGAAATATTTCAAGTCCGTACAAATATGTAACCTTCTGTAGTATGAATTATGTGCATATGTTGAAGATAAATTTGTTGAATGAGGGATAACTTGCGAGCTAAATTCATAGAGTTGGATTTAGTAATTTGGGGATTTATCATGCAACAAGCAGCGCATTCGCTTATCTGGATTAATCTATATATTGCGGCACATCAATTAAATTGGCGGTGTAAATACTTATTTCTTGGTATTCCAATGAATCAAATATCGACATTCCTGCTTATAAATTAAATAAATACCAGAAATCTGGGTACAAATGATTTACATATCGCCTATCATTATTTATGCATGTATGTAATGTATGAACATATTGTGCATTCAGTATAATCGTCTGCCTGCTTGATACATACATGTTTATTTCCGCGACTATTTACTACAGAATTCGACAAGAGTTGAGAATCAGCGACATTCAAATGTTTATTTAAATTGTATCTCCAAAAAAATCATTTTTTACTAGAAAATATGCTAGCGATCAAATTATTATGTACCAATATATTTATTAGTTCGATTTATTTTCACCTGATTTTCGACTAAGGTAATACATTGGTGGACAAAAGGATATGTATGTATGAGCCAGCGGAACCGGAATGCGATTTATCTATGTATATACATTTTCAACTATCTCCTGTGTTATGTAATGATGTAATGAAATCCCCATTTTTACTGGGATTTATTACTTAATCTTTGGCGACTTTGACCTGTTTTTGATCAGGATGTGGAACAAAAAATTCTCCAAATAAATGTTGGCCATTTGAAACCGAGCGTGCATGTATTTACATACATGTCTACTTATTATTAAGGATCCGAGTTGCTGATTTGACACATTTGCTTTTCATGTTTTATGGATTGTTACTGATTAAATGGGCAATATTAAGTAATTGTTATCTATTGCGAAATCATAAATTAAAATATTATAAAAGGAAGAGATATTAGCCAGTTCGCCATGCATTCATATTCTTGGTGCATGAAAAATAGTTGCTTGTGCAAATTAAATTAAGGACACAATAAAGTTTGAAATGCATAGTGTCAGGGTAAGTGATATTTTAATTTCTTTACTACGGCTACAATCCTAGCTTGAATATGTGAATCTCCAAGGTAATCTTCACATCCATGTTGATGATGGTATCGATACGAAATATCAATACGGCCACGTTGCCATATTCATGTCGCGAAGACGGATATTTCAGGATTTCTCCTGGAGAAGACCAGAGAACGTACTGCCCGAATACTAATCCTTTTTGTGACTACGTCCTTTGTTCATGGTATCCAGCCCACAGCACATTTATCCGTGTATTTTATCGATGTCCACAAGAAGAAAGTGGGGCCAACTTTGACTATGTTTTTAATGAAGTTTCCCAAAATTGTGAAACTACAGTTAACCCGGTTAGTAAAATTGTTGCATTCATTTTGTCCATGACTTTACCAAAAGGGGTGATGCAAGGATGATTTAAAAAAATTAAAAGTTTAGGAATTTGCATGCAATTTTGTGATGAACTGGGTTGTCAACCAAATTTTATAAATTGTAATATTCTGCACCAACGAACCCCCACCGGTCAACCACCCGACCGTTCTAATCAAACTTAGAACTGTATTCGAATACCAGGATAAAATTTATTTATTTACTTCTGATATGTATATCTGGTTGCCAACCACAGAGACAGAACCACAATACCAGAATTTCACTCATAATGGCAAGATGTAATCCTCCGACTTAAATTTTTATTAAAAGATTCATCCTTGCGCCACCTCTTTAGGAGAAACCAAGGACAACCAAAAAGTTTATGCATCCTGTTATTATACTCCACGAAATTAGGCATCGATCAAATATTTTTCTAATCTGAGGCCGGATAAACTTGAATTTATTATTTTTAGATTCCTGGAACAACTACGACAACCTCGGAAAATCCCATAGATTCATCTGACCCAACAACACCAAATACTTCAGTATCAACTACTGACGAGCTAAGTACCACAGATGTCTCAACTACTGAGGAGTCAAGTACTACAGAAGCATCTACTACTGAAGAGTCAAGTACCACAGAAGCATCAACTACTGAAGAGTCAAGTACCACAGAAGCATCAACTACTGAGGAGTCAAGTACCACAGAAGCATCAACTACTGAGGAGTCAAGTACCACAGAAGCATCAACTACTGAAGAGTCAAGTACCACAGAAGCATCAACTACTGAAGAGTCAAGTACCACAGAAGCATCAACTACTGAAGAGTCAAGTACCACAGAAGCATCTACTACTGAAGAGTCAAGTACTACAGAAGCATCAACTACTGAGGAGTCAAGTACCACAGAAGCATCAACTACTGAAGAGTCAAGTACCACAGAAGCATCAACTACTGAAGAGTCAAGTACTACAGAAGCATCAACTACTGAAGAGTCAAGTACTACAGAAGCATCAACTACTGAGGAGTCAAGTACCACAGAAGCATCAACTACTGAAGAGTCAAGTACCACAGAAGCATCAACTACTGAAGAGTCAAGTACTACAGAAGCATCAACTACTGAGGAGTCAAGTACCACAGAAGCATCAACTACTGAAGAGTCAAGTACTACAGAAGCATCAACTACTGAAGAGTCAAGTACCACAGAAGCATCAACTACTGAAGAGTCAAGTACCACAGAAGCATCTACTACTGAAGAGTCAAGTACTACAGAAGCATCAACTACTGAAGAGTCAAGTACCACAGAAGCATCAACTACTGAAGAGTCAAGTACCACAGAAGCATCTACTACTGAAGAGTCAAGTACTACAGAAGCATCAACTACTGAGGAGTCAAGTACCACAGAAGCATCAACTACTGAAGAGTCAAGTACCACAGAAGCATCAACTTCCACCGGGACAGCTATGTAATTACTCATTGATTTATTGATTCAAATATTTCAGTAAATGGAGAAATCATAAAAAATTGAAATTATTTTTATGAGTAAATACATAAACCTTGAAGCATCACAAAATGGATTCGAATAAGTAAATACACTCCTAAGTAAAATATTTTCACTTCATTTTTAGAGCATCACAAAATATATTGGTAATAATCGGAACAATAAATGCATAAATAGATCAACTAGGTGAGGAACTTATTGTACACACATATTGACGTATGTACAAATATAAGTCTAATTTAGCAAAAAAGAGTAAATGCACAATAATAATTACACCCGATAAAATACGGTTCTCTCGTTTTTTAAAAGAACGGTTTGTGAAGATCAGTACTCTATAGATTCTAGTGTTTCAGCTCTGGAGTTTGGAGCTACATAAGGTAACCATATTATTTTTATGGTTCAATGATTGTTTTGAGTTTTACTGCAAACCAGGTTCAGATTAGCGCATAGAGCTATATACATACATTTATATGTATTTTACATATGTATTGCAAGTATACGTTATAAGATTAGAGTGACAAATGTCGTATTCTCCCAGGAATAAGCCGGTTATGCAAGTTTTTGTCCAAGTCAGGGCTTATAGAACCGTCATGTCTGTTCATCCGCGACACGATAGAGCTAAAACGGCTGAACCGATTAATTTCAACATGGTAAGTAGTAATTATCACCCAATTCGTCGTCACAAACTTTATGAACATACATTGTATTGAAATATTTATTGGTGGTTTAATCATCCATGCAATATTTATAATCACATATTAATGTGTTACAGATATATGGGTAAACTTTTTTTTTTTAAACAAGGGCAAAATTAATTTTATTCCAATTTAAGTACATTTCACATCAAATTATTAAAATAAATATTAATTAATATGTTGAGGCGACGTCTTCTAAACAGGACTTAACTTTTTGGCCGTCAGGGGTAGGAACTAAGCCACTGCCTGTTATTCTCAATCTTCTGGCCTCTTAAGATATTATTACTCTATTAATGCATAATTTGTTTGCTTAAACTAATTTATTTATTTGGATTAGTCAGGCAAGAAAATATAAAAAGAAAGTTAGTTATTCAAAAGCCTAAATTTATGTTTATTTTATTATTATCAATTGAGTAAATTTTAAATTTCTCCCATTTCTTGTAAAACTTAGAAAGTATACTTTTATTTAAGTAACATGCATGGAATTCCATAAGTATACGTCCATAGACCATGTGACGATAACTGGAGATTAAATCATAATTACCAGAATAATTATTAAGTTTATGTATAAAACATTGATAGATAGCATAATAGGCATAAAAGATCAGAATGTTTGCACCTACATTCTTGGTGCCATGCCGAAACGCTTCATCGAAGGCTTGTGTGCAAATATTTACCTTTGTCAACAGATTGGCAACCACTTGCCTCAAATCTGTGACATATGAACATGATAAATAGTGTATGACTTTAGGGTGCACGGAAGCACAAAATGGGCAACAATGATTATCGTAAATGTGTAGTGATTGTGCAAGTGATGGAGTGAGTCCCACGTTATGCCAAATTTTGAAAACGGTATCTTTTTCGGGTTGGATATCGGCGTGGTCACTAAATGCTCCCACTGTGGAAGCGAGCAAAAATTATTATCTAGCTCTTCCCACTTGATACCTACGTGAGATCGTAAACAGTGGAGGTAGTTGGTCTCTTTGACTACACTGACTAGTATGGACTTGTCATATAATGAGAATAACGCGAGTTGAGTATTAGTGGACTCGGTAACCATGGCAACCACATTAACATGTTTCGCCCTCTCGGCTAATACATGTCTATGCGTTGCTCTTGGCAACGAGTCTAAATTTGTTAAAAATTGCTCTGCAAATAAATCTTTGATTTTAATTACCTTACATCGACTAATATAATTATTGCTGAGATCATGGAAAACTATTTTACTATGAATATGAATCTCATTAAGTATGTCCTTACTACAAGAGGTAAGCCTTAGTCCAAGCAGTTGGGTCATGGTCTGGATGTTAGTGAAAAACGGTGACAAATTCATATCACCATTTATAAATTTAGATGTCTGCAACTCTGACTCTGTTAAAAAATATGTATTATTATTTTGGGCCATGATTTTCTGAACAAATGTAAGTCTGAACGTGGCAATCTGCGCTGCTGGACTGCTCAGGCCAAGACCCCCATTTAAGATCGGCAGGTAGACGTATGGACGCGCTACCCACCTTTTGGATGTTGCCCATACATAATTTTCAATTTTCGAACAAATCAAGCCTAAAAAACTTTCAGGGGGATCTAATACCTTTATCACATACCAGAATATTGGGAGTAAAAAAGTGTTCACGATTTTAGCTCTGGAAAAATGACTATTGGGGCGCATTTCGTCGTATAAAATTCTAGTTTTGAGTCAAATTTAGTCATCATGGTCAAGAAATTTTGGGCCATATACCTCTCATGCCCAAAGTAGATTCCCAAAATTTTCAAACCGTCAGACACTACTGGGAATTCTACCGGGATTTGAAGATTATAAGCTCCCAAAATTAGAATATTGGACTTATTACTGTTCAGTTTTGAGGACGAGAATGCGGAAAACTTTGTATATTCGGATACGACAATCGAAATCTGATTTTGATTACCCAACAAAGCGTTGGTATCATCAGCGTAAGCCGAGAGGTAGATATTTGGGTGTCTGCGCCATGCGCTAGGACCTGAATCTCTCAACTTGTTGTCTAGATTGAACAAAAAAGGTTCGATCGCAAGACAGTATAGAGAAGATGCTATTGGGTCACCCTGTTTCAGACCTACACGGAAGGAAATAGGGGAAGTTAGGTCAGACCCAACAGAAATTACTAATGAAAACTCCGTGTGTAATAACCGAATATAATTAATAATTTTTTTTGGATAGCCAAAATTATGTAAGACTCGGTAGAGGTACTCATGGCTGACACGGTCGTAAGCAGCCTCTTGATCAAGACTAAAAAGTAGTCCTTCAAGTTCGCAGCTTTGAAAAGCATCTCGAATAAAAGACAAGTTGTCAAATATCGATCTACCCTTCACGCCACAAGTCTGCCATGGACCAATTACAGAGGGAAGCGTTGTATTTATTCTTGATTTTATAGCGCTTGATATAATTTTATAGTCAGAGTTTGTAAGTGATATTGTGCGATAATTCTTAAGATCTTTGGGGTCATTAGCTTTGAATATTAAAGTTGCAACCGAACTGCGACAAGATTTAGGAAATTTACCCTCTTCGCATGATAATTTTGCTACTAAGGACAAAATTTTGCTAAATTGGAGTGAAAATACTTTGTAGAATTCATAAGGTGGGCTACCTTATGAATTCTACAAAGTATCCAGTCCGGGGGCCTTATTATTGGGGGATTTCGTTATGGACTCTAAAATTTCATTTTCAGATAAATCATTATCAAGAAATTCTGGGAAATTAATTTTTGGCATTTGCGCCATGAATAGATCCAGACCAGATAAATTAATTAGGGGGGAGGAGAACTTTTCTCTGAAAAAATTCCAAACCAATTTCAATCTTTGATCAGATGGCAAGTCGCACAACGCTTCGCTCACTGTGATGCCATTATGCACGGTAGTGATTTTACGGTCAGGGAAATCGCTGCAGACTCCGTCGCCACGAATTGCAGCTTCCACATTATCAATAAATTTAGTAAAAATCTCAGATCTACTTACACTATTAACACGGATCAGTTTATTATAAGTGCATCTGATAACTTTCCTTAGTGACATTTTACAGTGTAAATCTGTCTCCATGGCAACCCGGGTAATTTTGCTTTTTAATAGTTCGTAATTTTCCAAAGAAAAATCGCACGATAAAAATTTTTCTAAAATTGACTCAATCGTATAAACAAAATCAGAATTATTAAAAATAGATGTAGGACATGTCCATAAACATTTATTCCTATTATTATTGGTTGCTATGGTTACTGAGAAAATCATATGATCGCTCATGAACGGAATAATTTCCTGACCAATTAAATTGGGCAATTGACAGTTTTGAATGTATATTCTATCTAACCTAGCTGAAGTACCGTTCATCCGACAAACAAAGGTAACATCTTTTCCCTGTGGGCGCAGGTGACGATATGTATCAAAAAAGCCGTTCGACTGGATAAAATTTTGGAATTGCTTTGCAAGGCCCTTTCTATTTTCTATGTTGCCAAATCTGTCCCTATTGGAGTCTACAACAAAGTTCCAGTCGCCAAGCATATAAATGCCATCACAACTGGGCGCAGCCGTGACGTCTCTCTTAATAAGCAATGCTTATTAAGCATGCATCATACAATTTTCGAATGTATACTTAAGGGATTATATACCTTTATATACATTATATACTTAATGTATAAGTATACATACATACCTTGATTGATTTGATTCTGATTTCATGGAAAGCATACATATGCATTCATTCAAGTTGCATGCAATGTTGAGCAAGTTGATGCATCAACTCAGGATCTGCAGCTGTTTGCTTGCTTGTTACATAACTTGCATTTAATTCTAAACTTCAAATTTTGAAGCACACGAAATATACTTAAATTATTTAAATAGCTCGAAGATATAAATGATATAGCTATATTATATTAATCACAAATAAGCATATAAGTTATTCAGTCATTGTGTATTAGTCCGGCAGAAATTTTTTAGGGGTTCAGCAACAGCACAATTTATCTTAAGTAATTATGACATCGATGTCTTGGGCTGAAGGGAAGCCAATTAAAGGTGTTCTGTTAGACATTTCGGGCGTTCTCCGAGATGGACATGAAGCAATTGCTGGGTCGGTTGATGCATTCCATAAGTAAGTTACTGGCGGCATAAATTATTGTCGCATAATAATGAATAACAAATGATATTTTTTCCTAAATAAATTTTTTCAGGTTGATGAAATCGGGGTTAGAGGTCCGCCTAGTAACAAACGAGTCGCAGGTTACACGCCAAGGAAGTTCGGATACGTTGCAAAGCTTAGGTTATCAAGGTGTCCTGTTAGAAAATATCTTTGCTCCTGCGCCTTTGCTAGCGAAGGAATTGCTAAAACATGGACATCGTCCCCATCTACTCGTTCATCCTAAAGTAAGCTACGCTATTTAAATATTTCCTGCTTGCCATTGCTGCATGAGGAAAGAGGGATCATGATTAATTGTAATGCATTGTCATCACCCAAGGTCAAACCAGAATTTGATGCAGTTATTGATCAAATTTCTCAAAGTGAAGGTGAAACTGACCCCACCTGTGTCGTAATTGCTGATGCGGCCGAATACTTTACCTATGAAAGTATGAACACTGCATTTCGTATTTTACTGTCCATGCAGCAAAAAGGATTGGACCCTAAACTGTTTACACTTGGGAGAGGGTGAGTCTTGCCCAATCAACTTTCACTTTAAATATTTACAAATATGTAACAATTGATAATTTATTGTGTAGTCGATACTACAAAGAAAACGGTCTCCTCTGGATGGATGTGGGACCATTTGTAACCGCATTGGAGTATGGGCTGGATATTAAGGCTGAGTTATTTGGAAAGCCGTCCCCTGTCTTTTTTCATACAGCGTTGTCATCCTTGTCGTCGGATGGTGAAATTTCAGCGGATGAAGTAAGTTCTCAACATTTTGTGAGTATAATTTCACTCGATTTATTAGTATGTAATTCAGATCAAATTAATTTCAGGTCGTCATGATTGGTGACGACATTATTGGCGATGTACAAGGAGCTATGGACGCTGGGATGCGAGGTGTGCTGGTTCGAACGGGAAAATTTAGACCAGAGGATGAAAATCATCCCACAATTAAGCCAAGTGGAATTGTGGATAATTTAGCGAGTGCTGTTGATATGATATTGCGTGGCTGTAATACTAATTAGTGGTAATTAGAATTAACTAGACAATCAAGTAATATGACAAAAATATGACGTGGTACACCTGCATGCATAAAGTCCACATACATGTACATACACATCGACATGATGAAGATCTGATTTCGCAAAGTATTTTTCCAAAAATATTAAATAAATTTAAATTGGAAAATTATACGGTAATAATTCGTTTTTTCGATAGTTTACTTTATTTTTTAATCCCTACGTCATTTATGATTCATTATTTAATTTCAAAGCCAATTCAAATTATTAATCTCAATTAATTCAAATATATCATAGGTAGCACTCAATACCTTACACATCAAATGATTTGCAAAAAAATGCTATTAAGTTTAACATTCAACTTACAAATTAAGTTTGAAGAAGAATGCATGGATTAAGATTACAAATTAAGACCTGCGACTTGATTGACAAAATCATTGCCCCAAGTCCCTACCAACTTATCTTTTGCATATGTAACAAACTGATTCGCCACGGATTTCGCATCCGTTACAAAGTTTTGTCTCGCAGGTTGCCAATTTCCTCCATCTCTGTTTCCTCCCTTGGCTCCGGTATCGCCATGTCTAGAACGTTCTGTTGAAGGGCTACTATTGATGTTCTTATAGCCACAAATTAACCCACCATCTGTATACATAAAAGCCGAAGTACCCACTCCACGTAGGCCTCCTTCACCACCGCTACCTCCGTTCCCATCTTCTCCATCGTTTCCTTGTCTTGCTTCTGTGGTAACGGGGAGTGCATTCCCACCGGCAGCATTAATGACTTGAACCTCCCCTTGAAAACCCCCACCTCCAGACTTGCCACCCGCACCACCATTTCCACCATTGGATCCAGGGTCACCATACTTGTAACACCAATACTCGTAACCAACTGCCCAGCCGTTTGTTACTTGGCTGCAATAATTGCGAAGTCCTCCTGCACCCCTCTGGCATGTTGGAAATTCCGCGTAATAATGATCACCCCCTTTGGTACCTTTGGTATGAAAAAAAGCTTATATTAGCTGATACTTGTTGATAATTTAATAAAGGATTTAGTTTAATTGGTACCTTCCGTCCCAGATCCCCCAGCCTGCCCCCCACTTCCACGCCCACCGTTCGCTGTAACGTACAGAGTGCCGCCCACTGCTTCATCCGTTATGCCAACAAAGCGTCCTCCTGAAATTCCAGCCCGTCCTGGTTGTCCCCTTTGACCATCATGACCGCCAGGTGACCCATCTGCAGCTTTCTTTTCGCTAGGACCAAGCTCAGGCGCAGATTCCCCGTCCAAACTAATTCTGACCGAACCGGACCCTTTAACAATTTCGTAGTGCGGGGAAATGAAGTACAATTCAGGAATGGTCCTATGATTTGAGGAAATGCCCATGTCCATGAAAATCTTCCTTCGAGCAAAAACCAAGACGACATTGGTCGAACTTCCGCAATTGAATAGATCATTTGTCATGAATTCAGAGGCTTTGACGAACGTTCCTGTGACAGTCATCTTGTTTCCGTCGCAAGTGACCACGGTTTCTTCCAATGTTTCTTTAAGAATGTCGTGGAATGTTTCTTCATCTCTGGCATTGATGAGTGATTGACTATTTCTTAAAATATCTTTGTAACTATTGCTCATCGTTGTGAGCCCAATCCTCTCAAGGAATGCGATATCTATTGCAGATGGAATGCTCCCAATTTCACTCATTGGTTTCTTTTTCCGATGGAATTCATACCCACTAAGCTCGTTTTTCATGGAGGAGATGAAATCGTACCATGCAGAACGTTTTTCCATTTTGTCGTCAATCCAGGATTTGATTGGTTGTAGCCAAACATCTCTGTACTTTTTTGCAGATGAGACACGCGTTGTCATGTCGTCAAAAAACTTGAGATATGTGCTTTGCCCTGCCATTTCTTGAGCAAAGTTTGTACCAAGATTTGAATTGTAACCTCTCTTTCGTAATGTGTCCTCCACCGTGTTTCCAATTGATTGGGGGGTTGAAGCGTCAGAGTTCAAACTATTTAACATGTTTGTGAAAGTTTCCTTTTCCTCATTAATGAACGACCCTGGGTCAGCAGCCGAATTAATTTTCGTTATTTGTTCATCTTTCAGAGAAGTAACAAGATTTGTGATTTAAGACTTTTCACTTTTTGGTTTACATCTTCTTTGTATATTTCAAGTTTGTTGATGCTCTCCGGACTCAAGGGAAAGCCAAAGTCGCTCGATGTAGTTTGAACAGATTGAATATTGCTGCTCATCAAATTCCGAAGTTTTTCTGATGCGGCGACTTGTCTTTGATTATTGACCAATGGGCCGCATTGTGAGGGAGTGGGCATCACTCCAATTTTGTTACCTTTCAAAATTGCATTTGCAAAGGCAATCTTCTTGTCAATCATTTGAGTATCGGCTTTAGGTCCCTGTTTTTGAGCGGTTTGATCACTAATATACATATTGAGAAATCCTCTGACCGTGGTCATGTTGTCCTCATCCGTAAGTTCGTCCCCATCATCACCACCAAAATTTGGAGCCTTGGTTACGATTAAGCCAATCCCAGCTTCGAGTTTTTTCATATCAAGTACCATCTTTGCTGCAGCGGTTGCGAGATTGTCAAAATTAGTCTTGTCGTTTGTTCCCAGGACGGCGGAGTAGATGACGACAAAGACAAGTTTGATTGAAGTCACGTGATCAAGGATTTGTTTGATGAGGAAGTTGATCGTGATATCAATATTAGCTCCGCGGTTATCTTGGAATCCTGGACAATCATACAAAAGGCGTTAGGACATGGTTTTGACGAATTCATACTTTAATTGCGGGATGGTTTTTAGTCGTAGAGATTTCTAACTTGTTTTATGTGAAAGCCCATGTCTCAAACTATAGGTAAGCATATCTGGCTTCCGATTTTGTGTACTCTGCGAAATGAGGCAAGGTCAAATTTGGAGAGGTGTCCTATTTTAGTTTTCCAAACCAGTGTTCTTATAAAATGGCGTTGAACTAAATATTTTTTTCTTAGGTCCTGATGCAAAAATCGTCTTTGCGACTATTTTTAAGGGACTTAGCATGCTTTTCACTATATAAAACCACGTTTGCCTTATGCGTATCTTTTAAGTCCGTTTTGCAGTCTAATTTCATACTTGTCTTAATGGAATGCGCTCTTTAACGCAACTCTTCCACATTTTACGACTTTGATGCTAAAAATCCCTAACGTGGTTTTTATCCAAGGTACATATAGTATATTGCACTTGAAGTACTTTTGACAAAATTTTGATAAGTGGTTATACCCCACGGACTGAGTTTTCATCAGACCTTATAAAATTTTTGGAAAAGTTCCCGTCGTTTTCGATGTCGAACTTCAGAAATAATTTAACTACCCAAAACGCAATAATTTTATTATTTTGTCACTTGTACCTTGTAGATAAAATAGTTCTGCAGTAGGGGACACAAAAAGATTAGTAAAATTTATTTTCTAAAAAATTTGACCATTAATTTTCCAAATAAGTTCACGAGTTTTTTAGGATTCCGCGACAGCTGATTAGCTAGGGTCGTTCTCCAAAACTGTTTACACAAAATCTTCACTGTTTAATTTAATATTATTTGGGACACTTAGAGCTTTGCCCTCAATCTTCATTTGACCGAGTGGGTCCGCGTTCAAGGTCAGCAGGTCAATTTTCCTGTGCACGGTCCAATTTATCAATTTTCATGAAAAAGTATCAGCGACGATGGAGGCCCAACATTATGTAATTCATGTAGATTCTTTTATTATTACATGCAATGATTATCTAGGGTTGTAATATTAACAATCATTCACCTCTGACCTCTTAGGTTATCATGCTATATGAGTAATTCAGTTTGGAAAGTGTTTTTTTGGCTCCTTCCAACTCTGGGGGCACTGGAGGGGGCATTTATAAAGCTATCGGCCTAAAATTTTAAATATATCTTTTTGAGAGTATTATCTTACAACTGACCAAAAATCAGTTCAAAATTCAACTCCCCGCCAGAGATATTCACCCGCGAATTCGTCAAAACCATGTCCTAACGCCTTTTGTAGAATGCTAGCCCACTTGACGACACAACTAATTCTGGGATAAGAGTTTGTGAGACTGTGGTAAGTCCAATTTTGTTGTTTGGGTCAAGAATTACTTTGTTGCCGTCTTTCGTCTTGTAAACTTTAAGAGAATTTGCATCTCCTGCAACCATTTGGGTCACAGTTGTCTTGCCCGAACCTGTAAAGTTGTGACCAGTTGGAATTTTTTTAATTGCAAGTTCACGTCATTATGTGAATGACAATACTTTTCTACTACTGTGAGTAAACACCCAGAAAACTTGCCTGTGTTTCCCAACAGGAGAATGACGTCTTTATGGGCATCGTCGAGTTTGAATGTTGTTTTCGTACGTTCCAAAATCTCCCATAGGTTCCTATTCGCTGTGTCGTCTGGTACTGGAGGGCGATCTGGAATAGTTTCACATGGGACTTTGGCTTCCTTACGCAGGAAAAACCAGTTTGGTAGACCTCTCGGAGTTACGACGGATGACCGCAAATGGTTTCCTATTTACAATAGACAAATTATAATAAATTTTGGGAATTTATAATAAAATTAAACTAGATTTTTAGTTCAGACAGCTTTTGAATTATCATTAGATTAATTTACTGTTAAAGAAAATTAACTCATTGTCATAAGCATAATAAATATGTATGTACAAACTCCATAAATTAATAATCTTGGAGAAAATAATATTTTTAACATTTAAAAAATATTCTTACTTCGGATATTGTTGGAATTGTCATACCGCTGTCTTCTTCGTATAGTGTTATCTCGTACTGATTCCGTGGTCTAATAATTAAACGTACTATCTATAGTTTTGCATGTTTTTAATAAGTTGGAAACATATTTTGTCGCTGCTAATTGGTTAATAAGGACGTGAAAGTTAAAAATATGTGTATGTTCCTGGTAATTGGTTTATATATTTTTGCAAAACATGCCACACTTAATATTAATTAATTCAATTACTCACCTGTATCAGTATGGTGTTGACTAATAAGACGACCAAGCAAATGCTCCGCAACATTTTTTGCAGGCCGTGTACGACTTATTGCAGAAATATAGTTCGGACGGAGACACGTATTTTTCTTTAAATTTGACCAATTTTGTAATTGTCAACCAACAAAACCATACTGGCTGAGTGTGTAGAGTTTTCTGGGAATTTATACCCATGGCTTAACCTGACCTAATCAAATGAGAGAAGGACTCTATAGTCAATCGTGAATTAACCCAATGATGAAAATTAACTTTTTGTAGTTCATCTGTCAATAAAGAATAATTAATTAAAAATTGCAGTTTATAATCGAACTGGACAACATTAAAATTAATGAATTCCTGTCTTTAACCGATGTTGTAGCAGTTTATTGCTCTCTGCTCTGCAGAATCAATTGATCCATTCTTCAGGATTTGGGTAAACAAAAGAGACATGCAAAACATTTTAAATGATTACAAACATTTTTATTACAAGCAGGACGAAGCTATTTTGGTGGGAGAACAATCAATCCAATTTATAAAGTTACGCGACCACTGTGCCCAATTTGTTCTCTTTCCTGACAATTATTAAACTGGAAAAGTATTTAAGAGTGCTTACCTATGCATTTTGAACATGAATTGATATGCACTTCATTAAACATACTCATATTTCATTTCTTAAACTGCATAAATGTGCAAAAATATCAATTTCTTATATGATGGATGATTCACAGGGTGCCAAAAACCCAGAAATAAATACACATCTCCACCTTATCCCATCTTAATTCATTTTTGAAGATAAGAGCATAACATTGCGTATGGTTGATGGCCGGTGGCAATTTAAATGACTAAAAATCAGTATGATGAAATTATTTTGAGATAAAATTAGTCCGTTGATTAAATGTTTGATTACATTTGGAATGGTCAGGATAACGTTAAAGTTATTAGAAAATGCTTACAAGTTTGCAATTTTAATTTCAAAGTTCCGTAAAAATATTTAAACCAATCATTCCGTGCATTGTGGTTCCGGCACACTGTGCCGACATTTGCATATATGCAAGTATTCAGCTTATCAGCTCAATAATACTTATGATACAAATAAAGTCTTGCATGTCTTCAGTTCAACTAATTACTGCAAACGGGTGACATCCATGCACAGTTAATGATGGAAATAAATTATTGATAAGAACTTATGTATCGAATCCTTCTTTCAGAAAGTTCAAACTAATACAATGTACCACACATAAATGTTGCAGTTATACACATATGCAAGTATTTTGTAAAGAAAGGAATGCATTGGAATTATTTTATTCCATAAAGAATAGAATTATTTGTACTTTCATAATTATCATAAATAAATGTCAAGAAAGTGATCTCGCATAATTCTCGTACATACATGTTTATACTACTAGTTTACATAAGTATGTAACTGTTCCATTTCGATAATAAACTGCAACTGCTAATCAAGCATTATTCATGCAAAAATTAAGTCTTCGGTAATTCATAAAATTAAGAGCTTCTTTGTTCACATTTTGTCACTTCTACTTCCGCAATTCAGGAGGTCAGGTCAATTTAAATACCATATGTGTATCTCAAATCTGATTTTTTTATTCTGTTGAATTAAAGTCAATCGACATTTATAAATAGAAGGTAAGTTCAGCCTTTGAGAAAGATTATTATTTTGAACATCAGCAAACAAGTACACATTCGTACTCACTAATTGTCACAATGTGGAAATCGTTGTTTCTATTTGTAATTGTTTTAAACGTAAGTAATTGCAATAAAAAATTCAATGATTGAATTATTGAAAACTATTATAGTTATTATTAATATTTGTAGGGTTCTCAATCGCGAATTTGGAATCCTTCATCTCGAGATGAACCAAGTTACGGTAACGTTTTAGTATTTTTTTATTTTGTAAATATCGAAAATTAGCGCAGACGGCCGACTGATCTGATCGTTTTATCTAATTTCTTAATGTGCACGGAAAATATATCCCACTATTTCAAAAAGTTTCTATTCATGAATTACTTTATAGAACCCCCACCACGGAGAAATTTGAATATGCTCCAACAAAAGCCACCTTGTACCATTCTTCCTCCACCTGAAACAGAGGACGATACAGGAAATCTTTCTTTATGGGAGCTATTGGAAAAATCTAGACGAGAAATCCAAATAAGTGACACCTACAAAGACGTCATTCTCCTTTTGGGCAACACAGGCAAGGTTTTGATTTTATTATTATTTCCAGAATGCTCAAACCATAATTTAGGTACTTTGCATATGTATACATGTATGGTCAAAAGTATGTACTGCATTCATTGAAAAAGCTATTGAAACACTAATGAATACACGTATGTCTAGACGATTATAGCAACCCTTAAATATTTCCAGGTTCGGGCAAGACCACCGTGACGCAATTACTGGCCGGAAACGCTTCCTCGCTTCAGGTTGTATCAAACCAGGAGAAAAAACTCATGATCACCGATCCTGCCAGAAAGATTGGACTGACAACAGTCTCCCGGACCTTGGTCCCAGAGCTCGTCGTTGATAAATCAAGTGGACTAGCCCTCTACGATTGTCCCGGATTCATGGATAACCGCGGCCCTAAAGTGGACATTACTGCAAACTTTCTCCTCAAAAAAATTACCGACCACGTTTCCACCGTCAAACTTGTGTTTGTCTCCATCTACTCTTCGGTTTACGGTACGGAAGACAAATCCGGCTTTGACCAACTTGCCACTTCCGCCATCCGCTTAATCACCAACTTTGAGAAGTTGGAGAAAGGAATTGGACTCGTGGTAACAAAAGTCCCAAACTACGGACCAAGCGATGGGCATTTACTTTCGGATGAAGAAACCATGCTCACCATCACCAGTTTCTTGAGAATGTACAAATCCGCTCAAGAAGGCAGACTCAACAGTGTCCGCCCGAGTGAGGATAAGCGAATAATCCAGAAAAAATTGATTTTGTCACCATTCTTTTAAAGGAGAATCGAGTCTGGTTCATGCGAACACCTCTTGAGTGCGGTCCTCTCATCAACGCCAAGGAAATGGTTGCAACCAAAGAAAAACTTACACAACTCATGCTGTACAATTTATCATTCACTCCTTGCACACCACAAGATTTTGGATATGCACTGGCAGACTCCAGTTTGACACGAATTAGAGAAAATTTGAGAACCATTAACCAAAACATTTCCGATATTGGGGCAACTTTAGTGCGAACATTGCGAAAATCTCAGTACGAAAAAACTTTATTAATTAAATAGTTTCAAGGAGTGAAAGCTTATATTTTAGACGAATATGCTGCCTGGTCCTCAACGATGACAAGACTTGAATCCAACTATAGCTTGACGTATTCTCCCACTCGTTTCATGACCACGATTCTAGAAACAGTAGACGCCAGAGGCTATGAACATCATTACGGACAAGAATTTGAACGAGGAATGACGGAACAATCTGAATTTTTATATTTCTTTGAATCAATTTCTCCCCCAGAATTGGAACACATCAGAAATAGCGATTCGTGGATGCAACCCTTCACATCTTGGGTGGAAGAGGAAGTTGAAAAGCGTCGAGATTGGAATGACTTCCTTGGCAGGCTTGAAGGATATCTGAATAGTTGGGAATTTCAGAGGACAAAACCCTCCGTGACAATCCCGACTGGCTATCCGGATTTAAATTTTATCAAAAAGGAGATTTTGAAAGAGAATTCTGCAAGTGGATTGATTGATGACCGAATCCGTGCCATATTCAACAGTGACTTGTTACACTCTCAGGAAAAGGACATACTGACAGAACTTCTCGTCCAAGGCGTAGAGACGCCAAAGTTCACTTGTTCAGAGGGAAACAAAATGATCGTCACTGGAGTAAACGTCAAAGTCTCAGAATTTACTAATCCTGACGGATCCTACTCACAATGCCCAGAGGCGAATACTGTACAAGTCTTTGCTTCCAAAAAGCTATTCATTGATGCCAATATCTCCCCAAAGGACCATTCCCTCGCTCCCCAACTTTTTATTGTGGCTCCAATCTGGGACGTTGTTACTGGAGCCATCTCAATTTTCAACTTGAACGGGGCTGATGGAAATCCACCTCCTGGACCGCCATCAAAACAGGGGACCGACGCCAAAGGAACTGATGGCGACGCTGGAAGTCCGGGTCATTCAGGCGGCTTCTTTTACGGGATTGCTGCCCAAATTGAAAATGCTAACAAACTTCGCGTAACCGCTAACGGAGGGCGAGGTATGTAAATAGGTTTTAAAATTACGAAAACACAGTACAAAATGCCAGTAAGGATTCCTGCGAATCTTAATCCTATTATTATTTTTAATTAGGTGGAGATGGACAGGTTGGAGGTGACGGCGGGGATGGGGGGAAGGGGGCAGCCGATAGTTACGATTTGTGGCCGTCATGTTGGACCGTCGGCGCCAGTGGCGAACTTGCAAGGAATACTCATAAATACTTTGACGAAATTAGCGACGGGGGCGCTGTAGGTTTCGAATTCTGGTGCACAAAGAATGGGGGACCAGGAAATGGTGGTGGCAATGCCGGAAATGGTGGAACGGGAGGTCTCGGAGGACTCAGCGGAAATATAGAAACCTTGCTTATCAATCAAGAAAATTCCGCTATAGTAAGCGAAGTAAATCCTGGTCCTACCGGTGCAAATGCTGCTGGAGGGAAAGGTGGACTCGGAGGCGAAAGAGGCGATGGGACCGTAGCAATGTTGGCCACGGCTGGAATTGGTTGCGGTTATCAAAAAATTAGCGTATCGCCCAATCCCCCCGGATCTCACCGGTCAAATTCTGGGGCAGATGGAGCCAGCGGAAAAAGTAGCAACAACCCTAAACCACCTCGCGAAATAACGCCGTCTCTGGTTAAACACAGCCTCATAAATGACTTCAAGTTGTTCGTATTAAGCACCGAGAGCCCTGTTCTAAGAAATTCGTTTATCCAGACGCTCGAAGAGTCTGAAAAAGTTCGAGGTCTCTACGGCCCCGTCCCATTTGCAGAGGAGCTGTTAAATTTAGAAGAATTCGCCCTGAAGCTTAAAACCAAGGAGGGCAGGACAAGCACCAGAGACCTTGCAGCCCTCCTACTCATCCCAAGATACCACTCGTTCCTCACCAGAGTGGATAATGCAGGCCCAGATGTCCCCCAGCAACAAAAAAGTCCTGGCAATCCTCTACACCACGGCCCTCAGCCAACTCAACTGTCTTAAGCAAGTCCTCGGCGCTACCGTCGTGGTCGACTTCCAACTATATTTGGACACTGTGCTCGAAAATTTTAAAAAGTTTAAGGAAAAGCAGGCCCAGTTTGTCACGCAGGAAGAAAGAGATCAATACGACAAAACCTTCAATAAGAAGATAGAACAAGCCATGAAATTCATTGATGAAACGGTTAATCCAGCCATTGATGATGTCGAGAAGGAGGTAAAATCTACGTCGAATGATCTCCTGACCACCGTCGTACATCAAGAGGCAGAGGCCAAGAACAACGTAGAGCAGGCAAAAATTAGAGTTCAAAGGATGAAGGAAACTATGGTGATGAGACATGTCTTCTCTGCCCTGAAAATCGGAGCCTCCGTCGTGTCAATGCTGGGACCTCAGGGGGCAGGTACATAATGACAAGGCAATAATTCATGTTTGGATAAGAATGATTATGACAGGACAGTAATTTTCGGATAATAATTGCAGCAATTGGGGGCGCTATCGGTACAGCAGCATCCATCGGGGAGCAGTTCGTTGTGGGGAGTAATATCCCCAAATCTAGAGCGCAGCTACCCTTGCCTCCATCCGTGGGGAAATACGCATTGAATATGGAAGCTAAAATGAAATCTTGGAACGAAGGAAAGATGAAGGAGTTGGACGTTCTACTGGAGACGACTAAAAAAGCCATAGGTGAAAACAAGGTGGCCATGGAGGATGTGAAAAAGAATGTGGACGAGTTGCAAAAGTCGGTGGATGAATATGAGGCAAACAAGAAAGACAAAGACATTCTCACGTATTTGGACAGAAAAAAGAAAATTGAAGAACATGAGAAAAATTTGAAGGATGTGCTGGAAAAGAAGAAGGTGGAGTTGGAGGTAACCAACACATTTAACACTGCATTTTTTGTACTTGCAAATGTTATTTAAACATTTAGTTATTATGTAAATAATTATTGCTTTGCCAAGTGCTTATTAATTAATTACGTGTTTTTTTCCAGGACTTGCAAAAAGGGACAGAAACCCAAAAACAGAAAGCCAAAGAATACGGGGACAAAGCCTTGAAAGCAATCGGTTACATAAAAAGCGCCATCACCAATACCGCCGAGCTTGGCTACGAGCTGTATAATACCATCAAAAACGATGAAGTCAAGATGAACGAGCTGTCTGACGAGGTCGAAAAAGCTAAGCAAGATGTCGAAAAATTACAAAAATACAAGGCCGCAATTACTGAGACACTCGAACCCTTGGTATCCTCCATAGCCACAGATTTACAAGGTGTCACTGAAAATTTGGGAGGTAAATCCGCCGTTGCTTTGCAAGTTCAAAAATGGCAAGTTAAACAGAAGCTGACAGAGTTCAAAGACTTTCTCCAAGATTTCTCCGAAGGATACGCCGAAGCTAAAAAATTTTCCCAAGCTGTCGACAAGCTATCTGAAGGTGTCACTCTAATTATCGACTTGTACGATTTCATTGAGAAATATCACGACCAAATGGAGTTTGCCAATTATTTGGCAAACATTAATTCCCCAGATGCACTTAACCTTGTCATTGGGAATGAGGACGGGGTGGTGAGCTACATAAACAAGGTCCAAGTAGCCCTCCAAGCTTCCATCCTCCTCTCACAATTTGAACGAACCGTACAAACTTTTAGGCAATGGGTGTTCCCTTACGCTCAAATTTACGAGAATGACTTCAACACGAAAGAACTTCCCAACTATCTCGACCCTACTTCCAGCATTACCTCGCCAAAGGAAATTGAGCTCTTCCTCGTGGACTTCTTGGGAGACAAGGTCACGCATTTACGCAGCAAGATTAAAGAATACGAATCAACCGCTGTCGGTGCAATTGACGATACGTTGAAGCAGACAGTATTCAACTCTGATTCCAAATCTACTCTACCATTTTATTCCTGGAAAGCGGCAGGTCGAGAGAATAGTGATCGCGACGTGATTAAGCAACTCTTTTCTGGGGAGAAAGTCTTCATATCAGTTTCACCGGATTTCTCCTATTCGCGGGGCAGAGCGGCAGTAAAATTTCAAATTGCAGAGTTTCAACCAAATGCATCTGACCGAGGGAGACAGGCGAAACTGAAGGACATCTTGGATGAAATCAAGGTGGAAATGACCCACTCTGGCGCTTCGCGATATATGTTTGATGACAAGAGCTTTGAAATGGTGGGAGACAATGTAACGCTTAAATACAACTTTGAACGGGACCCCAACACGCGTGAAAGGATTGAAACTAACTTGATCTACAAAAAGGTCAAACAAGGGGATTTTATTCTGAGTCCGTTCACCATGTGGGCGGTACAATTTCTTCCAGCAACTGGCCGAAATAGGCTAAGCGAATTGGTCGAGATGGCTGAGTACGTGGACCTCGAGTTAATCGGAAGTGGTAGTTATGTGGATGAATGGGAGAGAAAAAATGAAAATGTGCGAAGAATCTCGTTCTATGAAATGCCGATGCCACTTCACTTTACCAAATTTGAAGTTTCTTCTACAAGAGTAAGTTTATTTATCTACCATTGCACTTTCCTCAATAGTATCATGACTTTATTTTTTATTTTCAGATGCTACCGACATCATTTTACTAAAATGTGGATATAGTTGACAAATTGGATTCAGCAAGATCAATATAAGAAATATAATTGATTCATTGGTTGTTTTAATTTGACACTATGGGTTTCAATAAAAATTTTGTTGAAAAATATGTACACACAGTAAAGTAGTTATAAACAAACGCTATATATTATTATTTAGCTAATTACATAGGTAAAAGTATCCAGACTGGGTATCATTGAGCTCTATGAGTAATTTTATAAGGCCCATGTAAAATTAGTCTCATGATATTTATAAAGATGATATGGTGCCGACGACAAAAATATTTGAATTAAAAATTTGGTTACTTCCTCACCATAATTGTTCCACTTCTTCTGAAATGTCTGTATTAACAAAAACAGTTTGATGACAAGGTGCATAAGTCAATGTACTACGTATGTGTGTATTTACACCGTATGTGAATATGTACATGCATGCTGTTATATCGACTTATGCACTTTGTCATCGATGCGACTAGCTACATATATTCCACGAATGTTAATTTCGGCATAACGCGTATACATTCTCGTATACATGTCTTATCGGAGTTAGGTGAGCATCAGGTTGAAATGCGAGTTATTAAACCTCATATTATGTATACATACGTACAGCAGTTTAGTTTTCTGTCGCCTTTCACCTACATATTCTTAAAATGTAGTGTTATAAATAAATGACAGAGAGGTCAAATTCCTTTATTTAAGGTCCTTCCTGGAACCTGAAAGTTTACCCGTGAGTGAATTTCTACTGGAACCCATTCCTACATTTGTACATAAGTACGTAGAACTATGTACATTACTCCAACATTGGTTTGTGATAATGGAATGTCGGATTACGTCGGGTGTATGCACTTTACACCGATATTTATAAGTATTAACCCTTTATTAGCACCATGTGAGTGGTTAAAACTAAATACTTATTGTTAGTCGAATTATTTTTAGCTGGGTTGCTTACCCTTAACCTTCCATTCCATGAAGTATTTCTTGACATTTCTCGTCAATTTATTGAAGCGACAAGATTGCTTAGAATTTTACTCCAGTTTACACTCTATTTTTCTACGTTTTAACAATAAATCAAGTCTTAAGTAAATACACTAGCTGTTAACGATGTCAAACATTACTTTGTCTCCATCGGAAAATGGGAAGCAACAGGTACATGTAAATTAACAACTAACAAATATTGATCCAATTTGAGATTTCTGTACATGTTTATTTTACATTCGTTTCTTACTTCAGGATTGCACTAAAAACGCTAAAGAAATTCAAGCACCACAACAAAATACTGTTATTAAGACTGATTTTTATCAAACCGAGGGAGACGTTGTGATTAACTTTTTCACAAAAGGACGAAAGACGGAAGACGTCAAAGTAGATTTTTCCAGTAAAATGGTAAGTCTGATACTTCTGATGTTATTAGTAAATATCAACGGCCGAACATTTAGTGACTTTATTTTCTATTATGTGATAATTTAAAGCTCACTGTTGCCATTCGTCTTCCGGATGGTTCGGATTACTTGGACAACATATCACTGGCTCATGAGGTCAATGCTGCTGCTTCCTCGTATAAGATTCTTTCAACCAAGGTAAATGAATCGGAAATTATTGCTCCTAAACAGTCACTGATTTGATATCCGTTAATTCTAACACATTTCCAGTTAAAAACTTTAATTGTAACACAACCCTTGATTTTCAGGTGGAAGTTAAACTTCGCAAAGAAAGTAGTGGACACTGGGCACAGTTAAGAGCATCAAGTGCAGTTCAAGGTAAATTATTTAGACGGCTTATGCACACATTCTACATACGTAGTTACTAATGTCTATGTAAATATATCCTGCTAAAAAATTATGTGGTGGAGATGCATGATACACACGGCTTAATTTTGTTCCCAGAAATCCGACCTGGTTATCCAACCTCGTCCAAGAGCAAGTTCAACTGGGACGAGATCGAGAAGGAAGTTGAGAAGCAGGAACGCGAGAACCCCGACATGGACGGCAATCAAGCTTTCGCCCAACTTTTCAAGCATGCGGACGCAGACGCTCAGAGGGCAATGATGAAGTCCATGGTAAGCGTAAATAAATACCAATTTTAACCAATGGTATATTTTGTATGCTAATAAATACATATTTCGAGCACAGCAAGAGTCCGGTGGAACCTGCTTGAGCATGAACTGGGAAGACGTGAGCAAGAAACGTGTCCCCATTGAACCCCCAGAGGGTATGGAGTACAGGAGGTGGGACAATTAAATTATGGACGTATTGATGCTACAATTGTAAAATACTTACATTTTGGGAAATAAATGCACCGTATTAAGCTGTGTTTAATTTTAATAAGTTATAATACATCGCATGTTAAGAATATGTCAAATATCATTAATATCATCCACATTCTAATGTATGTACATATATAATTATAAAGCATATTTAATTGAAACTGCATAAATTGACATAAATCATACCTTTCAGTGACCTGCTCATTATTTAATATATGCATAAATATGCATGTTTGACAGTGGTTTGGTGATATAATAATTCTAATAATAACTATTTAATACCAAGTCGTGCAAAAGACTCACTTTTAATCGATAATCAATATCAAGCTGTACTAATCCAGACGATCGTGATTTCTGCTGATACTTACCTTTAATTAACACTAAATTACGACGTACGCTCATCGACTAAATCAATATAATAATACTATCATCTTATTCTCCTCAGTCTCTTCGAACCTTCCTGGCGTTCGGTGCTGACAAAAATGTTCTCTTCCGAATTCTTACCCCTGCTAAAATCCTACCTTCCCCTCTGTCATGTCTTGAAATGTATCCCCTTCGATTACAATAAAGATTCTGGAAGACTCGAAACTTTCCGGAGTGCTGGAAAGCGAAGTATTTTTAAACTGCAATGCACCCTTTCCGCATTTTACTGCATGGCGATGTTTCTCAACCTTTGTTTCGGTCCGCTCTCGGCAACTGAAAAGTTCCAAGGTTCCGCGTTCTTCTTTCTCTACTTGATTTCCACAGTGGCAAGATGGGCCCCAGATAATGCTCCCATCCAAGTCGTCAACTCCTTCTTGGAATTCGAACACCGATTTTTATCAGGTCATTACCACCATGAATAAGTGAATTTTCTAACCATATCTTAACAATTTATTTCTTCATCACCAAATTTGCACAGGGTATCGCAATCTTCCAGTTTCTCTTGTGGTGAAAACGATGAAAAGGTTCATTCAATTTGGGCAACTCTCCGTTCCTGTAATTCCAATCCTCCAATTCGTACTCTTGACCTATGTCCCATGCACACCACCTTTCATGCTGTCCATATCAAAGTCATGTAAAGATTTGCACAGTAACTCTATATTTCACCACGACGGTGTTCGAGTTGCGGTCCACCTCTTTGAAACGTGGATTTGTCTCCATTCAATGTACTCTGGTGGATTTTGGGTCATATACATCTTTTTCGTCGGAATTGTGTGTATCCTGAGCTATTGCCGTCTGCTGGAAAGGTAATTAAATATCCTTTCATCCATGTATAAAATATAGATATTTATGTTAATTTTCACTATTTTGCATATAGTGAAATTGCAAAAATTCTAAATCAAGTCGACAAAGACCGCTGCATTAGGTTCTATAAAACTGTTCAAGCATTGGAGAAAACTTTGAACGCTTTTCTAAAGGATCGACTACTTCCAGGAATCATGATTTGTTCTCCACTAATGCAGACCGCTGGGATGTACGTGAGCATAAATCTGCATGGCGAGATATCGATGCCAGGTTTTCTCCTCTTTCCAATAATTGCGATTGATACTGGAATAACGAACATCTTGGTGTTCACGATGGCATCGGCAGTTCACAACGTGTCCCACAGAGCTCTAACCTCGCTGCGTAGAAATAGTATGAAATTACCTGGAATGAAATTGAGCAAAAGACAAATGATGGCTTTTTCCAATCTCAAAATTAAATTTGGCTCAAACTTTATTGATCGAGGGACACCGTTGGTTATGCAGAACTTTTGTATAAATCAGACAATGTCCTTGACGCTAATCAAATCAGGACGGATTGCAGGATTAGATCGTAAATAGTTTTAATTAATCCTATCGAACTGTGTGATATACTCAGCTTGTCATAAGGGAAGGAAAGGAAGGGTTGCTTAAATTATCGTAGATAAATAGATACATACATGTGGGTATATATAGATTGACGGTCCGTAATTAAATTTTACTAGGTATGTACATACATACATAAAATATGTATGCATACATACCTGTCAAAAATATTTCTTCATTTAAAATTCACTCATTTTTCATTTATTCAAAAGTTGAAAAAATAATTATTCATTTCTCGTCAAATTCGTCACCACACAAGTGACGCTCTGTTAGTAATTTGGCGATGTGGTTGAGAATTCTTATGATATGGTCATGTCTGCATAAATGTAGCAAGCGACACAGTATTACAGTGTTAACGTTCGCCCACGCGCACGTGGTCAATGGCTATGGTCTGCAGGTTGAGCCATTATTCACTAATTCGGAGCGTAGGGAATTCATAATTACGGCTTATTTTATGTCCAATTAGACCACAACTAATTGCTCTGTTATGCAGAACTCGTACCCTGCTAACCGAAATCAATAACTAATACTTAATTCCGGCCCTAAATGCAGATAATTGTTACAAGTAATTGAATCATTTAGCACTTATCAATAAATAAGTGAGATATTTAGTTAAATATTACATTAAAAATTAAAATTTGCAATTGCGCTGTCGCTGAAAAAGGTGTCCTATTCTGTTACATATGAATACAAAGTGTATGTATATATGTAGCTTGACACATACAGTTGTATGCAAAAAAAAATGACCATTAGGTACATAGTTTTAAAATTAGTATTAGAGTAATCGGGCGACATGGTTGTTTTAATACCGTAGATATATTTATTCCAAGCTTTCGATACTGCACTCGTATCATCTTCAGGGTTTTAAAAATAATTTATTATGAATGACAACTAGTAATTAGAATTTCTAGCACAATAAATTGAATTCCATATGTATCGGTGTTTTAATATTGTACATTTAGACTAAATGTAAAACTAACTTATGTACATTGTCATTCCTTCATGGAACATTGCATACTGCAAATAAATATCTAAAATGCATATATTAAAACTTGTACATACTTTGCAACCTTTGGAACGCTGATGCAAATGTGACATCAGCATTTCAAAGGTCAAGGGATTCAAAATACATAGATGTAGTTTTCATAAGTATCTCGCCTCTCATGTGTGTCCAAACCATATTGTGTGCAGGAGGAGATCATGAAGAGGAAGAGAGGATAGGAATGAGGAGCACAGAATGATGCCTACGTCATCATGATCATCATGATCATGAGGGCGTAGTTTATACATATGTAGCATAAGTAAAGGTAATGATCAAGAAGGCGTGGCTTATGTGATCACGTATATATAGAGTAAGCAGAGAGAAGAAGAAAAGAGTGTAGTTTTAGATTCAGGATCAGCAGGTTAGTTTTAGTGATCATCAAGATCAAGTTCAAGGTTTAAGGCTTCGGAAACTTAATAATAAGTTCCTGTCTAGATAATTAGTTAAAATTTAAATAATAGCATTAGCTCTCCCACGTATTTATGATACGAGCATTTCTGTAAAGTCAATATTTTTCAGTCGGTATTGATGTAAATAAATATATTCATAATTCTTATAAAAAAGTGATTTTCCACTACGAATTTATTGCACAACGTCGCAAAGAAAAGGGGCATCCGTGAAAGTGGATGTGAATCAGGACACGCAATCCCATAATAGAATAGGGAGCGTTACAACTTATATATCGTACATGTAGGTAACCGTATTTATTTAAAGTATAGTATAATAAATCATTGGCTTTGTGCATCATACATATAAGATAAAAACCTAACTCAAAGACGTATTACTTGATTACTTGTTTTTTTTATAATTATAGTCATATGTTTGGCATATGCATGTATTTATTTATATGTAGATTTCCAAGTTTGCATGCATTTGATATATATGTATTAACAAAACAATAAAGGCTTCACATATAGGTAACTACAATCATTTCTACATAAGTGACGGATTTACTTTCTCTATAATTTCAACGGCACAACCTCCATTTTTCCATACACAGTGACATAATGAAGTCTGGGGTCTAGTTCATTCTCAGAAAATACTTTCTCCCCAGCCTCATTCACGATTTGATCGTATCCCAATTTCCCAATCTCTTCAAATCCTAGCCGTACCATCATTGACCTCGTAAATGGAGACGTACACTTTATAACGGTGTGAGTTTTGCCATTCTGTAAAAATAAGGCCAGCGACCGCTTGGCGAGTTCTGTGGCTAAACCTTGTCTCCTAAACTTGGGGGCAACAAGGACACCAAACATCGTGCAGTAGTCACTCGTGCCAAAAACTTGTCCAAAATCCACGGCTTTCTCAGCATCGTCCAAAATTTGGAGGTACAGTTTCCCCTCCGCAGAATTTGCCACCCCAATGTCCGTATTGTTGTAGGATATCCAGACAGCAGCAACCTATTGGTACTCAAATACATTACCAACAACATAAATATCTAATTTCGCAACATTTTTTTCAAACTTTACACACCTCGCCATCTTCTTCGGCAACGAGAGTTAACTCTTCGTCCAACATTTTCCTGACCATTAGCTCCAAATCGTGTCTTAATTCCTCCGTTGAGCCAAGCAGCTTCAGTGTGGGCTCTTCCTGGATGAAATTACTGCAGAAGAATTCAAGAACTCTGATTTTATCATCAGGTTCTTTAACCACTTTTATAGTCGCTGAATTCCAGGGTCCTTCAATTTCTTGAGTGGATGCCATTATTACCTGGGTTTATTTACCAATGTAAATTTTAAACTGCACCAATTGGGACTGGTCAGTTTTTTAGCGAAAGTGCGAAAAGGGGAAATGTGTTCAGATGTAAGTTTGGAAGAGGAGAAAGCATGAGCAAAGTTATCGATCCAGTGAAAGCATAGGTATAACATTGGTATATATACAAGATCGATATGCAGGCTTTTTTGCCGGAATGCGAATGCATGCTTTGGCAGATTGGTTTTATCCAATTTTATTCAATAAATGGAAATGCATTTTAAGCACATATTATTATTTCACCTTAAACAACCTTGACGCCTACAAATGTATCGAAAGCTTAACTTATGTTTAAGTAAATTCTGCGCTGAGAAAATATTTTAAATTTTGTAAATAGAATTTACAATTGCCAACAGAAATGTTAAAATTCCGAGTTGTAATAATTTTTCGGTATACATTTCACTTTCCTTGAATTATATAATTAAATATTGCGAGGAATTAGTCTATCTGATGCTTTAGAAGGTATAGAATTTATTGAGGTGACTACAAGTGGGGTACTATTTACATAGTTTGTCCTGTCTTCATCTTAATAATTGCATTGCTACAATCAAACTCTCAATTAAATATGAGACGATATTGAATATTAGAAAAATTGTTGCAATTTCTCTTTGTTTTTGAAAATTTGGCTTTCAATTTAATGAAATACATTGTCGATTATAGTTTCTAAGCTAATTTTGGCAGATCTTATTTCCACGTGCATAAAATGGGAACATTTGCAAATACAAATTAATTCTGCAAATATGCATTGTTCCTCATTAAAAGTTAGATACATAGATACAATCGTACAATATGTACACCTGACTACTGGATGATGACGAACAATTTGGAAACTTTGTCGACTGTACATGTGATCGGTATTGTAAATTTCTTCTCATCATTACAGCTTTGATTTACTTTATGACGTATGTAATAACCTAGCGTACTTTGGACTATGGTACAACACTTTACCACTCTGGACACGGTTCCAATTAAAGATACCATAAACTATGGGAATAACGGTGCTGATCGTCACTATCTATAGTATTTGGTTATGTAAAATATGTAAATCATGTCATACCAAACAAATCATTTGCAAGAATAGTGTCACCTCTGATAACTACCCCATGCATCTGACGTTGATTATGTAAGTGGAAATCTCACCTTATTGTAGATACGTGTCCATCAATCTATTTATAAATGAGCTCATCTTCATAACTGGACCCATTCCGAATTCGGACACTCCAAAGAGAAAACTGGTCGTATTATTCTCATCACAATGGCAAAATATTTGGGGATTGTGCTTTCTTCATTATTCTTATTCCTCGTCACGGGAACTAACGCCGTTTTCTGGGATGATTTGAGAGGTAAATTATTGGTGTCCCATTTAAATGTAAATCATTTGACCTTTAAACTTAATTTGTATATTTTGAATTTCAGTCACTTGGGGTCCGGTAGGTCCAATTTCGAAATAATAATTACACCCATGTGTCGCTAAAAAATAAACTAGAGTAATTTTTCAGGGTCCAGCCATTGGCTTTTTTAGCCGTCTTCCTCGCGTTGTGACCACTGCAGTGGAACAAGGCTGGGTGGACGCTGGGAGTACCTCTTGCGAAAACGATGGTCTCTTCTCAGGTTTCAGATACAAACTCCGGAACGAAAACGAAATCGCCGTTTTGTTCGACAAGAACGGTATCATTGCTGGAGTCCAAGTTCTGGTGGGTTTATTATCACTGCAAGACACACAATAGTATAGAAATCTGAGCTTACAAAATTTATAATTTACTAACTTTACACACATATGTATACTTGTTAATATCTCGTATTATGCACCTCAATAATTTCAGCTCCCAAAACAAGAAATACTCAGCCCGAACAACACATTTCGCTACGATCTTGTCCCAATGTATCAAAATGAGACTTTTAACGGAATCGATTTCTTCGTCCTGACGGCGTACTTTGTTCCACCAGCGTCAATCTGTACTACGGGACGAACCCTTTTTGACCTAATGACCGAGGGGACCGGGACTGGCCTCTGGTTCCAAAATGGTGCCAGTCCAAACAACCAAATTGACGTTCCCTTGACTAGACCCGAAGCTGCCGAAGTCGGGTGGACCAATTGCGAATGCTTTCCTGGCATGGGCCTGCACAACTTTTTCGAAGTTGAAACATGGGCAGAGACAGACTGTAACACGATCCAACCGACACAGGCGACCTTTAACTTGGCCGGAGAAATGACCGGATTTGTTCTTCAATCTAGTGGACGTGTTTCTTCCACCCGGTTCGAGTCGCCTCCTAATGAAGCTCTCTATGTGAGAATCTTATTATGATTACCCTATGTTTGTAAACGTACTTAACTAATTTATTTTATTTTCAGGCAATTATTGGAGTCGATAGAGTTCCGCAGTGTCTCATTGATAATAACAACGCAGCTGGAACTTCAACTATGCATTTTTACTTCGTTGACGAGCCATGGTTGTTGGCGTGCTCGGCGTAACGAGGAATAATATGGAACAATTATGAATCAATGCTAACCTGGATCCAACAATGTAGAAATTTAAAATAAATCGCAATTATGAATCACTCTTCCGTCTAACGTTTATTTTTAAAGTGCATTATTAGTACTAATTGTCATATTTGCAAATACAAATGACATCTAGAATTAACACGTCAGAAAATAAGTATTTCCAGTTTCATTCGTTTTTCTGGTAATTATGTAAATGTCGACAGTATTCATTACATGGGTTGAAAAGTGTGATCTATGTACATACATACATACAGATACATATATTGAATATGCATATTATAAGCATACGTTTAATTTAATTACAATCTTTTTAAATGTTCAAATGTGCTTATGTATCATGTATATATGTATCTACATATGTAGTTACCTATAAAACTATTGTTGAGAATAGTATTATAAATTAGGCATGAAATATATCTTTATTTTTTGGGATTTTAAAATTGCCAAAGGCTAATTTGGCATTGTCACGAGATTGTACTACTACTACTAAGTTAGTAGTACTAACTACTAAATACTACAACAGACTGCATATTAATCACAATCACTCTGGCCGAAAAAAATATTTTGCTACTGTATGTACTTACGTACAAATACAAACACAACAAAGGTACTTTTCATAACTCAATACAAATAATAATGTTGTTTAGATAAGGTTTATGGAAATCGATATCCACGATGCAACGTTGGATTGTTATAATAAGCCCAACTTTTATGTACATATTTACGTTGAACATATTATTCTGAAACGATATAAATTTCAATTTTTTTCAGATCAGACCAAACTCTCGTTAACTTCACATCCACCCATATAAACACATACATTTATGCATTAGTAATTTCATACGTACATACATACATACACATATGCACAGGATTTATGTCAAGTAAGCTTTGTTTCAATAAATCAAGGAACAGTTGTTGTTTGACATTTTTCGGGAACAATTCCGGGGTGCTAGTTTTAGTAATACGTGAAAATTAAGCACATTCATATATCCTAGAAGACGACAAATTTCTAATCTTTTTCTACGCATGTCTTGATAACGAATGGTAGATAGCATTCGAAATATTGACAAATGAAATAAACCGTTTCTTCTTTTTTCCACGAAAACTCTGTGTAATCCAATTCTTACATACATATTTATACTTATCCTTCTAAAAACCCTTTTCTGTCATCCTTGCAAGCATATTAATCACGGCCGCTGACTAAATTAAACTCTCGCTATCCAATTCTTCCTCAAATGACGCCATGCTTCTTTTCCCTGACCTCACAACAGTCCCAAGGTTTCGCATTTCAATTTCCTCCAGGTCTCTAATGTAACCCCCATCTGCACGCATCGCTGTGCCAAATCCACCTCGCCCATGTGGGTCAGTCGTACCACTGGACCCACCCTGGCGACCTCCACCATTCCTACGACCTCTGTCAATCAGGTTACCACGACCATATCGATCCCTCCAACGGACAATCCTGATCCGCTGTGTCCGACGGTTGGGGTCACTCACACGGTAGACCGTTCTCTTGGTGAGTTCTTTGTTCGTGCCAAAAATGGTGATGGGCAGGACCATGAGATACACGAAGAAGAGTGTCCTCATTGCAAAGTTCGTCACGGGGAAGTCAATCACGCCCTTGGTCGCCGGGGGGAAGCAGATGTTGTGATATATGGTTATGATCATTCCAAAGGGAATCCAGGTCAAGATGAAGGCGACAGAGTTGATGTAGAGGAAGCGGACCCGAGGTACACATTGCTTCAGCCGATCGTTAACCCCAGCCTAAAAAAGATTATTTATTCAGAAATTTCTGGATGGCAACATAACAGTTTGGATGGAAAGTCTTTAAAACGTACATTGCTCTTATAGATGTAGGGAAACATGGATTTCACTTTGTAGAGATCTATTACATATTTAATAAAGTTATTTGATGGATAAGGAAGGAATTACTCCTTAATTGAAGTTAATGAGCAAAACCAATGTGAAGAAATTTTACCAGACGCAATATAAATGCAGACAGCGACATGGACCATGAAAAATCTAAAAATTTCATATCCCAACCCAGCCCACTTCACGCCAAACAGGAGTTTCTGCTTCAAAATAAGTTCATTTACATATATACATAAATAAATTATCTAATTTCTCTACGTAAAATTCGATAATGCTTAGCATAATTCCTATTTAAATTAAAATATGTATTTACCTTGACACACATTTTGCTCCTCACATTGTAAACGACGCTGAAATAATTGGGCACAGCGCCAAGAATCGCAATCAGCCAGGAGACGGTCAGCGTCAAAGGGAGGTTGAGCCGCTTCATCGCCGGTTTCAGATGACCTCTCATCCGCTCGTAATTCAGTCCGAGCACGGCGGTTGGGATCAGATTGATGACAAACACTGCATTTTAACCGTAAAAAATAGGTCCATATACTTTAAAATATTTAATAGCAAACATTATTTGTTCAATCTAGAAAATCAAACTGCATAATTTTTTTAAATTTTGCAATAATATGCCTCCATAATTGGATTTCCAAGTGGATTTCCTCCAAATGTGTGATGAATATTAAATACTTATTTACCTTAAAATTCATTATAGTGTTGTTTCATATGTGTGTAAATATATACTTCAAGTTATCCCAAATTACTATTATCCATATTTATATTCAAATTAATTACTCCAAATCAAAGCTGCCACGGGGCAGGTCAGTTTTCCGGCCAGCAAAGATCCATTGTCGAACAAGTACACGCTTCCAATTACCGATGCGACGGCAGCTGTCAAGGATGCGTTCAGAATCAAGAAGTCCTCTTGGCTGCAGATTAAAATTTTGTTTTACAAATAGTTACGCTATTTTACAATGATTTCAATGAATTTAATTATCCGAACAGTTTGAGTTATATTTTTCACCCACATTAACTTCTTGCTCAGGGACTTTCTCCAGACCAGTGCGGCAATTGTCAAGTTAAGAGCGACGCTAAAAATTCCCATGGCAGCCAAGCTTAATTCAGAAAGTTGCACTTTCTCTTTCGCCATGATGACGATTTCACGATAATGATAATTGCAATTATCTGTTTTAGACGTGATGAAAATCTCACTTTCTCCTCCTTCGAGTAAGCGTAACCTGTAGCTTTCTCCGCCGCATCCCCAACTCGCCCTGCTCTTTCATGGCTGGTGAAAGGGGAGAACAGATAGCGTCTTCTGGGAAGAAATTGGTGCGTCATCGTCGTCTATTTTCAATTGCGAAGGTCGTCGTACTGACAACGAGAAGAAGCCCCTCAAAGTGCATTCATATCGTGTTGCTTCTTTCATTCAAGAAGTGAAGAAGAATTATGAGGATGAATTAGGACTATTGAGATCCGAAGTATTTAAGTCTTAAGAACTGATCATTTTCAATTAAGTGGGCCGATTATGAAATATATGTCGGAAATTGATATCTTGTACATACTTCTGATTAATTATGTGCATCGATTACGGGTTATGCCCTTACAACATATAGTTTCTCTATTGAGTATCAATCTATCACAAATTTTAAGATAACAAGTTGGCATTTATATCGGCGTAGGTTACGCAAGTTTGGAATCCTTTCAAGGTTAACGAAACCCACGACTTTTGTTAACCTTGAAATTTATCAATATTGAATTTTTCTGCATCATCGTAAGGTTGTTTTTCCTTGAATGCATTTGAACGAATATTGGGAGGCCTTCTTAAATAAGCTGGGTCGGAGTTGTACTTTCACTTGGCGCAGGTTCATCCCTAACCATTCCTAGAGGAGAGCAATACAACACCATAGTGACAGCACGTTCAAGTTTTATATTTACCATCAATATGTATGTAGACGAATTTTTGGTACAAAATTCAGATCTCATTTTTTACATTTTTTACAGTAAAGGCGTTACCCACCTACATATATATGTACATAGATACTTATGAAGTTGACTGTTTTGATTCAATAAACGGTGGTCTTAATACATAGATTATGAATTAGTAATTTATACATATATACATTTATACATACATAGATTATGAGTAAGCAAACCAAGATTTTTAATGAATTGACGTACGTATAATAATGCTTTCATTTTTCAAGTATGCAAAGATGTACATACAAATTTTTAAAGTATTATAAACTACTTCATTATTTAGGGAATACGTCTGAATTCGTAAACTAGAGTTAAATTAACAAATACTTTTCTTGAAGTCGGGATAGAACTATGATTTTATTGTTCAGCATCTCTTGGGTTGTTTTTGGATGACTTAGCATTGTTTCGGCGTCCGATATTCCTTCACGTAGCAATTTCTCAGCGATCATCCTCCCTTCAACTTTATACATTCCTTCCTTGATTTTGTTGGTTATGACGCTCAATTCGTTCTTTGTCTTTTCTAGCAACTCCCTTTTTTCGTCTTTCGCCATGGACTCCACAAATGATTTCGACTTGACCAAGTCGGACTCTGGGATGAGTGGCGTCTTCCATTCGTACTGTATTGTATGCTCCTGTGCAAGATATTTATAATAAACCTTATCAATACTGAAAATCCCCTCATTGCTCAGACTAAATTTAACTCTATATTCTGGAGGACGGGGTTTAAAAGTGCTGCAATCAGTTCCTTCCACGACAATAGTACCAACTTGATGCGTTAGATTTTGTGACGTTTCCCAGATGACAATTTTTTGCTGTCCTTCCGATAAAGACCCGATGGTTTGATCTTCGAAAATTCTGGCTCCAACAATTGATTTGTATCCCTCAAAAATCGTATTGGTCCTGTATAGCGAGTTTCTTTCAAATGTGTAAGTTGCCCTTTCTTTGATATAAAGTGTTGACAATGGAGCATTTCCAGAACATTTCGACAGCCTCTCGGCTAGTATTGCGGCGCCACCCAATACAGAGATGTCCGTATTATCTGTTGTACGACCATAATCTTTAACCATATTTTCTATCTCGATCCTAGTTCCATAGTTGATACAAATGTTTGTTGGAATCTTGTCCCTGCTCACTCTAAACATATCTCGGATCATAAATCTTAGTTCATCTGCTTGTTTTCCGGCAAATGTTCTCATTACATTGGTAAAACCACCCTTAAGTGATTCAAACAATGCATGCTTAGCCGAACCTGTGGAATGTAGATTTCCACAACTGCCAATCATTTCCATCTCCATGTTTGAGCCATGAATTCGACACCAACGATACAGTGCAGCATCAAAATAGCAATCGAAGGTATGGACCACTCCCACTAGCAAGCACGTGTCCACGTTATGGTCTCTCATTTCTTGGAAGCAAAGAGCAGCAGCTGAAGTGTCATTGATCAGCCTGATATATTCAAATCCTGCTAATTTTGCGGCATTTTTCATACCTTGGCGTTGCATACTGGTCAGGCAGAGAGGCACGGAGATGACTGTCCGGGTCCAGCTTCCTCCAACACTCTTCTCAACGTCAGTCTTAATTCGTGAGAGAAACAGTGCGATAACAACTTCTGGTTCCACAACTTGATATTTTCCATGAAGAAAGAGTTGGAATATTTGCGAACCTGGACTAGTAATTGCTTGTGCGATATATATTTTGGTTTTATTCTCAATTATCTCTTCTCCAATTTGGACTTCATTTTCTTCAGTGACTGATAAAACTGTGGGGGTCCATTCCTCTCCCCACGGATTGGGCACAATCTCGACCTTGTCCTTCACCATTCGTCCAACCCTGACTTTGGAGAATGCAAACTCAATGGCCAGTCCCTGAATTTCTTGCCTGACTACTGCTTCTGGAATTTTAAATGAAGTGTCAGATGACGATTGTTGAGATCCAATTTTGTTGGTCGGTTTTTGCTGTGACGTAGCCACATTTTTTTTATGCTGATTAAATTCTGCTTCCTGTGCTTTCACCTTTTTAGCTTCTTCACGTTTTTTCTCCTCCTTTTCAACTTCTCTCGTTTTTTGTTCCTGGGTGACTTTTTGCGTCCTCGTGTACTCCTCTCTCTGTTTCCGCTTCTCGTACTCTTTCTTTATTTCGACCCAGTCCTTGTCGATGTCGCTTTCCAAAGTTTTAATGTATTCTTCATGTGAGATTTTACACTGATGTCAGGAATTATCCATCATTGGACAAGCTTATTGTTCAAATGTATATTTCTTAAAAAGTACAGTAGATATTCAAATACTTTTTTTTGTCACTAGTAGACCAACCAATTGGTAGTACAATGTCACGTAATCAGGTCTCAAAAAAATTTCAATATGGGGAAATAATGTCTTCTACCGCGAGCTTTCAAAATTCGGATGTCAGAAATTATCCATCATTTTTATTTAACTTCGTATTTTTAACAATCTTGTAATAAATGATCGGTAAAAGTAATTTTTAGTAACGTGTTGGCCCACCCTGAGCAGATATTACTGCTTGACAGCGGCGACCCATCGATTCGACGAGAGTCTTTGTCACTTCCGGGGTCACAGTTTCGAATGCATCCGAAATTGCATTTTTTAGGTCCTGTTTATTTGAAATATAATAGTTTCTGATCCGTCTTTCGATATGGTCCCACAAATGCTCAATTGGATTCAGATCCGGACTTTGGGGGGGCCATTCCAACACTTTTATCTTGTTTTTCTTGAAGAATTCCCATGTAGTCTTCGCAGTGTGTTTGGGATCACGATCTTGTTGGAACGTGTAGCGGCGCCCAAGACCAAGTTTTGCTACAGATTGCTTTATATTACGGGACAATATACCCTGGTACACGTGTTGGTCCATAGTCCCGTTTAAGAATTCGTGACCTCCAGTCCCTGCGTAGCTAAAGCAGCCCCAAACCATAACGCTTCCACCGCCGTGTTTTACGGTGGGGTTGAGGTTCTTCAATTTTAGAGCCTCGTCTGATTTTCTCCAAACTCTGGCACGTCCATCCGACCCAAATAAGTTGTATTTGCTTTCATCAGACCACAAGATCGAATTCCAAAAACTTTGGGGCTTATTCACATGCTCCTTTGCAAACGCAATCCGTTTCTTCTGGTTGACCTTTGAAATGAGTGGCTTCTTCCTGGCTCTGCAACTCTTAAATCCTTCAGACTTGATTACTTTAATGATTGTGTTACAACAGGTTAGTTTTCCAGTTTCATTTGCAACTTGATCTCTGATCTTAGAAATTGTCAATTTTGGGTTGACCTTCACTTTCTTGATAATGGCACTTTTTTCTCTCTTAGAGAATATTGGCTTTCGACCTCTTCCTTGCTTGTTTACAATTAGTCCACATAATTTGTGCTTCCGAATTATATACTGAACTGTTGAACGAGGTATTTTAAGCAAATTTGCAATTTCTTGTTGGGTTTTCTTCCCATTGGCATCGCCCTGATGGTGCTTGATTACCAGTTCGCGAATTGCAAATGGCGTCTCCTTGACCTTCTTCCCCATAGCCTATTTTGTACAAGTTTTCTTCGTTAATCGTAAGAAAATGATCTAAGAACAAAAATAAATTAAAGAAAGAACTTACCAAAACAAATTATTCTTTTTTTCAGCTGAGGAGCAAAAAAGATGGATATTTTATAACACGTTGATTTTGAATGCCCGCGAGATAATTTATTTTTACCCCATATTGAAATTTTTTGAGACCTGATTACGTGACATTGTACTACCAATTGGTTGGTCTACTAGTGACAAAAAAAAGTATTTGAATATCTACTGTACTTTTTAAGAAATATACATTTGGACGATAAGCTTGTCCAATGATGGATAATTCCTGACATCAGTGTAAGTTGCAATTTTGACATTTCCATTTTCAATAACTTGACAGCTTCTGTTTTGGAAGAGATATGCTTCTTTTCAAAATCTTGTACATCATTAAGAAATGGTCCTCGTCTTGGAAGAAATCGGTTCATGACGTCATTGTAATTTATTCTCTGTTCCGTCTGCAATGCCAAGATTTGACTTTTAATTTTCATTACTTTCAGATTATTCCTATTTACATAGGTCTGTAACTCCCTTTGTAGCTCGTGTTCAAATTCCTCAACTTCAGTTTTCAAGCCTATTGCATTTCTTGATTTGGTTGAAACCCACATGAATTCCAAAATATTGTGAGCGATCTTTCTATAACCAAGTTGTGCAATTGTTCTAACTGATTTGCGATGAATATTTTCTCATTGGTAAAATCTTTCATAATTTTGCTGTAGAAATCTTGAATTTGTGGGAGCAATTCTTTAGCCAGCATAATTTCATATTGATTAATGCTTTCATTCTCTTTGGCATATTGAAGCTTGAAAAGCTCTATGCCGTGATTTAATATTTCTTGGGCAGGCGCAAAGTTGCAGTTGAAGAGTTGCATTGCAGATTGTTTAGCCGTATTAATCACTTCGATGAACTTGTTCGGACCGAAAGAACGGTTACATTCGAATTTCTTATTCATATCTTTCCTAAATGAATCCAAACACTTTTCAATGTGTTGAAACGAGTTGAAATAGATTTTGATGTCAGGGTCCTGTTTAATTTCGTTGACAAAAAGTGCTCCTAATTTTGAAGTTGTTAGGTTGACCCTGGTGACAATAAATTCGTTTAAAAAAATTGTTCCAGTCACCCTTCTCTCGACAAATTGGACGACCCATGTTTTCAGAATAGATATGAATAGTCCTTTTTTGCATTTTTCTCGGCATTCGTCCAAAATAGATCGTCGTTGGTTATGTTCAGATTCCACTCCCTTGTGCAAATCAGCTACAATTCTTGATGCCACTAGAAATGCTTCCGTATTAGGTTTATCATCCTTGCCCTTGATTTCGTCGGGTAATGCGTTGGGTGGATTTGCACATTTGTCGAAGTCCTTTTGTATTTGTTCATTTGTTCGAGCAACACTTTTTGCATGCATCTCATTAAAGTTGGTTTCCTCAAGGAAAAGGTTCTCCAACAGATAATCGGAAATCAAATCTGTCATTTACTTCTTATACAGGGATTTTACGTTTTTCATCCATTTTTGCTCTGCAGCGTTGGTCTTGTTGGTTGAAGATGGTACAATGTCCCTTAGTTCTGAGTTGTAAAGAGTTATTATGTTATCTCTTCCGTTAAAAATACGAATGGGGCGAACTATAAAGAAAATTCCAATTTTACCTTCAATGCTGGTTTCATTCTGCATACTTGAAGCATCCCATTTCTTTAAGATGCTGGTAATAGTATTTCTCGTTTTCTCAAAATTCTGTAGCAATGCAGTTTGCATCTCTTGACCTCTGCAGTTTGGCTCATATCCTCCCGAATTTATTTTCTTATCATTAAGCAGACAAGGTGAATGTTCTCCAGAGTTTTCCATTTTTGAGTGATCGTAAATTGGGCTGTAATGAAAAATGAAGTGAACACTGCTCAACAAATTTGAATGAATTTAATATTAGTTACACATTATTCAGCAAGCAAGCCTACCAAGAGTCACTATAATAAAGAACGTCCGGGAATGAATGGGAATGGTCTGAAAATGTGGTCATAAAATCACAATGAGTTATCGGAATTTTAAACTTTTTGCATATGTATAATACCAAATACGTACCTACATAATTTAATTAATAGCTAAGGCCGCCACACCCCCGTTGGCGACTAGTTCGATTTTCTTGCGAAGATTTTTCATTAAATTTTTTCCCGAAGTTTTTGCCACTTCCGAGGTGATTTTCTTCCATCGTCCTTTGAATTTTCGAAAGGTGTCAGGCACATCTTGAAGCCGGGAGTATACTGACTTAGAACGTGCCCAGATTTTTTCGATTGGGCGGAGTTGGGGTACATTAGGTGGGTTGATATCTTTTGGTACGAAATCAATATTTTTCTTTCTGAGGTACTCGGTCACTTTCTTTGCATAGTGACAAGTGGCGAGGTCAGGCCAAAACAAAACTTTATCATTTTTGTGAAACCTATTAATAAATGCTTCCAATCCAGCCTTGACGCAATTTTTCAGATAAATATCTTGATTGATATTCCCTTCGAGAACTACCGGGTCTGATACATGTCCGTGACTGGAGATGCATTGCCAAATGCAATATTTCTTTGGAAATTTGTCTTTTTTTCGTACTTTTTCTTCATAAGCCACTTCAGAGGGATCCGAGCTATGAAAAAAATGACGCCCTGGAAGATTTGAAGGGTCAACCGGAACATACGTTTCGTCATCCAGGATCACTACTTTTCCACGCATTTTCTTCAACAATTTTTGACAGCAATCCTTGATCCGACTTTCTTGTACGGGCTTGTAATTTGGTGCAGGTTTTTTGGTCCTTGCTTTGATTCCTAATTTATGGACCTTAATTTCCCCCAGGTAGCTTTTGGAAATTTTGACTTTCCTGGCAGCTACAGCTACTGACGTTGATGGCTTGGTTTTGAAAATTTTTTCAATTCTATTTTTCACTCGAGTGGTCGCTAGCTTCGCCGGACGACCAGCTGGCTTCTTGAATTGCACATTTTCGGAATCCTTGAACTTTTTTATGTAGGAATACACATTTGAACTTGGAATTCCTTCCTGCTTAAAAAAGTTCCAGGTCACCTTGGAGTCTCGGTTGGCTGTCGTGTTGTAGAACTCCATCACTCGTTTTGCTAACAGCTCCCTTTCAAACAAGCTTCTTCTACCCTTATCCATTTTTGAAATTTAAGAGTGATATACCAAATTGACCCTAATGAAGTGGGCTTTCAGAAATTTAAATTATTATAGTTCGCGGGTTTATTGATTTGTCAATATACTCGCTAGAGCGCGCATTCCCATTCATTCCCGGACGTTCTTTAAACTAAAATTTATGAGATTGTTGTCCCATCATCCCATGAGGGTGTTGCTATCCCCATTTTCTGAAAATATTTTTCTTTGGTACACAAAAGGAAATATCTGTCGACTTGAAATTCTACAAAATACATGAAATACAATTTGGCTCTCATTTCCACAACAAATGGAGCACTGATATTCAATCAGATTATTTAGGAATTAATAGGCATTCAAAATAACTTTGTATAACTAATTTCAAATTTCTCTCGCTAGAAACTCATAAAATCTAAGGTTTTCATATAAAATATTACTTCGTAATTACCTTGTGGATAACCTGATTACCTTGTTTAGTTTGAAATTTCATTAACACAGTTTTACGGCTAGTTTCACCAAGTTTTTTAGGTTTTAAAATTTCTCCAACTTTACAATAAATCCTCAGCTTGTCCACTGCAACTAATTTCACTAATAAATATACAGCTAATAATATATTTACATGAATCAAGAAGAAGCAGATTTTGCTGTTCATATGTATGTAGGTAGATTTAAATACATGTTCCAACTGCACATTTGTTCTGCATTGCAATGCTTTTCATCCACCAGATCTCACAATGTTACAAATGTGAACCATTATTTGTTATCATGCTACCAAAATCTTTTTCAACTAAATAAACCCATACTCGTCTTATCATACAATTTACAATTCGTGAGTTTTAGTAGATAATGAAATAAGTCAAATACATGCCGAACATGAATAGTCCTGCTACACGGTACCAAACTAACCTTATAATTGTATCCGGTGTCTGTGTCAATTCTTGATTTTTCTTATAAAGGTAGATATTTTTAACGCTAATGCTTTTTCCACTCATCTTAAGAAAGTCTGTGTATATGACGGTTGTGTACTATGTAAAATAGAACTGACCATGTTAATGTTCATATACTGAACCAAGTACAAGTCATCGGTATGTACATATGTACAAATGCTTTATGAATCAATAAATTGGCACCGTTAACGAAATATATGTAAGCATGCAGTTCAATACACAAACAATGAGTTCACAGTAAATTTTGGTTTTCAGATTTCGATCCGCTCGTATGTTTTCCAGGAATTATTTTAACATGTTTAACTTTATTTTTAAATTATTTTCGTAATACATCAATATTTTCAAAATTTTTATTGAAAGAAAGATTCAGAAAAGAAATAAAAACGGCATATAAACTCGCCAGAAGCGAAAAATGTTTAATTTAGCGTATCTGTAAATTCTTTTCCCATTTTTAGTATTATTTCTCTTTTCGGCTACGAACCTTGACAATTATTGTCATTTCGTTAAAAGAGTTGCCTAAAAATGATTCACCACATTTCCATCTATTCCCTAGTTTCCTCGTAATTCGAAAAATTCTTTTCATAAATACTCCACGAAACCTAACCTCCCCGAACACCCACGTCAGACATCCTGCCACCAAACCGATCGTCCAAGTGTAGAAGATGATCTGAATATGCGAGCTCAATTCGATAGGAAAAACATCATTTTGAACTGGGCCATTCTTGACCGCAAAATACATCCCACGAACGGACTTCCACTGACAAATATCTTCCCAATGGCGCATGTATCCTCCTTCGTGGAGACGAGCCCCCAAAACCTTTGCCTCTTGGGAGAAATAGCCCTGAAACAGAATGAAGGGTCGAAGAACAAGCTGCTCACTCTGGTCCAACGCGAGCCATTTGAAAGCTCCCATTGAAAACTCTCTCCGTCCCCGCAAACCAATTTCCCTCTGATAAACGGAATACTCGAAAATATGCATGAGCTTATTCTCCACGTAGAATTTATAATAATCTGCAAATTTATAAGACTCCGGTCTTCCGATATAAAATGCTTCTGAAGCTGACAAATTTCGCCCAATTTTTGCTTCCACATCCGTCCGAAATATGGCGAATAAGGGATGCATTTGCTCCTCATTGTGTACCTGAACTCTGTACCTGAAGGAATATTTTAATGAAATTAAAAAAAACTTGGAAACACATTTCTGAGTTAAATAATATGCTATAAAACTTACCCGTTATCAAGAGCAGCTCTCAACGTCTTAATTTTCCTTTGGGGCGGCTGCGAGATAAACATGCTAGTGAAAGTACCCAAATACAAGTTAACCAACAGGATAGAAATGAGTCCCATAGCGCATATCAGACTGAGGGATTTGTAACGAAAATTCCTGAATTCATTAACGCTGCTGAACGTGGAAAAGAAAACGGAAATCAAAACCCATCCAATTGTCCTCCAATTTACGGTAAACAAATCCCTCGTAGTCCTATTCCCAGTACTTGACAAGATTGAGATCAATATGCAAATTACTAAGATGCAGACCCACGCAAGAGTATCGAACGGATGAAGAAATATTTCCCAGGTGACTTGAAAAAAGTGTCGAGCATACGTGTTATAATATAAATCCCGGTAAAAAGGATCGTTAAAATAAAGGGCGGCATTTAGTTCTAGGAGACGCCCAATATCTTCAGGATAGAGGGTGACCGCAGTGGCGGATAACTTAATGTACAATCCCTTCTTCAGGGTAGTATCTTCATAAACATCGATTTCGGACTGATCAGCGTTTTGAAAGGAAAAGTTCCAATGGTTTAAGCATAATCGGATAACTGGACCGACGTACACGCATTCATGCAATTTTGTCAAGTTGTAAGAAATACACTTCTTGTCGATGACTTGGGGCATCAGTTGGAGCAATTTGTTTGGGCGATGTAGGATTTTATTGTACAGAAAGTGAGTCCGTAACGCAGCGCGGAGATCATTTTGCCCCAATGGAACAAGTTTTAAATTGCAGAAGAAACAGTACATAAAGAGTTGGCGGGAACATAGGAGAAATAGTGGGACATAGAAAAATGAAGAATTTATATATTTTTTAACGTAAGCCTCAAGTTCACTTTTTGACTGGTTTGTAACGACGAGGAAGGTGAACTTATCTGTGAAGGAGACGCCAGACTTTTGTATAATTAAGACGGACCTTGACCAGGATGACGTTGATAAAATGTTGACATTATGTAGAATTGAGAACTTTGGGAGAGGTTGACGCAATAATTTAGTCGTAACAGTGGTTGCCATAGCGACATCGGGGTCATCCTGATCTTCCCCCTCGTCCAAGGATGTGATGGATTTTAAGGCAACAATTTTATAAGTTAGATGCTCTAGTATGTTGGGGTTGAAATTTAGGTACGAAATACAGCTAAAATCCTTTATCTCACAATGATTCGTGTCGAATGCTAGGTTAACATGAAATGAGGGGTTATTCACGAGCTGTAATGCTTCTGATGTTCCTGCAACCAAATTTTTAAAAATACTGAAATAAAGTAAATAATATACTTTAAAATTTGCAAATTTATGTAGCAACATGAAATTCTTCCTATGGCTTTCTCGATGGGATATGAGGATATGACATATCTTCAAGAACAAGATCTTATAGGACACTTAATGTATATACACAAATTTTCAAGTTAGCATAACATGCACATTAATAATTGAACAAAGTATTAAAAAATAATAATAGCTGCGGTGGAGGCCGTTTATGTACCTGTGGACGTGCAAGGCGGAAGGTCAAGTATTGCGTGGGGTCGATAATGAAAGTCAATTCAGCTGTGTTCCTCGTGGAGATTAATTATTCAGTGTGGCTTCATCGAGACAAAACAAAAAGTAGCATTTGACGTCATTAACACCATGCTTCATCTAATAGCTAAATACATAAATAAATAAACAACATGATTTATTTGACCCCTATACCACCGTGGCGACGGTTTTGAAGAAGGGAAAAAGAGATTAGGCCACGTCCAGAACTGTATTCGTATGTTCTATTCCTAATCCCCACTGGAGGAGGGAGGATCATGATTCGCCAAAAATTGGTTAACTTCTTTATATAAATATGCATGCACATTTATGTAGGTACGAGGAGCATGTGTGTGCAGAACCTTTTAAAAACTCCCATTGAAGAAGCATCCTTTAATTAGTTTTATTTATTTATGTAACCATCCATTAAGCCAACGGAAAGAAAACTCTAACTAATTGCTACACGCATCTGCAATGAGGCGTCTCCTCTTGGTGACAACTTTGGAAATTCATTCTGTTCCGTGGTAAACAATTCAATGAGGCAATTCACACACTCTTTAGTTCGAGGAAAAAAATATTTAAATCTGAAAGATCAACCGAAAACCAAAAATAAGAACACAATGCTGCAAGTTAGTAGCTAGGAAGAAGTCAAGTTGGACGATATATGTTTTGAATAATGAGTTCGAAGATGAGTAAAATCGGTCAAGTGGTTCCCTGGTAGGGGTCATATGCATACTAGGTCTGGTGGGATCGTGGGTGATGAATAATCGGAATGGTCACAGATGTCTGATATTCTGGGAATTTGTCATGTTTGAGTGCTAAGCCTAAAATATTATTACCAAATTAATTTTCGAAAATATTCATATGTACAAGTATGCAATTTTGAATGAAGCTGCAAGTGTATATGAGCTTTGCATGTATGTATGAAATCAATTTCAAAAATTTTGTAGCAAGAGGTCCGGTAAGTATAATTCATCGAATCTGTTACTCAGAACGTTTAAAATTTGTAATTTATCTTGCCTTCCATATTATTACTAGTGCAACTTTGCGACTTGATGTTTGCTGTAATAATATGCTGGAAAATCTTCCCAAACAATACATACTATTTTGATGTGTAAATCCATCGCATAGTTATCAGTAAAACTGATACAGCAATATTGATCATGACAGCACAGCACAACACGAAACCAAAATTGTTAGGCAGATCTGATAAGGTACTTAACTCGGGAATTCCATCAATAAGTATGCACCACAAATACGTATGATTACTATGTATCAAGCGTTAGTGGTGTGACATGCAAACATTTTTGCGCATCGGCGTGGTACAGATGCTTATGTGCATTATCAGAAAAATTACAAGACTTGAGATTTGAATGATTAGTTTAACAAATTGAGAAATAGATGATTGCTGTAACAACTTGAAATTTGAAGAGCACTTGCATTGTTACATTGTACTGATTACTGTACATTTTTACATCACATGATGTCATGCTACAATCCATCAGTCTTATCGGACGGATACGCCGGGTATAAATGTCAAGGTGGTACGTGTTGAAGCACCAGTCACACCCAATTAACTGCAAATCTAAGGTCGACCTAGTAGAACCTGGGAAAAAAGTCTTTCAAAATGTCGTCAAAACTAATTGTTCCCTTTCTCTCCCTATTTTTCCTGTGTGGCACCCTTGTCGTGGCGCACGTCCGTTTGCTCGCCCCCGTAAGCCGGTCTTCGATGTGGCGAAATCCTCAATTTGCTCCACACAACCCACCCATCAACTACGACGACGATGGGCTGTATTGCGGAAGCGTGCCTCAAGAGGAGGTCGTGACGACTTGTGGTCTTTGTGGCGATCCTTTCTCATCCCCAACGCCACGAGCTAACGAGCACGGAGGCAGGTATGGAAGGGGAGTTATCGCTGCCAATTATTCAGCAGGACAGGTAGAAAAAATGCAAATAAGAATCGTACTGTAAATTGAGAATTAACACCCTGTTTTAATTATGTAGCTCATCAACATTGGGCTCGATTTTACCACGGCGCATTGGGGATATTTTGAAATTCACGTCTGCGACGGTCTTCCAGAGAGTGAAGCCTGCTTTTTGGAAAATCGTCTCGTTTTTCAGCATGGTTCGAGTAAATTCCCAGTTTCTGGAAACGGTGGTAGTCAAACTATTCAAACAACGGCGCAACTTCCATCAAACTTAAGGTGTGAGCATTGCATTCTTCGCATGAACTATAGAGCCGGAAATAGTTGGGGAGGTAAGTAGGAGGTTTATAAAATTTTATGAAAGACAAATGAAAATTATGAAAATGAAGGAGGAGAGTAAAAAATGAAATATGAATTTGTTTATTCAAGATTGTCATAATGGAACTGAAGGAATGGGTAAGCTAAAAAAAATTATGATAAGTATTAAAATGTGTGTGTAGATTCTTTATGCATTCATTTTTTTAAAATCAGGATGCGGACGCCAAGAGACATTTCGACACTGTGCTGATATTTCTATTCTGTAAATCACAATTGAATACGTACAGAAAAATGTGATTCTATATGTAAAGGATACTTTGAATTGTAAAAATAGTTGTTCCGGAATATATTTAAAATTAAAATAAATTTAGTTCTGCAATGAAATATTGTCCTATTACAATAAGCATTAAGTGGATTATAATGAAAGAATACAAATTATTTGTCGATAAGCTATACAATACGATATACCTATTAGTCGCTAATGCAATAAAAATTTACGCATAATTGATTTACATTTATTTTATCATGACAAAAAATATTACGCATTTTTGCTCATATTGATATATATGGGTATCTATATGCATATTGATATATGCATGCAGATACATACGCAATTGTCCATACAATTATTAATAACGCAAGAAGATGCATATTTTATGTGTTTATAAAATTGAAAACTTTGAAATACTAGAACAACAAAAAATTTTACGACTTACTTAGTTCTAGGTAAACAATTATCTAAATTACAATTATGTCTGCAATATTACAACAAAATGACACTGCCAATTGTGCTCTCGTACATGAACTTGAAAATATTATTATTTGCATGAAAGTTATACAACTGGGTTGATACATGGGGTTGACTTATGTACATTGTACATAGATAAATACTATATATGCACATACATATTTATCTTCATGGTCATAATCGGTCTCAATCGGTCACACTTCGGTGCATTGAGGTAGAAGATTATCCATGGAAAATAAGGTTCCAGTTAGATCAGCTTCAGAACATTGTTGCCAGCTATTTGTTAAACCTAATTATTTACAGTCCTTGGACAGTTAAATTGTAAAAGTGAATATTTAGTTAATTGAAAAACGGAAACAGTGCACTCCATGAGTCACACCAAGCATGCACCGTAGTATGTACTTATCTATGTTTTTTATAATATATGTACATGATCTATGGCTTGTGCTATGATATTAATTCTTTATTTTCTAAGATGCGATACACAGTTACACACATAAAAATGTAGTGCTGGCATGCGACAGCAGAACGTTTAATGTTCTTGTATAAATAAGTCTAGATACTGGATACATGTCTTTCTACATGTCATTGTTTGGGGTTCGGACGAGATTTTGTAAAGTTTTTTACATTTGTTGCAAAAGTCAGCAATGTAAATTTTAATAATTCTTAAAAATTAGGGAAACTATTTCACATTATATAAGAGAAAAAATTAATCTCAAATGACATAACGTGTTCCTGATCAGTCCCTTATTTTAATGAGTCACATTCCATGCATGTAGTACCTTATATTAAGCTTTAAGAGATATGCACAAGATAACTGGTGTACTTATTTGCGTATACTATACGTTATTCTAGCCATATTAAAAGTATACATATATTATTGCTCAAATCGCGTCGAGCTGATCAGGCGTGAACTCGACTCATTTTCTTGGAGACTTGTTCAAACTTGATTGTAATTTGTAACATTTCATCTCAATTCTCAATATTATTCTCCCCCGAGCTCCTCAGTCTTCGGGTGTTGGGGACTTCAATGCATTTCGTTGTAACAAAAATTACATATGTAATTAAATAATTAATAGATAATGGGAAATAGGTCAAGTAAAAAGAAAAGTGCACCGTCAACGTCACGTCGACGAGGTGGTTCTCCGCCACCGTCAACTTCACACCCCGAAAATTCTCAGTCAACAGCAAGCGCTTATTTGGACAATTTGGATTTTTCTGAAATTACAAAGAAATTTGAATGCTGCGTTTGTCGTATCATCATATTCGGTGAAATTGTGAAGTGTGAACGTGGTCACAATTTTTGCCCTTCGCATTCAAGTTTGTTGGCAAACTGTCCAAGTTGTCCGGTGTCTCAATCAATGAGCGACGATCTTCCACCACCATCAGAAAATCTGTCATCATCTAAAACGTCAGCAAACTCGGTTCCTCCCAATTCATCCCCTGCCAACAGCGGAAAATCATCAACTTCAACCCCGGACAAATCGTCAGAAAATTCTTCACATAATTATTCACCTGCTAACTCAGCCACTGAAAATTCAGAAGACGAAGAAGATATGTCATCGGAAAATACACCCCCACGATCTCCAACTTGGTCCTCAACTTCTGAAGATGAAGATGTTGAAATGGAGGAACCTACCCTATGCCAATACGAAGGGGACGGGTGCCCTTATCGCGGTAGGTGTCAACACATTACGGAACAAGAACACGAACCAAATTGTGAATACCGGTTAGTTAAACATCACTTAAAAATGTGTTTACAATGTTTTACTATTTTGAATTAAATATGGTTTTATTTATTTTTGTAGTCAAATGTTATGCTGCCTTAAGAACACGGACATTTGTTCAAACTCCAAAATTCTGTTCCGAGAATACATCAACCATTTGAGGAGCACCCATCACGTTAAAGCAGTCAACGAATGTGAACATGTCCTCAAATATTTTGTTGTGCCAGGACGAAAATTTGTACCAGGTGAGTAAAAGTTTTACCTTGGAAAAATAACCTCTTTAGCTCGTCAAATTTATTTGTGAAATTTTTAAGCACAAATCATAGGTTTAAATTGCTTTTCCTGTTTACTATTTAGAGGGAGCCTTGAGTACCTTCATCATGGAAGCTTTTGATGAAGAATTTATTGTGAGAGTGGAAGAATTGGGGGACGAAGACAAAAAAGTATTCATTTGGGTCATGTTCCATGGACGATGGGAAGACGGCTACAAATTTAAAGCTAAAATTCAACTTTGCAATTCAGATCGTGCCACTGAAGACACTGACGACGAAGAAGAGGTAAATTATTCGTCAAGCATCATTTTAAGTGCTAAATAAGATGGATGAACTCGTCATTAACATATTTTTTTACATTTTATTGTTTAATTTTAAATTTAAACCAGTTAATCTATTATTTTTCAGGATGATTTTTCCTTCGTCGGGAAGGTTCGAGACACTACGAGTTTTAGTTGGGAACGGAATGAAAGCACCAGTCTCGTTCTCGAGTTGAATACTATTCGGAAAAATTTGACAACTGAGGTCAAATATGGGCGTTCTCAGGTTACGTACTGGTCAGTGAAGGTTACCATTACCAGAAGGGATGAAGATGAGGAAAGCGACACGGATAGAGACAGGGATAACACTGACGACAGCGATATGTATGAAGATATCGACGATAGCGACAGCGATGACCTTCTGGATGACTAATAAAATTATGTGCCATAATATTTAAAACTCGATAACGTATAGATATTAAGCTATTAATTATTTAGGTATACATTGTAGCCTACCTGCCAATTTCTACAATTTTATGTGACAATGTTTATCAGGTTATTATTAGTAGGTCCGAAAGATAAAGATCAACAGGACATGGAATTAGCATTTGTAATTGTAAATATGTTTGACTACCTACTTTATTATCTGCAACATTACACGTCATTCTTTATTTTATAACTCTTTTTTACAGTATTTTATATTGAATGCAAGTACATATATATAATAAACCCATGAAGTACGTACATATTGCATAGTAAATGAATCTCAAAGACGCAGACACCTTGACTTTCGTTTTCATGTTTGGCATATGTATGTATGTACATGTGTATATACATACATATACTACGACAATTGTGTTAGCTAATTTGCATAAAAATGGTAATTTCATTGTCATACAACCAAATCAATTGGAAGCAAATCATTCGCATCGTACGACAGGAAAGTTCCCTTTCTACGGAAGACGCCAACAACTTTTACTACGTAATTACATACGTCAATCCTTCTAGTAGCGATTAAGTAACAAGTATATACATACATGAGTGTGTTCTACAGACATTTTTCTATACACTTTAATAGTCAATTCAATGACAACTTTTCATCATCATGGAAAGCAACTTTATCTCAAATGAAAGAAAGTATTGTGCATAATTTGAAATTGCAAGTTTTCCAATGGCTGAAGGCAACTTTCCCCAAGTTGATGGTCCATGCCAGCTTTGGCCTGTGGCTGCCTAAATCCGGGATGTAGTATCGGGATCTTTTGCATTAGCTTAATAATTATGGAAGATGCCAGCACGCTCCATGAAAATCCGGCCACTGTATCCGCTGCTTGATACAAAATTTGACAATAGTTCCCGTCAAGCCATCCTCCCGCACCAAGTTCAGATCCACCAATTGATTTCTGGGCGAAAATCCCCTGAATCCAAATACAGACATAGATAAATTACGACACAAATAAATAATTTCTCGAAATCCTAGTGAATCTTACCGTTAGCAACATTCCCACCATACCCGCTAAACCATGAACCGTAAAGACGTCCAATGTATCATCCAATTTCAATTTTTCTTTAACTTTGCATCCCCAGCGACACAGGGTAACAGAAATTACGGCAAATGGGATAGTAGCTAATGGATGAATAAAACCTGACGCAGGTGTAATTACTGTCAATCCCACGACGGCCCCACAACAAAATCCGTACGCTGAGAAACCTCGCGTAGTAAAACAACAATCTAAAATTGACCACGTGACAGCTCCAAGTGATCCGGACAGGTTGGTGATAACGCAAGAAAGGACGGCCTGAATTGTTGCGCCAAATGCTAACCACAAATTTATCTTGCATATTTATGTATTTATATATTTAAGACTATGACGACGTATTTTACCTGATCCCACGTTATACCCAAAGGTTCCAAACCACATAAAAATCATTCCAATAACGAGGTAAGCCATGTTATGTGGTCTAGCGCTTCTTTCTTTCAGGCTTCTTGGGCCCAAAAAGTAGGAATATGTCAGACCTGCGGCTGCAGCGGGGACATGAATTGGTGCTGCGCCACCAAAATCAAGTACTGCAAAGTGTGATAGGTACAAATCATCAAACGTGCCTTTTCTAGTATTATTTTTCAAGACTCACCACCCATCTTGTAACTCCACCCATTCGGGTTTAATGACCAATACGCGCAGGGATTGTAGACTAGCAGGCCCCAAAGTACCATGAAGACTAGGGCAGGTAAAATCCTTGCTCTTTCCGCAATTGACCCTGATATTAGTACCGCCGGAAAGGCAGCCGATGCTCCTTGATAGAGGCAGAAGGACAATTCGCTAATCCGAGTACCTGTCGGGTAGGATTTGCCAAATACTCCGGTGTAAAATGATTTTTGGAAATCTCCAATCCACGAGTTTCCACTAATTTTAGTTTATAAGTACATGATATTTATCGAGTATCAAGTGTGTAGAAGATGCGACTACAGATAAACTTACCTGGTAAGTGAAAATGAAAGTGAGTACCCAACAACATACCACTCAACACTTGTCAATGAAACGGCACACAGGGACAGAAAAATCATGGACAACGCACTTCTACTGCTGGCAATGCCACTGTAGAAAAACCCACATCCGGGAACCATCAGCCACATTAAGCATTCAGCCACATCAGCCACATTTCCAAATACCATGAACGCTTCATTCTCGAAATTTGACGTTATCAGATCTATACAAAAAATAATTAAAATTATCTGGTGAACATGGTGTCAAATTCCGTCGTGCTAACACCTCAGACATACCTTGGACAGGATAATTATCGCCTTCAATAGTAGAATTGTACCGCAATCTTACAGTAAAAATGCTCGAAAGTTGAACAGTGTTTTCCATGTCGAGATGTTTGTGAGGACACCGACGCCGATGTGACATAAAGAAAGATGCAAATAATATACTTTATGCATACATTATGTAACAGTGTTTCAGTAGTAAAGGTCCCTGAGTAATTTCCTTCGAATTACTTAGATTACTAGGATATTGATGATTCCATTAGAGTTACGTTTACAAATCATTTTGTTCCATAGTAAATAACCAAACCATGTGAGCAACTTTATTGCATAGCATCAAATATAATGAACGTTAATAAAATAGTAGTGACCCAATCAGTAAACTATACCTGCACATTTGTATTTAATAATGCTGCATGGATTATGTCTATATTTTTGATACGATTAAATGATCGCAGCATTTTCCCCGACAACAATCACTGGTTTATGAAATGAGTACTTGAGCATTTGCTCTTGTCCAGCCAGATGATAAATCTCCATGCAATCGTTCAGAATTATTTTGTGTCCTGTTTGAGTCACTTCTGCCAAATAAACTTTGATAGACAAGTGGATCCATGTACGATATGCGTCCACTCAGGATCGTATACCATTATTTCACGTTGGACATCACTGTAACGTATGTATTTCATACCCCAGCACACTTAATTGTTCCACACAAAAGGATATTTATATCCAGATGCTTGTTCCTCACAAATTCAACATACGCTTTATTATGTGCAATGCCTGAACAAAACCGTCTCACTTTACATGATTGAGCTCTGCTCGTGTCACCCGTATAATCCAGCCTCACTCCATTCCTTCCTTTGTACATCTCTCCCTAATAAAAATTGTAATCATGGTTCAATTGCTGCTAATTGATAACGATTATAAATGGACGTCAGTATCAGTCACGAGCCGCCATTGTGTCGCAACCGCAAATGTACATATATACTCAACTAAACAGGATAAAACTTGAGGCTTTATTTATTTTACTGCTCAGTCGAATCTTCCACTTCAAGGATTTAAAAAATCAAGTTCAACTTCACATCTCCAAACTCAAGGTTTCTTTTTAGGCGTAAAGTTAGTAAAACATGAGCGACGTGTTCAAGGCCGCGTTCTCCTCCGGGAACGAATACACGGCAGAAGAAAAGGAAAAATTGGTCCAGTTCAGGAAGAACGTGGCCGACTTGTCCCTGACCGAGGAAGAATTGGAGGACGATTTTCTCATAAAATGGTTACGAGCCAGATACTTGGATCTTCCCAAGGCAGCCGAGATGCTTCGTGCCTCCATGAAGTGGCGGAAGGAGAATGAGATTGACACGTTGCTGGAACGGGAGGGCGATTCCATGCCGGAGGAGATGCGGAAGGGAGCGGCCATCGCGTGGTGTGGCATTTCGAAGGAAGGCTATGGCACCTTCGTCGTCCCCTTTGGAAGACACGATATGAGATCCATGCTGGAAAAGTATGGGGCCAAGGAGTGTGAAAAGTTTAACAACATTTTCATGTTGCAAATGCTAAAAATTATGAAGGAAGAAGGTGACAAGAAAGGTGTCAAATGTACGCAACTTATTGAGATTTGCGATTGCGAAGGGTAAGCACAAATGTGAGGGAATTCATACCCATGTTTTTAAACTGTGTAACATTTTGCATAAATTGACAATGCAAAAAGTTTAAATTTGCTTTCTTTACTTTTTTACAAAGTTGACGTAAATATGACCAAATCGATTATTTGTATTTTAGGTATTCATACCGACAAATGGCCACGAAACAATGTCGCGATTTTATGACCAATATGCAAACCAATATGGATGCAAACTATCCAGAAATTTTGCGATACGCTATGATAATAAATGCGCCAAAGGTGTTCGCCATTATCTTCAACATGCTCAAGCCAATCATCCCGAAAGCTACATTGGAGAAGATTGATATATTCGGGTAAAATAAATATTATCAAATACATACATAGGTTATGTACGTGAACACGTTTTAGCACCTGCTAGGGGAACGACAATTTTCACCACTTTACATAGATTTTCAATTTTGTCATTTACTTATAATATTCGAATTTTATGGATACTTCGTTATCATGTTATCCGTACTCTGAGTTCATAAGTTTACTATCAAATTTTAAAGCATTCTTCATTACGCGTGCTAACTTCCAAATTTATCCGTAAATGTATGCAAATTGAGCCCACCGAAGGAAGTAGTATAACCAACTAAAATTACATGTGCACGCTCGTTGCACTATTCTTCATTTCATGTGTTAAGGAAAAATATAAATTATTCATGTCCTCTTATCACCTTTAATTTCAGACCAGACCCTGAGAAATGGAGAGCCATCGTACGAGAGAAGTTTCCCGTCGAGTTGATTCCTGCTTATTGGGGTGGGGATTTAGTGACCGAGGACGATTATGCGAGTGGTCACTCCATTTGGCTTCAAGGGCCGGCCGACATGGGCCCTTATATGAGAGGTGAGGACATAATTGCAATATAGAACTATTAATAGAAAAAAGTGACCTGTAAATGAGCACTATTTACTTAAATTACGTGCTTTTTATGGTTACATAATTTACAAATTATTCTGCTTTAAACAATGGTTGGAATTATATGTGCTTATAATCACTTCAGGTTTGGCTGAGGAGGACGCGGCTTTCACAAAAGTTGTGGTCGCTGCTCGAGAGCGATTTATCCAAGAGGTCGAAGTTCCCGATAAAAATACAATTCTCGAATGGAAATTTAAATCCGAGGGACATGACGTCGGTTTCCACCTATTTTACTCAAAGGAGGCTCGTGCCAAGAAGGACCAGTGGGAAGATATCGTCCCCTTGGCGAGGGTGGACGCTCACACGCAAGTTCAGGAGGGGTCTCACCTCTGCGAAAAGGAGGGCATCTACTCCCTCGTTTGGGACAATGGGTTCAGTGTTATGAAGGCGAAAACGATCCTATATCAGATTTCATTCGTTGATCCGGCTCACCAAGAAAATCCAGATGCTTAATGTGTTCTACAAGTGGACAAATGGATGGCTTCATTTTTTTCAAAATTGAATAAAGTATTATTTGAGACAACAATTACATATGTGCATGCATACTTTTATTTTAAGTTTATACCGAGCTACCGTCCCCAATAAAAATTACTATACCATTTATCCAAGGGTAGAAAACCACACAACTGCTTTATGCCGTCGTATTGAAGTAATTTTACTGGTCTGTTCCTCAGAAGACCATCGTCTACTCTGAAGTGGGTGGGAATCTCCACCTGCCAATTTAACTAATGGGTGCGTGTAAAACTAACTTTCCAAATGCCTAAACCAGCAGCTAAATAGATAAGTACATACTTCTTAAAGAATGTTATTTTACTGTTATAGGAAAATACAAAAATTCCATGTCAAACAGATTTCGATGTATGCATCATTCTTTGTTTTCGATTCGTGACGAGTTAGATTAGAAAAAATCAGGATTTAGTAAAGACAAAATATATACGTACGTACATGAATATATTTTTAAATGACTCGAGCATATGAAGGTTTTTAAATTTTGCCAAAGATGTCAAAGTAAATGATTCGAAGCATCACTTTCACACTTTGTTGGTATAATCGTCATATTATTGGTAACCTATCATCAATGGTATTATTTGGCGAAATGCTTCCATGAAAAGTTCCAGTTTAATCTGAAATGAAGTTTATTAAATACGTAAGTGCATAATTATGAACTTGTATACAAGTGTTAAGTAAATTACCTCCAATATGTACTGAACATCAATAATCTTGCATCCTCCCAACCCGCTATATGGAATTGATTCAGGAATTTTCATTTTGTTGGTCATCTCCCACTTTTTCTCGCCATTTCCTAAAAGTTTGGGCCCTTCAACTTTCACAATTGTATTGCTTTCCTTCCTGGTACCATCAGTCCCCTTGAATTCGATTACTTGAAGTAATCGAATTTTTAAGGGGTTAAGATTTTGTTTCAAGTGGTTTTTCTGATACACCTGGAAATTTATGTAATCCCCGGAAACGAATCCACTCCGATCCAGTTTAATGCCAACCATGATTTTTCCAGGACGACAGAACATGTCATAAATTATTTTCTCCTTTTCAATTTCTAAAGGTTTTCTTAAATTTTCGATTTTGTCCATCGAAAGGTTAAGCCTCCCATCAACTTTAAACTCCTTAATTGCATTGGTTTGTGATTGACACCAAGAGCCCTTCATTATAGCTTGCATCATGTACGAGACAGTGCCAACGTGATGGGAGAATGATGAAGGGATCCCATGAGGAAGTTTGTAGGCGAAGGGATATCTCCAAGTTCCTGGAGGAAGACTTGTTGTATCGGCTCCTTCAAAATTATAATCCATGAAAATATTCATCAATTCATGATTCGCAGATAAGTAATTAATAATCAGCTTTAAATATGCATGCATACTTGTAATACAAGTCTTGTATATATGTAATGTATGTACACATATTAATTACGTATTGTTGCAACTACAATGTTGAATTTCTACACCTCATCATTATCATGATCGGGAAGATTAAACAAGCAAAAAATCAGATAACGTATGTATGCATATCTATGTACGTAGATAATGCAGTTGCAAAAACGATATCGTTAAACCTTACCATTACCGATGAGAGCCAGATCTTCGGTGAAATAAACTTCTTCGCCAGTGAAATGATGGGTATTCGGTATTCTGTAACCGGTTTGTCGGATTTCGGACCATTCTACTTTTGCCCGTCCATAAAAACGGATTCGGATACCTGTTAATACATTTCAATAAATGCCCAGTTTTGCTATCCTTTCATGAAGTATGTATTTATTCATTGTATATATTCATGTGTCGCTAAAGCTTACCACGATTTATTTAATTCGGCATGACAAATAGAATTAAGGCATTTAACCAAATAAACCATTACAAAGCTTACTTTTAAATTCTGTCGGGTTTTTATTATTAAGTACAACTTCTCCGACAATGCTTTCTCCTGGGATGAAACTTGCGCTTGGATGCTCGAGTATGATTTGCAACACTGAACTTGATCTCTGACAGGGAAGCATAATGCAAAAGCTATTCACAAACTTCAGAGTTTATTTTTTATTACTCTATTTAATTTAGATTGGCACAAGATTTTGTCTGATAAGTACCAGCAAGGAAATATATTTTACACATGTTTACAATCTCCTTATTATTATTATTGAGATTATTTTGCAATTCTGGGGGAAGCAGATGTCGAACATTGCCTCCCACCGTTTAAGATGAAAAGTAAACGAGTTATAGGTATAAAAACGTATGTCAAAGTTTGGCATTTGTCCAAACCAATGGCCTTGTACTCTGCTTTCATCATAGTAAAATCGTATATTTATTTATTTTATTTTCCTACTCGTTCGCTGCCTAATTATTTTGTTTCTAATTAAAGGTAAGTAAGACACTACTGTGGTTGCAATGATGAAGATGCTTAATATTGGGAATTTGGTATACAATTGGAAGATGTACATAAATCAATGGGCGTACTCACGACAAAATTATTATTGCAGCTCGTTTCAAAATATATAAAGTTCAAAATATTTGTTGGGGATTCGCAAAATATAATTTTGCAAATTTCGTCACTTATCCTTCATTAATTTAGTTTTATGGATTATCTGCAAGTTCTAGCACCGCTTTTGATGGAAGGATGAGTTTTCGAAAGAATCTGTAATCCGGTAGCAATCAATTATAAATATACGTAATGTTAATCTTAACATGGTTACAGACCTATAAAAATAATTTCATGTAAATATGTAAACGTCCTCAGGATGATCTCATATTCCGCAGCCCATGAACGTATTATGTAAATCTGAGTTAAATTAATATTGTCATTGTTATGTATGTATGTATGAAAAGAAATATCGATTTGAAGTTAGACAAGGAACGAAGCTTAGGAAAAAATAATTAAGGACATAATTTTGCCAAACTATAGGGACATATTTATATACATACATATTTATATTATATTGTACATAATCACAAGTTGTGATTCATTATTGTGATCATGTATATTGGACATGATCACAACAGTATAGTGCACGATTGACTTCAATCTTAACCTTATTGAAAAATACATGCATCTATATTTCCTTTAATAAAGTCAGAACTAAAACTCGGAGTTTTTTCCTGGAATTGTAATATTTACACTGCCTTATTCACCAGTCTTCCTACTAGCCTTCCTTTCCCTGGAGAGGAGAATATATATGTAATTTAAGAACGTCTCAAAACAACGAGCAAAGGTTGGTAAAAGTTAATCCCATGTAATCTAATCTTCATGAGTCACACTTGACCAGTGTTCCCCGAGTTCTGTGTTTTTGTGTTTAACAAATAATGCATGTATTATTTGTACTCGAAAAATACTGGATGCTAAGAATCCTACTATAGATGATATACTGATATTTACCTTCTTAGCAAGCACAACATTTTGAGAACCCTACGTTCGGTCTGGCTACAAATATACATTTTATTGTCTCACGTTTAAAAGATTAAAGAGCGAGAAAGACGAGATAAAATAAGCAAGCTAACCATATTAGTCCACACAGTCCCTTCAAGCACTCACTGGAAGTTTGTCACCCTTAATTTTCTGCACTATCAAAAATCTCACTGCATTTAACCCTTTACACTCGACAAATTTTCAAGAAATGCATCTTCAGTTTGTACCCAGTGTTAATATTCAGCCACCTTCAATAAGTAAATTTCTCAAAATGATGCTGATTTTACTCTTATTTTGCGCCTGCACTACCCTTGCAGACCCCAATATTATCAAAATCCAAGGCGAAACTGACCGAGGGTGGAACGAGGCAGATGTCGCCTACAACATTTCCAAGTGCAACCCCACCGTTCCCAACGCTCCAGGAGGACGGGTCCGGACAATGACGACGACGGGCAAGTGCTACAACGTTTATCGCGAGGAAAACTGTACTGGTTCTTTTGTTCGCCTGTCAATAAATAAATTGGCCGTCACCATGGTTTCGCCTAGGACAACTCGTTGGATTGGGGATCAAGTGGTTAGTGAGATCCTGCACGTGGGGTCGGTAGGACCTTGTTTTGACGATTGCGACTTGGCAAATTGGGTGGGCGACAGGAGAGAAACCACAGTTGTCACGTTGTATGCGAAACACCTCTATCAAGGTATGTATGTATTTACTACTATGTATGCATATTCAAGGTTTGGGCAAAATATATACATAAATAAAATACGTATGTAGTAGCATAATTTTTTACAAATTTAAAGTAAGCATTAGAAGTTCACAAATTAAGCTTTCAAGGTCAATCAAAGTTGATCATGGTACAAATATTTCGTATTTTTTGAATATACACACACACAAGACAATTGGGCAACTTAATATCGCAGAAAATTGTGTAATTTTTTTACGTGCAACCAGCATCGTAATACTTATCTACGTATGCCAAAAAGTTTAGTAAATTTACCATATGAGAGTCTTATTTTATTTTGAGAAATATTCCTCACAAATTTTTCCTAATTTGGTTCCAATTCCAAATAATGCGGTGCATCAGTACAGCGATAAATACAATGACATTTTTCCTAAGGTCAATAAGCCCATTATTGTCATCTTTCAAACCTAGGTGACAGCGCCTCCCTGGTTATTGATGAGGATGGCTGTATTCAAATTCCTCCACGTTACCAGAAAATCGGATCCATAAAGATTCCAGGAGATGAGACAAATTGCCTCGAGCTGCATAGTGAGGCCGACTGCGGAGGAAAGTTCACACAACTGAAACCTGGATATCCGGAACTGAAGCATCTTTGGGTTTGGGGGGCGAGCCGTGATGTTTTTCATGCCAGAGCGATTTCAAGATGTGGCATGTTTTGCAATAAAACCGAGCCAGAGAGCAGTCCAATTATCACAGACCAATTGGGACCCGGTACCGTTACTCTTTTTGACCATAAAGGTAACTGTAGGATATAATTAAATGGAGATTTATAAGGTGGAACATGTGTACATATGTTTTTAAATTATTTTTTAGGTTATGGCATGACTATAAATATTACAAATGGCTGTGTCAATCTGACTAAGTCTGTATATTCCATCCAAACTTACGGCCAATGTGTTCTTATTTATGGGGAACCAAACTGTGCTGATGAGCAAGGGTCACAGTCAAATGGGGAACGGGGTGAAATTTTCATCAAAAAGGATTTCATAAGGACGATTCTAGTCGTCGCCAAATCGATGAAACTTTGTGGAGCTGATCACAAGTCTGAAGAGAAGGAGGATACTTTACTCTTCGTTCTGAAAGTGACCACGTTAGGATTGGCGTTGGAGCTGGTGATCGTCTGCATCTGTCTTTGTGGGGTGTGTGCAATCAATCGTGCAAAAAATAAAAAATCAAGGTTCGGACTGGAGACTGATATTTAAGAACAGCGATTAATATTTACATTAATGAAAACTATAACTAAACTTTATTTTACGCAAAAATAATTTTCAGAAAAAGTGCACAATGTTTTTCAAGTGTTGCATCATTACTTATAATTAGTTAGTACTTGCAAAAGTTATGAAAAACCCATGGCATTCTGTATATTTACAAAATAAACTATTTGTATTTCCAAATCCTGCATGCAGCGATAAATTTAATTTTGGAATCCATGCCCTCAGTGAATTGACAAAATTAACAAATTACTTCATACTGCCCACACATTGGGATAATGACATTGTCACGATGTCAGCAATATTCATGGATAAACCGGAGAAAGTTATGAGAAAGTTATGAGCACAATTATTGCCACCATTAAAATAACAAATGCTTTCATATTAAATAATAAGTACATATATTTATTTCTTTTAATTTGATTATGAAATAAAAAAAGGTCGAATAGTAATGACAAAAAACTTTCTCATCAAAAACAAAGAAAAATTGAAATTTATTTCTGGAACATGAGGAAATTTCATGGTCCTGGCACAGCACATATTGCGGAGCACACGATGGCAGCACAGATCGGCATTGCGGTCCCACTTGCGGAACAAGTCGACAAACAAAGAACGCAGGCCATGGCACCAGCCTCCGTCTCAACCATCAGTCCCAACAAGACAAAGAGCACCAGGAGCACACACATTTTTGAAAATCTAAAAAGAAGTAAATGCATTTTAAAATTATTTTGAGTATCTACCATTGGGTGACACTTTAATAATTACGCAGCAGATAGAGTGACGAGTAACCGGCGATAATGTCTCTCACGGGGTCAACATTACAGACGCTTTTAATGTGAGCAACTGAATTGTGCCGCTTCCAAAAAATATTTTGTTGTCAAAAATGGTAATCAGGCCGTTTTTCGAGGAATTGATTTCTAGGCAAATAAAGGAAATCACTATCAATTCTAAAAATGAGATGCCTATAAAAAGTTACGATGTCATTTGCATGGATTTTTTAAAATTTTGACTATTAAAACAACGCCTTCATGTAAGACCGACAGCTGCTTTTGGCTAAGTTTAGAAACTTCCAAAAAATGCGTCGCACAAGTTTGGGTTTGAACTTCAAACCCAAACTTGAAACTTTGAAGATACGAAAAGTGATTTTGTGGAAACGACGGCTTAGTTAGCCAAAGTCCGTACAGAGTACAGACACAAGTCTTGATGTTGAAGAAACAACCCAGATTCAAAAATGTCAGAAACAATTATAAAATTAGTCTGCTACTGCTTAAATCCCAAATTATCTCTCTTCGTAAATAGTTCACAAACCTACTTGCATAAAATAGTAAATCTCTCGGCTTACCTCTTCGCCATGATGTATGTAATTATATGAAGAAAATTTTGTGATTATTCGGTTGAATAATTTTCACTGGACAGGTAATGTTCTGTTCTTCACAAATTGCATCCCTTTTTATAAGCCGCATGGATGAGAAAGGTATTTGCATATGCGCTTGTTTGCAGATTTTCTCATGTGGTCTCATGAATGCTGATGTGTGTTTTCTCATGATTCACAATTCGAGGCTAAATCAGTGTACATTGATTATTGGCATTTTAATTATTATTGCAAACTAAAACAAATTTGCTATATGATTCTTATTGTGACCTTTAAGATTCTTTAAGAAAATAATATGATCGTTAAATAATGGAGGAAACATGAAGTAACATGAGAATCCATGAACTGGCATTTTTAGAGCTAAATATATAGATTTGTTTATTTTATCGCTCGGGTCATGAGTATAAAGTATTTACAGTCATCTCTTAAGTACAACATTTTTAGGTTATCTTCAATGAATTGTCAGCCTTTCGCTACACTTGTACTTTTCTCAGCATCTTTTACTTTGTCTAGATGTCCTTTAGTTTTGTCATGTCGTTTCCGATGCGAAAAAGAGGACAGAGTTGTACCACAAAGGGTGCAGGTAAGGAGCCCTTTCACCTCATCTGGATGGTTTTTCTTAGGTGAAGGAAAAGTAACCATAAGGTGATCATGTTAAAAGATCACCATGGTTACGGCGAAGCCTAGGTATGCAATCAGCTGCAACTTTGAAAAGGTCGCACTGAGATTTCGCCCAAACCGTTCGTTGCATGGAAAACATGCTGAAACAAAAAAACCAGAGAATTCTGTTTTACAGATACGTTTTTTTTATTTTTTCAAAAATTCTAATTCCTTCAGGTAGAAAGTCCGATGCCTAAAATTTCAAATCCATTTCTTGGCATCAAGGAAGTGTTTCCGACCGGGGGCTTGCCATTTTTATTATTCTCCAGGATAATACGCAAATTGTAAGCCTTTGTTCGACTTAATCGGATCAAAACTGACGGAATTAGAGCTTTTTGAAATATTTGCATTAGGCAACCTATTTACGTGTTAAGTTACTGGTTGCTAACGTGCGGTGATAGTTTATTCAGCATCGCTATTCAATACTCAACATATCCAATGTTGCTAGACAATCGAATTACGTTATTATTAGATCGCTAAGTGTCAAGGCATTCTTGACAGAACAGAACAATCCTTAAAATTTTGAAACTGGGGGATTAAATTGGCATGCCACGCATCCACACCCACTGCGGAATTAAATTGGTATGCCAAGCGTCCACAAACAGGAGAATTAACAACGTTTAAGATTTTATAATTGCATATGATTTTATGCATATAAGTTCACAAATCACTAAAAATAATTAAATAAATAAATTTTAAAAAACAAACTTAGGTGAAGGACGCGCTTAAAATATTAAAACAAGAAGCATTAAAAAATGTCATAAATCGCTTAATATTTATTAACTTTTACTTCACCGGGGGCCCAACTGTTAAATTTTCAAAGCAATGATAATCAATAATAAATGTAGCTAAACCAACGACTTGATTAAATATGAAGGGCAGCATTACAGAAGTTATTAAAAATACGCCAGAACATGAGCAAATTTCCTCTATAAGAGGTGTCGCGATTTATTGAAAGATAATCATTCAAATCTTGCAAGTTTAATATACAAATACATATTACGCATTTCGTATAATTGTTCCAAATCCTTGAAAGTATACCTTTTTTCCTGTGTTAGTTGGGCCCCCGGTGAAGTAAAAGTTAATAAATATTAAGCGATTTATGACATTTTTTAATGCTTCTTGTTTTAATATTTTAAGCGCGTCCTTCACCTAAGTTTGTTTTTTAAAATTTATTTATTAAGGATATGGTTATGAAATTGGAAAAGAAAATTGTACTTTGCCGTCCCACGTGGACAGAACTGGCACGTGTAGCTTTTTTCTCTGGCTGAATTAGTGATCACTTCGGACGGATGAACCTTTTTCATGTGCAACTTCCACACATCTCGCCGGTTGAAAGTTTGTCCACAGTTTGACACCTCACACGTGATTAGAGGATTAGTCGAATGACACGAAGCGATATGTCGGACCAAGGCTCTTCCCTGTTTAAACCGTTTCTCGCAATGAGGACACGATAAGGTTGCATGGGTCGAGTGGGTCTGCATGTGTCCACGAAGCGTATCCTTTGCACGAAATGAGCGTTTGCACAAGCGGCATTTAAACTTTCGTAATAATTTGTCGTTACTCGAGTCTTGGTGTCTGGTTTGTTGATGAATTTCGAGTTTTTTGGAATTGTAACAACGACGCCCACAAGTCACACAACGATATGGAATTTCTAACGTGTGCTTGCGCATGTGAGCCTCCAGAAGTTTGAAGAAACTGTATCGGGGGACAAAAGAGCAAAAGTAACAGGATATGCGCTTGTGGGTGGAGGAATGATGTCTTAAACTTATCAGCTTGTTCTTTTGAGAACGTGATGCTTTCGGCTTGTTATTTAACTGTGGCGTTGTTACGGATTCTGGTTCGTAGTAGAGATCTGACTCACTGTCGATGATGTCACAGCAGTCATCGAGAGATTGCTCCGTTTTTACGACGGGAAGAAAATTCGGAAGGTAGTCCACCTCTTCCTGGTTGACATGAACATCTTGGGGGCCAAAATGCGACTTCAAGTGATGCATGACAAGTTGTGAGGATGGAAAAGTCTCTGCACAAATGTGACACGTATATCTTGGAGGGGACAAATTCTGCATGGAATTGTCAGATTTAATCGGACAGTTAAAGTTATGATCATGGTTGATGGAGGGGTCCGTCGGTGATTTTTTCTCCTGGACTGACATGACTTCTTCAGTCGTGTTGTCATCCTTTTCACCTATGCAGATAATTATTTATTTGTCCTGTCTGTTAGTTATATTACTTGAATTACTCTTTTATGTACCTATATGAAAAACGGAGTCGTGTAGCTTTACTGCTTCCAACGTGGAAAAGTGTTGATTGTGAATTTCGCAAGTGAAAAACATTGCTTTATTGTATTGGGAAAATCCTGTAAGTTTCGAACCACACTTTACACAATGCGATAATGAGAGAACATTATTAATTGTTTTCGCAATTTGTACTTACCACAGAGAAATTGAAACACTAACTTATTAAACTAATGTATGCTGTCATGACATATGAATTATACTTATAAATAAAATTAGATAGAAGTAAATTCACTAGTTTTTCAGTATAAATGGTATGTGTTTAATTATGTAATCAGTCAGCTGGGCCGGAAAAGGAGTGAATGTACTCGTACATATGTACATGCATAACACATATGTATGTACATAGCAGATACATGTATTGTATGTATATATTGATCTATAATTAATGTTTAGTTGGTTTAAAATATATAGTTCCGAAACAAATGCCCTCAACAAACATTCCGAATCTGCAGTATGGAAATGCGTAGTAAGTATAGTCTGGCCGTATTTATGTTGTATGTATTCGACAATTTGAGAGAAATGCATAGACAGATGTCAAATGTATGTATGTATGTACATATAGGTATGTATGCATATATATTTGACATGCACACTTATTTTTCAAGTCATGTTCTCCACAGACGCCAAAAATCAAATTTTTGTACATAACCAACCAGGTCGTAAATCATTATTGTGTACTAAATATGAATGCATTTATTTTAAAATTATTTTAAAATCATCAATTTAAATAGGACTCGAATTCCCTTGCGGTTTCATAAGCACGTACTCTATTACGTCTGGTACTCAAAACGCATTTATTTTCTGTCTTTTTTTACAAATATCCACAAACAATATTCGGCTGGCTGCTAATTATTGCATCATTCGGAGAAATATTCCCCTTCTTCATCCAACAAGTCCCGGGCCCTTGTCCATCCTGCGTCCAATCCGTCCAAGTGAAATGTGTGCAACTTTGCGTCGCAGCACATTTCCCACCACAATCTTCCCCTCTAACCTTCGCACTCGAGAGATCATTTCCCTTAAAGTCACACTCCGTCGCCCATTTTCTCCCAGCCCAGTTGACCCCACATTGTGCCGTGTTTGTAGACGATGGTCGAATCCATCCCTCTTTGTACGAGTGATTAAAACTCCAGTGTTTCCATCCCTGCTGATTATTGTGAGCCCAAAAAAAGTATCCCGTGGCCACCTCGTAGGATCCAATTTGTTGTTGAGCAAAATATTTCTGGTCGTTGCATTGCAGCTCGTTCGGCAGTGCGAGTGACCACTCCCCCACCACCGTCCACAACTTGGCGTTAGATTCTCGCAGTTTTTCGTGATACGTGCAAGGATGTGAGTAGTGCTGCTGGCAAGTCATCTTCCCCCATTGGTCACCAAATACTTGGTATAAATGCATATCAAGCATGATCCAGTAGTAGTGTGAGTCATCTCGGAGATAGTACCAGTTGCTCGGATCAATAAAAGCGTCATGGACAGCTACAACTATTATGTCGTTGTACTTCCGGACCTACACGGCAAAAAATCGATTATGGTTAGTTTAGCATGCACTTACATATTTATGTAAATGCTTATCACTAATGTGTGTACCTCATCATACGCCATTCTAATGTATTGTTTAAGACGAGTTAACCGATAATTATAGTCATTGCCCCAAAGAACTGGTTCATTAAGGAGTTGGACAATGGAAACAGTGTCCCTCCACTCGGGTGCGTTGGCCCATTTGGCTATCTTCCCAATCACATTAGTCGCCCTTTGAAGGTTTTCGTCAGAGTAATAAAATCCAATTGGGCCAGATTTTCCACTGTGGTCGTTACCATTCTGAAAAATATACTTAAATCAGATAATGAACACGTTAATTATACATGTTCAGAATTTTATTAACCTGAGACCCTGGTGCACCGTGGAGGTCAACCATTAACTGCAGCCCGTATTTCTTTGCCCATCCTGCAGCCTTTACGACATAGTCCCAAGAACCTGCCACCCAAGGCTCTCCATTTTTAATGTCGAGGGCCCAATAACCAATGGGGAGACGAACATGGTTCAGTCCTGCAGACTTGAAGGAAGCAAAGTCTGCCTCTGTCACCCACGTGTCCCAATGAGCCCGAAGCGTTTGCAGGGCCCCAGCTTTTCCCAAATGTTGACATAATTTGTATTCGTCGTTAACCGAGTCGGGCAGCCCTGTAGAGAACACGGTTTTGTTAGAAATCGGTTTTAATTGTATATTTTTTATTATTTCTTATTACCTTCAAATGGTTTTGGGGTCATCCATTTTTCTAGAACCAGCCAGGACCCAATATTCACCCCTCGAACTTTATCCTTGCCATAAGACCACCCCCAACTCTGTTTTGTGAGACAAGCTAATAGTATAAGCGCAACTTTTACCACAAAAGAACACATTTCAATGGAGTGATAAATTATAAACTGAGGATGTGTTTTGCAACTTCTCCGTATTTATTTAAAAATGTGGGCATGACAATTTGTGGTCAAGCATATTTCTTGGATGGATCACATAAATGCAACCATGCATATGTATGGAAATGCGTCGATCTTTACATTGCGTGCCTTAAAACCAGTCAACACCATGTTTTATACATTTGTTATGTCATTTTTATGTAAATAGTTGTCCCGTGACGGAAGAAGATCCTGATGCAAATAATTCCATGAAAATAATTAAAGAGAACATGCATGCATATGCATATTTTGACCATGGTCCAGCATCCGTACAAATGTACATCGAATAACTTGTTAGTTTCCTACGTATGCATGTATATGTATGTATATACCTAAGTACAAAATACGTGCTAGATGTTTTTATTTATGCACAGTTATACATAACATGTGAGATAAATTTATGTAATTTGAAATTCTACTACAAGGTTATGCTTTTTTTAACGTGGTGAAAAGCACGTACACGTTCAGTAAAATAAACAATTACGAAAGCTGCAGACGCACTAAATAAATAAAATTATGTAGTTCGCGGAAACACCAATTTCATCTACGTATTTATAATGAAATTATGTAGTTTTTCGCTATAAGGTGGATCATAAATAATGTTACAATGACACGAGCATAACATGGCCATTTTTTCATATACGACTTGTTAGTGAATATGTCCTTAAGATGGTCATAATATCGAAAGTAATTTATTACTTCAGTGTAACAATTTTGCAATCTCTAACACTCGTTACAAAAGCATTACGGATCTTTCTTTTTCCGAAATTAGTGCCCGGTTTTATTAGAACGTCCCCATATGTTTCTGCTCCAGACTGAATTCTGAATTTCGCAAATTTGTCTGCAGTTGGGCGTTCATTATCAAGCCGATAGGTTTGTTTGGTTTTTGTCCCTTTGTAAGTGGCATAGGTTGACACCTTGTCATTTAGAACTACACTGTCTTCGTTCCACTTTTGAATTAGGGCATTTATATCAATCCGTTGATTTGGGGTGGCACAGGTTAAAGCTAATAATGGGACAAGAATAAATGGATTAATACTTTATTTAGTTCGTGCAAATTGTATATTCGTCAAGAATGCATTTCTTACATGCGAAACTCTCCACTGAGTAATTGAGGGAAATATTGAGACAAAATATGATTCCCAAAAGCATGAACCTCAAAATGTAATACATCTTCATTCTTGTTGTTTGTTATCTGGGAAAATTTTGAGCAGGCGATAAACTAATTAGAACGGCATACATTTAGCTATGAGCATTTTGGGGCTATTTATATGCACAAACGAACTTAATATGAGCAATAACTTAAGAAATAATGCAATTAAAACAACCAGAGGTATACCAATTTTTTGAATAATGAATTATACCACCTGTAGCAAATACAATTAAAATTAATTTATCTGTTAGATATGTTATATTTGCATAATGAATAAAATGTACGTATTAATTTATATGCAAATTAACAGAACAGATTCTTGAAAAATTTTAACTCCAGGATTTTGTCAATAATTTGTTATTGAGGTAAATGCTATTATTTGTGGTTTGGACCTGTCATGAATTTGTAATAACTGATGTATGTTTTAATTTACAGATTTATTATTATTTGGAGTACATTTTTACAAGGGTATAAGTGGCTATAAGTGGATTAAAAATATGCATAGTAAATTAAATTAATAGTATGCTGTTATTCCAATCTTATTGGTTGTAGTTTTTAACGCAGAGAATCGAACTAATGGATTCTGATGAAAGCTTATATCCATAAGAAAATACACTTGAAAAGAGGAAGCAAGGAGATGCAGTAAAATCGAAATGGGAATTCTACAGCTTCCGCTTGTTTAATTGTGAGGCTAAAAATAAATATTTCTTTTTATGTAGAGAGAGTTTATGTAGCTGTTGATCATCCCGGATTTAAAACAATATCTCCATCTGAAAAGTATGTACAGAATAGGTTGAAAATCACAGTTTGTTTCCAGTACATATTCAACTTTAATTCATTTCAAAATCTAAAAAAATTAGAAATTCGTTTAAAAGGCAAATTCTTTCTCATAAAAAGCATAATGCATACCACACTTCATGTGATTAATTGTCTCACTGCAGAGTGTAATCTCACAGTGCAGATAAAGTCCTGCTCAGGGGACGTGTTGGTCATTGACACAATAAAAGGAGAGGACAACGAAGAAAGGTCGTTTGGTAAATGTGGTCATAATGTTCGAGAAGATTCAAGGGTATTAAATACACGTATTCCATTAAATATTTAATTTTCATCACATTTCTTTTGATTTTATTTTCTATTTTCAGCTGGCTTACAGCATCGATCTGTCTGAGATGGGTGAGGGTGGCTCATTGCAAATTTTAGTGATTTGGCACAAACATAAAAAATATGGCGAGTGGAAATTTGTGCATACCTCGCAAGATCTGAACATGACTTCCCTAAATTATTACGTGACGAAGGGAGGAATTTTTTACACTGGAAGAAAACCAGGCGACGAGGGAGAAGTAAATGCCATCCCGGTGAAAGTTGTGCATTGGAGAAATGCTGCGATAATTGAGGAAATCCGTAATCATGAGGGACAAATAGTGGAATTTCAATGCTCTACGGGTGATTAACGTGTTACATAATTTAATTTTTATGGACAAATTGTATACAATGTGTTGTTAAATATATGTGTATTCCGCTGTTTATGTACAATTGAATAAGGCGTTATTTTTCTCAACTAAATACTTAAAGCATATTTGCGATCGATACTCAATTTTTGGGCAATTTTGATCGTTACCCGATGATGTGCGCACGTGTGATGTATTCATTACATACCCCCGGTCCATTTTCAACTTGTTCTATGTATGTATGTATTTGAATCCAAATACTTCTGTAGGATGAATGAAACGATTAATTTTATAAACATCGTTTAGACATTAAAGAAGAATATGGGTAAGTGGAATTTATCATTGTGAATTTATAAGTAAAAATATTTACTCAATTATGTATCTATCAACCCACTGTATAATAATATGTCATTGGAAAGCTAAATTAAGTCAGGTATTGGTATTGGCACTATTTAGTTATCTAATTGATATAACGGACCTATTAAAGAACAATGGTGAAATTTATTCGGTTAAGTGCTGGAAAGTAATTTTGTTTAATATAACAGAAGTGCCAGCCTTTCCTTTTACCTTGTAGTTTACACTTTAATAGGAATTGTTTAAAAAAACAATAGTAAAAGTTATTGCCTCAGCAACTAATCAGATATGTTCATGTTTTTTTTACAATCATAAACTACATACATATGTACGTACATATACTCATATTCATGTCAATCATCGTAACAAGATTTTCCTTAGGTTCATGTATTTTAGATACATGTTAGTACATACATAAGTGCGTCACGTTCAAGTAGTCTGGAGATTTAAAGAATTCTATGTGACCTGTCGTGCTTGGCCTTTAAAAAATAAGGCACTCCGCGTGAAGCCTATGCACGGAGTTTTTTAACCGAAGAGCCCTTGGCATTTTTCATTACCAAAATTATACTGGATGCTATATCCAGTGGATCCGTTTTAAGCCTAAAAGTTCACGTCCTAGTTTACTACATGAAATATAAGTACTTACAGCATTCGGTCATTGTTTATTGAAGCTTTTTAAACCCTTCCGCGGAAGCGTACTTTAAAATAGAAGTCCTCGTAAAGTCTTCTTTTTCTACTACTTTACATATTCGCAGTCCAAAGTTTGTCTCCATTCTTCCACGAGTAACCAGCCACTCCACTACGTATTTAGCACTCCCTGGCCAACAGAAATGGGTTCAGCAAATCCACTCCCACCCAACTTTGGTGCTGATCTAGCCCAACAAATGTAAGAAACTTTAGATAATTTTTCAAATACATATTTAAAAAATAGTATAGTTGAGTAGTGCCTTGAATTTACTAATGTTTGTTAAAATTCGAGCTAAAAACGAGTCAAAATTATCGCAGTTTTCAAATCCTGAATAATTATCTTGTCATATTAAACATACACATATGTACATATAAAGAAACATGTAAGTATGTATGTATTATGCATACCATTATACGCTATTATTTCTCATGTCGGGAACGGGTTTTAAAAATTACATGGAAGAATTAGTCCGAACGCATTGCTGTGTTTCTATGAAATTATCATATATACATATACGCATTTATTTATTCTCGTGATAAATTTGCGAATATGCCGAACTTGCTGTTCTTATATTAAGATTCTGACTCACCCTGTTTGGAATGTGAAATTTGATATTGTCTGGACTTGTCCGTTTTGTTCTTAAATATTCGTATTATTGAGAGGTACAACATAGTCGAATTGCATTTAGCTATACGTAAAACCACTTCATACATACTTCATACATACTACCAATATTTGGCCTGCATTATCCATACTTGTGTACATGGACATGTATGTACATACGTTTATAAACTCATGTATGTGTGCATTCATACATATACTTTACTGCTATCATAGACGATAAATGTGACCTGTATGTATGTATTGAACAAAGAATAGTAAACTTCTCAGTCTGAAATAGTCTGAATTTACTGAAGTAAATTCAGACTAATCCTAAGAGACCCATTTGCTGTCGCACTCATGACTCACGTCAACTGTTTTAATTTATTTTCGTCTCAACTGCATTAATTTGTATTCCATAGCCTCAACATTTATTAGTATACATAACTTCCATAAACTATATTATTTTTCATGCTATTTATGTATGACCCGAAAATCAATTAATGCTAATAAATCGAGAAAAAAATATATGTACTGTACATACGTACGATTTTATTTCTCTACAGCCGTGAGACCATTCAAGCCAGCCTTGGAGGAGCAGGACTACGAGGTCGAGGTCAAGGTCAAGGTCGACCACGCCCACCTCCAAGTGCATCATCGGGCCAACCCCAATCTGGTACCACCGGAACAAGTGAGGGGGGTCACCATTTCGAGCAATGTACGGGAGACATTACGCTGACCACCCAAGTTTTGGACAGGAAGCCATTGACTCCGGAGGAGGAAGCTCGAGCACGACGTGGTGCTGCTCGGCTTGCACGGTATGAAACCCCCGAAACCATCGATATGACGGATCAACAATTAAAACGACTCGTCTTGTTGGAGAAGCTGCGAAATTTGAGGGGAGAGAGACTCCGAGGGGGCAATGCTTCACCGCAACAAGAGCGAGCTAACGCTAACGTTGCAGGCGGTGGTATTGCACCTGGTGTTGTAGGCGCTGATATGACCGGTCATGACGAGGATGGTCTGGACACCGACAGTGATTAATTTCTTACTGGATAGTAGTAAATCCTTTCACAATAATAATTTTCGTACTCTTTCAAAAATCTCTAGGAAACCGATTATCCTATGACGCGTAATTTATTATTTCTTACAAAACTAGTACATATATACTTCTTGGCAATTACATATATGTATACTGAAATACTGAAAAGTAGTTCTTGTGAAGGTAATTTGCTATATTTTGGAATAAATGAAGTTTGACATATTTTTCGTTTTTTGCTTACGATTTATTAGATATTGAGCGTACTCACGTCAACCTTCGCATATCTCGCATATCTCGCAAATTGAGCATAACAACATAACTTGCGAAGTTTTGCGAGATATGCGAGATTTCGCAAAAATTTTGCTGGAAAACCATGGGATTTTTTTCGCAAATTTACCCAGCAATTTGGCATGTTTTTATTTCGCAAAATTACTTCGCAAACTCATCCTCATCATCGCCAACAAGGGAAATTCAAGAAATCCATGGAAACAATACCAAAATAGGTGTTTTTCAATAGATTTGCGAGATTAGAGAGATTTGCGAAGTCATATTTTGCGAATCCCCTCACGACAGAAATATTTTGATCTTCGCAAGTTTGCTAAATGAGTTGCGATGCGAAATAAGACGTTGTAGTGAGTACGCCCATTATATAATAGTCAAATGATTAAATAGAAATCATAGACAAATCAAGTGTACATACTCCTGGCACGGGGACAACGAGTTAGCATTCATATTTACATGCATACATACTTCCTTATGACAGCATGGTCAACTTAACCGATGTACATATGTAAGATTATGTAATATTTACATTTTTAACTTGCGTCAAAGCTGAACGTTGAACCACAAGTACCTACACATATACATACAGTGATAGATCGTAATAAGTGTAAGAAACAGACAGGCAAAAGTATGGTTTCTATTTTATTAACCACTTCAACCCTAGGAGACGAGTTTTTTCATACCTTTCACCCCTAGTAACCGCGAATTTTTACCTCCCTTGACCCCGAAATTTTTATCTACTGCATGACGTTAATTCCTGGGCCATGAATTAAAAAATGGTGTTCCCACCGGAATTATTCTGGACACTTTTTTATGAAAATTGATGTGAATAACCTTTCAAGAAGGTATTTTGAGTTGTAATTTGCATTTTTGAGTTGTGGCGAACCACCAATGTTTATAGCCGAAAATAGCCAACACGCCGAATTTTAAAAATGATTGTAATTGCATGAAAAGTTAAACAAGCATGGAGTAATACTTGCATAATAGTACGTAAACTCGCAAATATTGATTATAGCGCATAAAGCGCCTTAGGAGCCGATTTTGGGCGGGAAAACCAAAAATCCTTACAATGACTTTAAATAGACAGCAATGACAATGAATAATTATCCCGTGAGAGGAAATTGCTCGAACATAGACTATGGCGCATCTGGTGAATAGAAATCAATTTTAAGCGGGAAAATTAAATTTTACTAATTCCTGGCAATCTCTCAATTTTTAATTTTCCCGCCCAAAAGATATTTCAGCGGCACCCGGTACGTAATCATTAATTTTGACGTAGTTTACCCTACCGGCAAGATTATTTGTGGTATATAATTAAATCCATGCAATGATGCAATTCATCAAACTTTTAGTTTTCTCGCCCAAAACGCCCATTTGTGCTACATGCGAGCAAAACAATTTCTCTAATCTTATCGTAAAGCGTTGTTGAAATAAATCGGTGTCGAAATTTCCTTGCAAAAAACAGTTTTCACAACTCGGCGTGTTGGCTAGATATAGCCACTTGGCTATAAATTTATTTTGCATCCATTTCTAATATTATTTCCTAAGAGACAATTTATCTTCCCGCCTAAAGGGCGGGTTGTTGACTCATAACTCTTGCTTTGCTTTGCTTGGAGAGGCAATGACCTAATTTTTTTCCGGATACGACACATAGTCGTATGCCGGCGTGAACGGAAAATACGCCACATAGTCGTACCCGTTGTCAAGGGTCAATACGACACATCGTCGTATTCCGGAGCCAAGGGAACTTACGCCACATGGTCGTATTCGGTGTAAAGATCAAATACGCCACATAGTCGTTATAGGGGCGAAGTGGTTAATTCTGGTATCGATTTTATTTTCTTGTTGAAGAAGCTCAAATCAAAATAACGAATTTGACAACTCAATACGAGATTTTCATATCAAAAAGTTTGTAATAAAGAAATAGTTAATAGGCAAAAATGCATATCTATGTGGCTCTAGATTCGTCTATCAACACCATTGTCTGGACAACAATCACACCAACGAATGGGTGAATATTGCTCATCATAATGTAAATAAATATGTTGACCATTCGCCACATTCAACCAGTTGCAAATGTATCCAACGTACGTGTCGGCAGGGTTGGAAAGACCTCCACAAGTACATCCATCATGTATACGACATGTGACCATTGTTCCGGGGAGAAATTTTTGGGGCTGCAATATATTAGCAAAAAAAATCTTCAGTTAAAATTCCACACTTCAATTCTAATATTATTTAGCTCGTTCTTTATAGCTTTTTCGACGAGATCCAATTCGCCCAACCAAATTGAGGCCCACTTCGTACCAAGTCATACCTTGTGAGTGACTGCCTGCAATTTTTTCTAGATTTGTGCACATAACTGGCTTACCGGGATAGGTCCATTCTCATTGCATCCATCCACCGCACAATCGCAGCCGAAGGGATATAATGATGGGGGCGCCACAGCCGGAGGACTATTCGGGTACTTGACACAAGTTCCAGAACAGCTCTGGTTGCAGAGACTCGTCCCTCCGAAATCAACGTAATCACCGTTGAGGGTTCCGATCACCGTTGCAGCAATTGGCAGGCCAAGATTTCCGTCAATCCCTGTACATTCTATGCCTCCCAATCTGCTGTAAATTGACGAAGTCAGCACATTCGAGTAGATAATATTGTTCAAGATATTGTCAAAAATGGCAATTTGTCGATGGCTTGGTTCCTCTGATGAGTGCTGGTCGGGTGAATTTGCTGTGTTCAAGGATGCAAGACTAAACTGAGAAGTGTTATGTGGGGGTGAAATTGAGACGGCCAAAGTGTGCGATGTCACCTTGATCATTGAATGAAGGAAAGTATGCAAATTTATTTATTCTTAATCAGCAAAGAATGCAAGGTATTTTTTATGTTTCACTTTCGCTATTTGGGAAACTTTGTAATTATACTTATTTACTAACTCACCATTGCAAAAATAATTGCTGCAAATTCCATATTCGAAAGATTTTTCGTGCTCTGATTTTATGTTTAATTAAGAATCTTACTTAATAAACCTTTAATCTCCTTCACTTACAAACGAAAGACTGTCAGTTTTTTAAGTATAAGTGCATGGATGATTCCAGTATCACCTATTTCGATTGAATGATTCGATTGAACTGAAAATATTAACAACTTCTGTTCCTTGAACGGTATATTTATATCGCAGAGTGTCCCGCAAGACAAGGGTTAGTTTATAAATAAATAGCGTAACGGTGATTTTGGATGTCCACTTGAAGGGAAACTAATGAATATGCATTAAATCTTCCAGTGGACTCGTAGGTCATAGTCTCCTGCGTTGCAATCAAACCTTCAATTATAAATACATAAATGATGGGGCATCCGTATGAGAATGTGTGTACAAGCTTTTTTCATACAAAGAGGTCATTTTACAAGAACATGCCGTTTCTAGATGTTTAATATGCAAATATATTTCAAACATCTATCCAGTTTGAATCATAGATTAATAAATTTCGGAAACATAAAGAGACTAAATAATTATCGAGTCTGAGGATGAGCAACAGTGTCATTCATGCATAAGTGCGTCAACTAACCTTAGCACCTATTTACAGTACACAGTTACACACATGACACGTTGTTCCTTTCATATCCATCATAATATCCATTATCCGTTTACTGTTATTCAGCAGTACACGGAGGGTAGTAAAATTTTGTAAGCGTTGTTTATCATTAAAAATTACGCTACGAAGAAAATAAGATAAGATTTTTACGAAGTTACCCCTTCATAAACTTTTTTTTACGATACGAAGGTTACTAATTTTAAGACAATGGTTATCCTCTATGTAAATAAGCATGTGCATACATACATACCTGTATACTGACATATGTATCAGCTGAACGTCGCAATACATTGAACTTTTCTCTAGCAATTGTAGTAGTATTATAAAATAATGTCATGCAACTAATTAGCATACATGGTTACAATTTGTTACGACCTACATTTGACAGGACGAAACAATGCCTACAATGAAAGCTGTAATTCAAAACCCGGAAACCAAAACGATTACAATGTGATTACTCAATAAATGCCGTATTCCAGGACCAACGTTTAAGACAACTGTACCTAAAAATGCGCATCCTAATCTTCACTTTAACTGTAGTCCTTCTCAGCGGCTCCAGTGTCGCCGGAGACGCCACTTCTGAGACAAAGAATTTTCTGAACGAGGCACCCGTCGAGGTATATACAGATAATCCATCATACATATGTCTCCATATGCGGATAAATTATACTCCTACTGACAACCAACAGAAATTAGTGGTGCGGGAGGCCCTGATCAAATCTAATGACGCCGTTGCATCTCCCGGGGACCCTGAAGCGTCCGAAGTAAATGTGGTCCCCCGTGTGGTCGAAGCAACGAAAGGAATTATGGAGGACTCAGAGATGAAGGAAGACTTGGGCGCTGAATCACCAATGTCTAACAGGGCGATGGGGACGGGAATTATCAGTTTCCCAAAACCTCCCTCAAATTCTCAAAGCAAAAAAGGTTCGAGTATAGGCTAGGTTGATACATTGGTAAATAAACCAAAATGTGTATGCCCTTGAAAGTGGTATTACTTATTTGCATGCACAATATATTGTGTATCAGTTTACTTAGATAGATACCGAAAAATCTAGGTTTTTTGTGTCTATAGTACCTATATAAATTTATTGACAACCTCAATGATAGTTTGTTAGCTATGCAACTTTCCGTAATTGCGTATAAATATGTATGTAGAAATATGTATGTAAAGACGAACGTATCGGTCAATATAGGAAAACAATTAGTGACAGTAAATCATCCAGCAGAACGCCGGCCGTACTTTACATAATTTGAAGTTCGCAGTTATTTATTGTTAAGGTTATCTTATGAAATTAATTAAGGCTAATACTAATATTGTGTGTAATTTGTAGATCAACAAAAAAGTCCTCAATACATAAGTGTGCGAATCAATATCACGACATTCATTCGTACACAAAAATCTTTGTTACGTATGTGTTCAAAATTAATAAAAAATATTATGTAACTAGCAGAATAACATGACGGTGATGGTTTTGAACTCTTATCATGACATGATCCTATAATTAACAAAATTATACAATTACGTAAAAATCACATCATCTTATCAGATACTTGATCAGACCTGGAATTCCCGTCTGAATTTAACTTTTCCATGCAATCTATGTATATAATATCGTTTAGCAGTCGCAATTTGAATATTTATATTTATTGGAACCCATTCTTTAATAGCTTGTTCTTACTACAATTTTCAAAATGCTGAAAAATATTCTTCTCGTGCTTTCCTGCATTGCTTTAGCAGCAGCTCAATCCCAAGTAACGATTAGCTTGTCTGGGTCGTAAGTAAAGTAAAAATTAACATGCAATTATATATATTCAGCAATCTGTCACAAAAAAATTTGTTTCCAGAGAATTGTTGGACTACGACTCCATATCCGGATGTGACACGGTTATTACGATTTTCTGCTCATCCACATCGTCCCCCGCCACATACTGCGGAGAGGTTCAGAAAATATCAGATGATGCATACCCCGTATTTCCGGAGCGATTCACTTTTCCTTATGCAATCGGAACGGGCCAGGTTTGCAATGATTTAATATTTTATTTGAAACATGGAAAAATCCGTTGTTAGATACTAACTTGTTTCAATAGCAATGGCGCTTTGAACTTGTTGACCGAGATGTCCAATTCGACGACCCCATTGGCACCGTGGTCATCTCTGTGGACGATTTTATGCAAACTATCACGACGGGAGGGACCATGACGAGGAGAGTGAATTTAAATCGACCTGGGAATCTCCATGTCAAGAGGGAAGCGTAAAAACAAACGTTAAATAAATACAAGATTGCATTTGGGCTTTTATAATTTCGTCGATAACTATAAAATGTATTTGTATGCAAAAATAATAATGACCATTGATTAAATGAAACAACTTTCAAATTGTTCAAATTCTCATCAGAAATTAGTGCATTTTTATTTCATTTTTTAAATCCTGGTCTGAACCTTACCTTACTCGTTTTTACCAGAATTTAACATTGTTAATTATGCATGCATGAACGTATATGGTATATACCATGCATCTATACGATACATATATGTATCATACACACATTATTATGCAAGCTTGTCGACACTACTTTAAGGAAGGATTTCTGTCATTCTGTCAGAGATTATGGTACAGATCAACGATGAACGAGATTGATAGTATTATAAACAGTATAGATACATACATCCTTTGTCATGTTCCATCTCAATATAAATACATGTTATCTAAACAGCGTAAAAGAATTTCTTACTTGATTATTACAGTTTAACTTCTATTTACGATAATAGTTTTCCATGTGATAAGGATAAGATGTATATAGCTTTTAATATCCAACTCTATGATTTTAGCTCATGAAAAATCACGCAATCAAATAAGAGCTCGTTTCACCTTGGAAAGAAAAATTCAGATCCACAAGCGGCTAAAACACAAGTGACAGAAGCACGATGGAATGGAGAAATAAATTAAAACTAAAATGGTGCCAAATTTCATAGAAGTTGTATAATTAAGAAACTACTTAACCTTTGACCGCTGTATGTAGTAATACAAGTGCACAAGTACCTAGCTCGGGTGGATTGTCTCCTCAAATGTCCAGCCTAACACAATAAAAGGCAAGAAACTTTACATATGTACAATGAATAATCTAGTACTAAAAATACACATTTACTGCTTTATAAATACGCGAAACATTTAAATATTAAAATTAGCTTAAACTTTGTGCACCTTTAATACCCGCAACATTTTGGCTTTATCATGTTTGAACAAATATTTTCGCGTTTGTTGGCTAATTTTTATTCCTCTTTGTTTCAATTGACTTTTGAAAATTCCCAGATTGACCAATACAAGTATGGATCCATATGTCAAGTTAATTCGCGACCCAAAAGTCGAAGACATGGTTACCGGTTGGTCTGAAACATGTTTTGCTTGTCGAAACAAAAGTGAATTCGTTCCTCAACTTCTGTACCTGCAGGAAATGCAACTTTTCAAACATCTTATCCTCCAAAAAACCAACCTGAGTCCCAGCATCGTTAAAACATTTGAAGCCAACTTGCACACTTGTTCAGAATGCCTCCAATTAATTCTCGCCCTGTGCGGAATGAACCAGCAGATTATCGCTATTCAAAGAGAGATGGATAAGATTGTCGACAGCGTGAAGAATTCTTTACAGGAAAGAGACAACCAATTGGGTACAATGCATAATTGTAGTGATAGTTAATTTGATTTTGTGACCATTTCCTGTTAATTAGTTTACTTAAAGTTAAATTAGAGAAAAGCAAGTTTTAGTTTTTCTAAACTGTTAATTATTCTCAGATTCTGGTCTTGGACTTAAAAGAGTTTAAGATTCTTCTGCTTAATTCCAGGACAATTCCAGACAGTGTAAATGAACACTATTCTTTATGTACATACAAATAGATAATCCAACTCCAGTGGAATCTTGGTCCTCTCTCCCACTTGAGGACGACGATCTAGAGCCTGACGACGAACATGAGGACCCCATCCTTGACATAGAATTTGGAATTGACCTTGGTTCCAACTCAGATTCAAACAAGCATGACGACGAATCAAGTAACGTTACAGAAACTCGTGGCTATCGCAAGCGAAGATGGACCCCAAGAACAGCAAAAAGGAAGGCGCTACAATTCCTGAGTGAAGTTAAATCAGAACCTGAATCAGAGGATGAAATATTTCCTCAATTTGACCCGTAGGTTCAGCAGATTTACTTAATTTTATTCTAAATCATCACATTTTGCATGCAATTATTCATTCATTGACTTTATTTAGCTTCCTAGACAATAGTTATGAAAACGAGGGCCAGGATGATGATCAAAAACTCCCTGGCAAGATCAATAGTCCACCAAAATGTAAAATCAACCTGCTGAGAAAGAGAAGACGCAAATTTTCTCCCAAAAAAGTCGTAACACAATCTCTAAATGGAAAGCCCCCCTCCTGTGCCAAGAAAACTAGAGGGCATAATAAAGCTACAACGGTAGACCAGTTCAAACTACGTCCACCCTCAACACCTGATGGGAAATTCCCTTGTAGCAAATGTGGGTTATCTTTCCTTAATAAGTATGTTTACGAAACCGAAGAAAACTACGGATTGACATTTTCATGAAAATTTTCCTGTTTAGGTGGCAAAATATTTACCAACTGGAGGTCTGTGCTCTCTCATGAGATAACTGTATGCAAAATTCACCACGATAAAGGAAAGTTGGTCAAGCTCAACTTCAAATTATTCGAATGTGACAAATGCGATAAAAAATTCGTGTTTATAAAGGATTACGAAAGGTAAACTTAATTATGCTAAATTACATAATTGGTTCATTAAATTAATAACTTTCCGCAGGCATAAATATATCCACCTCCGTGTTAAACCATTCCTTTGCGAAAAGTGCGGCAAAAATTTTTCGCAAAAGCAGGCCTTAACTTATCATGAGAAGGTTTACTGTAAAAAGCAAGAACCGGATGTTGAACTCAGGAAGAAGCTCAGACAACTTAAACTACAGCTAGACCGAGACAAATATAAAAACTATAAGTTTCCATGTGATGCTTGCCAAAGGCGATATCCAACCCAGCAGAAACTCGATGACCATATCAAACGTCCGCATAAAATGGTCACGAAATTCCAAAAAATTTCGTGCGATATTTGCGAGGAGGAGATGCATATCCATTTATTTATCTCCCACAAGCGAGATATTCATAAAATAGCCGGTAGTCATAAATGCCAACAGTGCAAGAAAGGATTTTATTCGGCGAATGGACTTCAAAAACATGTAAAATCGGTACATGTCAGAGAACAAGTAAAGGAAACTAGCTTAGACCATGGTAACGATCAGGAGGATAACAGCAATGGTTTCAGTTCGAATAATTCAACTAGTTGTGAGACAAAAGCAACATAAATCTACATCCATGCTTCTTTACATAAAGCACTGAATAAATATTTAATTACTGACATTTTCTGGTGGGACCAGGGTTCAATTAGATAGGCGACTGGTTTCTTAGTATTTACGATAAAATTTGTTTAAACCGTATCGATCGGGGGGACTCTTTGGTTACACAATCTTTTATATCATATCAATCAAATAATATTTTTTAAGGAAATCCGTTTTCTATGTATAAGATTGTATGTATAATTGCAGATATAAATATTATGTGTATTGGTAGACTTTACTCATTTGAATGAATTAAATATTTAATTACTCAAATAAATATTTACGAGTGTAACGGAGACATAAGTTTCGTTGAATTTTCTACTTCATGATGTTATGCATGTACACATAAATACGCAAATTTTCCAGGCAATGACCCGAAACAAAGACATTTGTATTAAACAGCGTAGTAGAGAAGCGTCGTAATGCATTATTTGCACAAGTGCCAAATTACAATACATGTATCGTGAAAACCTTGCCTTGTAAATATCAATATCCGCAATTGCGAAGTTCAAGTTTATCCGTATTCGACAATTTACAGCGTACAACTTGTTTTTAATAGATGAGAAGATAGATAAGTGGCTCGACTATCAATGAATGAATTCGCAGTGCGGCAAGATAACTGTATTGTTATGAAATATTGTAAATAAATAAACAAATCCATTCATCACGGAAGTAATTTCCAATAACTAGTAGTCAATATTGTCGATCAACTCGGATATAAATCCGAGTAATTTTTACTTTGACGCAATATCACGAACGAAACAAACTTTTAATAACAAAACAAAAATGTTGTCTCGCATTATTTTGTTCATTTCCCTGATTTCCGTCTGTTACGGAATTTTTCAAGAGTTGACCGTCTATTCTGGCGACGACCGTAGCGGAGAGTCGGTCAGTTTTCGACAAAAGTTATCAGATATGACAAGATGGCAGAATTTTATACAAGAGTCCAAATCATATTGCCAGATTGGCTGGTAAGTCTTACACATATATGTAAATTAAATTACGAAACATCCCAATTTAAAATCTGCAACTTCAATAAATTTGCATCTTCTCTAATCTCTGTAATTTACCACCATAAAATTTATTTTGCAGGTGGGAAGGTTACGACTCTAAAAACTTTGAAGGTGATGTCTCCTACCGTTCACAATTCCACCCGCAACTAACCTGCTTCAATGTCCCTTTCCCATCAAATGTGCAATCCTTACGGCACCAAGGACCTCTCGATACCCAGTACGAGGCCTTATCCATTTACGAAGGTAGTCCGACCGAGGCTTGGAGTGGGGTAGAGCTGATGGCAACGTATGGGTCTGCTACGGGCATAGGGTTCGTGCCAAAGGGCCTCCTCATTTCTGGAGGGTCAAACTGGACCACGTATCCCAACGAAGATTTTACAGGGCCCTCGACCTGCTGGTTAGGTTCGAACGATGAGGATTTCACCAAATTTGCTCTTAGCAATACAACTATAGTTTTGTCGATGGAGAGAGGATGTCGATAATAACAGATACATTTTAATTTAATACAATATGTACATAAGTCTAGGAAAATAGAACATGCAGTTAAACATCATTTGTATATTAATATGTAAATATTTAGTCATATTTTTTTGAATTCCAAATTCATATGTACATAACATTAATTTTTCAGATGATATTAAATATTGTTTATACTTTTTATACATTTTTACAAGTTATTACTACTCAGAGAAGTAAAGCCAGATCGTTGAAGACATAAACGACTTAATTTTTTGATATGCATACATATCTATTTTAATAAATTGTATCGTAATTGTATCACCTTCGGTTTAAGGCTATTAACCACTACATCTATCTATACATATTTTTGCACAACCCGTTTTTACTTTCTCCCGTTATTTCCCCAGTAATCATTCCTGTTGACTGAATCGCATGACCCATTCCGAACGATTCGCAGGCCTATAGGTACAAAAAACAATAATTCTTCTTTCTTTATTTCTTGTAGGTGCATCCATTTAAAAAAATACAAAAACTTACGAGAAACTCGATGCTGTGCACAATCGAATTTACATCGATTTTTATACGTAATCCCATTCGACGCACAAACTTCGGAGGTTTCCTCTCCACAGGAACAGGTCAGCTGAGAATTGGCTTGTCCATGAGGAGTGGGTGGCACCGTGGGCGCTGTCACTCTTCGTGTCGTCGTGGAATGCGTGTAGGCTGCCGTTGAGCGTTGTGTGGGTTGATAGGACCGCGTGGTGGAAGGGAGTGTTGGGGGAATTGAGGGGAGAATCCAGTCCCAAGCCCACCCCGTCGTCGTGGTTGTGGGTCGAGTGGGTGGGGCTGTGTAGCGAGCAGTGGTGGGGTAAAAATAATATGGCGTGGTTGCCTGGTTGCGATTATTGTCAGAGTCCATCCGGGTGGGAAGAAAGTTGTCCTACTTTGCAAAATTCTTATAAGTTTCGTACTGTTATTTTAGTATTTATTTTCTTACTCTAAACCACGCCCAGCTCCATTCGATGCTTTCACATTCCGGGACGAGAACAAAGGAACCGACGAAGAATAATAACGAGGCGATGGCGAAAAATTTCATTTTTGAAAAAAATTGGATAGAGTGAATGAAGTATTAGAATTAGATGGGAATTGAATAATGTGAATAAAAACGTCAGACTTGTTCTTAATTATTACGCAGCAGAAATATGTATGTGGAAAGGTTATGATGGTGACATTTTGAACTTGACCTCACTGATTGACGTCAGTAAGAGAGATTTGCATAAGGACTGTATTATTCCTAAATACATATTCTCAGGACATATGATGTAAATGCTCATAGCTTCATATTTCATACCATCAATCACGTAGAGATTCACGAACCCCTCAATTTCTTCCATTTCATGCCGAATTAATGCAATAGCATTAATATGTAGCCTGATCTCATTCTTTTATAATGGGAAGTTAATTAAGTTATGGATCAGGCGTCGTTTAGGTTATTTCTTAAACAGTAAAAACATCCCATGGGATTTGATGTTTATCAGCAAACGCATATGATTTATGCACATATATGCTATTATTAAAAACGTTGCAACAGAAAATATTGTTATGCTTATGGCCGTGTTATGAATATAGTAACATTTTTTATTGGGAAGGAAAATTTGTACATGGTTTACTACACAATCAGAACCAAAAATGCATAAACATTATGAAAACTAGTGAGCTCGGATTTTCATATTTTCATAAGTACTCATACTCATTATTCCTATTTCAATTAAATTTATTCCACGAGTTCACAATCTACCGAATAATGATATTGTTTTCTTTCCCCTCGTTTCTTTTGGGTTTCCTTATCTGTCGAAAACCACTGTGCGATTGGATTTTTAACATTGACCCCATTACCAAAAGCAGTTACTTCCAGTCCACTCCAACCAGCTTTAACTCCCGTGCCTAGGAAATGGGCGGACGCTTTGGGGGGCCAAAATTTGACCCCAACATCAGTTCCCAAACCAAATCCAGACGTCCAAGTAACAGGACCAGCTTTCATCTTGTTCTTTTTATATGTCAACTCCATTGCTGCTTCTGCCTTGGCAGGCGTTATTTAAGCTGACAGGAACGAATTCAAATACAAGTACATATGTATTTATATGTACACTGAATGGGTATCGATTAAGAGTAGCAATAATGTAAACCGGAATTTCGAAAGACAGAAAAAAATTGATTTTGATAAGATTTGCACCGTTTGTAGAGGTGATTTTTGTGAGTGCAACGGTACCAATGATTCAGGTCAACTCTGCCCCCTGACCCAGGGGGAGGGGCCCAAAATCGCAAAAACTGCAAACGGGGACACGGATTTCTCGAAAATGGAAAAAGATATCGAGATGCTACTTTCACCAAAAGTTTCCTAATTTTTTTCTCTACAACCCGAATCGAGCGTTTTTTGAAATTCGAAAAACAAAATTTCAAAAAAATAACTCAAGATAAATAAAATAAATAAAATAAATAAAATTTCAAAAAACGCTCGATTCGGGTTGTAGAGAAAAAAATTAGGAAACTTTTGGTGAAAGTAGCATCTCGATATCTTTTTCCATTTTCGAGAAATCCGTGTCCCCGTTTGCAGTTTTTGCGATTTTGGGCCCCTCCCCCTGGGTCAGGGGGCAGAGTTGACCTGAATCATTGGTACCGTTGCACTCACAAAAATCACCTCTACAAACGGTGCAAATCTTATCAAAATCAATTTTTTTTCTGTCTTTCGAAATTCCGGTTTACATTATTGCTACTCTTAAAGATTTACCTCGATAAGATAAACTGGGCCCTTCCTCACTAATCTCAAAGCCAGGAGCGAATTTCTCTCTCCTTTTCTCAGTTCCAACTTTTAATCGAACTTCGCTTTTTGTTCGGGATTGTGTCGTTGTCACCTTGGCATAAGTACCACACCGGTCCGTCGACTCGCTTCTCCGCCCAATTCGCCGTGACATCTCTTATATTTGGGATCAGCTTCGGAAATGCTTAATTTAAGCATGGTTGTTGTTGCTGTGAAGGGATGCTCAAGATTGAAAGTTTACTTGTTGATCTAAAAGTGTTTCATGGTATTTCATTCGATTTCACCCCGTGACTTGAGTGCGCTGACTGGTCAAATTTCCAAGAAATCATTAACCTTTTCCTTCGTAAGAGAATTCTCAAAAATATCCCGTTGCTGCGGAATAGCAACGCCTCACAACCATAGCTTGTGGCGTAGCAATTTTTGAATTACCAAAGCTATATCACGGAGCAAGTGTAAATTTTAGTGATATGTTCCATGGATATAGTTCCAAAATTATTCAACTTTCTATGGAGGCATTTCATTTCAAAAATGACGTAATCATGGAGACATTTAAGCCCGACCCAGGACTTATGTACCCGTGTTGTCCATCCGTCCGTATTGCGTCTTGACCTTCGTGAAACTTATTCTATCAACTTGAAATTTTAGGAAATTAAAAATGACAAAGTAAGAGTAAAAATTTAAAGTCAATAGGATAGATTTACGAGAGTTATTGATAACCAGACAGGCAGAGACACACCGGACGTGCATACATACATAGCCCCTGACTCGGGCTAAAAATCGAATTTTTTTCAGGATGCGTAAATCCATGGAAAAAATATTTTTTCAATGAGAGGAAATATCCTTCACTACGTAATAAAGTCAGTGACCAGAGGAAAGGATATTTCCTTCTTTCCGTATCTAAGCCCAATTTTGAGACAACGGATAAATCCGTTGCTCCGTCGCAACGCCTTAGAAATTAGGATGGAAATATCCTCTGTTCCGTCACAACGCAAAGTTTATGACGACGGATATTTCCATTGTTCCGCAGCAACGTTCGAAATTCGGCGACAGATATATCCATCGTTACGAAGGAAAGGGTTAAAAAGAATTACTGAGTAGCATTTAGTTTAATTCAATGTAATGTTTGTTTGTGTATCATGTTATGTATGTCCTATCAAACCCTGTACTTACCAACGTATGTATTGCTGCATTACTTCACTTTGTAAAATTGAAGGAATCGTTTGTACTCTGACCATAATATGTAATTTTTACTTTATGTATGTAGGTAGCTTTCATTAGCTAACCATAATTTATGATTCATGAAACCGCTTCTTGGAATTCTGATAGAAGAATTTCTGCGGATGTCGTTGGTACTATATAATACTAGCGTATAAGCCCGGCTCCCGCCGGGCGCTAAATATCCCACTTCGAATGTCTGTCCGCAATGGAAGCAAATTAAATTAAGATAATTTGCGTAATTATCATAGCACATCTATAAATATTCATGATGGTGGTGATTGGTAGTATTGTATTTTGTATTTTTTTGTATTTTTATTTGAATCCTAAACCCTTCCAGGCCGAGGCCCATAGAGTTACATAATAATAATTTAAGTAATATAAATAAAATAAAATAATTAATATTTAATTAAAAATACTAATATTTTAAAGTGAGTTCTACTTTAACGATTTTGTTAAGTGAGTTCATAATTGCATGAGTAAGAAAATGATTGCATAATATAAGTTGTCTAATTTGAATAAGTAGTTAAATTTCCATTAGAATATGATTAAAATAATCTGTATAAATTGTAAATGAATGTATGTATAGCTAAATAGTTATAGATTTAAGCCATATTTCCCAATTCAATGTTGATTGGATTATTGTCTCGAACCTGTTTACACTTAATACACTTGAAAAGAAAACTGCACATTAATCCTATTATTCCTATGCAGGTAATAAATGAACCAGTTATGAACAGTGTTAAACCCAGGCCCCTCTCATCATGGTTTGGCTGTGGCTGCGGCTGAAACGGCGCGGGGTACACCACCAGTTGTTTCCCATCCGGTTTGTTAGCTTCCAGAGTCGCGTCAACCCCAGCGACGACCGCCCCAGTGAAAAGGACCTCCATCCCCTTTTTTATAAGAGCTTTCCAGGAAATTGCTGCGTCCGCCCTCAAGGAAAATCCCAAAAGTAGGACGCAGAAGATGACAACTTTCTCGCTCTTCAGCATTCTCGGCTTTCAACAGATTACAGGGAGTGAGCTGTGGCTTTTTATGTGAAATCAAATAAGTTATGAATTTTTGTGTGATGGCAATCACTGAGCACTGGACAGATAAATTCAGATAAGTTATGATGACAACTCTGCGCTCTGAGAAACTGTACTGTGACCCTCTCTATTCAGATTAAATATCGTTTGCATCTGTATCCTCCCTATTAATTAGGGATATCAGATTAATTACTTCCCTCATAAAACATGCAATTTGTCTGCAATTTTGTCTAGTAGTAAATTCCATACATTTGTGTTTGTTATTTTCCCCAATGCTGTCTATTATATCTCTTATCCAAAGGTTCCTGCTTCCACCAAGAATTTTGCAGTCATAGATAATATGGAAGATGTCAAAACTGCCTTTGTTGCATAATGGACAAGATTTGTCTTCATCTAACGATAAAGTCTTTTTGTCCAAGTAAAACTTTCCACTGGTGATTCTCATTTGAGCACACAATGCAAATTCCCATTTCGGTAGGTTGAAATTAATGTATTGTGCATGCTCATTAGAATCTGATAACAGTTCTTCATAATAGCAGAAGTTATGAGATGATCTCATTTTCGTGATATCGTCTTGTTGTCGTTTAATTTTGTATGTAGTCATAATGTCCTGTTTTAAGTCATTAAATAAGCTCCCTTCACTCTCCATGCATAGCCCGTAATAACCCAGCGAATCAAGTAAGTCTTGTACTTGGGTAACCCAATTATATTTTGCTACTCCCTCATGCGCTCTTTCTCTCAACGCTTCAAAGCATATTCTGGTGTAGCGTGTATGTTCCATACTGAGTATCTTACTAATGAACTGTAGCACTTGTTTCAATACGCGTGTGAATAAGGGTTGAATGCCAGTTTCTAACTACAGAAGATAGGTAGGTGTGCATCTATGCACACCCATCGTTCTCTTTAAAAAATAACGTTGTATTAATTCAATCTGGTTAATGTATCCGAGGCCCCAAATATGGCTTGCATATAGTGCACAACTGGCAGCTACTGAGGAGAATAGTTGATATTTTGCTTGGAAGTTACACATATTACCGGAGAAAGCTACTTTCCAAACTGCTGCCAATCCTGCTATTCCTTTTTGCTTAAAGTAATTTGCAGCTTTAGCAAAAACGCCCGTGTGTGACAGTGGGACTCCTAAATATGTATAATTATTTACTATTTCAATGATATCTTTCCCGTAATAAAAAACTGTGTCCGCTGCTAGTTTCCCACCTTTCCTAAAAATCATTACTTTGGTTTTTTCTAAATTAACTTTCCATCCTAAATCATTGAAATATTTTTCCAGTCTATTAATTTTGTTCTGAAGTGCTGCCCTGGTGGGAGCTAGTAAAATCATATCATCTGCAAAAGCAAGAATGTGCAGAATTAGATTGGACCCAATTTTTACGCCTCATCCTCTCCTTCTATTAGAACTTTCTCCGGCTCAGCTACAAACAAATTAAAAATATAAGTACTGGCCGAATCTCCTTGCAAAATTCCTTCCGTCAAAAGGATGTCTTTCGAAGTCCCATTCGCTAGCCTAATGTTCGTTGAAGCTTTTTCATAAATGTATTTAAAGATTCTAATTAATTTCCCAGGTGCCCCTAGCTTGTAAAGTTTGTCCCACAACTTCTTATGCGAACATGACGGGAACGCTCTTGAAAAGTCAAAGAAACAAGCAAAAAGCTTCCCTCTTTTTTTGGTAATTGATAGTTGAATCGCTGTATTCAAGCAAAATATTTGGTCATCCGTTCCCCTTTTTGCACGGAATCCGCATTGAGCTTCTGGCAAAATATTATTATCTTCACTCCATTTATTTAATCTGCTTGAAAGGATTCGTGTGAATAATTTGAGGCATGAATTTAAAAGGGCAATAGGTCTATAATTTACTGGCAATGCTGGGTCACCCTTTTTGTATAACATTACCGTTATTGACTTTGACCATTCAGGGGGCGTTTTCTCGTCTCTAATATAGTTGTTAAATAAATTTAATAAATTCAGCCTCCCTGCATCCGGAAGAAATTTAAGACATTCATTGGGTATTAAATCAGGCCCTGTTGCTTTATTGCTTTTTAATCTTGCCAGCTCGAGATCCAATTCCTCCTTGGAGATAAGTCTCTCAGCCTCAACATTTTCATTGCCTGTATATGAATCAGAGATAATTTGAGCTGGGGGTAACATTTCATCATAAAAGTCCAGCCAGGTCTGCTCTTTGACTTGATTAGTTTCACTTATGCGAGTACGGAAATATCGTACAGAACTCCAAAACTCTGTCGGGTTAGAACATGAGGATAATTTGTCACGTATTTTAGTCAGATGCTCCAGTTTCTTCTTTTTACAACAATCTTTATATGACTTTTTCGCTTCATGGAACGAATTTGCGTTTTCTTGTGACCATCCTAATTTTAAGCAAGTTTTATAGCATAGTTTTACGTTAACTCTACTCCTCATACATTCATCGTCAAACCAAGCTTTCTTTACTGGTTTACCTAGCGTAAATTTTTTTAGCATGTCAGCTTTTTCAGCAGAGTCGACAATAGCTTCTAAGAAATGGTCATATGACACTAATTCCTCTCTTACAGTCAAATTGTCAGTAATTTGGGTTTGGTAATCAAGCAGTTTTGACGTGTCCCATTTCAATTTATGGCCTCTAATTATGACGTCGTTCGTAGATTCTTTCAATTCTAATGAGCAAGGCATGTTGGTGATTGGTAGTAGCAATCGTTCAAACAAACTCTTATAGTGTCCCATTTATTGTACAGCCCAATAAGCGCACCAGCCTAGTAACCGCGCCAGCTCATTAGCCGCACCGGCCCATTAACCGCACCCACCCAGTGAACGCCCCCAAGCCCAGTAACCGCGCTAGCCAAGTAAACGCACCAGCCCAGTAAACACACCAGCCCAGTAACCGCGCCAACTCATGTGAAGTTCCGTTTATGGGGGGTTGACTGCAGTGATGGTGGTGATGAGGAAGATGAGACGATCGTCGTCGTCGTTGTGGTGTGTGCGTAATAATTGGGAGGCGAGATGAGACTTGGTTGCACTTTTCTTAGAGAGGTTTTATTTATTACTTGTACAAACAGGCAGAACTCTGCCTCTCCCAATAATATTGGGAGAGGTAACCTGCAGTAGCACAAAATACTTCCTCGACCGTCCTCCACCGTTCCCCCATTGCTGTCGTGTACTGCCGTGACTGCTGTTTATATATGGTTGATATACCTATTTCTAACCTACATATTGAAAGAGAGAGTGAGAGAGATAACAATGAGATGACTTGCAATAATTGCCTCACTGCCCAGAGGCGATCACGATATAAAACTAGAATGTGACAAATGTATCTGATTAAGATTGCACATAAGGAAACCTTCTCCTTGATTGTGTTGCACTCAATGTGCAACAATCACTTTCACAAAATAAGCCTGTTCTTTACACTCAGTAAACGCACCTGATATTTTGAATATCTTTGATATTCTTGATATTCCAGATATTCTTAACATTCTTGATATTCCAGATATTCTTAACATTCTTGATATTCTGAATATTCTTGATATTCAGAATCTTAATATCAAGAATATCAAGAATATTCGGATTATTAGGGATCTCAAGAATATCAAGAATATCCAGAATAATGAGAATGTCAAGAACATTCAAAATATAAGTCCAGTAACCGCACCATCTCAGTAAACGTACCTGCTATTCTGAATATCCTTGATATTCTGAATATCCTTGATATTCTTGATATTCCTGATATTCTGAATGTCCTTCATATTCCTGATATTCTGAATGTCCTTCATATTCCTGATATTCTGAATGTCCTTCATATTCCTGATATTCCTGATAAACTGAATATCCTTGATATTCTTAATATTCTTGATATTCCTGATATTCTTGATATTCTTGATATTCCTGATATTCTTGATATTCTTGAAATTCTTAATATTCTTGATATTCTTGATATTCCTGATATTCTAAATGTCCTTGATATTCCTGATATTCTGAATATGCTTGATATTCCTGATATTCTGAATATCCTTGATATTCCTGATATTCTGAATATGCTTGATTTTCCTGAGATTCTGAATATCCTTGACATTCCTGATATTCTGAATATGCTTGATATTCCTGAGATTCTGAATATCCTTGATATTCCTGATATTCTGAATATGCTTGATTTTCCTGAGATTCTGAATATCCTTGATATTCCTGATATTCTGAATATGCTTGATTTTCCTGAGATTCTGAATATCCTTGATATTCCTGATATTCTGAATATGCTTGATATTCCTGAGATTCTGAATATCCTTGATATTCCTGATATTCTGAATATGCTTGATTTTCCTGAGATTCTGAATATCCTTGATATTCCTGATATTCTGAATATGCTTGATATTCCTGAGATTCTGAATATCCTTGATATTCCTGATATTCTGAATATGCTTGATATTCCTGATATTCTGAATATGCTTGATATTCCTGAGATTCTGAATATCCTTGATATTCCTGATATTCTGAATATGCTTGGTATTCCTGCGATTCTGAATATCCTTGATATTCCTGATATTCTGAATATGCTTGATATTCCTGAGATTCTGAATATCCTTGATATTCCTGATATTCTGAATATGCCTGATATTCGAGAGATTCTGAATATCCTTGATATTCCTGAGATTCTGAATATCCTTGATATTCCTGATATTCTGAATATGCCTGATATTCCAGAGATTCTGAATATCCTTGATATTCCTGAGATTCTGAATATGCTTGATATCAAGAAGATCAAGGATATTCAGAATATCAGGAATATCAGGAATATCAAGAATATCAGGAATATCAAGAATATTAAGAATATCAAGAATATCAGGAATATCAAGAATATTAAGAATATCAGGAATATCAGGAATATCAAGAATATCAGGAATATCAAGAATATTAAGAATATCAAGAATATCAGGAATATCAAGAATATTAAGAATATCAAGAATATCAGGAATATCAAGAATATTAAGAATATCAAGAATATTCAGAATATCAGGAATATCAATAATTTTGAGATACTGGGATCTTCGGATATCGAGACATTGGGGGCTTACCTAACCCAGATAACCAACACCCCCAGATAACCACCACCCCAAGATAACCAACACCCCCAGATAACGAACACCCCCAGATAACCACCACCCCCAGATAACCACCACCCCAAGATAACCAACACCCCCAGATAACCATCACCCCCAGATAACCACCACCCCAAGATAACCAACACCCCCAGATAACCACCACCCCAAGATAACCAAGACCCCCAGATAACCACCACCCCAAGATAACCAACACCCCCAGATAACCACCACCCCAAGATAACCAACACCCCCAGATAACCACCACCCCAAGATAACCAACACCCCCAGATAACCACCACCCCAAGATAATCAACACCCCCAGATAACCACCACCCCAAGATAACCAACACCCCCAGGTAACCACTACCCCCAGATAACCACTACCCATAGATAACCACCACCCCCAGATAACCATAAGGCCACGATTAAGACTTTCCCTGCTTTCACTTCCGTCACGAACAAACTTCCGTCACGGACAAATTTACTTTCACTTCCGTTGCCAACAGACATTCTCTCTTATAATATAGATATGTAAGACAAACGACATGGATATGCATATTATTATAGACAGACTATATGGATCAATTTGCTAATCATGTAATATACATAGATATATATTTTCATCTTTTGGATATTTTTATAATCTGCCACATTCCCTTTCTAGTCAAATGAAATTCACAATTCGATGAGAGTTGTATGCATACATATGTGCATATAAATATATTTCTACATGACATGTGACATAATGAAACACGTAGAAACAGGCAGAAATACTTATATTTCCTGTAATACACGAGTTACACAATTATGTAGGACTCTAGGAAATTGTGTATATGGTTCTATGCATACTATTTATTCTTTAGTAATGAGGAAGTAACCAAACATATTTTTGGAATAATTGTATACCAATGTTGATTGGATTCATAACATTAAAAAAGAATTCAATTCAGGTTGACTTAAGAATCGTCCTAATTAAACTCCACTAAATTTCTCCGGTAACGGTTTAAATATTTTTAAGTCTGACAATGAAATCCAATTTCGAAATGTAATTGAAAATAAATCAAAATTATAGTTAAAACCCTTTAGATTTTAAAAATTCCGCAGTTTCAACCAGTCTTATTTGCAGGTGTTGGGCTTGTCGTCATTGAGGTTGTTGGTGTCATTGTCGTTGTGGTTGGTTTTGTAGTTGGGTCTGAAAATTTACTAAGTTATTATTTTGCAGCAATTTTTAGCATCAAATATTTTGAACTTGATAAATTCAAGAATAAATTTCATATTGTTTAAACCCTTACAACAGGGGCAAGTTCCTGTAATGATTTGCCAAATCCAGCACAAACAGAAGGGGCGAAGTTGCTTGGGATTACGCTGAAGGGACGAATCAGCAGAATCACCACCAGACAGAACAGCCATTGCCAAAATAACCATCAGAAATTTTCGTGACAACTTCAGAAAACAAAAATTAAAATTTACGTGTTAAATTCAAACATTGAGAGCAAACTTTTAGAAAAAAAATGCTACTCTTATTCTTACCATAATGATGTTGAGGTTTAACTTGGGGTTCAAATTGCTAGAGAAAAGAGTTATCCGAGAGTTCAAATGAGAAGTTGTCTTATCTTCGACTGAATTCGAGTCTCCTTTTATATTTAGAAGCTCCCAATTCTATCCTTCATTGTTCAGAATGGATAGATAGCACCCAACGATGACAATTTACATTTTGCCGTAAATATGAAGAATTTTTGAAGCATTATAATTTTATATTCGACATTGGTTATTCCCTCGTCGTAAATATGCATATAAATTCATGCATTCATTCTGTATATATAAGTTTAAATGCATATGTAAAGGTTTTGGATTTATGGGGTGTAATTTTAAAACAATGTAATTCAACAATTAATTTCAGATCTGATGGCAAAGAGACATTTTTTCACAAAGCATGAATGAAAAGTTTGATGTTAATTACTCACAAATATCTATTAAATATAGATGGTAAATATTTCTAGAAGGCTGACACTCTGGAGTTATATCTGCATTGTATTGAGAACACTCTGCTTCTGGAAATTAAAATTAAACTTCAATGATAGCTAAACTAGATTACGACTTTGTTGTTGGCAAATGTTCCAAAAAGTAGGACATGAACATTTGTCATACCGCCATGAAAACATGATTTACTGGTTTACTCACTTTGAAATGTTGAAAAATTCCTGACAATATTAACACTTTAATACGCCCGAAAGCATAATTGCCCCGTATTTTGAACATTTCAAATCCATGGCGTGTCAAAAAAGACATCCATACTATGAATTTTTCAGGTGATATTCTGTGCCAAAAAATAAAGAAATTCAGCAATTTTACTTCAATAGATTCATAAAGCATGGCAAGATTTTTGAAAATTTAAACTGACATATGTACATGCAATTTTAGCCTTCTCTTACAATTTTACAATAAATAATACATTTTCATAAACATTCAACCAACCTAACATTAATTTCATTAATTGCATTAATTTCATTCAACTGTTGAATGAAACTAATGCACATTCTTTATTATGCCGGTGGATCGATAAGAATTTAAAAAAATTGACAATGTTTCACATTTAAATAACATGCGGGCTCACCAACATTATTTTCATACTTCATTGTTTCAAAGTCAGATTAACATTGCTACGTTAAATAGAAAAATGTAGTGCGATTTGAGAAATCTGAGACTTTTTTCAGACACCAAATGAGACTCGGGCACCAACTCCGACGAAAGTACATACCAAAGCTAAAGCAACTTTTATAGAGGCAAAATTTCTGGAGGGAATGCGTCACTCCTTTTTTCTCCCTCCACTTTGCACTTGTATTGTCAACACACGTTCATTAACCCTTCCAAACAAATAACAAAAAACACATTTACAAATTATTTTGAATTACTTGAATCAACTAACTTATCGACTTTATAAATACAAACAAGTTCCCATCCCACCTGTCACGTCTTCGAATTACCAGAAAGTGTGAAGGTAATTAAACCATTAAACCAATTACAAAATAATAGAAAATTTCTATTAGAAATTATACCACTAAAAATTCAAACAAGAGGATTTAGCTATTAGTCTTTTCTTTAATCAAAGTATGTAATGTAGTACTTCATCATAATTAATAATTATTCATAATCAATATTTAACACACCTTCAGTCTTCAGATTTGTTTTTATAAACTAAGCTACCAATTATATAAACGCAAATTTTCTGTATAATTTACAGTTCGAATATCTCAAACATGGATCAGGCCACTGATTCTCCTCCAAGTTCCAACCCCACTACTCCAGAAGAAGTAGTCCCTCTTTCCCTACAGCCCCCACAATTCGCCCGACGTATCACTCGCCTCGGAAACACTCCACCTCGTCCCCCTCCTCAAGAGGTGCGACAAGGCCAATTCGCCAAGAGGTCAGTCCTCACCGAGATCATGACAAGAAGGGAGACAAATAACGAGGATAAGAGTTCACTTCATTTTGGACGACGACATGTCATCTCCCAAACGGCGAGTAATAAGGAGCCCATCAAAGAAGTTGAGGTCGGGCAGTTTGCGAGGAGGCATGTCCTCGGCGAACCACGATCTAATAATCCACAGGCGCCATCAAATAATAACAATACTGGAGAAAATGTGTCATATCGCCTTGGACGACATGGGCTAAATCCCCGCAAGGAAGCACCCCCCGAAATAAAACCCGCACAGTTTGGGAGACGAACCAATTTCTTGCAAGACAATGCAGAAAAAGTGGTCGTTGATGATGTAAAGCCAGCCCAATTTGGGAAACGGGCTCCTCGTCAATCAGGGTTGGTTAATATACTCATTTTTTTTAAATATATGTAATTATTATTCATCATATCTGACGGAATATTTTATATTTTTGTAGTGGTTCCGGGATCACTTTTGGATAAGTCTCGCTCCAGACAAGATTACGAGAGAATTTCAAACGCTTAATTGGCAATGTGAATTTAAGCAGTGCTATTGCTACGCAGTGTCTTTATATTTTTATTCTTGTACTTGTCAATAATTCCGCAATGCTTTTGTTTTCCTTCAAATTGAATGTTTTTGCTAAATGAATTTTAATGCATATAGAATACTTATTATTTACTTGTTGTGAAATATTCCTTCGGCATATGATGCTGATATATCTGTCGAAAGAAAGTTTTTATTTGCTATCTCGATGAATAAAGTGTAAGCAGTTTTTATTTGCATAAACATAGAATTATGATTCTATCATTGTTATCCTGAAATCGACTTTTATATATTATCTAATATCCCAGTTTAGGATAATATTGATCATATTACAATAGAGTTTATCTAGTTCAATTGAAAACCTATTATTCAACCACAAAAGCATCTTCAGTCGCTCCGTTTCATAAATGCACTCAATCAGTTTTTCTTAGCCATATTGTATTTTGCAACACTTGCATAATTATGAGTATGATTCACCACCTTAATAAAGAACAACATAATAATAACCCAATTTACCTCATTTTCAAGCAAAAACTATTTGAAATTTGCCTTAAACATGGAACGCATTTCTATAATAACGTGTTTTTTAAAGTCATCCAACATTGAACTACGGACTGACAAATAACCTTACTCAACCGCACGACGATCGCAGAATGAACGATGCGTAAACGATAAAACCAGACAGATCAACTTTGTGTAAGAATTTATAAAAAAAAGATAAATTCAGCTAAATCACGACACAATAGCAACGTCCCATTTTCTAAATTGCGTATGTACACATTACTTTTTATTCACACAATAACATAAACACAATCAAAATCTATTTAGGTGATTAATTCACTCTCCTTAATGTCGTGATTTTGCCCCAAATAAAAATATGGCTAAAAAAGACGAGCAAAAAAGCATGCTTTCGATCCCACTCACTACTGACCGTGATTAGTGTCTCATTTAATTTAAAACATAACCCTGTCGTGTTCTTACTTTATTAAAAATTTGAAACAAAAGAGTAAAAGTAAATTGACCTGTCCAGTCAAGACCCCAATTAACAGATGCAATCAAGTGAAACACCTCTCGGCCAATTAAAGCACGAAGGAAAAATTAAGCGATTTTTTACCCCTGATTGCAATAATTCATGGCTCGTGGAATTTTTCGCATGGTTCAAACAACATTGTTTGTCGTCGTAGTGTGACTTGCTACATTTTTGTGAATGATCAAACAAACTACGCTACGCTATATATATATTCGCTCTTATGAATGAATGTCGTTACGCAGTTTTTATTTATTTTGTACACATTCTTATGTAACAGTCTGCACTTTTTATCCCATAAATGTCGAAATTTGGTCCACTCTTTGGCATTGATTATGTGCCAATTATTCATATTATGGTAAAAATGAGTCTAGTCTCAAGTCGTTGTCGTCGTTGTTTGGTATAAAAGCTGGTGAGGCATGGTGAGACACATCACAGTCTCAACTCAACTTTTGACTTCTGAGCTAATAAATCCAGCAGAATTGATAACATGGCAAAGGCAATCGTTCTCGTGAGTGAAAAATAATTTTAAAGTTTCTAAAATTTCCTTACATTTTCATTTCTATACTGTTTTCTCCAGGTTGTTTTGGTGGTGGCCGTTTGCGCCGTGGTTGTGATGGGTGGAGGGCAGAAGAAGGAGGCTGATCTGGACACTGCGGCTGGACATCATCACTACGGATGGGGGTGGCCGGCTTGGGGTTGGGGAGGACAGAGCTACGTCCACCGACAGGATCATTACGGATGGGGATGGCCAGCTTGGGGGTGGGGTTGGCATTAAATGGACGAGCGGCTGATCCAAGGGTACAGAGAAATAAGTTATTCTGTATTATTATTGAAATTAAAAATGTAAATTGATGAAATCTGTAAATTTTTCCATAACATAAGTTTAAATGCATAAAATATATTCTTTATATAAGTAATTCTAAACATATTTTCTAAACAGTTTGTTATTTATTCATTTCACGAGTGAAAGGATACATTTTTGCAAAAATTTCCATAAATCTTGTGCATGCATAGTTTTCGTGATATTGAAAATTTGGTCTGGATATTTAAATATGTTCACCTTGTTCACATTACAAAATGGTTCATGTCGATGGACTACGATAATCCAACCCGTTCTACTGGGAATTGTGCATTTTATTTGTTGTACATAATTTCAATTTATGCAAACTATTTAATAGAATTTCACTCACAATGCGATGGTGTGAAGTGTAACCCTCCGATTTGGCTTAAATTTTAAAATTAGGTGGTCCAAGCCAATACAACTAACGTTTCTTCAGGCAGTTTGTGCGATGGTGAGAGTTACTCAAAATATTTGAGGTCAAAGTTCAAAAAACGGCCGACTTTTTTCAGGCGGAGTGAGAAAACTCCACTTCCAGTCTCTTCCCCTCGCTTTGATTTGCAGGTGTCTCGCTCACGCATACGCCTTCATGCACAAGCACAGGCTTTGATGCAAAATAATAAAAAATAAACATTATTAACTACAGCTTAAAAAGCAATTAATACGCATTATACATAATTTAATTCATAATTAAATAAGTGCGATTTTTACTTATTTCTAGTACAAATTTACATAAAAGTTAATTTATAAATTCGCCAACGGCAAATAAACATGGAAAAACTTAACTTGCTTTCCATTTCGAACGCGTTGGTTATTCTAATATTCAATTAATTTATATTTTAAGTGCTCCTGTGTTTGTTCCAATGATTCGATATTGTTGGTAGACGAGCGGATTATGGGGTGATGACGAAAAGCCCAAGTTTAAAAATGTAAACGACGTTTGTTTTAGAGAAAAAAATATTAGTTGCGACCTGAATTGTGGCAATCCAACATTCATCAAATTCAGCTGGTGCAGTTTATCGTATTGTTTTGTGGACTTTTATGAAAATAATCATATGGTCACATGTACAATGAATAATTAATATTTTTCTACAAAAAAAAATTAAATTTAAAATTGTTGAAATGAATTATTTTTCGGAGTGAAAATCAAAGCGAGGGGAAGAGACTGGAAGTGGAGTTTTCTCACTCCGCCTGAAAAAAGTCGGCCGTTTTTTGAACTTTGACCTCAAATATTTTGAGTAACTCTCACCATCGCACAAACTGCCTGAAGAAACGTTAGTTGTATTGGCTTGGACCACCTAATTTTAAAATTTAAGCCAAATCGGAGGGTTACACTTCACACCATCGCATTGTCAGTGCAAAATTTAGAAGCGAACTCTGACTCGGGCTAAATGTAGTCTGCTGCACTGTAAGTTTTTTTAAATAAAAACCAAGTGCTCGGAAATGATTAGTATTTTAGTTTTGAAGCTATGATGATTATTAACCTTTGTTTGCATTGCACATGGATTAAGCCTTCTTTATTCTAGTTTTATTTTTGAAGAGAAAAATGCAGAATTTTATGTAAGTAGAGTTTAAATTTCATAGTGGGAAGGGAGAGTCAACTTTCGAGTTCCATTTTAGAAGCAACCCCAGCCAAATGCCATTGTTAAAATACAGGTCGCGCCTGGACAGCATCTCTTCAAAATTGGAAAACATGGGTTGTAAAGTGGGACGCACACCGAGCCCTATGCAAGAAACAATATAAATCACATGAATAGGTCTTGTATGAAAGTGAAATATTTCAGAGTTAATCTTACTTCATCCGTCTGCAATGGCTCCACATTTCCCGTAAAAAGTGGAATTTGTTCAATGGATGCTGCCGTTGTCATGGCGACGATGATTCCCACCAAGACTACCACACCCCAAACAGAGCAAGAAATAAATCTCATGGCTGTCCAGAAACTTTGAGAAGCAAGTTTGTATATAAAAAGTGACGCTATTCGACTGAATAAACTTGTGTATGAAATGTCTGCTTAAATACAAAACTGAGGTGATTCAGTTCATTAATTACCGGAGATTTGATATGCAAGTTTAATTTAAATTTTAAAATTACACGAGATTGACACACCATAATGGGCATATCTTGTACTTTTATTGTTATCAAGGATGGAAAGTTTGTTATTTCGTAGCCTGTGACCCACGGACGAATCAGTTAACAAATCCTAAAATTAAATATGATTTAACACAGTATTCTCATTTGTAAACCTCCTCGTTTCTGATCAAAGTCAGGTCATCATCTGCCGATAAGTACATTTGTAAATAATTTGCAAGTATCGGGTAACGTATTCATTCAACTTGGGCCACTAACTTAATCAGCCTACGAAAATCCGAGGAAATTCTGAGTTGAAGCATTTTCGTCAATGGAACTTATTACACTTCAAATTTATCACCCACGCCTGTTGACTTACATACTTTATAAGTGAAATGATTCGCATACTTGTATCATCAGCTGGAAGGATACCTGATACGCAATTTGTTGGTTTATCGATGTAATAATATTTAATAAGTACATGTAATTTTCCCGGATCTGTAATTCCCATTGCACGATATTTTTGTTTCACTGCAAACCGACGCATTGTCAGTTATTGCTGACAAATGCATCTCGGAGATGAGGTTTTTACGGGTATGCATAAGTTTCATAGCGTATATTTATGTACATGAGATACAGTAAAGTTAGCTTTACAATTAGGGCATGATTTTCTTTATAGAGAAAACTCATCATAAATTTGTTATGTATTTCTCATAGCCATGAACTTGATTTTTTAATTCAAATTATGAGAATTATTAAGTACCTTAGCATATTTTCAGACGTGTCTGACATACTGACTCTAGACTTAACTTAAACTAATCCAGAGTAGAGGTTAAGGTCATTATTCGATTAAGAATGATCAAAGGTAACTAACTAAATTGTTGCCAATCACGCTGCATACATATGTGTGTATGCAAGGCTTAAATATGTAAATATGTATGTATGTACGTATGTACTATGCAGTAACACGTCAACTATTTACATCTGATTTTATTTTAATCAATAAATTTCTACAAAGTTAAATTAAAGTTTGTTTTTTCCTTTATTTTTGTAGATGTATCATAAAACATATTCAAATAATTATAAAATCTTATGTAGTCCCAAAAAAGTTAATCAGGAAAATAGGGCAAACATTAAAGTTAGGTTAATTACACCAAACCATATATACCAATACCCTGAAAAAAAAAAATATATATATATATATATATTATGTTATTATATACACATGCAAGTCGATCATTACACAGTCTACAGAAGTCTCCAAACACGAAAAAACACCTGAAATGTACTCAATTTTTTTGTTTAGATTACTCTTCGTTATGGCCCTTGTGTCAAATCGGGTTGGCGCATTTAGTGCACATTTTGATCGGACAAGGTTGTTTTACACTACAAAAAAATCCAGAAAAAAATATCGAAATTCTGCCCTTGCTGCCATAATTTCATCGATGCTCATGTGGATTCAGACATTAAAACTTAGGTGGCACTATGGAGAAAGTAATGCTCAAGTCTACGAGTCTTATGGATTTAGTTACACAGGGGTTATTTGGACTGGAATTTTGTCTTTGTTATATATCGAACATGACAACGTCATCGGTGGAGTCAACCGATTCCTTTATTATTTTCAATGCTTCAAGCGTAAGACTTTTGCATACATAAAGTTGAGCAAAATTCTAGGCTGTGTAATTGGTTCGATACAATTAAACGAGATTGAATGGATGTATATCAAGCCATTAAGTTTATTATTAAGTTTCGTAATATTAAGTTTCTACTTAATATTACGTATTAGTATCAAGCCAATGTTTGGTCTCAAATTTCACTCAAATAAATGTAACTCATGTAAAAAAAATCATACATTGAATATTAAGTAATTTGTTTCAGACACATTTGCAATAAATATTTTAAACGTAGTAAAATAACATCTATTTTTGATCTCCAAATTTAGAAAAATGGATTCCCAAGGTGCACGACGCCAACTTAGCATTGTACTCCAAGATGTTGGACATGCTCATACTACTCACAGTTTCAACATGTATTCTGTTTCCTCTAACAATCACATTTTACTTCACATTTTTCCCGAATAGTGCGATATATCCAGGAAACATCGTGCCTGGTGGTCACCTCATGAAAGACAACTTACTTTTCAAGCTAATATGCGTATCTTATTGTACCTGGCTAGCCTGCATGACGTGGTATTCCATCATGTCGTTTGTAGTTATGGGGACAATTTATATTGGTAAGTGTACTAAGAAAATGTTATCTATAAAACTACCCATGCATGCTATCTTTTAGCCTCGATATTCCTGGTGATTCGTGAGTTCAAAATCGATTCGAGTGTCCACTACGCCCTCCACGCTCTAAGAACTCCGAACTATCTAATGGACGAGTACACAACGCTTCATCTTCTTCACCAGGATCTGATGAAAACGTTTGGCCAAGTTTTTATATTCGGGCATTTTGTTTGTTCTAATATGTGCATCTTTTGTATTTATGCGGTTATGAGACATTGGCATGACATAAATACTTCTACAATGGTGAGTATTTTCGAATAAAAGATCCTTAACGGTTCATACTGTTATTGTTCAGTACTGATATTGAATACTTGTTCACAGATTCTCTTGTCACTGTGGTCGGTTATGATACAAATAATTTGGGGCATGGTTCTCGAAGTCATTGGACGGTTTCACCTGTACTTGATTAAGACGATGAGATCATGGAAACGGGTACAGTTTACGAACAATACGGAAGCCAAACTATTTTTCAAATGCAAAAGGTCAAAGAAACCATTGATAATTGGGAAAGACAGAGTGCTTACGATCAAGAGGTTGACGGTGCTAAAGTTCTTTCGGCAAATAATTAAGGCAACCTTCCGAGCTCTGCTGACCGTTGGCCAAAGTAATTAATAAAATATTTGTCGGGTTTAACTTAAATTCCTGCATTATTGTATTTCTGCCTGTTGACCTACTTTTGAGAGTGGTTGGTAACCTTGTGACTGTACAGGGGTTGGTATTATTAATCCTAAGTATTACAGATAAATGCAAAATACACAGAAATTGACCCGAACTTTCAAAATTACATTTGTTACTTTATTCTTTCTAATTTTGCAGTGATTTCTGTTTTTACTTTTAACGAATATGCACATGCAAACATGGGCATTGTTTATATCTATAGAAAATTTCTTTAGATACTTAGGATTAGTTAGCTGTGGAATAAATCGGGATTCATTTTAGCTGATAGTTGGATACGTACATATTTATATGACTCATGATAATCTTATTTAGCATCGAAATTCGTGATTTCTGCAGACCGTGGAGCGCTGTTGTATGTAGATAGCGACGCTACTTTATTGTGGAGGAATTTAGGAGGTAGAGCTGCCGTTTGTTTCTTATTCTAAAACGGAGATGAATTTCATTGTTCATTGTGTCAAAATTTGACAGTCAAATTGTTCGACGCCCGTACAAAGATAAATAAAGCACGGTATTGCGAGACTGCTACATGATCTGGGTTGTGGGTAAAATTTTGATTATCAAAATTTGATAATTATTGTGGAAGAAATCAGTGTGATTTTCAATGGATCAGATGACGTTTTTTAAATAAGCTCTTCTTTATTGCTCAAGCTTTCAGACTCTACATAACTCATTCATTCTTCAGAAGAAATGAGATAAAAATAAAATATGTACTGTGGTGATTTTCACTTCCCATCGTGCGTCATCTAGATAAAATTATTTTCCACGTTGATGCAGTATTCATATCTAAAGAAATAGCATTATAAATTGTAACGTTATGCGACCTGGAAGTTCCAGGCAACATAAAGTTAAAACTGACCTAACACACATATATGATGTATGTATACATGTATATTATATACACTCAAGTATAGATGGACATCGCTTAATTATGACTTGTGCACTTATACATACATGATATATACTTATGTAAACAGTTTATGACAATCTCAATGTGAGTACGATTGTCACACTTCATTCAAACGACCAGTAACGTTAGCCGTATGTGTAGGCAATCTATCTTGCATTCATTTTGTTAAGCTATTTACAAATTTACGAAAGAAGCAGGAACTCGATATCGTATAGTGTGTATGTATGTATGTCTAATTTCATGCTCTATCCCATGGTTTACATATACTAACTTTCGTTTGTTTATCCTGAACATCCACTTCCCATTACTTTTAATTATTATATTTGTCACATTAAGAATTTCTTCATTCCGTCACTAATCCTAAACGTGAGACGATTTGTTTAGTCTGAGTGTGACTCATATTGATGATATCCAGGTTCCGTCCTGAATCCTGATATGTTTTCCTCATAGATCTTGCATTTCTTGCAGGTCAAAATATATAGTTGTAAGAAACTATGTACTTTCTTGCGATTATTTCTTGCAAGTGGTTACTTGTATCTGAAATCCTACAATTCACTACATGAAGGGACGAATTCAGTCAGCACCACCAAATCTAGTCCAGCCAAATCCAGAAGAGCAGAGCATACTCGTTAGACAAGTGTCCTTAAAGAAAGTGCAAATCTTGATTATAAATTTTCAAATCCTAAATTTTTGCACACTTCTGTCTCCGTGAAATTCCATCCAATCCTTGTAATCTTAAAGAAATATATACCTACATATGTGCATATCATCTCAACATGTTTCTCCTTCGGATTATTATGATTGCGACAGGATTTATGATGAGCATGGCCTCCTCGATTGGAATTGGTATGTAAAATAAATTCCGTATACGTAACTAAGAATATTTAAATCCACGAAATCTTCTGAAAAAACGGTATTTCCGTGAAGCATTTGAAAAGATAATATGTTATGGTAAAGCCATTTTACGTACAAGCATGTCCTTGAAACCATCAAAATTCATGAAAGTACGTCTTTAAAATTTTTTCTGAATATCACCCTTGTGCTTATTCCAATTACGTGAAAGTCAAATTTAGCCAAGTATTAAATGACACAATCTGAATACATAGTTTAGTCACTCATGATTTATTTTACATTTTGATGACAGACAATAGAGCAGACTCGCTTAAAGAAGAGGGTGGGTTGTGTTACAAATGCACTTCCAACCCCCAACCGCAGTACGGACCCCGACCATTTTTGCCCTACCACAAAAACTGTGCTGGCGGTGGACCACTCCCACCCGAGATGCTGTCTGGATGTGAGGACGTGATAACTCCGTACGACGGATTATTCGGCCACTACCAACGAGACTTGTATATTGACCGACCTGGCAAAATCGGAACAAGTGGCAAAAGAGTGTGGCAAAATAACTTCATCCGAGTCTGGTATCGTGAGAAAAGGGTGCATACTAGTCGCTGGAAGTAAGTTTCAAAGATTCTGGACGTTCCAAAATATCGTGGAGCTTCACGGAGAAATTATGACGGAGCATTATTGTATGGCGGCCGCATGTAACCATGGTAACGGGTTGGGAAGGATGACGCTCGGTTTCATGATAGGAATGGTTTTCGTGGTCAAAATATTTCTTTAGCTTAGCTCATCATCACGTTGGGAATTTTGGCATTTGTATCTTGGGCAGTCCTTTATTTATTAAAATCAGCTAATTATTTTTAGCCCGAGTCAGGGCTTATGGAACCGTCATGTCCGTCCGTCCGTCCGTCCGTCTGTCCGGCACGATAGAGCCAAAACGGCTGAACCGATTGACTTGAAATTTTTACCATATGCATATTGGACAAAGTTAGGAAACGAGTTCGAAGATGGGCGAAATCGGTCAAGTGGTTGACCGGTGGGGGTCATCGGAGTGGGTGGGGTATTATGCACCAAATTTCAAAATTGTCGTAGAAGGCTAAAATTGGGTACAGAGGTTGCTAATGGCTCCTAATAGATAAAAATGACTTTAAGTTTGAAAAATTTTCATCTTGAGGGACCCTATGGGATGACCCATACTGATTTTTCAAAATCGTCATAAAAAGCTGAAATTTGGTAGAGAGGTTGCTAATGGGTCTTAATAGAAGAATATGACGTGGAATTGGTAAAATTCTTATCAGGAGCGACCCTATGGTGTGACCCATACCGATTTTTAGAAATTACTTTAAAAACATTAAATCCGGCAAGGTCATACCTAATGGCTTCTCATGAAAGGATATGAAGTTAAAAGTGAGCGAATTTTAACCAGAGTGACCCTGGAGGGTAACCCATACCATTTTTTAAGTTTAATTTTTTCCATCTGAAATTTTGTACGAAGGCTAAAAACCACTTCTTGATAGCAAATATAGCTGTGGAAGTTCAAAGTGGTAATATTATGTCGGTCAATTCGGAGAAAAATTTAGAAACAGCTAGGACTCACGGAGTCAGGGACTCTGTCCCTGACTCGGGCTATATGGAGTCTGCACTGTAGGTTTTTATATAATGTAAATATTTTATTCATCTGAAAAATTTGCATACATCTGTATGAATAATGACATCACTTTAGCTGACTCCAATTGCTTAGTTGTTCTTGCAGTTACTCACTATAATTAATGAATAATGTATAATACTCATCAGAGAAAATTATTTTTGTCTCAGATTTCTTAATTTGGAGTTTACAGTACACTTTCTCTCATTATTAAGTTTTCTTAAAAATGTAATACACTTAATGCAAACATATGTATATAACACTCCTGCGTACATGCTAAAAGTACATTTAAGTATTTACCTAAAGTACCTACAAGAATTAAGTATTTAATATCCGACCGACAATAAACCTTACATTTTTTTAAACCAACACATGTACACTGTGAAATCACTAAGAAAAAATTTGTTATGACTTTTCATGAAATGACATTATCTACGATCATTAACAACTACCTACATATTTACATGCACAATATCGTATACATACATATTTAGAGTGTTGCATAAAAAACTCCATATGAGATTTTCTGGAATTATTTGATATCAGAAAATTCAGCCTTGACAATCGTGATAAGTATTTACATATTTAGAAAGATACCTTAATAAGACAAGAAGTTGACACCTAGCGCGGAACATATTTATTTAATTGACCTAGTATTTCTAACTTTTTGAAGCCTAATGCCTACTCATTAATTTTACCGTGTCGTTAATGCGACTCAAATGACGGCAGTTAGTGAAAGAGAATACAAGCAAGTCGATAATTTATGAAATTCTTGAGAAGTGCATGACACCTCATTTGAAAACATGTTTTCGTTTTGTATTTGATGACCTATTTCTTTAAACATTTAGTATATTATTGACACCGTGAAAGGAAACTACTTTCGTTGGGAAAATGTTGAACTTGATGCATTTTTCACTAATTTTAATAATTTTTCACGCTCACGCTCTACCGAATTTTCCATTTTGGAAAATCCCAAACTTTCTCGACGGCTATTCCTTACATTACATTACAGTCGACTCCAACGAGACGTCAAATTGGGCTACTATTATTTTTCAAAGTTGATGCAAAAATAATATTAACTCCCCTTTTGTACTGGATTCAATATCGTCGCGGAATTTCTCTGCAAGTCGATACCACTTTGGTGCGCTTCTTAATAACTCCACCACCGTAAAAAGTATATTAACAAAGCCCACAAAGAAGTTTTTTACCCGTATAATATCATTTATTCTCACCGATTCGAATAATTTGCAGTCTCATTTAGACCAAATTCATTACGCAATGCTTGCTTGCAATGAAAATCCTTCTTTTATTTTCATTTATCTCGACAACCGCATACATTCCAGCCGTTTTATAACAATTAGGGCAGATTACTCTGTAACATCGATATTTGTAATTTTTGGTGCTGAAACCATGCAAATCCCGTGTATCCCATGCGACCCCGATTCTCACCTTCATTCAGTACCAGATAACCTTTCACTTCATGATATCAGCATCGTCTGGAGTCATCTCAATGCAAATTTACAATCTAACCTCGTCGCTCATTACAACGCTTATCCCATTCCTGGAAATCTTGCTGACGAATGTGGTCCTCACTTGGCTTGGTTTCATTACCACCACAGACATTGCGCCCTCGCGCTTTTGGGGATTCGGCATAATTTCACCCACATATCGACAACTTTGTACTATTCTCAGCAGAAAAAGTTTGCTGGGAGGCTACTCAACACATTATCATTTGGAATGATTGGCACCTCATCGTCAACAGTCGACCACTTCTTTCCCACCAGACCAACCAACACAAAACATGTTTGGCACATTTTTGGAAATGAGTTTTATGACTTCAAATTTGCCACTGTGACCAAATATTGGAGAACGTTGCGTGGACCAGAGGAATTAACTGCACCATTGGATCTACCCACTTGGACCAGTCTCCTTATCAGCATCGCCGGTATACTAGCATTGTTGAGACTGAAGCTCGGCGAAAGTTTTGAAAATTCAGTATTTTGGATTTTCTCAACAATCATGAATCAAGGGAGTGACGATATTTCAATCACCTCTTCAAAATCTACACTAGTTTGGATTACATGTTGGCACTTTGCCTGTCTTTTGCTGAATACTTTTTACCAAGGTGAAGTTTCTCCAAGCTTGACGGCGAAATTTCCACCATCAGTTCCTCTCACGATGAACGAATTGCTTAATTCAGGCCTGAGTATTTTGACAACTTCGACAATTTCCATGAGCAAAGACGGGATGTCTCACGTTGCCTCAGAAATTATCGAGTCAATAATTCCCGAGTATATGGATTCACTGGAGGATGACAATGCACAAGTTTTTCAAAGTATGAAAAAACTGAGAGAACAATTAGTCTTTGCGACGTCGGGGAGTTCTTACAAAAATTTCGGCAGTATCACCAGCAACATTTCCGACTCGTTGCAAGTCACGTTAACCGATCATAAAGCGAGACTGGATACTTCTGAGAACATCGCAATTCTAGATTATACCGTTGATCTGGAGCATTTTATTCAGGCGATAGAATTGCTGGGGAAAAGAGTGGTGGTGAGGAATCATGCCACAATACCATTCCTTTTAATTATCCCTGTTATTTCACAGAAGAATTTCATCTCTCAAAGATTTTCCAAGACTTTGAGTGCTTTAGAGGAATCTGGGATTTATTTGAGGTGGTTGAATTTGTACGAACTCGGTTTAGAATTGCGGATAGTGAAGGATACGATCCGAAACGGTAGTGTGCACTTTTTCACCCAACAATTCTCACCCCACAATTTTCACTCGACAATTCTCACTCCGCACCAATTCTCACTCCACAATTCTCATTCCCCAATTCTCACTGTTTACCATTCTCACCCCACAATTTTCACTCTACAATTTTCACCTCCCAATTCTCAACCTATATCAGCTATTAAAATTATCTTTGTACATACAGTGTCATACCACAAAATAATAATCCAACCTCAAGGTGGTTGCATTTATACTCTATCCACTCTCTATCAAATTTTAAAACCCTAGGCAAAACTTAAATTGTCTCACTTTTTCGCCAAAATATTGTATGAAAAAGTAGATTTTAATACATAAATACCACTAACGTGCAGTTTATGTTGGGCACTAAATATTATGGACACATTTTTCGCCGAGCACTAGATATTATAGACATTTTTTTGCATAAATTGTCCCGGTTTTAGTTAGGACAATTCTATTAAAAAAAATAGTCACACTAGTTTTAAGGATATCTATCTCAATGTTAACCGTCGCATTATTTACTAGGAACTTTACAGAGGATTTAGTTTTCATTTACAAGTTTTATTGATAATCCGAACCAGCATGGCTGGCCTCCAATGTTTTCTAATTTCACTTTTTGTCATCCTAATACATAAATCGAAATATAGAATATATTGTCGTTTTGTGACATGTTTCAGCAGAGGTTGAGCATTGGGGAGTGAAAATTGTCGGGTGAGAATTGGTAAACAGTGAGAATTGGGGAATGAAAATTGTGGAGTGAGAATTGGTGCGGAGTGAGAATTGTGGAGTGAAAATTGTGGGGTGAGAATTGTTGGATGAAAATTGACACCGAATCATCCGAAACAAGGGCAAAGATCTGTATTCTAGATTTTATGGGAAGAAAATGGTAAGTATGAAGGAGAGAGGAATTCTTAGCGAGGAGGTAGCAGTATCTCTGCAAGATATTAAATCATTTTTTGTGTTGAGTGCTGGGTTCGCAGGAGTAGGAATCATAGTGATGATAATTGAGATAGTGTACTGTAAATAAGAAAGAAGACACTGATTTAAATCAATATTTATCAGGGTACCTTAAAGTATATCAAGACAATCGTTAATGTTGATTGACTTATCTTTAGCACTCTAATTATTGATTTCATTCCACAATTTCTTGCTATTTACCTTCAGCTTTCCAGATTAGTGGACACAATGAATTCGGAAACTTGAATACAGCAGCGAACATGGATTTATGATTCAAAACGCGAAATGAATAACATGTAGTAGAAAAAAATACTTTATGAAATACCAATCCATGCTACCAACAGACATAGATTATAAATACGTAGATATATAATGAAGCTGAATATGCAGCCGAGAAAGGCATAAAAAATGACGACGTGATAGTAACGGTAGATTGACAATATTAATATTAGTGCTACTTAAATATTCAAGGTAGGAAACTTACGTATTACACACTTACATATATTTAGTTTTATAACTGTCGAACAATGAGAACTAAGTAGATATATCGTGTATGCGAGTACTGGATACAGTGGTCATATTTATTTTACTTTATGACACTTTACACTAAATTTTTGTGGACTATCTAAATGCGTGTACATATTTTACACGCATACATACGTCTGCAGATTACCTTAGCTCAATCAATTCAGCACTTTGACTGGAAATAAATAGTAGAACAATATTACATATATTTATTCTGTTGCTATCAATCATTTGTGATGATTTTCAAAGAAATCCTTATCTTTCCAAAACTGTTACTTTATTTTATTCTCATCCAATTGAATGTTAGACATTCGATATCACATTTGGTCAATGACACTGACTTTTCAGCGAATAAAAGTATATCCCAACAGTCTCAGTTTGTGGATATCGGGCCGTTTAATAGAATTTTTAAGTATGGACAATTAATGCAGCAACAATCTCAGACTGTTGATAATGTAAGTCAATAATATATTCAATTCACAGCAAATTACCGGTAAACTATGCTTTTAGCGTTCAGAAAGTCAAGTGTGTATGTGAGTAATAATTTTTCGAACAGGTATTTCGATGTATGCGAAGTTTTCCATGTTTTCATATTCTATTCAAATGCTATTTTTATAAAATTACTGTACGATACACTTTAATGACATTTCTCATATGTCGTTTATCTACGGAAATTCTGTCACCAAAAATTCAAATATCTCAATTTCTTAAGAGTTTTTACCCTTTGTTGGTTTACAGTGGTTGAACCAAGGCAAGAATTCAACTGGAGAAATGACACTGCCGGCCAATTTTAGATCTGTTATTCAGGTATTTGTCGTTTTCCTAGGTGACCTCATAGGACGCTTACGTTCAATTTACATGCATTACGGAATCAACGCTGTGTTCCTTTTCCACATAATTTCAATATCTATTATCCTGAGTCTTGCTAGTTTACCTGGCATACTAAAAAAACTGGAGTACAATCGTGACTTAATTTTCGATCAAATTTATTTAGATCGGTTGTGAAATTGTTAATAAAACTACATTTAAAAAACAGCATTCTTCGGTGAGGGTGCGACTAAAAACTTTTAAACAAGAGCATTGCACAAATTTTAAAATTGAATATTATCAACTTTTGCCTCACCGTAGGCATTTATTTAAATGCAAAATCATTTTGGACCCACGGTGAGGCAAAAGTTGGTAATATTAAACTTTAAAATTTGTTCAATGCTCTTGTTTAAAAGTTTTTAGTCGGACCCTCACCGAAGAATGCTGTTTTTTAAATGTAGTTTTATTTTCTGGTTTTGGTTGGAAGTTTTTTGTTGGTTACCAATAGCAATAAGATAGATAAGGTGCAATTTTCATATGCGATTAAGCAGCTTAAACGGCTGCAGATACCTCCATCAAAAGTTTCTCATTTTTCAACCGATTTTGCTCGAACGTATCTTAAATGGTGCGTAATCAGTGCCCGCACAATAAAATCAATATCAGACATGATCATTGTATGGTAAAATTGAATTTCCGGTTCATTTTAAAGTTTCAAAGGTCCTAAAATTCTTGTAATATTAGAGTTTTGCCAGAATAAAATTGAAAAGACACTAGATTTTGTAATTGTCTGATTTTTTTGTTTCAACAATTTTTCAATAAATGCAACCGTTCGAGCTGTGGCCGTGGCGGAAGTTTTACGACCCTGTCTTGAAAGCATACCTTGGCTTCGCCGTAACCATGCGCTTTTCTGTCGTGAGGGTAGCCCTTGGTTACGTTCCTCACCTCAGAAAAAAGTATTGACAGCCGTTTATTTTACCGACATTGGCTATAAATATTTTTAGACCTTGTTCAGGTTTTGGTTGTATGTATTTAGGATGTGAAGCAGACTGACAATATGAGACAAATTCGACGCTCTTGTTCTTATTCTCCTTCATGTTTTAAAATTTGTAGATAAAGAACGTCCGGGAATGAATGGGAATGCGCGCTCTAGCGAGTATATTGACAAATCAATAAACCCGCGAACTATAATAATTTAAATTTCTGAAAGCCCACTTCATTAGGGTCAATTTGGTATATCACTCTTAAATTTCAAAAATGGATAAGGGTAGAAGAAGCTTGTTTGAAAGGGAGCTGTTAGCAAAACGAGTGATGGAGTTCTACAACACGACAGCCAACCGAGACTCCAAGGTGACCTGGAACTTTTTTAAGCAGGAAGGAATTCCAAGTTCAAATGTGTATTCCTACATAAAAAAGTTCAAGGATTCCGAAAATGTGCAATTCAAGAAGCCAGCTGGTCGTCCGGCGAAGCTAGCGACCACTCGAGTGAAAAATAGAATTGAAAAAATTTTCAAAACCAAGCCATCAACGTCAGTAGCGGTAGCTGCCAGGAAAGTCAAAATTTCCAAAAGCTACCTGGGGGAAATTAAGGTCCATAAATTAGGAATCAAAGCAAGGACCAAAAAACCTGCACCAAATTACAAGCCCGTACAAGAAAGTCGGATCAAGGATTGCTGTCAAAAATTGTTGAAGAAAATGCGTGGAAAAGTAGTGATCCTGGATGACGAAACGTATGTTCCGGTTGACCCTTCAAATCTTCCAGGGCGTCATTTTTTTCATAGCTCGGATCCCTCTGAAGTGGCTTATGAAGAAAAAGTACGAAAAAAAGACAAATTTCCAAAGAAATATTGCATTTGGCAATGCATCTCCAGTCACGGACATGTATCAGACCCGGTAGTTCTCGAAGGGAATATCAATCAAGATATTTATCTGAAAAATTGCGTCAAGGCTGGATTGGAAGCATTTATTAATAGGTTTCACAAAAATGATAAAGTTTTGTTTTGGCCTGACCTCGCCACTTGTCACTATGCAAAGAAAGTGACCGAGTACCTCAGAAAGAAAAATATTGATTTCGTACCAAAAGATATCAACCCACCTAATGTACCCCAACTCCGCCCAATCGAAAAATTCTGGGCACGTTCTAAGTCAGTATACTCCCGGCTTCAAGATGTGCCTGACACCTTTCGAAAATTCAAAGGACGATGGAAGAAAATCACCTCGGAAGTGGCAAAAACTTCGGGAAAAAATTTAATGAAAAATCTTCGCAAGAAAATCGAACTAGTCGCCAACGGGGGTGTGGCGGCCTTAGCTATTAATTAAATTATGTAGGTACGTATTTGGTATTATACATATGCAAAAAGTTTAAAATTCCGATAACTCATTGTGATTTTATGACCACATTTTCAGACCATTCCCATTCATTTCCGGACGTTCTTTAAATTAAATATTGCTGCGTTACGTATTCTTAGTTTTTGGAACTTCCAGATAAGAAATATCGACAATTTCTTAGAACAATTAGAACAATTAGAACAATCTTATTTAGACCAATAAAGATTAGACTTGCATTAATTATTCAGCAAGGAGTTACATATGTATCATCGATTGCAAATATGTAAGTATTAACATACGTACATATTTGCATGCGATACCCATTTATTTATCGATTATTCCCGATATGAATAATATTCTCGGGTATGCTAGTTATTTAGGTCTGCTGTAAATGTCACAAATTGTGAACTTATTCTCGAGAAACTTTAATTGTGCAATCTTTTGATTTAATAAACCAGGGACCACAACGAGTTATATGTATATCATCCCGTGAATTTAATATGTATGCTCACATTGATACATACAATTTTGATTTATTATTCAACAGCATACCAACGAGTTTTTTAACTATTCTGGTCAGAGCATTTTTCATTTTGACAGCATTATCGTAAATTTTTTTCTAAGCCCTCAGGCAACTTGCACCATATTAGAAAAATGGCAAAGTATTTTAAAAGTTTTTGGATATGTCATCAATTCTTAACTCATTGTGTACTCCGAATTTTGTCAATCAATGAATGAGAATCGTTTTCAACATATAAATCTCTATTTCAAAAGTGCAGCATTAGTCAGCCAATAAGTTTGAGGGAAGACAAGAATCGATTTCTGCTAACTTACAACGGGGCCCTTGGAAAACTAAAGTTCTTTATTGTTCGGTTTGTCATAGTTGCATTTGGACTTTTTTCATGTCTTTTCATTGCCATTAGTAAATTATACGGCTATTTTAGCTCAATTCCGTTCTGGATTTTCTTTATCCAAATCACACTCGGAATATTTGCAACGTTTGTGCTATGCATGAATACGATACTTTATACAAAAGGAGATTTGTTCGTAGTTGCATGGCACGCCATTTTGGACCAATTACAAGAAAAACGATTTGGTGAGTCTATAAGCCATCAGTAATTTGTTTAAAGTTTGTACGTTTTAATTCTTTCTTCAGGTGCCAAATTTGACCCTGTCAGCTTTGTTCTATTAATAATGGTCGTCTCATTTTTCACGTTGACTCCAAGTTTAACCTGTATATTTGTATATTTCGAAATTGATCCCTTCATCTACATTTTACGTAACTTGCTGCCAACCAACCCAATATTTATAAACATTTTCAGAATACTAATTTGCGCTATTTGTATTTTCGAAGCGTTCAACGTATTAGCTATTATAATCCTACTTATCATTACGTTTATACTAATCATTTCCAAGCTAGTGGGCGACATCGATCATATTGACACTTTTGACAAACTTATTTCAAATTATCGTGTCATTTACATCACAATTCAGCTATTGGCACCGATTTCGTCTAATGTTTCTAGCGCATTGATGCTCCTCGGTTTAGTTGTCGGAGTAATGTTCAGTTTCACAAGTATTGCTTTAGTGAAGATTATTCCCTTTGTGTTATATCCCTTCTTCCCTGGGGTGTCCGTCTTAATAATGTATCTCGTAATAGTCGGACTTTCGTTTGGTGCGAATATTCATATGGAGACGGAACACGTATTGGGGAGAGCAAGTAAAATGATATCTGACGCCATTCCATCCACAGACGGAAAAGAAATGAAAATTCGAATGAAAACATTGAGGTGCATGAAATCGACGTGTTTTCATTGTGGCGTGGGAGGATTTAATTTCTTCTCTTGGACAAAATCAACCCAAATAAGTTATTATAAGAGTTATGTGGACTATACAATTACGGCATTATTGTCGGTTAAGCATTAATTCGATAACCAAGTGCGCAACTTTCGTATTTTGAACCTACATACTTCTATTAAGGAAAGATGTTAAACAGCTTTGACTACTCTGCATCCGGTGTCAGCCCAACCAGCGTTTCACTCAGCGTCCATACCTCCCTCGCCAAATCGTCCCTGAGCAAACTTTCTCCGGACCAGAATTTTCTCCCAAAGCGGAACAATTGTCCCGACAAGGATGCTGTTTCTCTTGCCAATGCGCAGTACAAAACCATGTCGGCACCCTAAATCACACAAGTAATATTATAAATATATTATTTTTTTCTATGTTATTAAGTATCTTGCAAAGTCATCGCCCCATAATTTTCTAACCTTTTCTAAATCCATCCCCACCACTTTGATAAAAGCCTCGCAGAATCTCCTGCCTGTATACCCTCTCAAAATTTGAGTATCCTTCACAAATCCGGGACACAACGCGTAGCTCTTCACCCTTCCCTCCCTCCTTGCCAACTCCTTTGAAAACAGAGCGTTTGCCATTTTCGAATTGCAGTACGGCATCGTGAACCAGAAGCCGCGCCAACTGTAGTCGCACATGAAGTCGTGAACTGTCAGATTGGACTGCATCAGGCCGGACGATGACAAAGTGACGACACGAGGAGCATCCGCCCTTCGCAACTGGGGGAGGAGTAGTTTTGTTAGGAGGAAATGGGAGAGATGGTTGACCCCCATGTGCTGTTCGAAACCTTCCACGGTGTAAGTCCGTCTCCTCGAGTTGAGTGATATTCCACCATTGTTAATTAATATGTCGATGATGGGAAATAGACTGGCGAGATGTCCGACACATCGTCTGACCGAGGACAAGTCGGAGAGGTCAAGTTCGACGAGACAAATTGACTCTGGACTGCACCCGGTTTCTTGAATGAGTTCGAGTCGAGTTAGGGAACCCTGATCAAGATTTCGGACAGCTGAGGAAATATCAAAGTCGATTGAAAATTTGTGCAAATTTTATTTGCAAAAAAATATTACATTTGTGCTCACCTAACACCACCACGGCTCCCCTTTGCGCCATTCCCTTCGCGACACATCTGCCCAGGCCGGAACCAGCTCCTGTGATCACGACCACTTTTCCGCGAACTGATTCCTCCTCCCATTCACGGCGGGGGAAGAATTTGTATAATATTTGCAGCACGAGTGCCTCGACCCACATGAAGATGAGCCATTGTATTGATGAGTGCATGCCCAACATTGTGTCACAAAAAATGGTATCAGTAATCGGGCGTGAACAACAATAGAAAAAGTAACATTAATGGGAAAGACTCCAGCAGGAATAATAATGATGCATTCGTTTGCATGGTTGGAGCTCGTTTAAGTAAGTAAATTATGTAATTCAACAATTGAACGCGCTTATTTCGTAGATTTTCATAGTGCGACGTGGGCACTAGTCTTGTGACTGGTAATTAGTCTGCTTATTTACTTATGCAAGGGTTCTTCCCGACAAATAGTAGTTTCCCAACAATGGGAAAATAATTTTCTGACTTGGGTTCGTTGCAATGGTGGGTGCAATTAGTGGCTTGGTAGGTGAGAATAATGGTGATAAGAGTGACTGCGTCGTACTCTGGTCAAACATCATGGAGTTGCTGGGATATTTCATCATTAGATATGTTACGCGTCAGGCGAGTAAGAAATATCCAACGACTGCAAAAAGTGGTCGGCCGACATGGTTTAACGAGGTGAGGGAAATACTCCTAATTATTTACCTAACGTCAAAATAATCATATGCATAAGCTTGAGAATATTTACTTGCATTGTTACACGAGCGTTTTAAGTATGCACGCATAAAGACGACGAGACGAGATAAGACTTATTTATTTACCAACAGAAAATTTGAGCTTGTTAGAAGTTACATCTTACATGATCTATGTATTCACTATTACTATTAATATTGGTGAAAAAGAGGAATATTTTTATAATAGCTCAATTGACTCAAATTGCCATTAGTGAGTCCACCCACGCTTTATGTATTTATTTTTGCAATTTGTATGCATGCAACTGGATAACGCTATTACGTGATACCTGTAAATGCAGAATTGAGAAATGCGAGAAAGGGTTTTTGCCAAGAAATAAAGTTTATAACCCGTCCGTGTCCAATTACTGCCTTCCAAAAATTATAACAATACTTATTAATATTTATGTAATCACACATATGTATGTTACGGGTGAATTCCTAATGACACTGCTTTCTCACAAAATAAAATTTAGTTTTTTTAGATAAATTTTTATATTTTAATAATTATATTTTCTCGGAAGATTTAAAAAATTGATGAACAATTTTATAACCCAATTATTGTAAAGTATTTAGAAGCTGCATGTACATAGGCAGTGTAGCAAATAATGAGAAGAATACTGCAAAAAATAGTAGGCTCATCAATTAATATCTAGTTTCTCAATACACATCATTCAACTAACTCTCGCCATGTCATGGACTTCTCGAACGATGGCTTCCACCATCTTCTTCGGCCTCTCCTGCGTCCTCATCACATCTTCTCTGCACTTGACCCAGATAAACATCTTTTCCCGATACCCAATAAACATTGCGACCAGAGGAACATGTTCTGACATGTCAAACACAAAGCTCGTTCTTTTAATCTCCGCCCCAAAGAAATGCCATGGTTTGGACGACAGCGCAAAATTTGTTACCGCTAACGTCGTATACGGCCCAACTTTTGGGAGATACTGCGACAACTGTAAGAAAATCCCGAAAAGGGTGACACTCAAATTTACCAAGAGTGCCGTGCATCTCTTTAATTTGTAGTCCCCGGCTAATTGAGCTAATTGTGCCTTCCTGTCTTTTACTCCAACTGGGAGGGCGAGTGTGTTCATGTACGCGTGGTTCGTCAAGGTCCCGGGATGCCCAGGTTTTGCGAGAGGGTGGATCGCACTCATCGCCAAGGGGACGGGGTCACCGGCACCCTCCATGTCCTGTCGAATCGCCGTTGCAAAAGCACACATTAGCACTTCCGATGCTGTGTGCCCAGTAGCTTTTGATGCTTTTTTAAGCGTGGCTAGCTCGAGGGTGTGGCTCTCATAAAAGTGAACCTTCCTCGAGCGAAGTTGGGGTGGTTTTATCCACGCGTTGAAATTGTAATCTTGTAGGAAGGCGATTGATAAGGCGTATTGATGTAGGGTGAAGATTCGGATAAGGTCGACAAAGTATTTTAGCCAGGAAATGGCTACCTCGGAGAAGTTTGGGGGTGGCTGTTGAGGAAATTTTTGATGTTATTTAGCTGGCATATTAATTTTTAATTGGCAGGTGTACCTGTTGCGGAGGTGGTTCAATGCCACCGATCGCGTTAAGAAGGGCGACATGACCAACCCCATCAGTCAAGGCGTGATGCACCCGGAGGCAGAAGGCAGACCCACCCTCGTCATCGACATAATTGGGAAAGAGGGTGATGTCCCAGAGGGGAGCGTTGGTCAGAAATGCTACCCGGCAGAGACCATCCTGCGCTAGTTGAACCTCCTCCAACGTCTTTACATCCGGCCTCGATCGAATGTGTGATTCCAATTTAAATGTGGGGCACCCACCCCAGAACCATAAGCCCATCCAGCGGTGCAGACTTTTTTGAAGTTCTGGAAACTGAAAATATATTTTAAAATGGTGACATATTCAGAAATAAAATTTTATCAAAATTGTCGAAATATGTATGAATTTTGGTCACAATAGGATTATATCAAACAAAAACCACAAAGCGCATTTTATTTATGTACATATATAGATACTTCGTAATAACAATTTTATAATTTTCGAAACTCATGATGAATACCAACTCAAATTTTGTAGGATTTTGAAATGTTTAAATTCATTTATAATTAAGTAAAATCTGCACCTTACCCTCCTACTATTGATGACTTCTTGCATCCTTTCAACCACATCTTTCCTCTGGATCACTTTGTCCGTATAGTGACACCCCACAACGGCATGTTCAACTTCCCCGTCCGTGTAAAAATTGTCCACCGTGGTCAGTCCACTTTCCGGAGATAGTGCCACAAAACCCGGGCGAAACCATGCCGCCGTCCCCACAGCAAGCAGTCTGTACAACAAGAGGGGGATCGCAGTGGAAAAATAGATGATAGGCAGTAACAGGTACGAAATGATGAGCAAAACTACCCGAAACCACACCTTGGTCTCCAACCAATCAATTGTCGCTTTCATGACAAGTAGAATTAATTACTTCAACGCAGAAAGTAACGACGATCGAGCTACATAAGAGCTACTGTCAGTCACGGGAAGACCTGGACCAGGACGGAATGCTAAATAGTTGAGATTGCACAATCCCGAATTTGCAGCAACAAACTTCCTTCTATCCAACAAACCACGCATTTCTTCGCAACAAACCAAATACTTAAGGATTTACATACAATTACACACTCTCATTATTACGTGCCTACTTATTTATTTACCTCGACGCCACAGCTTCCGCCAACAATACTTTAAAATGTAAAAAATACATTATTACGAACTATTAAGAATTTGCAACACCTAATTTAATTTATATAATCACAAAAATCATTATATTTCCCCATTATTCTTAAACAAATTGCGACATTGGAAAACCTTTTGGAAAAAGAGGGTTTGATTACATGTCCAGTTCGTTAAATTCACACTCAATCATAAAAGTCGGAATAATAATGCATTATATCATGCATATGTATACATACGTCAACCTAGGAAGAAATCCCAGGTACATTCTTGTCTGCTATACTGTAAACATATAATTTCGTATCATCATTAGTTCAAAGATTTCTGAGGTTACTGAGAAATTGGGACCCAATGCACACATATTTACGTGACTATAGCGTCACATCATCATTGGGATTATCTAATAAGCTACGTCACAACCCTTTTTTGGCCCTTGTTAGGTAACAAGTGTCTTCGAAGTTGCGCAATGAGATGTTACCTTTATTTTTATGAAACCGATAAGCATGCATAACCGCCTAATATATTTATTAGCACTTGCTGAACAAGAAGCAATCAAATCGACAAATTACACATAATATGCACAATTAACCAACACTGCTTACGTATTATGAGTGAAGTACCTTTAAAATCTCGAAAACCACGCAGTTTTTCCGTCATCTCATTTCCCAATGTGAGGAACCATTAATAAACTTGCATCATTATTTTCCTCCACCACAATCCTTGTATCAAAAGGAATGACCATGTCAACACCTTTTCCTTCCCAGGCCGACCTTAACCATGATAAGTTTGCCAAACATGACGGAAATTCCTCCAAATAAATAACCAACACAATTATTTATTAATATTTACATACGTCTGCTGCGTAGCTTGTCTTTTTTAAGTCCAGGAAAATCCATTATTGCTCTTCAGCCACGCCACAGCATGCGCCAATTAGTTTATGGACTAATTGAAGAGGTGTAATCTCGACCCGACTTCCATTTCCTTCACGTCACTTCACTAATAAGGCTGGGATTAAATAAGTTCAAGTGACATGAATTGAGAGATTTAGTTTGATTCCGAATTCCATTCTCACGATTTATCGGTGTGAAGTATTATATGAACACAATACTCTTAAAATATAACTGCATTCCGATTTCTGAAACTGATAAGCAAAGATTAACTAAACATGAAGGACAAAAAGGGGTCACGAATTTGGGTAGGCATTTCCAACCAACCGGACGAGATTCCATATTTGATCGAGCAATACAAGAAGGAACAAAGTGGTGAAGATGGGAATTTCGACAATGCTGCTGTCATTGTGGGATCGACGTTATCTTTTGAAGAATGGTAACATTCATACAAAATAGTCTAACAATTTGGCGATTGTAATATGTTACATAAATAATCCGGACATATTTTAGTGTACAACTTGAGAATGTGTTTGATTTCGTTGTAAAATTGGGAGATCAAACACCGGAAGAGTTCAATCTTCTCTTGTGGGATCATGTCACTTTGAGGATGGGATTCAAAAAGAATGGTGAAATTTGCATACAACAGTTTTTACTTGACATTTAAACTGTATTTAACAAATACATGAATTTACTCACAGGCATAATTCCCCACCACCAAACTAATGGTCATGTCTCCACTTTAAGCGATAATAATGAGCCAATCGCTATTGTTGGAGTATCCTGTCGTCTTCCTGGTGCTAATGATACCGCCACATTTTGGGACAATCTTCTTCACGCGAAAAACTCACTCGGACCGGCTCAAGAACGTTGGCGCCTGGACCAAGGTTGCTCAAACCTGACACCGGAACACGAGAAAACAGAAGCAGGGTTCCTTTCCTGTCCGGTGGATACTTTTGATTCTGAATTCTGGGGGCTCTCTCCACTTGAGCTGAGCTTTACGGATCCTCAAGCGAGAATGTTGCTCCAATTGAGTTGGGAGGTGACAAAAATACTTTAAGAGGACGGGTGACTGACGAAAGTTACAAAACTAACGATTTTTCAAATCGCTGGCATTTCAACAATATTGGATGAATTTTTTTCATTTTTGTTGAAAAATGATCTCAATGAGTTGTATTTTCAGATTCATTAAGAATTTTGAATTCTTTCGAAGGTCAAAAAATTGAATGTACTAAGGCCAAAGGTCACAAGGTCAAGGCTCACAGGCCCATAAATAGGGTACCATTGGAAAGGTCTCGATGAGAGGATTCAGAATATATATACTTTGTGGGGTCTGGGACCACCCCCTGATTAATTAGAAGCCAGTGAACATTTTTGAGTTTTGGTTTTGCAGGTATACAGACGTTAACACAGGAGCAGATTGAGAGTTAACATAGCACTAGATCGAGGAAAACTCAATAGTACTCATCGGTCTCTAAATAATCAGGGGGTGGTCCTAGACCCCATAAAGTATATATATTCTAAATCCTCTCGCCACGACCTTTCCAACGATACCCAGTTTATGGGGCTATATGAGATTTGACCTTGTGACCTTTGCCGTTTGCGCGTGAAATTTTGTACACTTCAAAACAATTAAAAATTTCAAAATTCAACTCATTCAGATCATTTTTCAAGAACAATTAATAAAATCCATCCACAATTGTCGAAATGCCAGCTGTTTAAAAAATAAAAACTAGGAACTTGGTCACAAGAAAATCTTGTGCGTCACACCCACTGGCTCTACAGACTTGGTTTTGGTCTCAAAATAAGCTTCAGAATATTCTTCTTCTAATCCCGGACATAAAACTTTTTTTTTAATTGTTGGAAATGCAAATTATTTTTTTTGAAAACTTTGATACATTATCTCAAACATTTTCAGCAACTTTTTTAAATGTTTATATCCGGGGGTAGACGAGGAACATTCTGGAGCTTTTTTTGAGACCAAAACCAAGTCTGTAGAGCCAGTGGGTGTGGCGCACAAGATTTTCTTGTGAACCCGTAGAATAACATGCAGCGGTATGGACGGATAGATGGCGTCGCATATTTCACCTGTGGGCTTAACTAGCTGCTCCTGTTAAGGTTCTGCTTAATAAAGTACTCCAATTAATTAATTGTATGTTAGGCTTTGGAAGATGCTGGAATTCTACCTTCCTCGCTTCACGGTACCACCGCCTCCATTTACCTGGGCCTTTGGCGGGATGAGTACAAGGACCTGATCCTCATGTCCGGCAGTACTGCAGGGGGTGAAGAGCTTCGTCGATATCTGGGTTGCTCCATGGGAAACGCGGCTGCCAGGATTGCCCACGCCTTGGGGACGCTGGGACCTGCCTTCGCGACAGAAACGGGTTGTTCATCGTCAATGTGTTCGATCGGCCAGGCCATGGCTGCTCTGCGGGAGGGGAAAACAAATTTGGCATTAGCGGGAGGGGCCAACTTACTACTGAAACCTTTTGTGTATCCAGATTTTCAGGTGAGTCGATAATAGTTTTATAATAACACGTGACACAGTTAGCATATTTAAGGACACGTCTAAACAACTGTTTTAACTGCAGGGCGTCCTATCTCCATCTGGCCGATGTAAAGTTTTCCAGGCAGACGGGGATGGTTTTGCTCGTGCTGAGGGTGCAATTTTTTACGTGCTAAAGCGAGCTAGTGACGCGATTGCGGATGGAAATCATATTTATGGCTTTCTCCGTGGTTTCGGATCTTCTCAAGAAGGTTTGAGTCGCAGTGTGGGGACACCTACGATCGAAGGAGAGGCCAGAGCAATGACCGCTGCCCTAAAAAATACTGGAGTTCGGGCCACTTCCGTTGACTGGGTGGAGATGCACGGAACCGGGACAAAGGTCGGCGACCCGATAGAGATGGCATCTACGAGATCAGCGTATTCAGCAGGAAGTAGGGACAGCCCACTTATTTTGACGTCAGTAAAAGCCAACATTGGTCATACTGAAAGCGTCTCAGGCGCCGCGGGGTTACTTAAGGTTATCCTTGCGATGGAGAATGGGACGATTCCCCCACAACTTCTGACCTCTGATTTGAATCCCAAACTTGACTTGGAAGGGGTCGAAATCCCAAAAGAACCGATGCCATGGGCTGGGAAGATGGCAGGGGTTTCGTCCTTTGGCATTACGGGAACCAATGCACATCTTATCGTGGAGCGGGGATCATTAACTTTTGCAGGACATGACCATATCGATGAAAACCCCTGTCCGGCATATATTTTGCCACTCTCGGCTAAAACTCAGAAATCACTGGAAGAGATGAAAAAGCGACATGTACACGCTCTTCAAAATTTAGATGGTTGGTAAATAATTTTTACTAAAATAAAACCGCAACCGATAAAAATGCATTACTAAAATTGTCATAATTTATGAAGATTCCTCCCTCGGATCGTACTGTTACACTGCGTCCATATCCCGGACTCACTTCCAGTCTCCTTACCGCTCCGCCGTTGTGGCGTCATCCAAGGACGAACTAATTGATGCACTTCTGTCCAACAATACATTCGAAATTGAACAACCCACCCCGCCCCCGGAATCTCTTTGTTTCCTCTTTCCAGGCCAAGGCTGCCAGTACACAGGCATGGGTCGCGGGTTGTACGAATCCTGTGCCGTGTTCAGACGCCATTTTGACATCGTGAATTCCCTATTAACTACAAAATATGGGATAAATTTGAAAACTCTCCTCTTCGAAGGGACCGAAGTTTCCTTGTACTCACAACTCTGCATCTTCGGGGTGGAATATTCCCTCCTGAAAGTCTGGGCTGCATGGGGTCTGACCCCGTCACTCGTTTTGGGCCATTCTTTCGGCGAATTTGCTGCTTCCTGCGCCGCTGGAGCACTCTCCCTACCAACCGCCCTCGAACTACTAATTGCCATGAGAACCAAATTGTTCGGAAGAGTCAACCCAGGGAAAATGCTCGTCCTTAAGGCCGACAGAGACTCTACGGACAAATTAATTACAGACTTTTTAAGCAGTGTGGGCGACTCTAATAATAATAATTGGCTGGATATAGCCGGAATTAACTCTGCTGAGCAGACCGTTGTGTCTAGCGAACCAGAGACAATTTGTGCCTTCGCGACATACGCAACTTCTGTAGGAGTTAAAAACACGGCCGTTTCCGGAGTGAGCCACGCTTTCCATTCTCGAGCCCTTGAATCTATCGGGGATCAGTTCGAACTGGAAGCGGGAACCTTGTCGTACTCGAAACGATTTCCTCAAGTGAAATACATCTCATCCGTGGAGGGTCGCCTGCTTGAAAGTGAGGAAAAAATGGGAGCCATATACTGGAGGAAGCACATGCGACAAGCCGTTGAATTTGTGAATGCCTCCAAGGCCGCTGTTGAACACGGTGGTCGAATGTTTGTCGAGGTGGGACCACACCCGCTACTTTCTCCTTTAGTAAGTAAAAATGCACCTGCTGTCTCAACCGATAAACTTGTATGTATCCCGTCCATGCGGAAAGGAGCTCCCGAACTGATCACTTTACTAGAAGCTGTTGCCTCCCTTTACGTAAATGGAGTCGATTTTCAGTGGGAAAAGGTGTGGTGTAGTTTAGGAAATTTCACCAAACTGCATAAAATCCTTCCCATATATCCATTCGAGTGCAGGGAAGCATTTTGGTTCACTTCGGAAGAAGAAGAAAGTAGTAAAAAGTTAATCAAAATGCCAAATCATCAATTCGGAAACGTTATCCATCCCTTGTTAGGCAGCGTGATTGAGACTCCGCTGCCTGATGCCCACCTTTTCGTCACCACTACAAAAGGACTCCTGCAGAGAGCTGGGGTTTGGTTGCAAGATCACAAGCTTGGAAATTTTGTCATTTTCCCGGCTGCGGGTTACGTAGAAATGACCTTTGCCGCAGTGGCACACGTTCACCCATCCGTAAAAGTGGAAGGCCTGGAAATTTTAAATTTAGAAATAAAGGCTGCCCTTCCTCTCGAACTTGAGGCCGAGATTCAAACGGTTTTACAAGAATTGGATTCAGAGCTTATCGTGTCGTTCTTCAGCAGGAAGGAGGACGGTCCGTGGAAACTGCACGCCAAAGCAAACATTGAATTTTGTAGTGAGGACGACCGAAAAGAAATAATTGTGGACCTTAGGGAGGAAAATGATGGCGAACTTGTAACAAATCTATACCACGACATGGCGCGATTGGGGTACAATTTCGGCAAATCCTTCCAAACTTTGGACAAACTTATGCGAAGCAAAGATTCCTCGGTAGCCTGCGAGTTATCCAATTACCCCGCTGACAATTGCTCCTACTTCCTCCATCCGACAATTATTGATGCTCTAATTCAAGCTCTCTTACTGACAGAGCCACTCATTTCCCTGAAGCTGCCTACAAGGATAGCATCATTGAAATTATTTCCACTTGTGCATAATGATCAAGCACTACGGGTAGAGACGAAAACTGGGTGTGCCAGGCTATTGGCAGGCACAGAAGAATTTGGGTGGAGTGAACTTGCCTCCATTTCAACTCTCGCAACCGTGTCGACAACGCTGTCCATATTTCAACAAGCCGCTGGGCTCGTCTCAAAACCAAAACTGCTGCCCCTTTACGTTGAAGAATGGAGCGAAACGGAATCAATTTTGGAATCCAATTTAAATAATAATATTTCCAGCAATGAATCGAAATTGGCATCCCTTGTCACCAACAACGTGTTGCCATTCTCTCTCACCAAGGATGAAGCTGATTCCCTTGATATGGTCGAAGCCTACGTTTGCCGTGGCGTCGTATGTGCCCTTCGACAACTTGGGTGGAACTATGCAGTTGGGAGTACTTTCGCAGAGAAGGATCTCTACAAAACGCTTCAAATTCGGGCAGCAATCTCGCCTCAATTTCTCCACAGACTGCTCCATTATGCAAAACAAGCTGGATTTTTGAAATTCCTTTCAGAATCACAAAGTTGGCAAGTAGCCTGCGATTTTACGGAGTGTGAAAATAGTGACACTAATCTTGTTGCTTACATAAATACGTTACCTGAGGAATGGTCTTTTGCCAAATTCTACTCTGCCAAACTACCCAATCTTTTGTCCTCATTAGCAAAGGAATCTGTCCTTCCTCATCTCTTTCCTGCAAACGCGTTGCAGGCGCCATATTCTGCAACACAACTTTACTCAACATTTACACAGTCAACCGGGCTACTGGCCAATCTTACCTCAGTATTTAAAACATTCGCCCACACCTACAAAGGCCGACAGCTCCGAATTCTTGAGGTTGGCGCAGGGACGGGATGTGCTACGAGACGGCTCCTCCAAATTCTTAACGGTTCCTCAACGTCGTACACATTTTCTGACATATCGCCCGCTTTCCTCACCATGGCTGAGGCTTGCTACCATGGAAACCAATGGTGTACCGTTCCAGGAGTAAATGTTGATTTTCGTGTACTCGATTTGGAGAAAGATCCAATCAGTCAAAATTTTGTTGCGGGATCGTACGATGTCATCGTCGCTTTGAACGTTCTTCACGCGACCATCGATGTGGAAGAGGTTTGCAAAAACATGCGACTACTCCTGCGCCCGCATGGCAATTTGTTAGTTGCAGAACAACATAAACCCACAGCACTGGTGGACATCGTATTCGGCCATTGCGAAGGATATTGGAGATTTCAAGATGCGCATCGAAGCGATCACTGCTTACTGGAAAAGGAGGGATGGGAGAGGGTGCTAGACCAGGCCGGCTATGGACAAACTCTCTGCGTGGAGAGCAAAGATATCGGGATGGGTGTCATAATTGCGACGAATAAGGGAAAATCCGTCACCAATTGGGTCATGATTGGAGATGATAACGAGCTTGGGGAAAAATTGGGACAAGTTCTGGACCAGGGCGGGGTCCGACTCAGGCTGGAAGATCCCCTCCCCACCGAAATCGTGTCAATGAAAGAGCAGCAGTTCATATTCATTGTCCCACAACATTCCCATGACAACATCGACACGGCAGCATTTCGCCCTGTTCTAGCTTCCTTCCTCAGATTGGCGCAGTCAGTTAAGAAAGGAAAGTTGCTCATCGTTACATTTGGATGCGCCCCAATTAAGGATGAGGAAGCCGTAATTTCACTTGGTGGACCAATACTTGGAATGTCACGCACATTAATGAATGAATGTCCGGAGGTGAATGTCAGTTGGGTAGATTTGGACCCCATGGAAAATGAGGAGTCGAGAATTTCTGAAATCAAGGCTGAACTAGAAAATGGGCGAGAAAGAGAACGCTTCATCAGTTATCGTGGTGGAGTGCGATATCTGGCAAAACTTGTGCCGATGCAGGCATCCCTTGATCTGTGTGTGCCAGAGGGTCATGTCCAACTAAAATTGCCCGAATCGAGATCGATTGCGGATGTCGAATGGATGCCAGCTCCCCAACAACAAAGGAGGAGTTCATGTATGGGTGGAAATGATGTAAGCGAAAAACTCTCTTTCTACTTATATTAAATTGCATAGACAGCGTACTAATTAAAATGTATTTGTCTCAAAAAATCTAGGTTAAAGTGCAAATTCTAGCATCCGGCCTCAACTTTAAAGACCTTCTCAACATTATGAAACCTACACCCGAGTTTTTCAATGCTTCCGGCGTGGGTGCAGACTTTTGTGGAAAAATCGTCTCCCTTGGTTCCTCAGTAAGTACGTTCTCACTAGGAGACTCCGTCCTAGGAATGAATCCAATCGCTTCGCCGCTGCCGAATTACGTCACTCTCGACGCTTCCCTAGTTGCGAAGTTGCCGCAAAATTACACCCACACGGAGGGGGCCACTTTACCCACCGCTTTTCTCACGGCGTACCATTGTCTCGTCACGGTCGGAAAGTTAAAGGCCGGAGAGTGTGCATTGATTCACACTGCTTCAGGTGCCGTAGGTTTGGCAGCAATTCAAGTTGCTCGTGGTCTCGGAGCCAGGGTAATTTGTACGGCAGGGAGTAAGCGAAAACGTGCTTATCTCCGATCTCTGGGACTACGTAATGTATTTAATAGCCGTGACCTGTCATATGCTGATGGCGTCATGGCAGCAACATCAGGTTCTGGCGTCGATCTGGTCTTAAACTCTCTGACATCGAAAGGATGGAAGGAAGCTTCTCTTGGAGTCACGAAAAAAAGGGGACGATTTATCGAAATGAGCAAATTGAATATTTGGACGAGAGAAGAAGTCGCCAATCTTCGACCGGATATTACTTATTCCGTGGAGGATCTAAGCATCGCTGATTACGAGAGAGGAGCACATCTCGCTAAAGTTATGAACGAGTGGTTAGCAGATGGAAGGCTTCAACCTATTAGACACACGGTATTCCGACCATCTGAAATAACCACGGCTTTGGGACAACTCGAGAGAGCGCTGCACATCGGGAAAGTCGTTATTGGTTGGGAGGAGATGCTATTTAATGACAGAAGCAGTTACCTAATCACTGGAGGAAGTGGAGCTTTGGGATTGGAGGTGGCTAAGTGGATTTTGTCATCGGGTGGAAAACATGTAATTCTTGCGAGTAGAAGGAGTCATAGAGTGGAAGAAGCCCTACACAAGCTAAAGACAGAGTTTGGACTCAATGTGGATAACGTTGTTATCAGGGAAATCGACGTGGCGGATGCATCACAGGTACCTACATAAATACCTACGAAAGTCTCTATATTGAATACATAGCACATAATTTAATCATAAATTTAAAATGTTCAAATCTTGTTGAAAAATGTGCTTAATAGTTCCAACTGTTCTCAGGTTGCTCAACTAGTTGATGATATCTCGCTCAATTATGCCCCAATTCGTGGAGTATTCCATGCCGCTGGTGTCCTTTCCGATGGAACTCTCCCCACCCAGACGATGACCAAAATGGAGACCGTCTTTTCCGGCAAGGTCGATGGCGCTTGGGCCTTACATTCCTCCACTCAGCACCTCCTGCTCGAACATTTCGTCCTATTCTCGTCCGCCATGTGGCAACTCGGTGGACCTGGCCAAGTCAACTATACAGCGGCAAACGCAGCATTGGCATCTCTAGCAGAACATCGCCACCGACTTGGTCTTCCAGCTACCTGTGTCGCATGGGGTCATTGGGGTGACGTGGGAATGGCTGCTGAATCTGGACGACGCATATTTGGAGTAGAACCCTTCTCGACGGATAGAGGTATTTTGACGCTGGAACATTTGCTACGAAATGGAAATAGCGCAAGGAACGTGATGGCTGCCGAACTTAGCAGCGATGTCTGTTCAGGCTGGCTCAAAGAATATGTTGAGCTGGGAGAAGAAAGTGGAAATGTGGGGAAATCAGCAGAAATGGAAAGTTCGGATAACGACGAGTCAAGCATTGAGGTTAAGGTACGCAACGTGGTGCAAAGGATTCTCCGAACTAAAGTTGTTCTGGAAGGCAAAAGGGAACTGAGAGCGATGGGAATGGATTCGCTGATGTTCATAGAACTTAAAAACAGATTACAAACCAGTGTGGGTGTAGTAATTGAAATTCCCGATACTGCCACGGTGGACGACCTGATTGTCATGGTAACCAAGGCGAAAGCTTCAACTTGACAGGGGACTGGTGCTAAGTATTATATAAATATTTAGGATATAATGATTTATTTATTTTACCCTGTTGTAATAATATTTAGGCAACTGCATGTTTTTACGGATAGATTACGGATTAAGAAATATATTAGTATAATTATTTATCATGGGGCTTTGTAAATATTAATATTTAGCAATGGTTAAGGTGAAAATTATCATGTTTGTACTGTTCGCCCTGGATAATTCTGATTAATAAATTATTGCATAATTCTGGTATGTTGTTGCATATTTCCGGTCTAGGATCATTACTGTATGTAGCGAGATATTTGTGAAGTGCATGATAAGACACGCTCCACAAGCAGTTTTTATTTGGAGCACGGCTTGAAATCATACCACAATTCAAAAGTATCTACTTAACAATTTGGAAATCATTCGAAGCCAATGACTAAATACATATAAAAACCCTTTCTCATAAATTAGAGATTGAGATGGCAATATGGAGACTTACATAATTTGTATCACATACTTAATTTATAGAAAAATTGCTGCATTCTTACTCAGAACAGAATTTTGGAAATTTGTAACACAAATTTATCATTATTTTATTGACGTTATCATTTCTCTACAAATTTAGCTTAAATTTTCCCAGCATAGCTAACCCCGGAACCCAAGCCCTTCGCCCCCACATTAACAGCTTGATACAGTTGGCCATCTGCTGGTCCAAAATCTTCTGCATTATCCGTAGGAAGAAAGCAGCTACCCGTCGTGATGTACAAGGTGTCCAAATGGGGTCCACCAAAGGCAACCGAGGTAGCTCTGCTTGCCGGAGTTTTCACGAAACCGATTTTCTTACCCACTCGGGGATCAATCTGCATAACCTTTTCACAAAAACAGCATAATCTTAACTCAATGTTAACCATACATTAAATTAATACTTACCCCATTCCCACCAAAAAAGGCAACCCACAAATTTCCATTTGCATCAATCGTCATCCCATCTGCCAATCCAGTAGCTCCAGACGTCTTAAAGTCAAAAGCAGTGCGACGGTTACCTAAATGATACGCGTTTCAAATGAAAATCACATGAAAATCTACTACACATTTAGTTACTTACTCAATGCCCCCTTTTCCAAATCAAAATCAAACGCATCCATCACCCCGGAATAGGAATCGATGTAATACATTACAGAATTATCGGCAGTCCACGCCAATCCGTTGGAAATATCGATTCCATCCACATGCCTTTTTGCAACCCCGTCGTCAAAACTGTGCAGGGCTCCCTTTCTAGCATGCTCGAGACCCTTTGTCGGGTCAACTTCCACCATGGATCCTAAAATTATGGCAATTCATTTATGCAATTATCTTCGCAATTTGTTTTAAAGTAACAAAATTGTTATCTTTACCAGCCCATAATCTCCCTTTTGCGTCACACTTGCCATCATTCATTTTATTCGTTGGCATGCCCTCTTCGCCAGTGTAGAGCAGTTTCACCTTTTCTGGAACCTTGGACTTGCCGTCCCACTCCATCACTTGGATCGTCTTATCCACCGCGATGACATATTGATTCTTTTCATTGGCGACAGGAACCACGAGTGAGACGTGGTCAGAATCTACTCGCACACAAAATATGCATTCATAAACACATCATAAATTACCCCCAAGAAATCGATCATAATTTTAAAGTTATGTAAATGCTTGCCAATTTCTACTTTGTAGCATTCTTCAGTTTTGGGGATGTAACGGAAGACAGCGTGTTTCATAATGTCCACGTAGAAAAGTTCCTCTCTTCCAGCGTCCCAGTGGGGGCCTTCTCCAAGGCCATTTACGCAAGGCAGGCTCCCCTTCACAACGGAAACGATGGGCTCACTCATTTTTTCGGGATGTTCTTTCACAGAGTTGTTAACCAAGTGCCGGCTTTATGAAGAATGGCAGCTGACTGGACCACGCTTACAGGCATACAGACGTACTCAATTACACCGTCGTGCAAAAACGATGACAATCTCAAGGACTTTGAGACTCAGACGAGTTACATAACCTTCACAACGTGATTGGGATATGGTAATGATTGTGAGCGAAGTATTCTGCTTGCTGGAAAAGTAAAGTAATGAGTCATGTTTCACAAATCACCTTTGTTAAAGTCATGTTTTCTGTCGGGCGTAATGGCATACGGAGTAACACAGTATCAAGCATAAGGTATTTGTATGTGCATACGTATACAGTAAATATTGCACGTGAGAATGTTAATACTTGCTCAACCAGGAGAGAATGGGTCAACTGGTAGATTATCATCATCACTGAAATCTACTGATCGACCTGAATCACTAACTCATCTTCAGTAGCTCAGGAGAATTGATAATGGGATTTTTTACATGTCTGAAAATGTCACTTCATATCTAAAACTTATTAAAAAGACCACTATGTTTCATTACAGGTTTTAAGAATTAGTCAGAAAGAGGAAAAATAGAAATATCAGCATCTACTCTACTTATTTCATAGTTTATTGAGTACGTTATGTACAATAAAAATGTTTCCTAATTAGTTTAGTTTATTTAAATTTCTAAAAAATGGTCTTTTTCACTCAATTCATTGATTCATTCCATATTAAAAATACATATTATAAAATATTTCGAAATATCAACATAACAAATAAATATTTTATGACGTATCATATTATTCGACAACAACTTATTTACTAACATTTGAATTTCTTAAAAATTAGGATCCCGATTTATACAGAACTTGAATGTCATCCCCACTTCGCTTATTTGTTTTATACCACTTGACTCCGTATGATACACCCCCAATAAAGTTAATAAATAGCGACACACAGAACAAGATTATCCCCCACGTTGGGATGGATGATGAAGAATCTTTCACAGTTTCGCCAACGTGCTCCCCCTTCTTGATTGCTTGAAGATTCTGATCACACAACTTGACCGATTTAAGAACCAGTGGGGCCGTCCCAGTCAGCAGTTTCTCAATGTAGTACTCCTCACCTTGTCCACTAGTTTGAAGGGTGTAAGACCCTTTCCTTTCTGTGCAATTAGGCTCCTCGTAGAGGACGACGCATTTTCCGTACGTTTGGATCGAGTAATGTTCATCCGTTGCGTTTAGGGTGACACAGCCAGAACTAAGATTGAGGTACGTAACATGACCTGTGAAACCATAAATACTTGCTAATTAAGCGTTCTAATTTTTCGTAAAATTATTTTGCAAACTTCAAAAATAAATATTTCTTAACTAAATAAATAACGTTTACAAAATTTGTCCACATACCATAATATCCTGGCTGATCATACACGGTGATGATGTTGTCACCCAAGAAGCCATATTCACCAATGCGATTAACATCTGAAACCGATTTATTGCAATAAACTCCGCATCGAGATATCGCTTTAGCACTGGACGCAAATGTTCGTTCTCCGCCCAAACCCCACACCCACAAGTGACTCAATTCCGGATATCCGGGTCGAAATTGAGTGGAGTCTGTGCCACAATTTGCCGAGCTGTGAAGCTCAATGCAGCAATTTTCATCCCCGGATATTTTGATGGATTCGAAACCCACGAGCTCGCGTGGAATCAGGAAACAACCATCCCCGTCAATAATTATTGTCGTGTTGGTTCCTAAAATTATTAAGATCAACAACGAGGTAAAAATTTTGGTCGTAAAAACTTCACACCAAATTAAATACCTTGATGTCTCGTCCCCTCATACAATGTGACTTTAACCAAGCCTTTCTTGTCGCCCAACCAATTACGAGCATCGCACTTGTCGAAACACGGCCCCACAGATGCAGCCTGCATTTGAGACTTTGAAATTTCGCCACCAGGCCAGCGGAACGTTTCCGGCTTGAAGATCAGGCCACCCAGTTGGTTCGTGACGAGACGAATAAACCATCCCGAACAGTTCTCCGCCGCATAAAAGTTGGCACACTTTCCGTTCATAGTAAGTTTGGTAATATTTCCATCTCGTGTGTGGGTAAGGGAAGAATTGCAATTAGAAATGTCATACTCGGTGCCCTCCTCCGCCCACCAGCTTCCGTTCTGTCCCAAGATTTTAATAATATTTGGATCTGATAGCGAAGCCTGTGTCCAAAATTGAAGCAGGATTGTAGCAATTTGGAATATTTGAGAATTCATGGTTTCGAAACGGAGTAACTTATAAAGGACTAAAAAAGACTGAAAGGTTCCAGAAAGAAACGTGATGTGGTTCAAGTGAAGACTTGCAGTTGAATAAGTTGACAATTGTCGTTTCAATCAGTGTTTCGTATGACTTACGCTTTTTTACTCTTGGGTTATGCAAATGTACCACTTGTACTTACAGCAAGCATATTAAGGGAGAATAATACATGAGTTTAGTTGGCACAAGACACTTGAACGGTATTCAACAGGATATTCCAGGACCCTATTTCCATTTTTAGACTTCTCAGTAAGGTTCTTAGCAAACCAAGTAAATAAACCAACTGGGTATCAAATTTAACATTGAAATTATGAATATGGCTTAATACATATGAATAATACATATCTTAATAAGGTAGGATCTTTCATGTTTTTATATACAAAATAATAAAATAGTAGCTGGTAGTTGGATCATTTGACAAAAATTTAGAAGTGGACTCTGACCCTGATTCGGGCTAGATCAACACTGCTCTGTCTGTAGCTTCTTGATTTAAGATTAGTACCTATTAATTAGCGAATTTCATACGTTTTACTTTCATAAGTCAGGGGAACATTTGTGATTTGCTAATGTATAACATTTTCTTGATTGTATTGAAGATGAGTGCAATAAAAACGAATTTGTCTGTTCAAATTTGAGATATCAAAAAAATCCCCAGCAATTTTAATTGGACTAGGTATTTATTAACTACATTTTACATAAATACATATGCTCATGTATTTAATACCAGGTTACTAAATAATATGCCAAGCGAAAACCCGAAATAATTGTCTGCATGCATTACACAAATTCATATCCGATTTATGTACAACATGTATGTATTTAAGTATCCTAAATAATCCTACATGATCGACGATATAACTTTGACCCGGAAAAACTAGTCTAGACCGTAATTAAATTTAGGCTTGAACCAAATATGTACATAAGTACATACATATGTGCATTACTTATACACATACTTATTTACGTTAATAAGACATACAATTTTACAACCATTTAATTTTCCTACTTCGACTATGTAACCTATACATTTCATTTTCCAGATATCCCTTCATTGCAAAGACTTTCAAAGTATTCCTTATTTTCCTTCCACAGCTTCGTCATGTTTCGCCACCAATTTCACAAAGCCATCATCGCATACTTCTTCTACTACCAAAAGGCCTTCCTGAGCTTCAACTACCCCTTGATCTTCACGCATGAAGGGGAACTCATTTCCGTCAAACCATTAAATCACCTCAAATGTTTCTTCGCAGTCACGTTGATGAATCTCTGCACGACTTTTTCTGGAGCTGGTGTGGCAATTGGACGATGGCGAGGTTATCCGGCCTTTGCTCAAATCCCTTTGTGGAAGATAGTCGTGATATGCGGCCTCGTCATTCTTGGATTTCTTTCGATCATTTTGCACGTCATATTTTTCCTCTACAGGGAACTACTTCCTCGCACGATGACAAACTGTTACACGCTAGAATAAAGATTGAAGAGGAGTAAGTACTTACCAATTTATATAAATCGCTAAAAATGAAGAAAAATGTATATTTTAACTAATTTATGTTTAGTAAACCCATCCAATTCGTGGAAATACACCTTTATCACGGTCGTTCTTCAATGGTCAATCTACATAGCAAAGATCTCATTCGTTTTCATTCCGCCAATTACCATCCGAGTTGGCATAGATCCAATCCTTCATATATGTTCAGTCATATTTTATCCGGATACGAATTGCAGATATCCCTTTGCTCGATATGTCATAAAGTACGTCTTATACTTCACATGGACCAGAGAATTAATCCGAGTGTACTGGCTGTCATATTTCTTTCTGATATCGCTTTGTAGTTTTGCCCTCGAATTTTGCAGACTTACGGAGAGACTGTGGAATCCGAAAATGTTTATATCATTATACACTCAATGCTACCTTTGCTGCAGCCGAATGACACAATTGCTAGAAATTACTACCACAATTAATCTTTTGTCGTTATTAGTTTTCGGAATATTTACGAATTTTGGAACGTTCAAACTTTACGATTATGTGACGCCTGCGCTATACTTGTACTTTCCTTTTGCTCAAATTGTCGTCTTTTTAATTGCACGAGCAAGTATTCCTTGTGCGATACAAGCGTTTGAAATGACGAGAAGAATGCTGCATTGGAAATATTTAAAGCTTCGTGCGGATAAGTCAAGAATTTTAATACTGAAGACGAAAGTACTGAGACCTTTGTCTGTAGATGTGGGGCTCTTCGATTTTAGGTTTTTCACCTTGAAAAGGTCAACTGCACTGACGCTGTGGAAGGTTTGCATCGATTATACGATTGCCACATTGCTGTATGTGCACGTCTGAATTAGATATTGTTTAAATTCTCTGAGTTTATGTCTGGATTAAATGTAAGCATGAATAAGTAATCTTTGTTAACCCAACTAATCTGTAAAATTTGAAGTTTTAAATTTTAATAATTTATCTGACCATTTTACCCCACTTTTGTGACTTACAAATAGATACAACCTACATATATACATATTTACATAAATACTTAAAATTTACATCGTGTACTCCATTTTGCATTGTAGATACCATTTTCAGTTTCTCAATATTTAAAGTCCCTGTGGAATCGAACTTAAGCTAAAATAGTAATATGTACGTATTGATGTGCCATTTGTTTGACCCCCATATAATGACGAACTGAATGATAGAATGTATCCGGTTAATACAAAGTTTGTATTAACCGGATAGCAGTAGATGTTTGTATTACAAACATCTACTGCTATCATTAAGAATAGTCCTCGTCTACCTTAATTTAATAAAATTGAAAAACGATAACTAGTAATTTCTCTTCTATGTCTGTAGCACTTATGTACATACTTATTGACAAGCCAGAATTTTATGAATCCTCCATGTCACATAAATGAATAAATAAAAATTAGCCACCAATTAAGTTTAATATGTTTTTATAAATATGGGTATATGCATCAGGTCGAAGCGTGTGTCTTTTAATGCTTTCAATCTAATGCTAGACATACATTGTCATTACATGCCAGGTAATTCTTAGCAGGGTTCGGAAAAACCCAGGGTTTTAATCAAAAATTATAAAACCCATGGGTTTTAATGGGTTTTACCATGTTAATTGGGTTTTATTTGGGTTTTAATGGGTTTTAATGGGTTTTATTGGGTTTAAATGGGTTTTATAGGGTTTTATTAGTTTTAAGTAATAACTTAACAAAAATAATTAGGAATTTGTATCTATTCGGAAATTATTTTGTTTTATAACACTTGAAATCTGTGATGCTAAAGGATGGAGTCAATTATTGAATTGTTCCGAATTTTCATATATTAGAATAGTAATGAAATAAACTGCTTTAGAATGAATTGAGATAACGTCTTCTAACGTATAGGAGATGTATTTAACTTTTAGAATGTAGTTTTTAAGTAAAACTCAATTAAAACCCAATAAAACCCATTAAAACCCAAATAAAACTGTGGGCGTTGGTCTTCCGGTGGGCGCTTGGTAGGTCAGAGGTGAGTGCAGTCGGGACGGACTGGGATGAATGTTCCGGAAGGTCACCACACAGGTTGGAGGCGTAAGGCCGTATGTGCGATCGGCAGCCCCACTTATGATGTGAGATACACGAAAGTTAATGTTTTATCGGAATTTAGCACTCGAAATAAGTCACCGAAATGTAATACGCGTCACCCCGAGAGTTATTGTTTTTACATAGCAACTAGTAATCAATTTATTTTACGTAGCCGGAGGATTTTACATTTATGTATCAAGAAACCAAGATATATTTAGAGGTTGTGGTAACTGTAGAATTATGGGGGACTTTAATACATGTCTTTCATATTTCATATAAATGTTCATTCCGTGTTTAGCTAAATCATCCTAAAGACAATGCACGTCAAGTATTAAGACTCACCGAGACTCATCCCTCACCTTGAGTTCTGCCTTTGTTAATATTCGTAAAAATGGCGATAAGAATAGGAATTTTCAGTAGATCATCCAAATCGCATTATTAGTCATCAATTGAATAGGATCACACAAAAAGTGCAATTACTTAAAGTTTATGTTTTTTATTCAGTTAAAGACGACTCCCCCAAGAACAATAGATTAACAGTACAAAAAATATTTTTAATCTCCAGCAGCTTTTCGCCTCCTTTGTCTAAAATCCCAAATTAGCCAGCGACACTTTTCCAGAACTTGGTCTGTTGAGTGGGTAAGAGTTAGTTTGCTGGGCCTGGTAAGAATTGGCTTGTGGCTGGTAGTAAGCCCTTTGTTGTGGGTGGGAGGCGTGGAACTGGGAGGCCTGGCTGACCTGGCTCTGCTGTTCTTGCTCGTTTCTCTTGTGCTGGGCTAATTGTTGGTTGTGAAGTTGAATTCCATATTCGTAATCAGAGTTAGTGTTGGGTGAAGGGTTGTGATAAGTCAAAGATCCCGCTTGATGAGCTTGAGGCTGTTGATAAGCTGGTTGATAAGTCTGTTGAGGGGCAGAGTATGCTGGTCCACCGTGAGCTTGTTCCTTGGCCAAGTGGTCCTACACAATTAATTATAGAGCTTAATTTTGCATCACTCATTTGTACATGAATACGAGCTACATACCTGGAGCTGTCTCTGATGGACTTGAAGACCTTGTTGATAAGCTGGGTCACCTCCGTGAAGCGTTTGTGGCTGATATTGAGCCTCTTTTCTCAAGTGGGCTTGAATCGCCTCTTGATGAGCTTTAAGGCCGGCTTGGTAATCCTGTTCTGGATTTGGTCTGTATGTGTTGTAGTTGTTGTTATTGTTGTTGATCGAGTTGGAGTACAGTTCTGGTCGGTATTGTCCATCGTCCTCGTAATTGTTCTGTCTCGGTTGGTAAGCCTGTTGCTGAGGGAAAGAGCCCCCAAATTGGTTAGTTTGTCTCTGTTGTTCAGCCTCTTTGCGAAGATGTTCCTGAATTTGCTGGTTGTGGAGGGAGAGGCCTTGTTGGTAAGAGGCGTCTTGTGCCGACACGGCGACCACGAGGGCCAAAAGAGCAGCAACCTAAAAATATAATTTAGAGGTTACATATGCTATCGTTTTGAAAGTGTTTTAAGTTTTAAACTTACGAATCGTGCCATCTTTAATGTGATCCGAATTGACTTCAGCTAAAAAACTGACTCAATTTAATTTGTCTTAATTTCTCCTCCACAAACAAACTCAAGATCTCAACTGATCCCGGAAAACGCCCAAGTTGTCGCATTTATAGTGCAGCCAAGCTCTTAAATTATTCCACCCTACGAAAGCCATCATCGCGCAAAAAATGAGTGTATTTAGAAGCATCAAGAAATCACGCTAAATAAATGTTGTACATGGAGCGTAACTTTATTAACTGGAGTAGTGTGTTCATCCCTTCAAGTCGTGTCACTGGACTGCTGGAGTCATAAAAGGCTATGTCAAAGTAGTGAGGAATGATGATGGGTGTGAGAATTGGAGTAAAAAATAATAGCAACAGAATAACAGCGTCACAGAATTTACCCCATAAAAAATATGATCCCATTGTTGCACGCTCATTAATTATTGGTCACCATCCTCATGCAACCAACTATCTGCTAATTATCCCAACATGACATTTGACAACAGATAAACAATTGGTTTCGACAAGTCGAGCAAGTCTGATCTAGGAAATTGATGAGAGCGTATGAACTGCGGAACCGTTATGAAACGTAGGTTGGTGTCTCTCCATATTTTTTTCAGTTGTCCCACACACTCGCAAATTGCGAGTCGCAATGCCAATGTCAATGCCGATGAATAATAATTTATCAATTATGGAGCCGTCAGCCAACCAACTTCCATCATGCGTCCACAATTGGATCGAAATGAGAGTGAGTGCAACTTCCCATCTTTTTTGTTGTCATATTCAACGTGTACAAATATGTACATACAGAAGAATGAGATGAGAGATATAACAAGAAAGAAGTATAGGAAGAGATGAGAAAAATGGATGGACGAATTGATGAAGATGTTAATTGAGGATGGATAAGCACTATTCGACGAGTACTATATACATACTTGTTTAGTTTAGTTTGCGATCATTAAATCCATTCAATACGGAGACATATGTATGTACGTAACTAACAGGTAACACATCTTCTGGGGCACAGTTAAATGCGTATGATTGTTAAAAAGCACAATAAATTGCATATGTACAAAATTCGTCCAGCGAATTTATTACCACAACTGCATATTTGTTGCGATGTATGTACTTATGTACATGAGTCTAGGGTTGCATCGTGAGTAAGAGTACGCTTCGATTTATTTATTAAGTGATCGTTAAAAGATGATAAATGCTCTTATATTTGTCATTGTCTGCTTGGGGGAGCTATTAAAGTAGACAATGCGGACGTTTACTTTTTTTTCGATCCAGGCGGAGTTGGAGAAAATTGTCTTGTACTTGTTTGTCGCTCTAATTAGTGGTTTATATTGTTACTAAATAATTCAGGCTAGTCAGTTACTTGTGACTTAGACTGACCATAGACTGATCATAGACTTTGTGTAAAGCCTATGATTTAATTCAATAGGAGCTCATGGAGCTTTTAAGAATGAGTTTCAGGATTTACCAATATTCATCCAGTTGATAAATTGGCTATTCATTTCTGGCGACGGACAAGGTGACTGCACACAATCACCATTATCCTCACCTGGCTTGTGCAAAAAACAAGTGGATCACTCCGCCTATTAACTTACAGTGATATGGATGCACACATAGGCATGGAATGAATGGGATGGAAAATCTTCATTTAGTTAACCAGTTTGTATTTTTATCAGATCAATGTAATTTAGATTTATTGCCAATAATTACTAACACATGCGCATGAGATTAATAAGAAGCTAAAGACTCTGGATGCAAAAATCTATTTAATAGCTTTAGTTAAGGCAAGGTATTGCAAACTAGATATTTTAATAGATTTTAAATAATACGAAGTCAAATTATGTAAATGAAATGAAAATCATAAAATACTCTTTATCAATAGACCAAGTGCAAGATATTGATTTGCTCAACGATGAAATGTACTCAAGAGGAAATATCCTAAATTACATAAAGGAAATTTTTGAGGAGTATCATTTCATGCAACGTGAAAAATAATTACCGCAGTAGTTTGTTATTAAATAATGCATTAATAATGATCTGATGCTCCAGTCCCGCTTACAATTTTGTACGATAATTTAATTTCATAAGGTATGTGTATAAGCATTGAACTAAATACATGAAATAATCCTAAGCTGCATCTAGGATAACATCTATTTCTTGTGAATCAATACAATGTGTTGAATAGGTACATATGTACATTACAAACTGGAATGGTTTTCATGTGAATATAGATATGCAAGCACTCATCCTCAGGAATTGAAAATAAATGGATCTGGTTCAATTGTGCAGCTCAAACTGTGAAATGATGTAAGATGACAAACAGCTTCACAGAATTTTATGTTCATAATGGATATACCATGTGAATTTATAATACATTACAGTAAAATACATTTAAGTAAATAGTTACGATGGTAGAGAGGAAATTACCTACACTGCATGCATTACTAGATTCTCAAAAGTATATAAATCAATCATGGATATAAGATTTTTCGTGTAGAAGTTTCTGAAAGAAGTGATAAGCTTGGTTATCTTTTATTTATTTCTCGAGCGAGGACTATTGTCTACTGTTTGGTTTAAAAGGTCAAACTTTTACAGAGAAATTGACACATTGGATTAAGCTGAACAAATGAATGACTCATTGAGGCATGGCCCGAATGATAGTCCACTTCAAAACTGGATACCTTACATAATGCTGTCACACTGGAAAGAGGAGACCCAGTGATGAAGTAGTTATTTATTTATTTATGTTTGCACGGACTAAATATGATCTGTTTGCAGAAGATATCTTGAAGATGGGAAGCAAAATGAAATTGTCCATTCCGTTCAAGCTTGGATTCAGTTTTAAGTCACACGGTGCACTGATTCAGTTTTTGTTTAAAATTTCAGAGAGAATTAAAAATAATAATTGTCATTAATAATCATCATCCGACAAGTGATACATACATTTGACCTGTTTCTAACATGGATACTGGATCACAGGAAGGTGAAATTTAAGTTTGACAAATCTCTATTAAATTTATTGACAGATTCATAATACCTACTTAATTTGATTGTTATTTTTGTTACTATTGTTTGGTAGATCTTCTTTTTCGGGTAAACCCCGATTTCAAATGGCTGGATTTGAAGACATGGAACGATAATCAGAAAACGATTCTAACTTGCTCCAGCATTATGGCAATCGGTGTATTGATCTTATTCATAGTCCTGGCTACGTTGACAGCATCGCCAGGTATGTTTCATTCCACAAGCAAATATGTAAATGAGATACATAGGAATAGAAATAAGTGAAATCAATTTGTCAGCCAACGTGACACCCACTGTGCCAACAACCACCACTATCCAGCCTCCAACGACGACCGAAGTACCGACAAGTACTTTCATGACTACGCCACTGGTGACAACTCCAAAACCAACTAGACCGACACGAAAACCAATTACAACTACCCCCAAACCTATTTCAACCACCCCCAAACCTACTTCAACCACCCCCAAACCTACTTCAACCACCCCAAATCCAACGACACCCACGCCCACGCCATCCTCCACGATCGCTTCAACCACCAAGCCAACTACGATAAGCCCACAACCAATAAATATAACGACGACCTCAGCAGCCCCACCCAACACCACGACGACTGTGACCACCCCGCCACCCACACCCAATCAACACAGCCGAGCAACCACATCATCAACGTCCACCGTGATAACGGGGACAACCAGCCTCTCCAGAAATGAAACCGTTTCTGTAACAACTAATATTACCCCGACGAGAACTACCGTTGTCATGACCACCCTCACAACTTCATCCTTTACGACACTATCACCACGCAATATCACGTCAACGACCACGATGTCGAATTCAACTGTTACCACAACCACAACGACATACCCCTCAGCCAAGAATGCAATGCCATTCCTTACATGGAAAATGCAATGAAATTATTACAAGTCCTTTGCAGATATTTACAATATTCTTCTTTGATCACGAAATTTATACCTAGCATTCAATCTCAAAGCAAATATTGATTGCTGTTAAAATTATTTCTCATTTATCTTATTTATTGAGTCAAAATTAATCATTCAAATATTTCATTGCTTGCATACTCAATAAAAACGCTCCAGAAACGGGACAAAGTTGGATTTTATCTATCAAAATCAAAATGTGCTAAGATTTAATGAATATTTCATGAAACTTGTGTCGGTTTAGTATGTAAACTAAAAAAAATCTAAATAACGGGCAAATCTAGACATGTTAATTGTTTGTGCTTTCTTTAAATTTTGTGAATTCCTCAACATTCTTCGTCAGATGGGTCATTATTCCATACGTATTCTTCAGATGTGTCTCTATCTTCCTCAGCTACTTCATTAACTTCATTAAAGACCTCGGTGGCAGGGGCGTTGATTTGGCTTCTTAATACTTGCGGATACCGATACTTGCTTTGTTGAATTTTATCCGCCTTCACTTGATCTTTCACAATATTTCTCTCCAAGGCTACAACAGTTTCCCAGTCAACGACATCCACCTCCGAATCAGCAGGTTTAAACAAGGGAGGAAACACTGGCAAGCCTTGCGTAATCCGGATATATCCCACCAAGTTGTAGATCATTCTCTTGACGATGTTATTGCTGCAGAGGTGCATGACATCCATATGATCAGCCTAGTAAAATGAAGAGCAATCACGTATTGCATTGAAATTATGGCACAATATAATATCTCACCTTTGAATGCCATCGACAAGCAACTTTCGGATTGTAGGCGTATTGTTCGTGCAACAATAGTTCTGCAGCGTTTTCCTCGTTTTTAAAGTTAGGAATTTTGGATCCCCCAACATGAAGGCATAGCTTTTTGAGTTCTAGTGCCAACAATGATAAAGGCGCAAATCGGACGGGACAATCATCTGTATAAGTTGCCGAGTTGTTGTCACCAGAAACTTTTGTCTGCAGATAGCGTAGACAACGTTCCGCGTAAAACACATTATCAGAGGCGACAAACACCCATTTCTCTTCTCCAGTGACTCGAGGTGCATACTATGTAGAATTATACACAATATATAAAATGAGTATTAAAATATTATTTATGTCAATTATATTATCAATACCTTTTCAATGATTATCCGTATCGCTTGGTAAGCCAGAGAAGGCGTCCAAATTGTACAATCAGCTAACTCTGAAGAAGCGTCTCGCTGTTAGGATAAATTCATAATTTTAAGAGTTTTATCTAAATATCACAATTTCTAACATTACCTCAGCAACGGCCTGGCCAATGTGTGGTATTTTAAGCCCATCAGCAGCTTGAATAGCTTCACTTCGCATCCCAATGGGAACAGCATCTGCAGAATGACACATTTCAAATTAAACTAAAATAAAATGATCGACGAAACTATAAACATACCTGGACTTGGATCTATGAGGCCACAAATATCAAAATTCAAGACTTTCTCCAATGGGAGGAGACCTTCCGTCAGCGAGAAAACTTGCAGCGCACATTCACACGGGATATAATTGCTCGTTGTGGTAAATCCATCCGGGCAGAAATAATTAAAATGGGCAACCACGAAACGTTTGTCCATGAAATAGCCTGACGCCGCATACGCCAAATAGGTGGCAATCATACCTTTAGTCTTCTCATGATTGTCAAACTCTTTTCTGAAATATTTAATTGGCATATTATCTAAGCACTTTAATCTTATCTGTGGATTTGCACCAAAATTAAGCAACTTACTTTTGTGAAGGGGTCAAAGGCTTCTTGGGCGACACCTTTTGCAATGGCGATTCATCATCAAATTTAATGGAACGGAAGAGGTCTTCCCATCTAGTCAATTCTTTTGCAACGTCATCTGCATGGTTTTTAAATCCTGCCATGTTCAATCAATTCTATTTTCAATCTTAGAAAAACGTCGAATCCTTTGATTTGTAATACAGATTTTGTATAACGAATGTTAAATAGTCAAATCAAATTCACTAATAAATAATTGGCAGGATTACAAATCAAAAGTATACATCTAATCACGAAATTCAGTGTAAATTGAAGAATTGCGAAATTAAAATTGGTCTATTTTGATAAAAGAATTATTTACACCTCGCCAGCAGCTGGATACTAAAAACATGCAATATGAATGATGAACGAGGGACAAACAAACAGTGACAGTGAACAGAGTGTAATAACTTTTTTGAGGCAGAGTGAGACTGTGTATGATAGGCTTATCAAGACAACGTTCAACTTATTGAGCATATAATATTGTCAAAAGGTCTAATTAAATTTATTTTGATTGATACCAAGAAATTATTACAGTTGAATATGAATAACATAAAACTTTAAATAGCATGGAATTGAATGAAAACTTAAATGCATTTGTAACATTGTTACCAATAATTACTCCACTATGCACTCATACATATGCAATATGTATTGCTATTTTTTGGTTTTATTTTTCAAAATGCATATGTACATTTGTTAACCTTGAACTAACGTATTCTGTCAAGTTTTGGAGCTCTTAAGAGTTTTATGTCGGAAAATAAAGCATTATTTAATCCATCAGCGTTTTTAAAATCTGGTACATCCACAATTTTCAACTCTTTAAGTTTCAATCGGGGTAATACTTCATGTAGCAAGTTGAGAATTTTAAGACTTGCTGGAATCGATCTGAGAAATTTAAAAAAACTAAATTTTATAATTGGTTGACTATAAAAAATTCAAATGTGTCAACCTAATGATTTTCATGCATTCATTACTCTTTTTCCAGACAAATCTCCAGCGACTCCAGCTTAGGCAGCATATCCAATCCTTCCTTTATCACACAAAGAACTCCCCTTACCAAACTTGGGGAATAAGTTATCACTAATTTTCTTAAGTTTGGGAAAGTTTGCAGAAAATCATGCACGTTTTTACTGTCACAAACATCATCCCACTCATTCTCGCATGGAAAATTAATTAGCTCGAGTTCCTTTACAGAGTCACACAAAGCGATTAGTTTTAACCTCCCAATGGGAACAGTGATCCTACTTCGATGTATTTTGAAATTTATTTTCAACTGAGAAATGTTGTGGTTAACATTATTGTTGAAAATGCACCCGCAAAAGCCTTCATAATCAGAACAATCTCGAAACTCTACGTCAAGTTGTAGCCAAGTTATGTGACTGCTGGACCTTGTGATCATCTTGATTGTATCAATCCTTGAGGTTAAAGGAGAATGAAAATGTCGAAGTTGAACGAAGAGATTTGCAATGGGGACAGATTTCAAGGTTATCAACCTCTGGCTGAAGTAGTCTTCCCATGTTTGATAAGATATTTTGTACATGTTGAATCTGCACACGCTGACGGTAACTTTGGCACGAGCAGTGAGATAAGGTGTTGCCAAGCAGTGGAAGAATTTATTTATTTGGCGACATGTTTTAAGCTCTGCAACCCTCATTTGAGAAAATATACGGCCAAGGATCTAGATAAAACATACAAAGTTTCAATTCTAAGCTTAAGAAAATTAATTTTTAAGAATTATATACCAAACTATTGCCAAATACGGAATCGGAAAGAGTTCCCATCGTTCAATGCGGGCTAACGTCCATTAACTTGAGATTAGTATTTTATAAACTTTATTACAAATTATGACAAAGTTCATGGACAGAAAAGCACGGGTTTGTTGTAATACGTCCATAAATTCGGACTGACGGTGAATAATCTAATTTGTAGTTGAGGCCGGCTTTGTGTGCAATCTAATTGCTGTGGTCTGCTGACTATGTGCAGGAAACAGATCATAATATTTTAATTGCGGTAAGTTGAATGATCCTCTCAACGAGTTATTACTCCAATGCACTGGATATGCAACTCAGTGAATTAATCATGGTCGACTGACTACAGACTTAGATTTTATGATTAGTAGAGATGATTTGGACATGAAATGGGACTGGTTACATATCCTTGTTGTTCAATTTTAGACTCGGACAGGAAGATCTGCCAAACATGAAAAAATTATAACAGAGCTTTTGTGTATGTATTTCCTAAGAATATGTATGATACGTTTTATTTATTGATATAAAATACATATGTAATACACCTACTTCTATTTGTAAAAAATCATTATATTTGGAATTCCATTTACATGCATACGAATTGTGAAAAAAGCTAAACAACCAGCGCCCTAATTCCCAGGTAATTAAAAAATTGAAATAAAACTAAAATATTCGTTAGGTCGAAAATTACAAAAAATGCATGTACAATATACTTTTTGCGGCTCTGGTCGTTTAGCTTTTGTAAATATCTGTAATATGCACAATGTAATAATACATACATACTCTGCGAATACAATTTATACTCAAATTATTTGAGTAAAATGAGTAAAACCTCTAACTCTATGCACATACAAATTTACATACCTCGTTCCATGTATATATTCCGTACCCATGCAATTTTTTGAAGTGAAACGATTTTTTAAAATTAAAAGGTGTGTACACTATTACTTATTTCAAGTTGACGGAGTTGAGATGTATTTTATTTTAACACGATGCATGAGGAATACCCAAATATCTAATACGCACACCTTTCGAAATTAGAAATATCTTTAATTTTTACTTAAATTCAATTACTTTCGAGTGGAGTGAAACCCTTATATTCAAAACTTAAATACCTATGTATGTATTGAGAACACTTTGGGACTTGTTTTGCAATCTTTGTGAGAATTATTTAATTATTTAATCTGTAATCCTCTGCATGTGTATTTGAAAACAAGTAAGTGACTAAATTTGCGTTAATCTGATTGGTGTAATTATTAATTAACGTTTGCATACACCCATTTTCCATTGCTACACAGCTCACTTTATCAACAAGCACATGACAAGTCTTTCGACGACGAATTGCCAAATTATTAATGCCGTCGTTTTGTCAAAATACCTCCCATCCGACATCTTTAATTTAAACGACGAGCACGATTTTACATACTTTTTCAACCATTTCGTTCTCCCCTTCGGAATTTTTTTCACGTATTCGAACAATTCCTGCGAAGCGATGCACGGTTCTGACAATAACTTGATCTGAACATGAATCAAGGCAAATCCATCCAACGCAATCATTGAGAACGCAATGAAAATTTCAATCGGGATTTGTCCATGAAGACGGATAACAGCATAGAGACAAATTATTTCACCAATTAGCCATTCTCCAATTAACACCTGCATTAAAGGCCATCGCCAAAACTTGTTTGCCAGAATCCCCATCAACTGAACATCTCTAAATCCTGTAATGGATTTTTCATTCCCAGATTTAAGTTCCCTAGAATTGAATAATCACACAAAACGTCAATTTATCCATACAAAATTCATAACCAATTTGTATACTTGCCATAATAGAACATCAATCCTCAATTTCGCTGCTGCTCCTGGATATAGCTGTACGATCCATCCAACCCCAATAAAAACGGCACCGAGAAGAACCCAAAAATAAAATTCCACCATTGCACCAATTAATTTCGCCCCAAAATTGACCCTTCCCGTCGCCTCCCACCCAGTACAGTCTTCTGAGACGAGTGAGACGGCCAAAAATGGGAGACAAGGTCGCCAGAAAGATGCACCAAAGTATCCGATCGGAATTACGTGACAAGTTAAGAAGGCAAATGCTACGACGGCCAAAAGATGCAACCCGACATATCCTTTCGCCCTTTTGTCGATGCAATCCTGTTCCATGCGAAAAGGACAAGTTAGCAAAGGCTTGATCTCATCCGCCCTCTGCCTTAAGAGAAACATTAATGGAATCGTATTGGCTGCCAGGCTTGGATAGTAGAAATTTGCAATTTTTTTCCACGTGAGTTCCATTCTTGCTGTTTTGTCTAACCCCACCCCACTATTGTTCTGGTGATACCGCACCCCCATTGCGGCGTGGAAGATGCAAAGTGCTACTTGAAGCACGAAGTGGACGTTGCAAATTGAGGTGTTGTACGGAATAAGGGAAACGGTTGTAGTGTTTTTCTCATTGTAACGGAATGGGAGGAAGGACCAGCGGAAAGTCAGGTTCATACCGCGTCGACAAATGTCGATATAATTGGCTTCCTTCCTCGCGGTTTTGTTCAGGATTAAATAAATCGTTTTTGAAAGAGGTTTCCAACTTGTGATGTAATCGTCGACACATTTTCTTAACCAGGTTAAGAACTTCATAACTTTAGACGTGTTCAGGTCAAGGGAAAGTTACAGAGTGAAAACCAAAAGATGACTAAGTGAAAGCCGAGCACGTTTAATGAAGATATACTCTATAACTAGCCTGAATTTTATTAATTTATGTGCTATACTTTTGTCAACTGACCAATCCAAACCAGTCAAACCTATTTCTCGTCCGAGTGTTGAAATATGGATAAAGAATATCGTAATACACTATTTACGTGCGTATTGTGGTACATTATTGCCAAAGTGCTTATAAAATATTTGCAGGTCTATCGATAATGTTCTGTTCTGTTCTATCTTCTCATCATTCAAGTTCAGTACGCCTGATGTGATATGATCTACGCTGACTATCCATCGACCCTGACGACACGACCAGAGCAATATTGAAGGTGAAGTTGGTTAATAAGTATGAGAAATTAATGAATCCTAACCAAATATGTACAATAACTCAACGCATTCTTGTATTAAATGAATTTACATGAAACTTTGTTTAATATGTGAATATATTAAATTATTACACACAGATAAGTAAATATATATCTATTTATGGCCCAAGTCCAACAATTTAGTACAAGTCTTCGTAGTGTGGCGGCACTGAAGCAATTAAACAAAATAGATTACATTTTCTACATGATTTAAAACCTGAAAGCATAGCCCAATGAACGACTCACATGTCTCCAATGATACCACAGACCCAACCTTGGACGGCAGTTGAGAATATGATGGTGGAAAACGTGACGGAAAATCCAAATCCAATGGGGGAGGGGGTGACGGTGGTGTGTCCCCATCATCCGTGGGGTTCAGCATCTCTGTTCCAAAAACCACCTCGATTTGCCTGATTTCTTCACTCTGTCCGTTTATAGTTACTTTAATCTATAAGTAAGAGAATCAATTACAAAAAATTCAATTGCAAGTTTCCGTTGTCTGTAGATACCTTGACAGCATAACGAATCCTCAAGTTCTTATTCTCTCTCGACATGAATGTTGGGCTCGGGAGGGCATCCTTATCCACAGACAGGCTTCCACTTCGAGAGAACCTTTCTCTTTTAAGGAACCTTCGAAAAGTGATGCAATCCATGGTCTCTGATTCAGTTGATTCCTTGACACTCGCTTGGTCCGATTCTTGACCATTGTGTGAGATGCTTCTTATCAACGATACTTTAATACGCTTCACGGAGCTACTTTCTCCTTCGTAATTCACGACGAAGGGAATGCATTCATAGACAAGATATTGACGTTTTGGAATCTCCAAAACCAATTTTAGCTCAGGTAACGATATTTCCTTTCTGACCACGGATGGTTCAATGTTCCTCAGGTGAAAGTTTCCACCATAAGTAATTGCCTGAAATTTAAAGTGATTTATTTTGCTAGGGTTTACATTTAGAAAATTAATTTAAAAAACCGAATGAAAAAAATACATAAATCAAAATAAGCTAGTTAATTGTCAATGTCAAATGTGACAAACCAGATTACCTTCCTTCCCAACTGGGAATTAACGATTGGTCCTCTTTCGGCAGAAACGCGAAGAATGTAGTACACTTGTTGTCCAGATTTTGTTCTGAAAGTTCCTGGCAGGACACCATTTCGTGGTAGAACTAGCTCGAAGGGAAATTTCGAGGACGCTCGAGACGTCATGGTGTCACCTTTCACTCCGGAACCGGAGAATCGTTGCCACATTTTGCATCCACTGCTTGTTGGCAGGATAGGATATGAGGTGTTGGCATGCACGTAATAGCCCAACATTTCAACTATCAAGCCTGAAAAAATAGAATATCAAGAATTTTAAAACTGTGCAAAAGGTATGACAAACACTGAAAAATTAGGTGAAATCGTGCATTTTAATGGTAATTTAATTTCTCTCACCGCAATACGTCTCATTTCTCTTCAATTCAATCCAACCAGAGATCTTGCTGTGCATCGGCCATATTGCACCGTCCAAAGTGATTTCCACTTTGGGACGATTTGATGCAGGTACTTCCGTTATAATTTGGCTGGCTGGCCTAGGGCCTCCGGTACCATGATGACCATAATACCTCATTTTAAGCATGGTTATTCACGATCTGTTAAAGAGTGAAGAATCCTGTGTGAAAATTCATCATTATTTTGGAGAAAAGTAAATTTTAAACACACAATACGTTATATGTACCCTCACCTTTCACCGTTGTCTCGAATGTGAAACAATTTACGGAAAAGTTGGCCAGGGTTAAATAAATAGTTGATAGTATAACTGCGTAAAATACAAGAGTTGGGAAAACTGGGGAAGCGGAGCAAGATTGCAACTGGTTTTGGAGAAAGTTGTCCATCTGTTCATCAATTCAATCGATATTCGCAACCCGAGTAAGAGTACACACATATTCCTTCATTGCTGATTTTTCGCAAGTTTGCTATATTTCCTTGAATTTATTAGGGAACGAAGATCGCGCATGCAAAATGACAATTATTTAATTGAGAGCATTTATGGAGATCTACTTTGCTTAAAAGAGACGAGTGAGTCTCTGTTGGCTGGGTCGATGGCGTAGTTGAGAAGCAAACACCTCACTTTCTCTCTCTCCAGATCTCCGTAGACCTGCAGAGAGAGAAAAAGATTCAGTTCACTAATTGTTTTATTTTTTTTCTCGTTGATTGACAAGATTGCTTATACATATTCTCTAGTTTTATTTATCTATATGTGCATATAAAGCTGCCGAAGACACGACTTTTAACGTTCAAGTAAGACGTAACATTAAACATGAATATATTTTTGCAGTTAGAAATAAACTAGTTGATGTATTAATGCATATGTACATATGTACGTAATTAGTAGTGTGAATTGAGCGTATTTAATCAAGTAACATGCGTAAACTTATGTATTTGTTAAATTCTGATTGGATATTGCAAATATAAGAATAAGTACATCGGATAAAAATTCATAAGGTTTCCTCTATCGTGGTTCGCCGAATGCGGAAAATCAACCTACATATGTAGGCGTTGAAGTTAAATATTTTATTTGCTTCTTAGGATTAGTATGCACGTCGTCATTTAAACGGAATGCCTTGCTTCCAAATATTTTAGGTATTACTACGTTTATATATATGCATCTGTATAATTCGAATATGTAACACGCAACTGATGCATATTGGGAGAATTTCAATGCCGGTGTTTTACTAATTAAGTACACAGCAGATATACATACATATGCGATATCCTATTTATTAAGATTACGTTATAAGCTAGATCATGCAGGCGAGAATGAGTATCTGCACATATGTATAGTATTTGGTAGATACTTGGGTAGTATTATACTTTCCAAGTAAGCATTGTCTATTTATATTTTGAACAGCTTTGTCTCCGACTGCAAGAACTCAACAAGTATGGTGCATGCAAATTGATGGATCTTACTACGTACAGATTCGCAAACCAGTTCACAGCATTCACAATGAGTAATGATTTTTGTTTCATGCTTTATGTATATGCTACATGGCTTTTCCATACATACATATATACATACATACATTGCATACATACATATGTATGGGCAGACTTCAAAAGTGTGACTAAGGATTACCGCAAAATTGCATTACTCACTAATCGTATGATACTAATCCAAAGTTAGTATACTAAATACATAAACTGCAAATCCATGTATTTACATACTGCATTATGCATTTGTCCAGTCAACTGCATAATTAAGTTTGACGGAAACCTGGGAACATTACTCCTCGTAAATCCACGCTTAATTAACCATCAATTTTTTTTACATTACATCATTAAACAACAAGTTTCCATAATTACTACATACCTCTAAAACTTTAGAATGGAAAACCACACTGATCCAGATTCATTTCGTGCACATCTTATCAGCTACATTACCGAGTTTTACACAATTTTTGCTGCCGAATTGGAAAGCTGCACGAGACTCGGGACAGGACAGGAAAAAGCTCAACCAGGAAAAATTACCGGTGCAGCTGCAACTTTAGCGACACCGGTCCCCATAGTTGGTCCAGCATTGAAAACGGCCATAAATGCAGGCTACTCTATTCTCAAAGCGAAAGATAAGGAACTAATCTCAAAACACCTGCTGTTTAAAACCTATAAAGAGGAATGCATAATAAAAGGCGGAGCCAGGTTGTTCATCTCGTACAAAGAACAAATATTCGACTCCATTCTAAACTCTGATGGAAATCGGTAAAACTTAACTTGACGCATTTTCAATTCAAAAAGCTATCAAAATTTTCACTGAAATTTCAATTTTAATTATGATTACAGGAGAACATTCTGTTTGGACGCCGTTCATAGAATATTTTTCAGTTTTCTATCCAACATTAAAGAATCCAAGCTTTGCGAGGTGGAGGGTCCTGACTGCATCGTACAAGCGTTGGTGTCGGGACGCTCAAAAAACGGATTGCTTTCTCGAACCACGGGTGGAATAATTCGGAAGGGTAATCCCAACCTGGTTTTGAAAAATGGAAAGAGAATCTACGCCCAAGAACTTTTCCAAATTTTCTCAAATCTGTATGACGATAAAAATTATGATTTAAAGAATACAGAATCTGGAAATTTAGAATTCTGGAAAATAAATGAACCGTTGATCGAACAAGTTTATCGTCACGTCTGCGAATTAGTTTTGATACCAAATGGTAAATTATTTATTTTTTATTGAAAATACGTACACCAGTTTTGATACTTAAATACAATAATATTTTAATTTTAATCAGGTCCAAAAAATGTGCCCAAATCTGACAGTGAACTCCCCTTAAAAAAGAAATTCAATTTCCGATCCGTCACAACTACGTTTTCCGGACGAAGTGCTACTTTAGCTAAACTTGCAGAAAAATGGGCGTCCTCAACTGAACTGACCATTTTCGCCATAACCGGACTTGGTGGGATAGGAAAGACCCAGCTCGCCCTCAAGTTTTCAATGCTCCACTTTTCAAATAATGTTGTCATATTTGCGTCCGGCGAGACTCCGGAAACATTCCGAAACTCTATTGTATGTGTCGCCAAAGAGATTAAAGTTCATGCAGAGGAGATGAAAACCTGGAAAACATGTGACATATTTTTGAAATGTGTGCAACATTTTGACAAAATTTCGCCACAATGGCTTCTCATTGTAGATAATATGGACGAGCTCAACCCGGAAGTAACTGAATTTCTGAAAGATCTCCATTCTCAGGAGGCTTGGTCACGTCGTAATTTGATTCTTGTCACGTCTCGCGACACTTCTGCCACTCTGCAACTGGCACCTTCTTACTCTGAAAGATTGACCGTTTTGGAGAGTTGGGAGGCAGAAGAGTTAGTAAAAAATTGCCTTCCCGAAGAAGATGACAATGACGTTGCCAAGTTGTGTGAAGTCCTCCAATGTTTCCCTCTCGCTCTTCAGCAAGCCATCGCATACATTGTGACCGAGCAACAAACCGGGTTGGACGGTCCCGCATATAAAATTCCGGATTTCTTACAGACTTTTAGCAGACTTGATGAGAAACGTAAAGTTCTTGGGCTCAAGTTGAACTACACGCACAATTACGAGTATCCAACACTGGTCACGTGGGACGCATCATTCGCCAAGATTAAAGGAAACAGTGAATGTGGTCATGAGGCGGAAATCATATTGGAATTACTCGCATTTCTGAACCCCGACGGGGTATCACTCACTTTCCTGGAATCTATTTATTTATCTGTAATTGGAGATAAAGACAAAAATTGCCAAGATAACACTGAAAGAAAATCCCTCTACTGGAAAAGTCTCCTCCTCATAAAAAAATACTGCCTCATCGAAACAAACGGCAGATCAATCACAATTCACCGACTGGTCCAGGAAGCAACAAAATTGGGAATGGACAACACCCACCAAGAAGAAATACTCAAGAAACTGATGGCATGCATGGTGACATTGTGTGACGATAACACTGTGACGGAAGTAGACATCTACCAAGCTCTAATTATATGGAAACATATCTCCGAAATTGATCACCTTGTCACGAAATGTTCCAACTTTGTCGGCAAGGTCATTAATAAACTGATGGGATTCTCCTGCTTCCGGGACACTGTGGCGTTTTCGTCATCCTGTTACGATGCCCTAATCCGTTGCAAAGGTGAGACTGACGGTGACACTATGATCATGGGACACCGTCTCGCTGCTGCGCATCAACTCAACGGTTCCTACGACATGGCCGTGCCCATCTTTTCGTCCGTTTTGGAGAAACAGAAACTCCATCTCGGCCATGGTCATGACGATACGATTGCAACGGCCAGCAACATGGCTGGGTGTTTGGGTGCAATGGGACGTCGCGAGGAAGGAGGTGCACAATATTACTGGGTTTACGAACAACTGATAAAAACTCATGACGAGAACCACCCCCGCGTAAGACAGGCACTAAGTAACCACGCAGTCTTTGTTAAAGTTAGTCCCAGTGAGAAGAGAAATATTTATTTGAAATTGCTCGAGGTAAATGAAAACGTTAGGGATTCTCCTAATTTGCTAGTGACACGGTACAATGTGGGAATAACGTTTTATTCGGAGGGGAATTACACGGAAGCCTTGCAGTGGTGGAATTCTGTTCTGGAAGTGAGAAACAAAGTGTGCCCCAAAGATATAGAGACTTTTCGAACAAGGAAAATGATCGCTATGGCGAAGCATAAACTTGGGCAGAATTCCGAAGCTCAGACAGAACTAGAAGCTTTGCTACCAGAAATGGAATCTCGGTTGGGGGAGGATCATCCAGATTGTGAAGAATTGAAGAATGCCATTACAAACCTTAGCAAATAGATAAGTAGTTCGGATTAAATTAGATAGCTCTTGAGAAGAAAAAGGTCAATTAAAAACAATGCAAATATTGCTCAACTTTTCAATATTCCTAATTCACATGTGCAGTGCACATTGTGCACATAACAATTCAACGTCCATAAAATTAAATGATATTCCTGTTGCAAAGGAGACGGCTGTATTTTTTGGATTGTATTTTTTACTTTCCATCAAAAACATTTTCAATCCATTGATTTGATCCAATTCAATCCAATTGGTGTTTATCCATTTCATATTAATCACAAAAAATGTTCATGAAAATTTGCAACATAATCATGTATGTAGCTCATTCCGAGTAGTTTTTTTAAATAAAATTGTTAAACCCCTAACAGACATTAATTACAATAAACCCTAACAAGTTACAAGTAGAAATAAGTTTGTTTTCATGATGTGTCATTAAATTAATAACATTAATACATGTATTTTATTGAATATAAGTGGTACATTTCCTGGAAAAATCACTGTCATCATTCAATACATGTAAATACGACTAAATACAAAATTGACAAATGCGTAGATATAAATATGATCAGTGGTATGTGTACATACTGGTATAAATGCAACTTTATTCAATTTAGGTTACCACAAAAAAACATGTACATTGACAAAAATTGGTTGTAAAATTTCATGACTAAAATTACTGAGAATAGGAAGCTTGAAAAAGATGTCAATCATTAAACCGTTATATTTGTACATATGTACTTATTTCGTCACTTAAATAATTACATATTTCTACAAATTGGAAAGCAACTCCATATTCTTAAAACATTTATGCACAACTAACACCCTCGAAACCATGACCATCGTACAGATTAATGTGACGGCATGAAAAATCCTCTTGTGGGCAAGATCCAAACCAACAACGACACCTGTAAGTTCAGTAATATTTCATTAAATTGTACAGTAACTGGTAACTAGGATTGTAATCACAATAAGGTATACTCGTAGACAACTAAATGTACCTGTCACTTTGGTGTAAACGACAAACTGCCGAACACACTCCAAAAAAATTGGTCTCAACTTTCACCGAACGGGCAGTAAAAAACCATCTAAAACGGAAGGGAAAGTCCTCGCACTTATTTCGAAACATGCCAATCTCGACATTCTTGGTGGCACAAGTTCCTGTCAGATCAGGTCCTGAGCAGAACGTGACTCTCACCCCTTCTGATGGCGACACAAAGAAAAATACACCCAATAGAAGGGCCACCGTTACTTTGTGGTGTGACATTCTGAAATAATTTATCAGGTAGCAACTGATATATGAATTATGAAAATGATGGCAATTTTCGATTATAAGTTGTACGTGGAAAATAACAGTTTCTTATTCAGAGTTAAAAACGAATGCAATCTTGCGAGAAGTAAATGACAGTTTGACCAGGCTCTGGAACAATCTGCGAATTTCTCTATGTGCACACACAGTGTGAATCACGTACATATTTTGCATGTCAATTGACATTTATCTAACCTCGTAAAATCCTTACTAATTTAGATTAATTAAAAGCATCCGCTCGTTCAATTCCGTTCTGTGTACCATTACTTATTTAGACTTTAGGGAACCATTATTACCCTACTAAACAAATACGTACGTACATATTTATGCTTGAATTTATGATCAGAAAAGATGTGACAGTATCGTTTGGTGTTATTTTGTCATCATCTCTTGGTCTTATCTTGTATGTATCCAATGCATGCACGGTTGACATAGTCAGGACCGATGTTTTTCTTCACACAGCAATTATCATATGGATCGATGTACATATGTACATATAATAATTCTTAACGTGAGAGGCATGTATGCTTTCACTAGCAAGTGAACAATGTTATACCAGAATATACATATGCATATGCATATGTATAAAGCTAAATCATACACAGTGAAATTAAAATTTAGAATGAAGTTGTTGAATCATTAGAATCAGAAAATATACAAAAATTAAATGGTAAATATAATTCCGCATGGCTTGTGCCTAATCTGAACAAAATAAGTTCTACATGCACTAAACAAAATATTATCTCCATTGAATATGAATTACTTTCATGAAATTACCAAGAAACACGTCTCATATTTATTTCAGAATTTCCAAAAATCATTCAAAGTATTTCCCAAAAAGTCTAGCGTACTTGTGACCTCGACAAACCATTGATCAGTACAGCCGTTGAATTATACTGGCCGTGACGAAGCTGGTCTGCATACACTGGATATGGGCAAATCACCCTGAAAATGAATTCCGCATTGAACCGATTCCAAATTCGTATTTGCAAAACATTGTCGTTTGGTGGTGGGGGAATATCCCATCTGTAGTAGCCGTAAATTCCGGTATCCACCACGAGAAAGAGGTCGACGAAACCACGCCCAGGGTAAACTTCGTCATTGTAGTAATTACCCGAGACAGCGATGCGATATGGAGACACGGTCTCTCCATTCACCGTATATGCAAATCCGTTCTGTTCTCCCACCGTAATCGTCACTTTTGACCCAGGTGCGGCAGCAGTTCTGCAAAATACATGCAAATTACTTCTTAGAGCTGCAAAATTAAAATATGTAGATAAAAGTCACCCTTACTTGACTCCCTCCTGGTAAGTGGACACCTGATCGGAAAGATTGACATTGCCGAGCAGAAGGACGCTTAGGACCGACAAAAAACCATAATATGCGAGAACCATTTTTGCAAAATGGGCGAATTGCCAAATAATTGCTAAGTGAGTATTGCCAATTTATTTGATTGGATTTTATGCATTCTTTTGGTGTCATTTTGAACACCTGAAGTGATACGTGACGTCAATTTAAATTTGGATTAACCACAAATATCTGGTGATATTGTTTAAACTCCAACAATATTTTGAATTTTGGACGGGTTTAACGGATGCATGTCAATAATAGTCTGATTTATTGTGTAGTGTAACCTCTGTCTGCACATTAATGAGGGTTTGGATCAATCAATCAATCACGTGCATTGTATAAGGATTGTAAATAAATATTGCTCCTGGGAGTGCCACGGTCAGACCTGGAGAAATTCTGCACGAGGAAAGTATGTACTGACCAGAGTGTGCAAGGGCAAAAAGGCATGCCGTGCCTAAAATGCCTGTTTGCCTATTAGGCACGTGAATTTTGGGCATGCCCGACTGCCCGAAATGCCTTTTTGCCTTTTTGGTAAAATCGGGGCAATGTGATCATACTATCGTATGCTTTTTACTTGTAATCGTTTACACTTCATAGGATTTTTCGACATGTGAATAATTAAGATATTAAGCCGATTTGGATTATCATCTGTATATATAGATCTATATATACATATGTAGATTATCATCTACGCATATGCACATCTTTAGGTGTACAAATATTCACAAATACTCTTAATTATCATGCATGCGTAGGGAAATAATGTTGTGGAGTAGCTATGAAAAAATGTAAGGTTGTTAAAGTTTTAGAAAAACCGAAATGTAAAGCTGATTACATTGTTGTCACTCTTTCTTGTCCATAGAAAAATTTGTCAAATGGTTCAGGCAATACCCAATGGAAACATACGGAAAAAGGCAAAAAGGCATCAAACGGGCAAAATGGCACGCAAAAAGGCAATCCGGCATTGAAACGGGCAAAACGGCAAAAAGGCATGAATTTTTTCCCAAAAAGGCGCCTTTTTGCACACTCTGGTACTGACTAACTGCTAAATAGTTAATAAATCGTATTAACTGCGGTGTGTCATTCGAGCAAAACAATTCAACAGAATTGCACATCGACATAATTATTTATATAATTCCAACTATATAAAATTGCGTGAAAATTGAAATTTATTTGACTCGTAAAGAATGATAACCATGTTATATGGTACTATAATCCATGATTCTGAACAAACCCATATTCTTTTGTGCAAGTTAAATAACCTATATAGTTTTCAAACTTCTCGTAAAAGACTATTGACACAGAATTAAAAACAAATATTTTAAATGACATAAATGCGAACCTTTTGAGAATTTTTGACATTATATAAATTGAGAATCAGTTAATAAACCGCTCCTTATTTATAACCTAGATAAAACTTAATTATAAATTTTGAAAGAATTAATTAATTTAAACCTCATGCTATATACAACTTTGAATTTATCGGCAAGAACATTTAAGGCATGAAGTACGATATCTCGTTTCAATTTTGCCCCAACGGAGTTAAATCAATGTACGCGACATTTCCAATGAATTGAAGATCGTGCAAAGAATAAAATTGGAGGCTTCCCCCAAAATAATATATTCTACTCAATTTCTCCACGTAAACGGCAGAAATCCCATCAAATATATCCACGTCACTGAGGTCATAATACGGGGCAAAGTTCTCCACATAAATTTGCTCAACTTCTATCGTTTCCAGGTCAACTCGAGCAATGTAATTTGACGTGGAGGGTCTCTGTGCTCCAATCACGTACGCAGCTCTTCCCACGACTACTGTCGCCTGGGTGAGGCCCGTAAAAGAAAATGGCAGTATTACATCCACAACTTCATTGTCGCCAAAACCAGTTGGTTTATATAAAGTGAAAGGTTCAACGGGATTTGGGGTCCAACTTTGAGACACGTGACCAAAGACGACTGCCCTATTTCCCGCCTCGTCCCATACAGCCGTGTGGTCCACGTAGCTCTTCGGCATGTCTCGCAACCACTTGACCTGGTAGGTTTCCATGTCGAAGGAAAATACTGCAGGGTCGGAGTAGTAGGAGCTGCCCAGGATTACAACTGTGTTGTTGTACCGGATGGAAGGAGAGTTGAAAAGGTAGCGGAGAATTGTTCCGACTTGTACGACTTGGCCATCACTGGGAGTAAATTTAAAGATTTTCAACGAGTAGTTTGCATGGATCAAGTGGCCTCCAAAGAAAAAATAGTTTCCCTTCCCGTCGTGTTCCACAGTTCCACCGTAAATTGGGTTGGGCAATTGTCCAACCGGAGTTAAAGTGTCGGACATAACGCTGTAACGATATATTTGGTCTGAAATCTCAGTCGTGGTGGAGTTGTATTCCTGGTAAAGTCCGCCAAATATGTAGATGGAATCGTCGCCATCATACGCGATTCCGGTGAATGTTAATCCGTAAGGGAATTTCGAAGAGGTGAGGACAGCTTCGAGCGTTTGCGGGTGAACAACGAATGGAAAATTTGCCAAGACTAGTGTGGTGGCAAGAAGAATCGTGAAAAGGTAGGAGGAAGACATGGTGTTTGCATAAGAAATTACTTCAATTGTACGAATTAATTTTCAGGGGATGACTGGACAAAGGTGTGGATTGCTTTTTACATGTATTTATAATCGATATCAGAGGTAGTCTCCAATTCTGTCAATCAAGTTAAGCTCCTTGCATCATATTTTTACTATCTGTATATCTACATTTTAGAGACCCAACCTGACACATTACTTTAAATAACTGAAGTGGTTGGACATCATTATTTTCAGAGAATTTTCAGGCATGTGTAATTAGCAGTGACCGCGGAAGCTGTGGGACATCTGGGGACATTAACATTGCAGAATAGGAGTATTTAGGAGTATAATTTAAGTAGTTAGGTATGCAGCCACTCCCACAGGGAGAAATCAAATTGTACCGTGAACCTTGACCAGGGAAATTGAAGTACAGTATGACTTTAGCAAACCCTCACTATGATGCATGTAGTATGAAACTGGAAAAAAATCTCTAGGGAATTATTTAAAGGGTAGTATGATGGATTTTTCGATTTGGGCACACCCCCTCTGGGAGCCTAGAGCCCGTTCTTGAACGGGCTTCTACTTTAGTACACAATGAATGACACGTTAGTGGTACAAAGTGCAGTTTTTTAGAGCAGATTTTCTCATGCCATTATCAATACTGTCAATCATATTCAAGTGTGAGCGTGATTCAATTATTATTAGGATGATTGGCAAATCAAATTACTATCAATTAATTCCATCCAATTGTGTTTAGCAGCTCCTCATTGTTGATTGATTGCAAAATTAATATTACTCATTTGCATTTGATATATCCTTAATTGATGCAGATTACATTCATGATTTGCATTCACTGTAAATTAAGTTGAGCATAATTTAGCTTAGGAATTCTCTGGGGGTATTCATGTTTGCATCGTAAGTCACGATTTGTAACACAATTTTAAAAAAAATCGAACTAAATTCTAGCGTTGGAGATGTACATGTGTCAAAATTAATTAATTTTCATGCGAAATTGTTTGCCGAACTCTGTTTTTCTTTTTGCTAACGTCAATTACTCCAATAATATTATTCAAAATATACAGGGTGGTTAAAATGTCACGCTACAATGGAAAATTTTTCGATGGGAAAAATCCATAAATTTCCATTAGTTACCGAAATTTTGTCTCTAAAATGCAACATTTTAAGAATTTTGTCATCAGTTTTGATAATAATTTATAAAAATCTCAATCCCAAATCTTGTAACTAATGGAGATTGAGGGACTTTTCCCATTGAAAAATTTTCCATTGTGGCGTGACATTTTAACCACCCTGTATATTTTGAATTTTGGAAGGGTTTAACGGATGCATGTCAATAATAAGTAGTCTGATTTATTGTGTAGTGTAACCTCTGTCTGCACATTAATGATGGTTTGGAATCAATCAATCGCGTGCATTGTATTAGGGTTTTTCCCATAAATTAATATTGTTCCGGGGGGTGCCATGGTTGATGGTCAGATCTGGAGTAATTCTGCAACAGGTACGTACTGACTGGCAGTGAATAAATCAGCTTAACTCCGATGTGTCACTTGAGCAAAACAATTCCATAAAATTGCACATCGATCTCATTACTTATATAATTCCAATCATTAAATTGCGTGAACAATGTAATTTATTTGACTCGTAAAGAAAGATAACACTGTTATATAATCCATGATTATGAACAAACCCATATTTTTTATGCAGTTCCAAAAACTTGCAGTATCCAAACTTTTCATAGGGGAAGACTATTTTTCAAAAATGTACAGAATTAGAAGCACACATTTTAAATTAATAAGTACCTATGTATGAACTTTATGAAACTTTTTGACATTGTAAAAATTGTGATTCAGTTAATACACAAATATTTGTCTGTTTAAGAAGCATAATTTTGTGACCACGCTATACATGGTGAAAGAATTAATTAACAATCCTCTGTAGTCTCATGCTACAACTTATAATTTCATCTCGAAAATAAAGATTTATCAGTAAGAACATTTAAAGAAGTCATGAAGTACGATATCTAGTTTCAATTTTGTCCCAACGGAGCCAAATCAATGTACGCAACATCTCCAATGTATTGCGTATGCTTGAAAGAATAAAATTGAAGTCTTCCTCCAAAATAATATATTCTATTCAATTTTTCCACGTAAACGGCAGAAATTATGTAAAATAGATCCACGTCACTGAGGTCATAATACGGGATAAAGTTCTCCACATAAATTCGCTCAACTTCCAACGTTTCCAGATTAACTCGAGCAATGTAATTTGACGTGGAGGGTCTCTGTGATCCAATCACATACGCAGCTCTTCCAACGACTGCGGTCGCCTGGGTGAGGCCCGTAAAAGAAAATGGCAGTATTACATCCACAACTTCATTGTCGCCAAAACCAGTTGGTTTATATAAAGTGAAAGGTTCAACGGCATTTGGTTCTGCACTTTTTGACGCCGGTCTGTGCTTATACCCAAAGACGACGGCCCTGTTTTCCGCCTCGTCCCATACAGCCGTGTGGTCCATGTATCTCTGCGGCATGTCTCGCAACCACTTGACCTGGTGGGTTTCCATGTCGAAGGCGAATACTGCAGGGTCGGAGTAGTAGGAGCTGCCCAGGATAACAACCGTGTTGTTGTACCGGATACACGGAGACCTGAAAAGGTAGCGGAGAATTGTTCCGACTTGTACGACTTGGCCATCGCTGGGAGTAAATTTAAAGATTTTCAACGAGTAGGTGGAACCAGACTGGTCCGGATCGTAGGGTAGGTTGCCTCCAAAGTAAAAGTAGTTTCCGTTCCCATCGTGTTCCACAGATCCACCGTAAATTGGGTTGGGAAATTGTCCAACCGGAGTTAACGTATCGGACACAACGCTGTAACGATATATTTGGTCTGAAATCCCAGTCGTGGTGGAGTTGTATTCCTGGTAAAGTCCGCCAAATATGTAGATGGAATCGTCGCCATCATACGCGATTCCGGTGAATGTTAATCCGTAAGGAAATTTGGAAGAGGTGAGGACAGCTTCGAGCGTTTGCGAGTGAACTACTGATGGAAAATTTGCCAAGACTAGAGAGGTGGCAAGAAGGATGAAAAGGTTGGAGGAGAACATGGTGTTTAGATAAGAATTTATTTGAATGGCATGAATTAGGGGATAACTGGACTAAGGAGTGGATTGCTTTTTATATATTTATAATCGATATCAGAGGTAGTCTCCAATTCTGTCAATCAAGTTTAGCTCCTTGCATCATATTTTTTCTAACTGTACATTTGGGGACCTAACTTCCAAACTGAAGTGTTTGTGCATACATCATTATCTTCGGGAAATTTTCAGGCACGTGTAATTAGCAGTTGCGGCGGAAGCTGTGGCGATATCTGGGGATATTAACATTGTAGAATAGGAGATGGAGGAGTTTATATACATAACATAGGTAGATTGTGGGGACATAGAACAACCGTGGGGACATTGTCCCTCTGTCCCCACGCTTCCACGGTCACTGGTTATTAGTAATTTATACTGTACAGATATACAATTTATGACATGTTAGTGGTACAAAGTGCAGTTTTTAAAGCAGATTTTCTCATGCCATTACGAAGACTGTCAGTCATATCTCGAGTGTGAGCGTCATCAATTATAATTCGGATGATTGGGAAATCAAATTACTGTCAATTAATTCCAATTAAGTATGTTTAACAGCTCATTATTGATTGATTGCAAAATTAATAGTACTCATTTGTATTTGATTTCTCATTACTTGATTGAATATTTACATATTTTTTATGTTAACAACAAGTCCCATACCGTTATACATACATACATTATACATATGTAAATATGTATATACATACGTTGGACCAGCATTGCTTTAATCCAAACAATACATTATGGGTCCTTTAATGACACCCGTATACACAATTATACGTATAATTTAAAATTTTAATAAACGTGTCGAAGATAGTATCACACTTAACTACGTATCTTTAATTAGTCAAATAAATATATATGTTAATTAACGACAAAAGCTTGATAATCCATACATTTGGAAATAAATAAACTTTTGTATTACATATTTAGAATAAGTAGAAAGGTACATACATAGATAGGTGAATTCATTAATGCTGGACTGATGTGGCCACGGCCTTTACAATCATCCATACAAAATTCTACAAAATTATTTTAATGATGTTAAAATAAAACTGATCACTTATAAAGCGATATAAATAATTTCGATAATTCATGTCTCTTGTTTTAGTTGAATCATCATATTGTGCAAATCATTGCAAATTCCGTCTAGAAAGTCGAAGTTTCGCACCTCCTTTTTCCAATTTTTAGGCAATCCTGAGTATCCCATTCGAACCCCAAGGAAGGCACCAGCCACCGCACAATTCGTATCTGCATCACCACCTTCTAAGGTCAAATCGGTAATAACTTGCGTAAAGAAATCTCCATGAGTAAAATTGTCTGGAATTTTTCTTGAAAAACAGAACAACGCTGACCCCAAACATTTAAAAGTGTACCCGATACTTTTGGGCTCATCTAACTCAAAGTCTTTGAGTTTTTTGGAAGACATGTTCAAGCAATATTTCTCCATGTCTCCCTCCCATTCAATCCCTTTCTCCTCGGTGGAAAGAGGTGTGCTTTCCCTCAGCAAAAACCTGTAGTCCTCAACGACATCGTTAATCAATTGAACCAAGTCCGGGTCACAACCAAAATTATCCGTCGCGGATGTGACATTGTTAATGGGTTCATTATTCATTCGAGAGTTGTCTGGCTCCTTGTGGAGCGGCCAATTTTGGGGGAATTTATGTTGGAGTCGTGGATCCTTATTACCTGTGAACATTGTTTTAAGTTTGGAAATTAGGGAAGTCTTCACCGGCTCTTGTTTAATAATTGGCTTAGGTTCAATGCTTGGCACAGCATCGTGCTCTTTATTATCGTCCGTACAACCAGACTCCATTAACGTCCGAAATAAATCTTTGAATTCGGATACATTAAGTTTCTCATCATTATAAGAAGATCTGGATAACATCCTGGAAATAATGACGGTGGCAACAACACTGCTGAATACGCACCTTGGATCAGCGTGGGTTACCTTTGCACAATTTATCGCATTTGTAACAACTTTCTCTTCACTCCAAAAATAGGGTATTCCGATCCCAGAGGTTCGCATCACTGCTCCGTTTGCAGCCATATTTCGATCATATTGTTCCCAAATTTGGAACGCTGCCTTACTTGGGTTAGAGAGGAAGTCAGGATGACGTAGTGTCGATCCGACGGTTAGACCAATTCCGGCCGCGACTTTATCCAATTCGGGAAAACCAATTTCTACCCATTCTTTCAGTCGGTAAGCGAAATGTTGAGGAATGAGGATGCCATTTGAATGTAAGAGACATTGCAGGATGAGGAGGAGTTGATCTGTTTTTTGTCAAACGTTACCTCTGGATTATGCATACTGTGTATATGCATATGTATGTAAATTATTTTTATAATAATTACCCGTGTCATCAGTGAAATCATTGTCATGCCATCTTCTTCTGTGGAAATCCCTCCAAAATGCATGGCTGCAAAAACATATCGTATTAATTAAAATTTAGTTTATGCATAATTAATTATGCATGAACATTGAGCACACAGAACGTAAACTTTTTATTCTATGTAACCGAACTACACAGCTATGTCATCCCTTTAGTAGAACTAACCCTTCGGATTTTCCAAATTTGATTGGACCGACCCCATACAGAATCCGTATTTTATCCTTGTTCATAAACTCAGTGGCCAGACCAACTGCATCGCCCAACGCGGCTCCTTTTCGTGTTATCACAAATTAAATTTTCACAGTCAACTCTTGATGTAATCTACGTACAATTGATAATTAAATAACCAAACAACTCACCAAATATGACACCTTTGATAAAGTCGGATACAACGTTCACTCTTGTATGGTCCATTTTACTGGGACACTGGAATAACTGTAATTTTAATTCAGTCAAAACTTAATGTTAAACACATTAAGTTTATATAATTTAATTTGTTAATTAGTAAAGTTTTGGTTACACGTACGACATAAACTCGTCTCTATTTGTTGCAAAAAAATATTGCAGCCACAGGCCGCAGCCAAACCGTTTCATGACTCATGCATTCATAGATACACCTCGGATTCGGTCGGATCAGTTTTTGCGTCATCACCAGCAAGGATATGCATACATTCTATAGTACGTGTTGATATACGTGTTTTTTAAGTACGTTTTTTAGGTTTTACATTAATGCGAATAATGTATATAATATGGTTTAGGTATTTAAACTTTATTTGCATGTGGAATATGTATGAAGCAGCAGAATGCATGCATGTATGTTAGACGATGGACCACAATGATAAATGCAAATGTTTATATGAAAACGTGAACTGCAACCATTAGAGGTGCATCATTTTGTGGCAAATTTAATTGACTGCCAGGATCCGAAAACCAGAAGTCCTTACTTCATTATGGTTCAAATGAAGTAACAAAAACTTCGGATCGAGGAAATACTAGTAATTTTTTCTGGTAGACTCATGATAGATAAATAGCTAATTAAAAAGATAAGACTCTAAGAGTGCTTGTAAATATGTTTGTGGGTCGGTCCACGTCAATACCCACGATCGGGCGAGAGTCATGAGAGCGGAGATGTTGTCTCTCCACTCCGAGCGACACTACTGATGGTGGTGCTCACCAGCAGTGGGCGTAGCACGTACTAACTTTTTAAATGTCGACGCGGTCAGGGCTACATTTTTTTAGTCCCATTTTTTTTTAAACCTGCTTTAAAATAATCTTGACGGGTATGGCATTTGAATTTTGTCACTCACAGTTTTGTTTACGCCTCTTGTTTTCTGATAATTTTTGGGAATATTCCCATACATAAGCTTGCATGTATCAGAAAAATCGATATAATTTTTTGCACCCTGTCGTGTGCGACCTAATTTTTTTATGGTGGATTAGAAATTTAAAATTACGTTATAATTTATGAAATTTGGGTTGCACACGACAGGGTGCAAAAAGTTATAGCGTTTTGAAGTTACCACTACAAGATGGCTAGAATTCAAATTTTTCAAATTTTTTAAATTTTATAATTTAGTTTATAGTGCCAACAACAACTTTTAGGTTTAGGTAAACCTTCCCAAAATTACGTGACACTCAGTGCATCAAATTGAAAATTGTTCTTAAATTTTTTACAAATTTAAATTCTCGGCCAATTTCTAACATAGAATTTTTATTTTTTGACTAGTAAGTTTATTTAAGTAGTACGTATTTATGGGAAAATTAGCCCTAAAATCTGAGACGTGGCCCGCAACACATGATTGACATTGACGTGGACTGAGCCTTGTATAAAATGAAAAAAAAATAATGACAACGTACGTGCATCTCGAGAATGAGTTAGTACATATATTTACATATCCAATATATAAATTAGGTTTGACACTTGTCTAATTTTTGGCCTGATTGGATACATACACAATAATTTAATATCGAAAAGTGCTAAAAGAGAGATAGAACATACTGCATATGTACCTCTGTCAGGATACATACTGTAAATACTATGAGAAATCCTCGAACTTTAAGTGCATCCACAAATTCTCCAATCTTATCAAAGAATACTGCAAGAAGCAGGAGCTCCATCCATGTGTGAGGATTTACATATCTCCAAACCAGTAACACCACCCACATAACGGGCGACTTGATGAGATTGGCTTTCACTTGGTTTTCAGAATGAGAAGGAAGGTTGTCTGGATTCGTCTCCAAGAGTTTCGTATAGCCAAAGATGAAACGATTCCATGCGATAGAGCCAAAAAGGGATTGAAATCCGTAGATAATTGCTAAAAATCCAGGCCGATGAACGAAGCGAATAATTAGTTTCGATAAATAGATAGCTGATCGTATTCCTATTTTCATCTGTTTATTTTTCTTGTTCTTGGAGGCATATGATGGAACATCTTTCGGCGAAACGACGAGGGGGATGGTCGTGTAAAAGAATGACCGTCTTCTGATAGGGTGCCTCTGAAGGTAAAAGTAACACGCGAGGTACAGAAATATTCCACCCAATGCATCACAAATCCCGTCCATCCAATATCCCCAACGTTCTGACGACCTGTATTCTTCGACTTGGTCCATTAAAACGCCACTAGTATAAGGAAAACGGTGATCGATGTTCTCGTCCTGTCCACCAGTTAAGGTTTGATTAAGCATAATTTGATTCATCAACGCTTGAGCAACCGTTTTTCTCCGTTCTCTTGCGGTAAATCCATCCATAGCGTCCAACAAGTTTCTAAATTGAAAGATCAGCACCCCAATCCTTCTCATTGTCAGGGAATCATTAGATATTAACTTGCACGCCATCAGGGCCACGAAAACATGGAAGATAGAGATCATATTGGGCGTCATGGAGAGGAATGAATTTGGCAGATCCGCCCATGCTACGAAAAGGGAGGAGATGGTGTTGTGCACATAAAAATCTGGTGGGTCCACCATGAGGTACTTGACATTGATGGTGCAAAATGGGGAGAAGTAGCAAGGGTGGTCAGACGAGTTGAGGGAGAGGGGGAGGGTCGAACCATTCAGGGAAGAGGTGACAAAGTACCAGAGGTAGAGGTCCAACAAGGCGAAGATCGAGAGAAAGAGGCAGATAACGAGTGGGAAGATTCTCAAACGGTTGTTTTGAAACAGATTTATAATGTCGATAAGCTTGTTTTGTGATGCTATTCTCTTACTCCAGCTCTCCATTTTTTCTCTGAAGGTGATAATACAGGAGTATCGGCCAATATTGTTCTGAATTAAAGGAAGATAAATGTAAACAAAGCAGGTCCGACAGTTGAGAAAGAAAAATTGTAAAAACATAGGAATAATTATTCAGATACTTACAGTCTTGTCGTGTCGTCTTAATAATATACAAACTTATCTTTTGTCATGATCCAATTAATTAAGTAGGTTGTTGTATAATAATAATAATAATTTTAATTTATTTGAAATGACCACTACCGTACGCGGTTGAGTGGAAACCTGCTGATGCCGGTCGTTCTCGCTCGCCCGCACTGACTGACTGACACGTTGTCCTGACAACTGACCCGTATTGTCTCACTTAATGATGAATGTGGTTATTATCATTAATTAAAAATGTGGAGAGCAAAAATATTTAAAACCTCTTGGTAACAACTAATAAATTATTAGTAATAATACACATTTAGGATGTAAAATATTAAATAAGTCCATAGCCGGTTATTAATTTTTAATTTATGGGCATGACTCGTTCAATTTGCAACCGCAAATTTATCTGGGAACTCAAAGTAGAAAAAAATAAATGTTTTTCGATATTTTTGAGGCCCCTAGAAAATACAAATATTTGCGCCAATATTAATAAACGTATTTTGTCCTGCATTACATTATGTAGGACATATATTTTTCTCAAGAAATTAATGTTATAATATAGCCTACACTATGGACTGTGTATAGAAAATGTAATGTCCAAATACGGACACTAAATGTAATAATTAATCTGTATCGTTTATTGCATAATACAATTGCAGGTAATTCAGTTTATTCAAGACCAAAAAAAGAGTTTAAACAAAATTAGAAAAGATTGTATATCTAAATCATGGAATAATTAATAATTAGTCCATATTAAACCCTGGTAGCACGAACCTCTTATTCTTCTCTGACTCCGGATGATACCTCTTCTGCGCCAAAGCTTTGCACCGTTCCAAGTATTGTTTCGCAGTGGCACAATACGCATTGAGCAGAATGTCGACAATATTTCCCTCCAGGATTGGAAAAGTTTCACAGATTTCCACAAGTCGTTGAATCGTTGGCATCATTAAAGGATTAGGGTTGATATGATGTGTTGGCGACCATTCGTTCATATTGTTCCATAGTTGAGTGCGTTCTTTTGCGATCATTTGCATTTCCTTGTCCCTGTAGACGCAATCGGGTGGACAGACTATTCCATAAGAATTTTTCACAGTCGTGTGCCATCAGTAGGAATGGGATCCTTAGCGAAACGCTTATCATCCATGTAGATGCAGGAAGTGCAGATTTCCTCACCTGGTCCAAAGTTAAATAATCTTATCAGTTTTGTAACTAACTAAGGTAATTTCACACTTGTACATATATCCCAATAGTATTAGTGAGGAAAAATGCATTGCACCAAAGATAAAGAATAAGTAACTACATAATTCCAGGAGTATAATTCTCTGAAATAATTACATTCGGCTTGTTCAAAATACAAAAGTTCTGTACATATTGTTAAATACTAGATAATTATTTCAAATTACATTAGTTTTCTGCATTATTTTACAAAATGCAAATCCCTAATTATAAGTCCATCACTGTCATACTGGATCTTGAAATTAATACGCAGCTACAACACAATTCAACCAGCAGCAAAACACTTGACATGGTACACAAAACGAGAAATATGACACATATCCCGTACATATTTTCCCCAAAGTCTAACTTTTTCCAAGCTTGTCTTAAACTTTGTGCAATTTTGATATATTTCGTGACACTCTTCTCATTGGATAACTTGTACCATTTTTCCGCCAGACCGGACGACATCAGGCCCGATATTCTCGACAGAACAATGTCGTTCCCCCAATTAAACAGGGCCCATCCCTTCGCCAATTTAGCCAACGGTTGCACACTCTTACTAATTGCAAAGTGCGGATAAATCGCTTGCAAATGCGCGTGCACCTGAAGCACATGATCCGTCCAAGATGCTAACGCTGTCCCTTTTGAATCATTGCAATTCTTGATTAAATCCGTGAATGAAAAATATCCGGTGGAAATGTTCACATAATCTGGCGGAATTGTAGTAATATTTTTCAATTGTAGAATCATTTTGTAGTCAGATGAGTTACTGTCATACTTGCGCCCCCATTCATCCCTCCCTTCCAAGAAGTATTCAAATATGGATATAAGCGACAACGAGTTGCCATACATGGACACATCCTGACCAGGTTTGGATTGGTTAAGCGCATTTATATAAACAGAGGCATCAGAAGGGATGGTGTAAACGGAGAATTTATCTTTAATTAATTCCTCAAATTTTGTATATGTCGCCCTGGTGGGTGGAATAGTTAGTCGTTTGACGTACTCTCCCTTGTACGAGTTGGACAAAATGAGTCCTGCCAGAATCCACGTGGCGCAAATGACGTATGCAAAGTTCGAATAGATTGGAATGCTGAATTGTTCGGAAAATCGTTTCGGTGTAGATTGATTTTTAGCCCACGCATTACTCTGCTCCAGCAGGGAACCACACCCCACGAGTAGCAGTGTTGTTGAGAAGGTGTTCGCATTACTTCCCAGCAAGGTGTACCCAATCGATAGCAAAACACAAATTGCAGTACAGCTCAGCAACAAAAGGAGCCATGTCAGGTCATCCAACGGCGTCGCCAGATCGGCAACGCCCACCAGACCCGAGCTTTTCGCACGACATGTTGTGAACTCTAAACCTTCACTTTTATAGGTTAGAATCTGACCCATAAATAAATCCATGAGGACGAGGGGCCCATTACTCTCGGTGTTTGCGATTTGTCCGTTATAAACGTACATGAACAGTTTTGCATACTTGACATTGTCCTCGATGCCTTCAATCAGAGGAACCTCCTCACATCCGCTCTCCACTCCGGTCATGGTTGCATTATCGAAGGCTAGTTTAAACAGGATCAAGTCCAAGTTCATCCTGCGTGAATCGTACTTTCTGAAATTGAGGTACTTAACTGGCCGCCCGTGGTGATAAGTGGCTGCGCAAAGTCGGGCATCTTGCATCGCAATATCAACCCCGTTTAAGGAGAGATGATTAATTGTCCAGGTTCTGTCAACCACGCCAACGGTGTGCCTCGCTATCGCTGCTTTTAACGCTACGAGACTTATCAAATCTGATTTTGAAAGGAGAATGAACGTTGCGTGGCACGGGGTGCAGAGTTCACATAGGAAATAAAACTGTGAGCCTCCCCCATCGTCAGAATCCCACCTGCTTTTACCAATATCTTTTATCACAATCACGTCAAACAAGCTTGCCGCTGACCATTGGCCACGCTTCCCTTCAACCAACGGTTTCGCCCAGGCGCCCCATTTCTTCGGATCGGTTACATTCGTGATGAGAACTTTATGGAAATTGTATTCCGAAATTTTGTACGGGATCGCATAATGGTCCAACCGTCCAATGTAAGAATAGCCCACGTTAATGTTCGGAATCCTCATCCGATCGGTGAATTTGATGATTCCATACGTGGAAGAGGAAACTTCGATTGGGGGAAATAAGTGGAATTCGAACGCGCAGACGTGGTATGTCGCCCGGTATGCGATCGGATACGAACTAAAGTTGCGATCCACGTCCGCGGAATAGTAAGTATAATTAGTTCCATTACTTTCCCATGTACTTTGATATACCTTTAATTTTACTCGTACAAGTGGAATACTTATTATTAGAGCCCAGTTCGTCCCTGAGTAGTCGTACAAAACAAGGAGACATGATTCTAATGTTTTTAACAGATTGATAAACTCGGGGGGAGGGTCAGGACTTGAGACATATCGTAGGAGAAATATCGTGAAAATTAGAACCGTTTTTGAAAATATCCTTTCCATTTCTGAAATTGTTTATAGATATCATGCCAACTTGAAAATCGTTAAGAAATCAAATATGAAGGTAGACAAGACAGACACAGTTACATATTTTGCACATTTGCTTGATGAAAATTCTGTCTGTCATGTTCAATTATCCGGAATCTTAGTAACGTTGGGTGTGGTATGATGAAAAATAACTTGACAAATATCAAATGGAAATTTCAATGCAACTTCAAATGTACATTCGAAACGCCTCAACTTGACTTCTTACATGGAAAATTCCAAATAAATATTCAAGTACTTGCACTTGTTTAACCTTGTCTCTGATGCGGTGTCATTGAAGATGAATTATATAAAACTAGAGTAGAGGCCCGTTCAAGAACGGGTTCTAGGCTCCCAGAGGGGGTGTGCCCATAGCGCAAAATCCCCTACGCTACACTTCAAATAATTCCCAGTGGAGACTTTGTCCATTGTCATAATACATATGTACGTGCATCAAATCATACATTTCAATTTCCCTGATCACGGAACAATTTGACTTCCCCCTCTTGTAGTGGCTGCATAGGTAACTACTTAAATTCCCGTCTCGTGAGGGTGGCTGCATAGCTAAACACTTAAATTCCCATCGCGTGGGGGTGGCTGCATAGGTAAACACTTAAATTCCCATCGCGTGGGGGTGGCTGCATAGCTAACTACTTAAATTCCCGTCGCGTGGGGGTGGCTGCATAGCTAACTACTTAAATTCCCGTCGCGTGGGGGTGGCTACATAGCTAAACGTTTAAATTTCCACAGGATGTGGTGGCCGAATGACAAAAACCTTAAATTTCCAGAGAGGGGGTGACTAAAAAACAAAACACTTAAATTTCCAGAGAGAGGGGTGATTAACTAACAAAAAACTCAAATTTCCAGAGGGAGGGGTGACTGCATAGCAAAAAAGTTAAAATTCCAGAGAATAGGATATGAATTTTATGCTGCTGGTATGTTTACAATTCTACTGCAAGAAGATAGAGACAAAGTGTCGCGGCAGAGTCATCAATTCATGGGTACGCTCAATGGTGTAGCGGAGCACACGCTGGTTGCGTAAACTCCATTCAATAGTAGTGGGGCGAGTTGCATTGAGAGCCACAGGGACCCAGCCAGCCAGGCAGCCAGAACTTAACAATAGCTCTTTATGTATATAGATAATGTATGTATGTATGTAGTTATTTATTTTGTTGGGTTGTGGTTGGTTTTAAGTGGGAGGAGGAGGTGGGCGTGAAACTTGGAGGACTTGTGGATAAATGTGTTGTTGTCGGTCTGTTGATCAGATCCGACTGAGCGAGAAGAAGAGAGTACCGCGGTGGCCAGTCACGATGGTTCAGTGGTGGGGCGAGTTGCATTGCTGGAAGACGGACCCAGGGACCATACTAACACTTTATTATTAGTGATGAGCTGATTCGAATATGTGCTGTGGTGAACAATCTTACATGCTTTCTCTGCATGAAACACACATGTACAGACCTATAGTATGAGCATATGCAAAATTTACTATGCCTAACTTTTCAAAGCTTGACATAATTGAAAAAATTGACTTGAAATTCATATAACCAAAAATAAAACCAATTGATTGATAAATGAGCAGCTTTACCAACCTTTAGGTGGGTGTCAAGTGTCAACTCGATGAACGACCAATATCTATATTATAAGAGGCAATGTTTGTTGGCAACGGAAGTGAAAGTAATCCTTTGTCCGTCCCAATTCTTTGTCCGTCCCGGAAGTGAAAGTTGGAAAAGTCAAGTTTCGAATGGCGCGAAAATTCAAAAATTTAAATTTAAAAAAATAAATTCGAGATAGTAGGGTTATCGGATTGTTATTGCCCGATGGTGGGCCTGATGTGGGTTATCGGGTTATTGCTGTTTAGTGTTTGTTATCGGGTTTTTGTTGCCTGGTGGGGGTTATCGGTTCTTTGTTGCCTGATGGTGGTTATCGGGTCTTTGTTGCCTGATAGTGGTTATCGGGGTCTGGCGCCCTGATGATGATTATCGGAGTGTTGCTGCCTGATGGGGGTTATCGGGTCTTTGTTGCCTGATGATGGTTATTGGGTCTTTGCTGCCTGATGGTGGTTATCGGGGTTTGGCGCTCTGTTGGTGGTTATCGGGGTGTGGTACCCTGTTGGTGGTTATCGAGGTGTTACGGCCTAATGGGGGTAATCGGGCATTGTTGCCGTTGTCAGTACCATGATTAGTTAATTTGGGCGGTTATCTTATTGCATGCCGTTGCCGTTCGCATTGCCAGTGGCAGTCTTGGTTGGTAGACGCGTATCACCCAGTTAGACTGCCACTATTACTGCCAGTGGCAAAGGGCAGTGCCCATGGCAGAGATGATTGAGCCAAGCCAAATCTGCCTTATACACTGCCAAGAAGGATGCCAGACCCACTGCAATGGCAGTGCGTATGGCAGTTTGGAGTGGCAGAGTGTAATAAGCCAAGTGGAATTCCTAGCTTACTCCCGACATGCGGTCAGCCCAATGCTAATTGGAATGTTTGTCTGGAGTTTGGATCGAGCTGAAAAATGTATGGGAAGGTGTAGGTGGTGAATATAGCAAGGCATGTGAATTATTTCAAGATATTTAATTTTATGTTCCTACCATCAACTTTCCACTTTCTTTCACTTTCTTGACATTCTTTACAAATTTGTTTCACTTCCGTCGGCATCAAATGTTCAGCTAATAATGCATACGCTTTAAATGGTGAATATTAAAAACTAAATCAACTCTCGCCCGGCGGGAGACGGGCTTATTCGCTAGTATTTCCATATGTAAAAAAGTAAGCATGAACAAGTCTGGAATATAAAATTCACTCTGAACCAAATATTTTATTATTTAAATTATTTATGAACTTGTTCCTTGACCCTTTAGCTACTTATGTAAAACGAATTTATAAAAAGATTACTTAACAAATGAATTTAAATCTATATGTATAAGTTCAGCAGTACTTCCTAATTCATATATTTATCGAGTTTTATCGATGTATAGTGGGACCTAAACTTAAAGCATAAGGTAAGCTATTAAACTATTAAGGGGTATCTACAATATTTCTAAATACGTATTTTTTGCGGGCATCCTTCTTCTATTTTTTAGGGTTTTTTAGGATATGAAAAATGTGGGCATGTATGTTTTGTAACGAATGTGAAATAAATACACGGTTGCAATTCCCTACATTTAGCTAGTTCGAAAAAATAAAGCTATAATTATACTGCGTTATATTTATTTAATTATAATAAAATAGACAATTTGTCGAGTAAAGTTATAGTCCCCGTATTCATTGTTCGACCAGCTTATCACCACAACAAGCTTCTTGCGGTATAGTTTTGCACCAGGATAATACTTGTATCGTTCATAGTAGAATCCCCTTCAGCAGGTACGACACTATTGAGTTGAGATTTCATCAAGGCGTACGTCATGATTATACTGATTATCTAGGGAAACAAATTAATGCTGATGCTCATCATTCCTGAGTCATAAAATTAAATGATATATGCAAAGAAAAACTCACAGATCCGACAGAATGCCAGGTCACCGTGATTATTCCAAACGAACTAATGCCCACCGTGTGATAACTGATCTCGTGGAGAAATACCCTCAGTTTATGGTCCGGAACACGGGAATAATTTTCCTCCTTGCAAATCCACGCTTTCACATGTTCGAACTGCACAAGAAATACTTTAGAAACTATGTAGTCTATTAGCAGGAACCCTGACTCTAAATTAGCTAAATAATCCAAATTCAGGTCTACTTTGACTTATTTGATACCGAATACATAAGTACTAATAAAATTCGAAAAAAGTGATAGATAAATACACCCATTTTCTAAACTAACCTTTGCATTTGCTGCGGCCGCTATGAATAAGGATGGATACCAGTAACTGCGCAGTTATTAATATCTTATTAGTTATTGGTAATTTTTTACGCGAAATTCGGTGAAATCGATGCGAAAGAGACTTTTAGCTCATTTTATACCTGCAATAGAACATATACCGCAACCTCATGAATATGTTTGCGTCTCCAAACACTTCGAAAACGTTGGTTGCATAGAATGGTAAATTTCCAGCGATAAAGGCGCCATTTATGAGACTCATGGCGAAATTCATCCTTTTCGTGATCAGCTTGAGCCACGCATAGTGGTCCAACACCTGAAAGATTAAGATTACGGCGTTTGCGTGTAAGCCTTCTCATCTGTTATAATTTGTTTAGTAATTATACATCAACGGGTTCAACGGTTGCCCCACCAGCAGCTTCCGTCTGCTGCATTGCGTCGTAGAAACTGTTGACCATGTTGCTCCACATGAGGACCGTCATTGTGAAGAGGACGTCGGAAAATGCGTTGAACAGCTTTTCAAGCAAACTTCCGGTTATGGCGAGCACACCAAAGCAGATCGGACAGATATCGGTCAGGGGTTTAGCGCCAAAGGCCCACGCGGCATCGTCCATCCAATACCCCCAAAAGCCTGTCCAACTCCAATCCTGATCTTTAAAGGTTTCGAGAATTTGGAGCACCAGCGTTCCCAAGCAGCCCATACAAATCGTAGCCGAAATTCTACGAGTCTGTAAAATAATTATTTCTTTACGCTAGTGTTGAATTCCGGGGAAGGTGAGACAACAATCAGTTTAAGCTAATCTTCCGAAATATTTTAGATTCTATTTTATTTCATAGAACTGATTTAGTATAGACTAACACTGATTTTGAGTAAATCTATGGTACCTTGGCTGCATTTCTATAGTCCCTGTAGAACTTCTGGTTGTTCGTCTGCAGATCTCTGAATACACCCATGACCTTTTGCGCCTGACGTCCAAATGATAAAAAGAGCGCAACGAGGAACGTTGTGTCGAAGAAGTAGTAGGCCACTTGGAAATAAAGGGATGGGTTTTCGATGGGGTCCATTTCAGACATTTTCTGTACTCGGAGGAGGAAGTACACGGTGCAGCAAGAGTAAAGCGCCCATTGAAGAAACTAGTAATAGATGCATGCAATGAGGACAGACTGTGTAATTAAATATGTGCTATTTTAGTATGTCAAATAGACTGGCATTCAGATTAATGAGGGTATTCATTACGAGTTCGCATGTTCGCATCGCAACATAACTTTTTCGAAATTTCGAATTTTGCGAAGCAACGAAATGAAGCCACTTCGCAAATGAAAAAGTTCGGAAAATTTTATTCAAATGTCTTGAATTTTGCAATGGGAAAAATTCGTAAATCTCCATTAGTTACCAAAGTTTTGCGTCTGATATTTACCAAATAAAAAATTTCAAAATTTCAAAATGCCAAACTTCGGTAACCAATAGAGATTTACGAATTTTTCCCATTGAAAAAATTGTGAAAAATATTTTGCGAACTAAATACTAGCCCTGGAGATGCGCAAGTTCGCAAATCAATTTTCAAGCCAATTATTTTTGCGAACTTGCGAACTTTATTTTTTTTGCGAACGTTGCTAACGATGCGAACTCAAAATGAATACCCTCAATGAATTAATGAGGGAATTCACGTCAATTCGCGTAAGATTTGCTACTTGTGAACATTTCTACGGGAACGTTTCCTTACGAACTAATTTTTATTTAAATGTTTCCTACAAAGAAGCACCTATGTCCTTATGAAATACTTACGACAAGGTGTATTCTTCGTTCGTAATAAAAAAAAGTTTGGTCACCATAGCTCGGAACCCTTTTCGCGTCGCAAAGGCGGGTCGACGCTGTGCGGCGTTGCTTCATAAATTTCTCTCGCTGATTTTTTTGTTACAACCGATTCAATTCACGTCAAACCAAAGTAAGTTACGAAATGTGGGTTATGTTATGTAGCGACATTTAATATGACGTGAATACCCTCAATGTAACTACTACTCACAATCTGCAGTGCTGAACGCTTCATCTTATAAAGTCCAGTCGTTTTGTCCCATGAAAATCGGAATGGCGTTAGCAAAGTGTAGAAGGAAAAGTCGAAAAAGATTTTCCAATATTGTACCGCCTCGTTCTCGAATGACGCAGAGTCGTCGTCCTCATCACGACCACCAAACGTATCACTGACGCTGAATAGTCGTTCCCCTAATGAAATTTGAAAAAATGGCAAAGTGAGAAATTTCTGAGGAAACTATACGTTTCAGGCTATGCTTTATCATAAAGCATTATACGCAAAGATTAATAACAATCGTTTTATCGAATCGTTTAATTTCCAGGAGAATTAATATAAAATTTCGATTTATAGAAATTATGAGTGACTGGTTGTAAAAAATTCGATCTTGACAAAGACAATATTTGATTTTTTAATTCTTAGAGAAGAAAAACGAGTTTTTAAAAATTGTCCTCTAAACCGTTTCACTATACACTTTTATTAATTAATAAAGAAATGTCATAACTTATTAATACAAGGAAACTATATATTTAATCAGATTAATTAGTGTATCCTAATAAACCAATATATCTCTATTCGGATACGTTCATATGTAAAAAGTTTTTTGAAAATATGGCGTTAGTGCGTTACATTATGTGAAACAATTACCATGTAGCTTTTTTATATCAAAGTCGACGACTTTCTCCTCAAATCGCTTGGGCGAACTGATTTTCCTTTCTCGAAACATTTTTCTAGACTGGACAATAGAATTTGAGCTTTGAACATATATAGCAATTTGGACTAATCTCGCGTAAAATTTTCAGGAAAGACATTTGCTTTCAAGGTGGATACAACAAACACAATTTAATCTGAAATGGAAGTGATTATGCTGATTTTCAATTCCACAGCAAGGGTCTGAAATAATTCAAGTAATTTAGGCTCTCAAGAACTTTGTTTTTTCCAATCATGCATTTTTTCGTACTTGTCGGACCGCTCTTATTGCTTTTTTCTTCTTACAAATGTCGAATACCTTTCTTCGCAGAAGAACCAACCCAAAAGTAAATTGACCACCGTTTAGCTTATGCATAAGCTAAGCGGTGGTCATTTACATTTAAACCTACTTGAACAATGGTTGACCTCAAGGGGGTAATTAGCCCCGTTGTCTGTCAAAATTCAGCGTAAAATTCTGCTGTATAAGTTATTTCGTGATAATGTTTCTCAGTAAACGAGGAAATGGTTGATGTATTTTTAACGTGATTAGCCACGTCTGCTGACGTCTATTTCACTTATTCAGCAGATTATGTCCAGAACCAGTGTGACCAAAACCATAGAAAAGGTGACTCTGTCAGCGTAATGCGATTTCAAATTATATAATGTAATTTCAAATTGTATATCACTGAGCACACGCTTATATTGACTACCAAATTTCCTACCTACGTAGGAAGAACATTGTCGGAAGTGCCTGCAATTACATGAAATATTGAACTGATCAATACCCATCACTCTATTTACAGGATTATTTTATTATAGTGGAAAATTTTGACCGTCGAGTATGAAAACAAGTTCTTAACTATTTATCCTATAATTATCTTACTCTACAGTTTAATTGTTTCATAAACAAGATAGTTTCGCCCACGAGTCGTTTAAGACTTTATGCAAAGCTGGGATTGTTTTCTCCTCCGATGGACTGCATTTTCTTGTTTTGGTCATTATTTCCCGTTTTAATAATTTCTTCCTGTCGGATATCGGACTTTTCGGACGACTGGAATAAGAAATGGTAACAGACAACACCCGCGACCGCTCCGATGATCGGGCCTGCCCAATAAAGCCAGTGATTCTTCCAATTTCCGGTGATGAGAGAGGGGCCAAATGATCTCGCAGGGTTCATACTTGCTCCCGTGAAAGGACCCTGACGCGATTCAAGAATGTTTGTAGTAAATTTATTTAGTTTAATAATTACGTTATGCGTTTAGACACTCACACAAAACAATATCAGCGCCGTTACACAGAGGCCGATTGCAAGAGGTGCTGATCCCTGTTGAGCATTCCGAGTCTTATCATTGGCACCAGAAATTACCAAGAGGAGGAGGAAAGTTGAGATGATTTCCATTCCAAAACCTTCAATAACACAAGCATTTACATACTTGATTAAAAGTTTCCTAAATCACATGAATATGAATAAATCCCCGACCTTGGAGTTGTGACACGCTATTCAACTGGGTAGCTCCCAAGGCCCAAGTAAAATTTTTGGGGGTAAGGCCCACCAGGATTTGGGCCCCCAAAGTCGTACCAGCACATTGTGTGACAATGTAGAGAGCTCCAGTTGGAATGGAAATTTGACCGATTGATGCGAGAGCGATGGTCACAGCGGGATTCATGTGGCATTGGAGGCTCTAAATATTCAACCAAACCAAAGGTCCATTTATTTTATTATTTATGTACTAATTATGTTGCAAATTATTACAAAAAATGGTTCTTCTCACGACAATTTAACTAGGGCATGCAATACCGGTGGTATTTTCCAAAACCGGTATTCGGTATTTTCGGTATTGGGACCTTCGGTAATACCGGTATTACCGGCACCATATGTTAAGCATGTATTAATCTGTCAAAATGATCATATGAGACAATACATTGTAAAAACTCGGCAAGGGATTAAATGCTTACGTGTCATCACATTTTACTAAAATGAACATACGTATGTATTTAAAAAAAGTCTGGTCATATAGCCCATTACAAATGAAACTATGAAGGTTCCAACTCTGTGTTTCACAAAGACAAACAATTACTTCTGGCTCAAATTTTTAACTGTGAATTATCTGATATTCTCACTATGTTCTCTAAGCTCTTGATGACCTGATCAATATCGTAACTTTTACAAATTCTACAAGTGTTCTGCATACATATATGAACAAGTGTGTACATGGGCGAAAATTTCCAAAACCTCTAAAATTCTAACGTGTCCCCAAAATACATTTCATGTGTAGCATTATTCATAAATGCCAGAGATATTTTCCGTGAACTTAAAAATTGCTGCTTGAGTCGTAAAATTGTTTTTAGTTGGCGGCGTCGATTTATCTATCTATCAGACTACCGTACCCGTGAAGCATTCCTGGAGTTGGTATCTTTTTGACAATAATGATTCGACTATTTAAAATTTTGTATTTTTTCGTATGGTTTCTGCAGACACGAGTCTCGTAAAACGGTTGCCCGGAATGTGAGATGTTCAGAAATTTTTGTACACGACAATCCCATGAATAAACATCTTATTTAATATCATTAGCATCATTGTCGTGTATAAAAATGGGTATACAACATTGTATACAATAAGTTATCGAGGTGTCAAATTCTCAAGTATTTTTTGACAATTTTTGAAACTTTAAAAATAAATGTTTATTTATACTTAAGTGTGCTTGAATATTCAAAAATAAAGTTAAATATATGTTGGCTGTGAGCGATTAATTACACATAATTTATATCTGACAAAAGTTTGAATTTTTGGTTTGAATCAGTGGAATTTTCTTTGCTGAAAGATGATTTCTATATGTCACATTTTCAACTTGAATACCGGTATTGAGTTCGTCAATACCGGTATTCGGTATTCGGTAATACCGGTGAATACCGGTACTAGAATACCGGTATTGCATTCCCTAAATTTAACCTATTTATCACGCAAATTGAGCATAACAATATAATTTGAGAAATTTGCAAAATTTAGCACAACTTTTGCTGGAAAACAATGGGAGCTTTGTTCTCAAACTTACCCAGCAACTGGGCATGTCATTATTTCGCAAAATTATTTCGCAAACTCACCCTCTCCATCATCAGCGTTAGAAATTACCCATACACAATAGATCACAAATACGAACGTTTTTATACCTTTGCGAAATTTGTGAACTCATTTTGCAAATTTCTCCGCGACATGAACTTGTTGAGATTCGAAAATTTGCTAAATTAGCTTCTATGTATGCTAAATATTTATAAGATGTTTTATGTACGTCCAATATCAGTATACTTACCAAGGCAAGTGTCGCTACAGTGATCCCCCAGCAAAGCGAGGCTCCGGTTATGTTAAATGTTTGTGGATTTCCGAACTGTGCAGCGAGGACACTTCCACACCCCATCACGATCAGAAGGCATGACCCCAGCAGTTCCCTTACCAAGGCTTGACACAGCTCCTTGGCGGAGATGGTGATATGTAACAGTGGCCACTTCATTTTTGATCAACTGACAAACTAATCGCCACAACTGCGTATGTATATGTATTATATTTATGCAAAGTATGTAAACAAAACCACACCTTCTATATGTATAGACGGACAGGGAAAACCAGTACAGGGAAAATTTGTTAAAAAAATTATAATAGTGAGAAAAAGTTATAAGATTAGTTTAGGTCTAATTTATCCACTTTGCCAAAAACTGGTTTCTGATTTTATTTGACAGGTAGTTTAGTCTGTCTGGAATTGATTCATGTGGTGGATTCATGCATATCATTATCCAGCGAGGTTTAGGTAATTGCGCAATTCCAAGCAACGCACAATTACATAATCTTTTGTTCAATATCCCGGACATTGTTATCCATAATCTGCTCCATTCTATGGTACAGCAAAGAAAGAGGAACAACAATGTGTGGAACTAGTGGAACATAATTTACTCATAATGATATAATTTCACAACTCTGAAGTGAACATGCACATCCTTTTTGACCAATATTTTAAATTGAGTTAGTTGTTTTAGTTCGTTGTCTATTGATGGAAAATTATTTACTAAAATTCACTTACTCGTTTCGCTTGTTTAACAACTTAACAGGAAACTTAATTAACAAAATGAACCATGATTTGATGTACAGTTACCCTCAAGGCAGAAATACGTTCATTGTACTCTTATTAATTGCAATGAAATCAATGTGTACATAGAAAATCAGATAATGGAAGGAATGTGCATACCAAGTATTGTTTTTATTTGTAGCCATTTGGAAAACTACCACCATGTCTCATTAGACTTAATAGTTTATCGTGTTGACAATCGCAAACAAAGGAAACCGAAAACACTTAATTTATAAACTCGTTTACCCAGCCAAGGAGTTGTATAAATTCCATTTGACCAGACAAGAATTCCGCCAGGGTGCCCAACGCATTATTGAAGTTATGTAGTATTAAGTTTTATGTATTGTATTGTTTTATATGAACAAATAATATAGCAATAATGAGAGTAAAGCTATAGAATGTGACTCTAGTTTACACATTAAGCCATTACAGAAAGCAAGTTATATGTATATGTACATATTTATGCAAGTTATTTATGGGGCAATAAAAAATTCCTAAATGGGATATACCCCAACCGAGGTCGATTTACAACAGAACAAACCGTATAGTTATTCTGCATATTTTAAATGCATGAATTATTTATATATTTATTTGAAGATGAGATGACAATCTGATTACTATCTACTTATAGTTGTTGAATTCGCACCGGCTTTATGTAGAATGTAACAATTTTTTCTCGCCTGAAAATTTGCAGTAAAACCATTTACTTCTTTTGACTTACCTATACATCCCAAGGCCAACTACTCCATAGGTGCTGTCCAAACTTGGAACCCTGGTTGAATTGTTGGGTTTATAATGGTCAAGCCGGCGTCCAGTTCAGTTCAATCATCACTTCACCTTAGAAAGGACAAGTCACGCAATCATCCAACTTATTCTGACGAGGGTATAGTTTTTGCGGTGTATTTTCTGCCATTGGTATTTAACTCTCAATTTTGTCTAAATAATTGATAGCGTATCGTGAATTACGTAAGCAAGTCAGCCTTAATCATGAGCCATTTGGTTGGAGCTATCGATCAAGGGACCAGCTCATCTCGGTTTCTCGTACGTTTTTTTTATTTAATCCATAAACATTTATAAGTACGATTATTGCACCTTAAGTTTAAGCTAGTTCGATTTTTGCTACTAAATTTCCACTTTTTAGCTGGATATATGCATTTGCATGTTCCCAATTCTGAGAGGAAAATTCTAAAGTATCGCTTTAATTAAACTCGTCGTCCTCGTCCGTCCAGTCAGCTAAATAAAAGAACGCGTAATTGCCATTTGCACCATCAAGGTGCAGACAGACACGCAACCTTGTTATAATAATGTATATGAAAAAATGACTCATTTTTTACTCCGTTCGCTATAAAGTTGCGTATAATGCAGGGCAATTAAATTAGATAAACCCAAGTTCAATGGGAAATATTAACGCACATCTTGTTTAATTTCTCATTGTTATTGTTCTTATAAAAAAATACATGTGGCTATTTTTAGATATTTGAGGCAAATACGGGGAAATTGGTGACTCTTTATCAGACCGAAATTCCAAGGTTTGCACCGAAACAAGTAAGTATGACATACTTTTGCAAATGTAACATTAATTGATGTGCAAGTTTCGCTAAGTATTAATAGAAGTTCCTTGTACTGGTTTACTTCTTCTTCAAGAAACATTATTACCCATTACCTACCAAGCAAGTTTTGCGGGATTGATTACTCAAGAAAGTGATTAACTAGGCATTATTTATTGACTAGGGATGGGTGGAACAAGATGCCGACATTTTGCTATCTTCCACAATCACCTGTATTGACAAATGTGTCGAGAAATTGGAAGCTTTGGGGTTATCTGCGTCCCAAGTAAAGACCATCGGAATTACGAACCAGCGAGAAACACTGATCGTGTGGGATAAATTAACCGGAAAACCTTTGTACAATGCAATTGGTAAGTTAAAATTCATAAAAAATAGGAAACTTGTATCCTGCATTGTCATGAGATACATATGTAGAAACCTGTAAATATTACACGCACACAAATATTGAGCTGGACAAGTGACACGCACCTTTTTCATTACAGTTTGGATGGATACCCGAGCTCTTCCTGCCGTGGAAGAGAATTTATCCGCTAGGAAAGAAGAATGTGAGAAAATCCGTCGAATCTGTGGCCTTCCGATGAGCACTTATTTCAGCGCACTAAAACTGAAATGGCTTCTGGATAATGTGCCCGAAGTACGGAATGCGCTAAAGGAAAACCGATGCCTCTTTGGTACCGTGGATACTTGGCTAGTTTGGGTGAAATTGAGATATTTTATTTAAATTATTAAGCCCATGTGTGTAAACACGTTTGATACACTAGAATCTGACGGGAGGGGTGAAGGGTGGCCTGCACATCACGGATGTCACCAATGCTTCAAGGACCATGCTAATGAACTTGCAGACTTTGCAGTGGGATCCCTACTTGTGTGAGCAAGTAAAAAATACAATTATTTCTACTTTTTAAAAGTAAATCTTGCTAATCTCTCTAACTTTTAATTGAAATGAATTTAGATTTTTTGGGATTGATAAGAAACTGCTCCCTGAAATTAGATCTTCCTCAGAGATCTATGGACACTTAGTGTCCACAAAATTGGCCAACGTTCCAATTTCCGGGGTACTTATTTATCTAGATTGATCAATTTTTAACGTCCGTGCATACATACGTAATACTTCAATATTTATGGGTACACAGATATTGGGTGATCAACAAGCCGCAATGGTCGGCCAATTATGCCTCAAACCAGGAGAAGCAAAATGTACATATGGAACAGGTTGCTTTCTCCTATTCAACACTGGAGAAAAGGTTGGTTTCCTACAGTTTTCCCGACTTTACATGGAACAAATTTTTCATGTGCAAAAATATATAAAATTTTCAGATAGTTCATTCCACTCAAGGCCTCCTCACCACTGTTGGATATAAATTTGGTAAAGATCAACCTGTCGTGTATGCTCTCGAAGGTTCCGTCGCCATCACGGGAGCATGCATCCGATGGCTGAGGGACAACTTGGCCTTTGGCGAAGATTACGAACAAATGGTTCAACTAGCCGACAGTGTCGACAATACTGGAGGGGTTTACTTTATCCCTGCTTTTTCGGGACTATTTGCCCCGTATTGGCAATCCGGAGCGAGAGGGTAGGTGGCATTTAGTGTGAAGATTGATGTAGTTTTTTTTTCAGATAAGTTGCCCTTTATTGAAGTGTTAGATTTTTTATTTCGTAATCCACTTGGTGGAGTTATAGAAAACAAATAGATTGCATAATTTCGGTCATTGGTATTTAATATGCACGTAGCATTGGCGGCCATAAAATAAGTGTGTATAATTACTGACTTGCAGCTTAATATGTGGCCTTACCGAATTTTCAACGAAAGCCCACATCACACGAGCAGCCTACGAGGCGGTTGCCTTTCAAGTGAAGGACATTCTGGACGCCATGAATAATGAGGTCGGTGTGGTGCCGCTTTCTTCTCTTCGAGTCGATGGTGGCATGACCGTGGTGGAAAGCCTGATGCGTCTGCAGGCTGATTTCTTGGGGATCGAAACACTCCGAGCAAAAATGCCAGAGACGAGCGCACTCGGGGCGGCAATGGCTGCTGGATTTGCGAAAGGGGTGGACGTTTGGAATCCATTTTTGGAAACCGAGAGCATGGAGAGAGACGCTTTTCACCCAACTATGGGCGAAAAAGGTGTGTATATTCTTTGTGACCATGGGTTTGACACGCACTAAATACTTCATCATAATAAATGCGTAATTATTTACAGAGAGACGCGATCGACACGCTAACTGGAAGATTGCTGTGACCCGAAGTTTTTAACACGGAAGAAAAGAATGACATCAAATATGTATGTGCTCATGTATGTAAATCCGTATAATGCTATAAAGTACATTCAAATAGAGATGACGAATAATAAAAAAACATGACGTAGAAACAAACTAACACTTTTTCGAAAGTATAAATTTATTTCAAATTAATGTATTTGACATTTACAACAATTAACTAACCGGAATATTAAGTAGCATTCTCTCATACGAAACAAAAACACATTCAATGGAATTTATTCGAGCGAATTTCAATATCTTTGCTTATATGTCATCCGAGTACATAAATATGTCGTGGTTTTGGTGGAATGAGAATGGATATGTATTATCTACAGAAAGTAGCAGGAATTGGTTGTGATGAGTTTTGCAAACACGAATGGAATCAAAGAAAACGGTGCCCATACGTTGCACAGGTAATAATTGTTGGTCACGTGCTGTGCCCTTAAGTTAGGTATTGCGTTACTAATTAATGGGATAGGGCATAAATTAGCGTTAAAAATTTAGGTGACCGTGACTCTGTGTGCGGCAGTAAAAAGTAGGCGACGGGCATATGTAGAAATTATTTAGTGTTATAAATAGGTAGTCAGTCAGCATAAGTCAAGTTTGAGGGTCAAATAGACAGTTTACATAAGACTTTAAAACCTATTTTGGAATGAACGCAAATATAAAGTGAGTTTCCAGACCTGAGAAAAATTCTCATGCATACATAACTAAATTAGTCTAGAGATAAAACCATACTTAAGATTAGGTAAGTAGTTCAAGAATGAAAATATATGACTAAAGTATTAGACACGGGTTCATTTTGAGCCAAGGTCAAACTGAATGAAAAGGTAACACTGACGTTAAACAATTTACAACTCTGCATAAATTTGAAAATGAATCTCATGCTACCGGCAGTGGATTTTTCGGGACGAACTATATATTCACTTCATTGTGCAAAATAATATTTCGGTGGTGCTTCCATCCAAACTACTAAATACTCCCACTTCTATTGTCATTTAATTTGCACAACATTTTTAGATGCTTGCAATTTCATGACTTATTTTACTCTTGGAGTTACATAATTTATGGATGTCTCCTACAAATTAGGCAAACACTTAATTCTTAATTTTTTGGTGTAAAATATGAATGATTTCATCCAAGTTAGTGCATAGGTACACTTGATGCCTGATTTTGTAATCCAAATTTACTTATATTCTCACAAGATTTTTAGAGTGAGATTTTTTTGTATGAAAATATTTACCCATTACTGGAAAAATGGCTTAGCAAATATAAACTAGAGTTTGAACTCTTAATGAATAAATACATATGTATGTATGTGCGCAAAATGACGTCCAGAGACCGAATTTACAGATGCATTCATCATTACCATTATTAACTGCATATGTAAATTCCCTTATTTAAAAGAAACATGTGTAAATAGGAAACATAAATCACAAAAATTGCAACCATTCACTTGTTTTCGCTGGAAATCATAACAATGACTACATAACGCTACAAAACTCAGCATATTTAAATATGTACAAGTTTACTTCCAATATACTGACTCTCATTCTACGTAAACACATCTACAATCCCACTGTTTTTAAATCACGCATAAATGATTTTGATTAAACGAAATTACTCGCAATTTCTCTCCACCACTTGTCTCGTGTCAACAAGCATGCGAGACTATTATGATCACCCAGAAGCGGGGGATGACATTGGATAAATTAAGTTCATGGGATTTAAGGACGAGATTTCTGTGTCTGCTGCCAAAGTTTTCGCTCAGATTCGCATCCTGTCGTCAATGCAAAAGTTAAGTTTAGTTACATTTTAGCTTGCTGTCTGTGGACGGATTTTTTACTCGATCACCATGTGGATCTTAATCAGGTATTTATTATTCATGCATGTCTGGTTGAAAGATGAGGAAAACAGCTTATGTTAATTCATATGTAACATGGCAGGGTTATCCTGTTTTCTTTCGTGATAACGACGACCGTTTCTTCAACACCATCGGAAGAGAGGACGGTTTTGGAAGGACTCCTTCGAAGCTACGATGGCTCAGTTCGGCCGTTTCAACAAGATTTGGTTTATCGAACATGTATGAAAATGTAGAATGATAAATCAATTTTTAAAATTGACCATAATTAATTTTTGATTACAGCAAACTTGTCAACAATTATTTCTGTGAATATGTATGTCAGATCGATATCAAGCATTGACGATGTCAAAATGGTAATCATTCACTTTCTCGTCTCGATTTTGGCTTATCCACGACCTAACCAACAATTTGTGAAAGGTTTACGAGGCACAACTAACCTACAGGATGCAATGGTTGGACGAGAGATTGAAATTTAGCAGAGGTAATTTATACATTTTTATGCAGAATGTACGTATGTACAAAATATATTTATTTTCGTAATTTCTACATAGACAAAGCTAATTATTTAACTCTGCCTGGAACTTTGAGTCAAAAAGTGTGGAAGCCGGATTTGTTCTTTTCAAATGAAATGGAATATCGGTTACACGATGGATTAAGCAAAAACGAATATTATCGTGTGTACCCGAACGGAGAAGTTCTCTTCAGTGCGAGGTGCTTCAAATAGTTATGTGCATACGCATGGAAATCAAACCGTATAATGAAAACTTGTGACGATTTTGCATATTCCAGAATCACGCTAAAACTCCTGTGTCCTATGGCATTGCAAAAGTACCCGTTTGATACTCAAGTCTGTCCCATTAGGATGGCGAGCTGTATAAAAAAATACCCATTTACAATTTTTCTATTGTAATTTTCAACTCTTAGGATTAATTTGCACCAATTTCAGACGGGTATACAACGGACGATATCATATTCGCCTGGAAAAGAGATGATCCAGTCCAAGTGAATTCTAACTTGTCCCTACCTGAATACAAACTCACCACGATTGGTACAGAAAGGTGTGATTCAACGACAACAACAGGTCAGCAGTTAAATTTTTGTATAAAATTTACTATGACAGCTGAGTAAAATTACCAATTATTCATATGCCAGGAAGGTATAGTTGCCTCCGAGTTGACTTCCACTTTCAGAGAAACACGTTTCCATGGTTACGAGACGTATATCTCCCCATGGCGATTTCGATCCTCATCGTTTGGCTATCTTCATGGATGGACGTGGAACAAATGGGCCGAGTTTGGGTGTTAGGAAGTGCTATATTCTACTGTAAATGGATTGCATTTAATCACACGGCCACGACCTTGCGACTAATTTCTTACTCGACATCGTTTCACTGGTGGAGCTGGGGGTGTGATGTTTTAATTGGGTGGGCCATTCTAGAATTTGTCGTGGTACAACGTCTTTCTTCTGTGGAAAGAGGGAAATGCAGGTCGTGTCAGAATTTCATGGAGATTGTGATGAGAATCGGATTTTTGGTCGGATTCGCGATGGTGATTTCCTGCTGTTACGTCAAGTACCTCGATCAAAATGTGGAATGAAAGAGCTGATATGTTGTGCATGAAACACTTACAAACTAAATTCTAAATTGATATAATTTTTGAAAAAAAATGTCAAATTTCGAACCGTTTCAATAAAGAATGTGACACTGATATGTATGGTCATGGAACAATATCTACATAATATGGTTTAATAAATAAAAACAGACACGGTTGTTTCACATCATAATTTCATTTCATAGGACAAGCAGAGCAAGTGCATGCAAGATATGCACATATGTACACGTACATATATGTATGTACGTGTATGTACATATTTATATGTACATACACACTTGTATATTAGTTAATTTAGATGTATAAATGTATGTAAGTTGTTGAACTGTGTTGAACTGGTGAATATAAATTGCTGAAAACGTTGTCCAATTCTTAGCCCGAGTCAGAGCTTATGGAATCATCATGTCCGTCTGTCCTTCTGTCACGTTATAGCCCTCATTAAACTCATCCTATCGACTTGAAATTGAGTATGTGTACATGCAGTTTGGGATAAATGGGAAGTTAAATTCTAAGATGAGCAAACTGGGTCAAGTGGTTGACCTATGGGGTTTAAAAGTCCGGTGTAGTCCGTGGTAGAGAATTTTTCGGAATACAATGCAGTAAAAACCAAATTATTATTTAGAAAACCCAAGTAGGGTTACCCCCACTGATTTTCGAAAATGGTTACATATATACAGAAGCCTTGAATTAGGCATGATCCTGCAGAGGTAGATCAGAGTAGCATGTACATAAATTTAATATAGGTAGTTAATTGAGAACTTGCCCCTGACTCGGGCTAAATAAGCATTGGACATCAATACATCATAGGTTAGGTTTTTTAATTATCGAGGGGTGCACAAAACTGCAAGTAAGATACATATGTTACATATATATTTATGTACAGCAATTATTATATCTCATCTTCTCTCCTTTCAACATCACTGTCCTGTATTTATACTCCTCTTACATTATTGTCCTAAAATGTGGAGCTACATACGTTTTTACGTTCATTTCAAAAAGACTCAAATAATACTTGAGTTGAATGTCCAATGCTACGGTAGATGACCTTTAGTCACCCTCGCAGAATCTCAAGTTTAGCAAGCCTTGCAGAGGTTTCTTGGGATCAAAGACTTCCCGATGTCATTACTTTATTGATAAACGCTAAGAATGACCATCACAGAGTAAATTGAAAGAAATTATGGTAGTATCCAATAGTACAATTCACTCGATTTTGACACGTTTAGTAATGAAGGATTGATGAGAATGTGGCTGGGGGCCTCCGGCGGGGATTATCCTTTGGGGGAGGGGTTATCGTCCTGACGCCAAATTATTAAGTATATTGTTACAACTTATGAGATGCATCTTCTAAAGTCTCGTTGAGGTTACCATCCTACTTTGCACACCATGCTAGGTATCAGTAAATATGTACAATGTAAAAATTTATGTATCCTTGGCTTAATTTTTCAAATTATATTTGCGAATGCACTGCTGCAGCTTTTCATAAAAATGTTCATTATTTAAAATATCCTTGTTAAAATTTGGATCTATCGCGTTTTCCAGAGATAATTTGCCATTCCAGCAGGTTGGTAATGTATCCCGAGGTATGTAGCGATGAAGGGTATCCAAATTTCCAGAGTGCAGGATAACCTTTAGTCAAATAATCCCATGTAAAAATGGTAAAGTACATAAGGACTAATATGTACTTTCAAAGCCTCGAGGAATACATATGTACCATGGATAGTACATTGAATCAGTTCAGTAGATTCCCTGGCACAAAAGCTTATGTACTAACATACCCTGTTCATATACTTTGGGAGTAATTTCTTCGCAACAACGAAGAACATGTCAAAGCACGATGGCGAATTTACGAAATGAACCGTTCGAAGTCTTAGCGGAAACGCTTTCTAGTCACCAAACAAAATATAAAAAATCTAAATAGTATAAATCATAGTAAATTGGAAACTTACGTAGAAAAGGTTCATCATTTTGATACAAGGCCGAATCCCAAATAGTCTTTGGAAATGGTGACGATTGAATCCTTCCATATCAACGATGCAGTCTACCCTCAAAAGATCCATACCTTTCGGAGCCAACAAAACCATGTCTGCGGCTACAACTATTTTCGGAATAATTTCGTCCCATCCATGACCTGAATCGAGCGGAGGCCACCACTCGACACGAGTAGCGAAGATTGTGACACCATCAAGTCCAGCGATTTTCAATTTCCGAATGCAGTCTTCTTTAATTACTATGCTGGATGGGAGGAGATGTAGAAATATTTCTGGGTACTTCTTTGCTCGAACTTGAATATAGTTTTTGAGCTGAAAGCGATTTATTCCAAACAAATGTTTAGCGTATGCATGCTCGTCAAGTGCACCCGTTTTGTAAATTAAGATGATAATCAAACTGATGAGCGCCATTTAAGCTGGAGTGAAGAATCCGCGATAAAGATAAAATGTTCTTATATATTAGTTAGTGTAAAAGTATATTTCTAAGCCTGATTAAATTCGAAATAAATAAATAATACCTTTATGCAAATATAAATATGTCGATTATAAATAGTTTTTGTTTACCGTTTCCAACGTGTTTTCCACTCTATATTTCCTTCCACGCATGAAATGGAGCAAAAATTCATCTGTGAACAAAGGTCCGAAGGCTGCAAAGCTATTCCATTGTTCTACAGAGTAAAATTGTTAAACTTTTTACTAATCCTTGCAATTTGTAACACATAAACAAATACATTTTACTGAACAAAGCGTTTAAAATTTCTACGATACTTTTCATGCATTGCTTCAAAGTTTCAAGACACTTTTCTTCATCATGGGAAGAAAGTAACTCGGGACTGATCAGTGCTCTCGACATTTTTCAGGTTACAACTGATCTGTCACAATGCAAAGTGAACTCCTAGGACAACAAATTCATGATCAAACCAGTTCACCATACCCGACCATGACAAAGTTGCAAATATTTTTATCCAGCTCTGCGAGAAGCAAAAGTCAATGACATTGGCATTGAGATAAGACATGAACCAACTTAATATATGGTTAACTTTGATTTAATTAAGTTAGATACATAATTATGCATTTATTACTTAATCACAAGTCAGTCTCCAAAATATCATTTCTTAAAGGTTACCTGATGATGATGCAAGTGTAGCATCGAAAGCTTGTAATAAATTGTTTTGTATAAACAACTATGTCTTCCCATAATTCTATTCTTATTCATACGGTTTTTTAGCACTTGGGGGGATTTCTTGGGGATTAATCAGACGCTAATACAGGTTAAAATTATGTACAATTTTTTCTCAACAACTTGAAACATCATTTTAGATTTTCATGATAAATTTTTTAATTACAATCTTTTGATCCGCAACTAGGAGGGCTACAGTTTACTAATCAAGATGTTAGATATGTTCATAAAACTACGTATGCATTGCAGTGTGTATTTAAATATAAGTGCAGCTGAACAGTCGAACTGTACATATATACATGTGTTCATACATATGCGAATATTCACCCGTATCAGCAACCGGACCATGAAAAATGCTAACCTTGTTGCGTTGTATGACTTTTATTATGCAGCCCATGAGAGAATTTTCTTACCTACCTTGGTGCAAAAAATATCTACTTCCCGTCAATAATAACCACCCAACCAAAAAAGTTACATAGATTCAAATCCACCTGATTAAACTGTAACATAAAGTCCGTTGACGCATGAAAAAATATTTTATAAACTTTGCTCCTTTAAACTTTTACATATTTACTACTAATATGCAGTTCAAAATTTTACTTGGATTGCACGGTTAAATTTATAACAAAATAAATTAAAAGTCCTGCATACAAAAATAAAATTGTGATATACGTTTTCGGAGGGAGATAAACCAAATAGTTTTTTCCTTCTTCATTTAATCATTGTAATAATGGGGACACAGTACGAGTCCGTATTTGGCAATACACTGGTACGATTGATGCATTTTCATTACATAAAATACTAAACCATTGCTAATTATACTAAATTAATTGTCGCCCATATTTTTTAGCTTCTTCGCCACATTTTTTCTCGCATGGGTGTCGCTCAGCTTAAAACTTGTCGCCAAATAAACCAGCTCTTCCACTCCTTGGCAACCCCTTATCTCACTGCAAGGGCCAAAGTCACCGTCAGCGTGTGCAGATTCAACATGTACAAGATATCTTATCAACCAGTGTCATGGCAAGAATATTTTTCAGAACGAGTCGCAACCATGCAATCCGTCCCCGTTGCAAGTCTATTCGTCCAACTTCGAGCCTTCCATTCTCCTCCAACAGCGAGGAACGATGTCCTCAATTTGATAACGCAACGCAGTGGACACGACCATTGCATAACTTGGCTTCATCTGGATATCGAATTTCGAGATGTTTTCGAATATCAGAATTTTTGTGGGTCAATTTTCCAGGCGGAAGCTTCGCATAAAATTTCCAACTTGAAAATTAATTTTAAACTCCATCGTGCTAGAGAATCCATTAGAATTGGGAGAATGCAGTTGAATTCTGAAAATCACTTTGTGAAAGAATTGGACTTGATTAATTTTCCGTGTGAGAAGGAATGGGATGAAGATTGTGATACTGAAAATATTCGTGATTTTCTGCACGCTTTTACCAATTTGGGAAAACTTAAGCTAAATTGCTTCCCCGGTTTGGTTAAGGGTATTCTTGATGGAATAAGGAAGGAGGTTGTGGTCCTGTCTAAATTGGAATCGCTGGAAGTTTGGTTGGATAAGGAGTAAGTGCATATAACTTAATTCTTACCCATTAAAAATCTAACTATCCAAAAAGACTCGTTATAAAATAACAATAAGTGTTATTTTGTTTTTTATTGTGTTTAGTAATACTTAATTATGTATGCAAAAAAATATGAACAATTTACATCTTTTTTTTACAGATCAATTCTACAAAGTCTGGAAATACTCCGCCTTCTGAGGGAAACATCTAACAAATTAAATTTAACAAACTTAGCAATCTTTGACATTCCTGAACTTGAAGACTTTGAGGAATTAAATGCAGTTTTGCTCTCTTACTCAAAAACTTTAAGGACTTTAAAGTTGGAAGTACAAAAATTTAAGACACCACCTGAACTCACTAGAGGGTTATTTCCAAAGCTTAACATAATGATAATTTAGTAGATTAAGGGTAATACAAAGGAATATGAATTATTGGATTATATTTTAATAAATATGCATGAACTGTGGAATATGATTACAAATTTCGAAAATATGTACAAATATAACATTCTCACTACTTTATTACTCGTATACTGCACGCATATATGAATATTGCACTAAACTTTGTGACTAAAATTCCATAATACTGACGAAAAACCTGATAAAGTTAATAATTCTTTGTACATTGTACACTTAATATCTTTGGCTTTCTGCTTTACTGATCTTCCTTTTACTTTTCTAAAAGTTGGTCCCAATCCGGATAATAAAGTTCCTTCATCCGATTGCAATAATCCACAATATTTTGGTGACGTTCTGTTAAAAAAGTACAAATTACAGTTTCCATGTAAATAATCGACTTATTTATAATAATTTAACACTTTCATATCAAAATACACGTTTACCTCTGATAACTGCAGCATGGTGGGACATGCTTTGATATCCCCACAACAATTGGGAAAGACAGCCAAAAACACATGCATCCTCCACGCAAGGATCTTCTCCTAAAAGGAACTTGTTATCCCCCAAGATTTCGGCCACAGCAGAAACATCTTTCAGCAGCCATGACTTTACAGTTTCCTTATCATGTCGTCCAACTCCGTGTGCCCAAGCCAGCTTTGTATAATGTCGATTAAAATATTTGACAAGAAGGTATGGAAACTTGAGAAATTTCTGGACGGCAATTTGTCCATCTCCTGGCCAGACGAAGGCCCAGAGCAACAGTTCCCTGGATAAACATGAAAAATTGCATGGAATTTAAATTGTATCATCAATTTTGCAGAATTTACCAGTAAATTTTATCTTCCAAACTGATCCTGACCATGCGAGCAATTGCCAATTCTTTCTCCGAGTAAGAATTATGGATTGGGTTGTCAAATTTTCTAAACGATTTTTCATATTTTAAGTAACCATGATTGATGCATATACAGTTAAGAGTTTTGACCAACTTTTGTAAGAACTCGATACAAATTTGAGAATCTGCGACATGTTCCCCATTTAAAGAAAGCCACGGACATTTGCCTTTGGGTCCCAATGAGTTTGACAAATTTCCGTCATACTAAAGAAATATTTCACTTAAAGTTTAATAGTTTAAAAGGTATTTAGCTAAACTACTTCATACTTTGTAAGGGATATTTGCCATTCGGATGAAAGTTTCTAATTTTAAGACGAAAGGTGAAGCTGCAGGAATTCCGGCAGTTCGCCTGGTCCCGTGTAAAATGACGACATTTTTCTGACACTTGTCTGCAGAAAAACGCGACCTTTAAAAATTTATTAGAAACGTATAAGCCAATCAACACATTTATTCAGCATTATTTTCCAATAAGTACGTTAGGTTTTCAAACTTACAATTTCCTCCTAATTAAAAGTTTCGGGATAACGAAAGACGCAGCAACAATTAATCCCCCCAAGCTGACTCCAGCTCCAATCCATGGGAGAAGTTGGTCTGTATCTAATTGTAATTTCATCCCTGCAGGGCCCCGTTTACGGTGATTGAACCGAATGAAACAGTCCCAACTAAAAGAAGCAAGTTATCTGGCTAAAACTTTATTAAGCTTTCAACTTGAAACTACTGAACTCATTGCATCATTGCAAATTAAATATAAATAAATCACTAACCAACTTATCAAATTTGGATAATTAGATACGATATTTAGATTTATTTGAAATAATACAGCATTACACGAAGTAACACAGATATGAGAAATTACTTAATTCTCGTTGTAAATATAAAACCTGTCAATTAAAAAAAGTATGCTTAATACATGAGACAAAAAGAAAATGAAAGTAAACTACAGCGTATGTACATATGTAATACGTATACATACATATGTGTTCATATGCATACTCCAGCATAATATTGGGCAACAGGTGCACATCTTTCATACATACATATCCATATCCATAGTGTTTGGCCTTCATGAATCGTAGTATTTACAATACTGTTAGCATTACAATGTTTCTCATTCATGATCCTGAAATATGTATGTGCATATGTACGTATATGAAGTTCATATACGTACATATTATGAACATATTTATATGCACGTATGTATGAATGTATGTAGATGAGATTTGTGATGCATGAAATATGAATAAATCAGTTCCATGCAACCCATTAACTAAATATGTATCAGTATGTGCACTAGCATACATAGTTGCATACAATCCTACACTTAATAAATACAAGAAATTAAGCCCGCATATTGCGGGCGATCATCCAGACTGATAAGCATTCATTCATTAATACTTGTTGCTGAAGCAGAGGCGTTAGCTGGATGTAGGTAATTAACATCCACCCAGGGCAAGGGAACGTGGACCCCCCTCTGCATGTTGCCCCATTGTGCCCCTGCATCGAAATACAGAGGCTTCAAAAATGTACAAAGTATTGCACTCAATTATTCATGGAAACATTGGACGCATTTGATGTTTCAACTCGAAAATTCCAAAGACATTACCTCATCAAAATGGCCTTGTAGACAACGTTTGGTGTAAAGACTACATTCGAACCTTGTATTAATTTCCCTTGTTCGATAGTGTCGACTACGTAAACTTTTACGTCACAGGACCGTCTCACTCTTGAAAATGCCACATAGAGTTGTCCATGGCTAAAGACTGGGTTTGGTAGGTAAATACCAACCTTATCTAAGGTCTGTCCTTGAGACTTATTGATGGTCATTGCAAATGCACGTTTGACTGGGAATTGCCTTCTTTTTAATGTGAAAGGTAGATCAGAGTTAGTGGTCAGATCTATTCTTGGAATGAATACTATATTCCCCTCAGAAGATCCAGTTAGTACTTTTGCCAGTATTAGGTTAGTTTTTAGTTCAACTACAACCAAACGGGTTCCATTACAAAGACCTCTCTTAGTATTGAGATTTCTTAATAGAATAATTAAAGCACCAACTTTAAGTTTAAGTTCATGCGGTGGCATTCCAGAAGGGTTCAAGCTGTTTAAGAATTCAACAGGATAATCATCTCTGTCAGAATCTACATCCGTCATTAAGGAGTCAGTACTAATATAAGTTTTATTATCTCCTATGAGAATGTCTAGGACTTGGTCGTTACTTTTATCCACATCAGCATTTGTTGGACATAAAATGGCCCTACTGGAGAAAGTCTCAACGTTTTCTGGAGTTAAAGAGTCTTCAAAGATATCACGCACAATGTTGTCTGATGCTACCATTGTTTCTGGGATTTCTATTAGGTTTTCGTTTAAACCATGCCCATTTGTTAATTCCCCATTACCAAGTTTTATTAGCCAGTCACTGTATTCAAGATCAAGGGATCTGACATTGTTGTTAAGTTTCAAAACCTTAAATTTCCTCCACAAATGACTAAATTTAATACTGGCTTGAACAATAGCCACTGGATCAGCATGAGGAATAATTGGTAGGGTTTGTCTAAAATCCCCTCCAAGTAATAAGACTTTTCCTCCAAATGGAACATCCTTATTTCCCATTATTTCTTTCAACAATCGATCCACACAATTTAATGCATTGGCAGGTGCCCTTGTTGACTCATCCCAAATTAATAATTTTGATTTACCAATTATCTCTGCCTCCTTGGATTTCATCTTAATTCCAGAAACAGAACATTCATCTAAATTCAGTGGGAGACTGTACTGGGAGTGATAAGTTCTTCCTCCCTTTAACAAATTAGCTGCAATTCCTGTGGAAGCTACAGGTAGAGCTTTTTCTCCTTGTCCTCTTAAATGACTTAGCATCGTCTTATATAAGTGAGTTTTTCCACTGCCTCCAGGGCCATCAAGAAAGAAACATTTAGCTTCATTCACGTTCTCAGAATTAATGGCATTCTCGACAGTATCAAATGCCAAACGCTGTTCCTCATTTAAGGTGGCAATTAATTCATCTCCAGCATCTCGCTCTGCCTCCATATCGGCAAAATCATTTACATTTAGAGGTAAATCTGCTGGAGGATTTCTCAATCCAAAATCAGAACACCTTTTACTGTGTGTTGACAGAGTATCTGCAATATCTCTCAATGCATATGATTCGCACAATTCACACTCGTCTTGTGCTGGGTGATTATGTGCTCTGGCAAAGTCTTCACTTAGATTTTCTTTGTGTTTTGTCCACAAATTGGAAACATTTCCACAATCGCCAAATATGCAGATATATGCAAAAAGTTCTCTAAGTTGCCGTGGCATAGATGCATATGCAGCTTCAGTAAGAGTATCGTCCCATAAAGTTTCATCGGTAACCAACCCTAAAGCTTTGGCAGCTTCATAAAACGTTGGATACTTAATATTGTCAACTGTGGCTAGATGATCGTATGACTTTGCTCCTGGTACATGCAGAAGTAGTAACCTTAAAAAGAACCGTTCATTCTCGCGCATGCTAACGGCATACATTCGCCCAATAGTTTTTGAGTGGTTTTGCTTACGTTTGGTCCATATTGTTTGGCTTTTATTAAACACATAGTGTTCTGGAACTTGATAATACTTTAGGTTTTTGGCGGATTCATCAGTCTGATTCAGATTGAACCATGCCATGAGTGTAGAATTTTTATTTTGAGCTTTTTCAATTGCAGCATCAACTGTTCTACTGGTATCAAAAATCACACTTTACTGTTCGGGCAAATGAACTGCCAATGGAATTACAGAATGAGTTTGATCTTGCATTGGAAACCTAAAAATTCTCCATGCAGCCTCAGGGGGACTTACATATCTTGAATCCACATGTGTCTGTACTTCATCAACTTGAAGCTGAACATTGGCACAGTCATGGCCTTTGTATGCATATTTGAATAAGTATTTGACACTTTTAATTGAGGCGCAAATTTCCACGTTAATATGGCAGTTATATTTCAAACTCAAGTATGGACAGTATGGAACTACCCAACTATTGTCAATTTTGATATTTTTATCAGTTTCAATTAATTCGGTCATTCTTGTTTTATATAAAGGGTAACCGTTACGATTTGCTAAAGTTTCCTCTTGAAACTGTGTCGGAAATCCCTTGGAACATTTTCCTAAGACTAAACATGGACTTCTCGAGTCCACTTGGTCGCATGGACCATGAATCATGTTCTTTGTAACCACATCAAATAATCGAGGATGTGTTTCTTTATTTGGAATTTCTGCACTCACAACTTTGTCGATAAGTGCTGGAGTTCGAGGCTTGTCCTCAGCTCTAAGAATAATAAGCATATGAGCATGAGGTAGACCCCGTTTTTGAAATTCAATTACATGCACTTTGGCAAGAACATGGCCAAGTACGTCTTTCTTTATTAAATCTTCTAAAAGTGCACTCAATTTAGCTTTAAACACTCTTGCGACTAAGTCCGGCCGATTCTCAGGTCTTTCGTTAGGTCTCAGATTTTCAGTAATTTCTTCCCATTTTGGGTTACATGTCATAGTGATAAACAAATCTGGTGTCCCTAATTTTTGCACTATAGCCATTGCATCTTGGTAATGCTGTCGCATATTTCTTGGGCTTCCTTGGAAAGATGAAGGAAGAATTATCTGTTTTCCTGGATTCAGTCCTTCTTGCTCAGCAACCGAACCAACGTGATCAACTAAAGTTTTGTAATTTTCAGCTCTGATTGTAGTCTGGTTCTGGCGAACCCAATTCAGGTCATTAGCTTCAGCTTTGACATGCATCAACAAAATATTGTTGTGTAAGTTTCCCTGCACACAGAATGGGGCTAAATGCATCTCGAACTGAAAACAGATATGAGTAATACATTTTCATTGTAACTCGCTTTCTTGCATTTGGATTGGCAATTACAACATTTGGTTTATATAATGCCAAATCAGCTCCCCACCCTTGTTCTCCATTCGGATATAACAGTGGGTAAGTTAATGCATCAAGATTTTTATTCAGAATATGAATTCTTTTGGTTTTATAATTTGTGCCAGTTGGTCTTAGATGTATTACCAAATCCCGATCAAGCGGTGGCTCACCGTCCATAGTACTGAACACAACAGCAACTTCATTACATGCTTGTGTATTATATCTGCGATTGTCAGACTCTCGATTGTGCAAAATTGCCATTTGAATTTGGGCTGGCTCTCGACCTTCAGCTCTTGCTTGTTGAGTATGTCTATTTTCAACTTCATGTAGCATTTCATAAGCTTCTGTAAATTTATTGGTTCTCATTACTTCCATTAATCGAGCCATTACATGGCTTTTGCAAGCAGCATTTGCCGGTTCATTCATTCGGCGGTTATTAGCCTCGTCAGGGTCCAGGATATATAATTGAGCATATTGTCTTGGTTCACCCTCTTCGGGATGTAATGTGCCAGTAAGATGGCAAATTTGGCCATGAACTCTAAAACAGTATGGTCCAAATCCTGGTGGTGCCCGGATCTGAGCTCCAACGGATGCAAATGCAAATGCCAAATGCACTATTATAAGATCTTATGTTTTCCATAAAGTGTTTAGAATCTGGGTCGTCCCCCATCATGAGTTTGTTTATATAGTAGTTCGTTGAAAAATTGGAAATTCGAACTTGTCCTTTATTACAGCACACATTATATTCTCCTGCAGTATTTCTTTCACTATGGAAGTATTTAGCATTGCAGAATGTACAATTTTCCTCAAATTTCCCGAGATAATGTAAAGCTACTTGGGATTCATCAATTCCATCAGCAACAGCTAAATTTGATGTTGCCTGACGTCGTCGAGCGTCGGCATTTGCTCTTGAAGCTCGCTTACTTTCAAGTCGAACAGATCTTTGTTCAACAGTCTCATTATTTCTGACTACCGTCATATGCTCATTGTTCCGTTCACGCCTTGTAACTGCCTGTTGTTCAGTTTCACCGGGCCGTCGCGAACGCTTCGGCATAGGTTCAGCTTCTTCTCGCACGTTAAACGTTTGTTTTTTTTGCCCCATTGTATCAAATAATTCTACTTGGACAATTGAATTTATTATGATTCAATATATGCTTCCACTTCTTGCTTGTATTGTCAATTAAATGCAAATTTCCTCGAGAGGATACTAAAATCCAAGAATGGATATAATTTCCTGGAAAGGATACAAGATTTCACGAATGGATATAATTTTCCTTGAAAGGAAACAAAAATCCACGAATGGATACAAATTCCCCGAAAGGATACAAAAATCCACGAATGGATACAAATTCCCCGAAAGGAAACAAAAATCCACGAATGGATACAAATTCCCCGAAAGGAAACAAAAATCCACGAATGGATACAAATTCCCCGAAAGGATACAAAAATCCACGAATGGATACAAATTCCCCGAAAGGATACAAAAATCCACGAATGGATACAAATTCCTCGAAAGGAAACAAAAATCCACGAATGGATACAAATTCCTCGAAAGGAAACAAAAATCCACGAATGGATACAAATTCCCCGAAAGGAAACAAAAATCCACGAATGGATACAAATTCTTCGAAAGGAAACAAAAATCCACGAATGGATACAAATTCCCCGAAAGGAAACAAAAATCCACGAATGGATACAAATTCCTCGAAAGGAAACAAAAATCCACGAATGGATACAAATTCCCCGAAAGGAAACAAAAATCCACGAATGGATACAAATTCCTCGAAAGGATACAAAAATCCACGAATGGATACAAATTCCCCGAACGGAAACAAAAATCCACGAATGGATACAAATTCCCCGAAAGGATATAAAGATCCACGAATGGATAAAATTCCTCGAAAGGATATAAAATTCCTCGAAAGGATATACAAATCCACGAATGGATGGTAGTATTCAAATGTATGCGTAGTAGAGGTGTGTATTTGCTGTTTGGTAGTGGGTGGGGAAATGTATTACCAATATGTTGGTAGAAATTATTTTTTTTTCAATAATTTAGAGAGAACACATGTAAGTTGGCTGAACAGTGCAGACCAACTAAAAGTAAATAATGTTCAAATTCCGCACCATCACCAATCTCACTTGGCCCCAAATGGCGTAAATTCGAGTCTCATGTGTCGTAGAGCGAGCCATAGAAATCTCAATGCGGGAGTCAAAAAAGCACAACCCAACTGGCTATTCTTGGTATGATAACCATGACTTTTGCATACGTATAAGACAATCGAACCGCTGAATCGGTTGATTTTATTATGTTATCAATAATTTTGTTAATTTGTAGTATTTGACTTGTACTGATAGAAGGTATGCACGTAGATAAATATGTACATGCTATCCATTCAATTTCTGGTCTAAATAATTCATGCTTATCTTTTTCACACCTTAGGTTCCAGGTTTAAATTAATGTTTACAGACCAATTAGTATATTAAATTTGAGCAACATATCAATTTAATTTCATCTGAATAAAATTCCATAAAGGTTTAGATAATTGGCTAGCACTAAATTAACTAATATTAAGCAAAATTCCCCACTATCAAATTCCTATATTATTTCAAATTCTCCGTTTATACTCGTAATTCAATTTCCCTCATCGGGTAACAATAAAGTTTGCTTAATTCTACGCTGAACTTCGCAAGGTTTAAAATTATGCAGCTTAATCCAGTCAATATCCAATCTTTGGAATTCATCACAACTCATTCTTTCACGTGGATTTGCTTTCGTCATTTTCAACAATATATGAATTAGCATCTCAACTTCTACATCCTCCGCTGACTGATGATTTGGAGCTAAATTTGTTACACTTTTATGCAGTTTATGCAGCATTTTTGTCAAATTACTTGGTGCTATTGGGTTTAGCACTTCCAAAATAATTAGACCAATCGAATACAACTCCGAGTTCAGCGTATACTGTTCTAAACCACTCCTAACTTCTGGTGCTTGATATCTTGTGTTCCCTCTTTTCGATGGAATAATTCCTCCACTTTGCTGAACGTCGGAATTATTTGGAAATATTCTGGACAGGCCGAGATCTCCGATTTGAACAGGAAGCGAATACTTGGATTCTTCCCTTTCGTTTAGCGAAAAGAGAATGTTGTCCGGTTTTAGATCCGAGTGCATGATTCCTTTGGCTTGCAAATATTTCATTCCTCGCATCAGGTCACGTACAATTTTAAGTTGTTTTTGACCTGTTTTAACATTTGGTTCTTTTCTCTCGGCCATGCTGTCCTTTAGCCAATTACTTAACGTAGATCCTGCCAAAGCCATTGTAATTATCCAACCTTTCACCAGACTTGTCTTGGAGCGTATTATTATTTTTTTAACAGCAGCGAGGGATTCTTCAGTGCTGGATACGTCACTTTCGATCATGCTGTCCGATATTTCAATAGTTTCTGGGAAACTAAATAAATTCTGCAAGTAAAACATAGAGCAAACATGCACTTTAGCAAAACCAAATTAGAGAAATATTGTGTCCAATTGTCTACATATATTCTCACCCTGATCTCAAATTCTGTAAATTGATTTTCCTCCACAAACTCCGAAATCCCCATAATATTTGGATGTTTCATGCTATTCATATTTTTAACTTCTTCTACGGCATACAGCTCCTCTTTCTCACTGCTCGGGATGACAATTTTCATTGCGTAAGCTACACCATCGTCTTCTTTACTATTTGCTTTAAATACAAAGCCAAATGCGCCACTTCCTATCGCCTCAATGGCCTGGAACTGTGCTAACCAAGTTTTCTGAATTATGGTAAACAACTTTTCCCTGAATGTCTCATTGTTGTATAAATTACACTCGTACAGAAGATGTTTAAAGATGAGTTGCGAGTAAAACAAGGCCCCTTCAAGGTATCCGTTCAAAATGTCTCGTAATGTTTTAAATTTTCCTCTGGAACTTTGAACTTCCTCAAAGTCTTCCGTTCTTCCAATTTTATCAAGCATTTCTAGGAGCAGATCGATCACTTTGTCACAATTAAGTTCCCCATTCGTCTCTAGCTCCCCCAAATCCTTAAACATTATTTTTATTACTTCGACTCCAACCTCGTCGTTTGCTAGGAGTCCAAGAATGTGCAAGTCCTTCTGCTCAACGGAAAATATTTCTGCTTTATCATTTAAGCTAATGCTTGGGATATCCAAGTGCTTAAGTTTTTCGGAAGTCATTCTTAGCTTGTCGTTCGAGGTTATCATATTTTCTATTTCATTCAATAAATCGAGGTGTTCCAGATATATTTGTTGTTTCGATAAGCGGGCAATATTTGATTCCCAATGGTCAGCGTCATACGAGTCGAGTGCACTCGAGGCCAATAATTCGATAAGAATCATTCCCATTGAGTGAATATTCGATGTCATTGATGCAGAAGTAGTTGGATTATTTGCTCCCTCATTAGCAGAAATAAGTGTTTTGTCACAATATGTCAGCGGCAACTTGCAGTATTCTTTGCCCTCCTTGTCATGTGCCGTCACGAAGTGTATGGAATCAGGGATGAGTTCTGGCACTAGAAGTCCATCCATGTGTAACTTTCTTACATCGTTAATTATATTTTTGGCAATTTCAATCACAGATAAATTTTTGTATATCGCATGCTCGCTTAACTCTGCTCCAGTGACACCCACACAGCTTTTGCACTTTTAAATATAATTAATATAATCTCTCAAAGTGTGACGGCCCACTGGGAATTGAATTGTTGCGACTTCGACACAAATTCGAGCGTTCAAAATTTTTTGAAGCTGTGCAGGCAGCGAGTCCAACTCATCCGGTGTAATTATTTCTCTTAGCTGATCGGAGTACATCGGCTTGAGGTGTAAATGGTCATAGAAGTAGGAAAAATCGCTTAAATTCACGGAAAAATTCAGCTTTCCGTACGTGCGTGTTCGTATCTTGCCAAGAATTTCTTCCTCTGACACCTTCGGAATTAGCAACATTATTCTAGATCTTGAAAGTGTATTCGGAATGGTTTGCCGTCTTTGGAACAAGTAGCCAAAATTATTGGCTCCAAGGTAAGATAAGTTAGTGAACTGGGCATCCCAATGTTTTTCAGTGGATTTGTAAAGCTTCGAGGTAAGCTCGGCTGTAAAGTACGTTCTGGAGTTGTAAAGCAATGGTGGAAGTATCCAAGGTCTGAAAAAATGCATTACAATTAATTTGTACATATATTTATGAAAGTATATGCATATGTATGTATATTATTGTCCAAGCATCTTTGCAACCTTATTTATTTACTTGCCTTTCATTTTTTGCGAAATCTAAAACTTCCTGAAAAGTGTTCTTTGTTAGTAAATTTTCATCGAAATCTGCATATTTTTCGTTTCTCATTTTGTCACACACTTCAGCCAATTCATGCTCTGGCAGCTCTTGGATAGTCAAATCCGCGTAAGTCTCGTCAATTACGGTTGCGAGAACTTCAGCCACCAAAAGTTTCATGTGGGCCCCGTCATCATAAAAATCCCATCTACTATTTTTAGCACGCTCATCACTATTATGTTCAAAGTCTCTAAATAACCCATCCCAGTCGATAAGCATTTTGCACAGTTCTTCATTTGGTAAGAGGGAGTTGGTTGAGTGAATAATATCACGGATCAGGGTACGAATAGATTTTGATGTACTTAAAATTGGTGAGAAACTGTACAACGCATCCAAGTTTAATTCAGTTTCCTCTGATTTTATTAATTTCACCAAATCCACAAATTCATCTTTGTCACAAGCTGCCAAAGCATACAACATTAAAATTCCAATTGAATATCTCACATTGCTATGATTTTCGGAGATGAAAAGCCTTTCGAAATCTGAAAATGAAACTTGATCATCCGGTAATCCGAATGCCGATGGGAAAAAACATTTTCCTTTTAATTTTGACAAGAAGAAATTCTTTGGCAGAAGATTAACTTGTGTGACTCCTTTCGTAAGAAATGATTGTAATTCACGAAAGAGCACTTGGAAAACTTGGACTTGTAATCTAACTTGCTCTTCGGATGGAATGCGACGTTTTTCATAAGTTTGGGTGAACCAATTTTTAAGGGAGATTTTGTAGTAGGATGACACCGTAACTAAAATTTCCTGTCCAGTGGAACAAGATAATGTGTCAAGAAATCTTGTGACATTTTGGACTTCATCTTCAGTTGAAAGTTGATTTGGAAGGAAGAGATTTCGAAGTTCTTGTGGGTTTGTTTTTCTTCGGAAACCATAAATGCAGCAAAGTCCTTGGTAAAGCTTAATGTTTGTTAATCTTTCTTCAAGCTCTTCAACGTTTTTGAAGTTTGTTATTGCAACAAAATATCTGTCCATGTAGCTATCTGGCCATGTATAATTTCGAAATTTCTTCTCTGGTTCCATCTTAAACTTGAGATTTAAGGTGAAAGAATTTTCATCTTGTTTTGTGCTCTTAATCTTTCTCCAAGAAGGGTCTGTCTGAATAAATAACGAGTCCTCCATTGTCGAGATAATTTTGAACAGAATATCATCATTCTGATATGGGGATTGGTTCAGAAGATGGATTAAAAGTCTCCGGAGTTTATCTTGCCTAAAAATTAATTGAACTTGAAATATGTGCCCGTATATCTATTAAACATGTTGTAAATTATATACTATTACTAAAAGTTACCTCTTGTCTATTACGTATTCTATAAGCGACTTGAAATCACCCTGAGTAAATTCAGTCTTGTTTAAGTTGAGCACATCTTTTCCCGTAATGTGGTCTACAGTTCCAATACTGATTTCGTTCTGTTGATAAATTTCAACCAGGTCTACCAATAAATTTGTTATTATTTCTTTTTCCACTTTAGTAGTTAACAACTTATGAATTAAAATTGAAGCGTCTTTAATCGTTTTTTGTGACATTTTGACACTTTTCTTCTGTCTGAGATTATTTGATGCGTTATGAAAATCCGGATAACCAGATGACAGATACGCAATTGGCATGGTTGAAAATTGCAATACAATAGGAACAGTGATTACATAACTAGTTAAACAGCGTGCAGAATCTGCACACATATGTAGAAATGTGGGTTAGTACTGCATAAAATTCCAGTCATGCAATGTTTTAGCAAACTTGGTGAATCTGTGGTTGATAAAAATCAGGATGTGTAATCCATGTTTCAATTACATTGTCCGTGCATGGATACGACTGAGTTCATGAAGTGAGTTCATGAATTATTATTGAATAATGTTGCATATTATATACGTTTGACAAAATACATAATGTGAACCAAAAATAGCTACTAGACTATCTCATAAAATTATGTATTAAATTACCTAAACGGAGCCTGGAATGCAAACTTTTGACGATGTCATCAGAGAATGTCCAATTTATGGATTTCTTTGAAATACTCATTCTTTTTAGAATCGTTTGACCTCCTTTTACCATTCCATCTAGACATTTAAATACACCAGTGGAAGAAGTATGTATAGCTGCATATACATATGCGCAAATGTGTATAAATGTAGGTATGTATATATGTATGGAAGGAAGGACTTTATAAATTCAAACTTTTATATCTTTATGGATTACATTTTAGATTCCAATTTTATGCCCATTTACAATACGCCAGTTCGATTTCTGAAATATGTACAGTAGGCACGCATGCATGCACACAATTACGTATCAACAAATTATTTATTAATGCTTAGGTAATCGACTCATACATACATGTGTTGGCGTGGTTCATACCCGTTTAAAATTTTTGGTCCGTAAATTAATGACTAGATTTCTTATGAACATGTAAATACTTACTTATGTAGATACTCACCGCGAAGCATGAAGTCACCAAATTTATTGCTTTAACGATTATATATTTCACCAATTTTCTTAAAAAGTTGTTTAATTTTGACATTTAGAATCACTGCGTCAACAACAATCTGACCGTTGACTTTGTACAAAAAGAAGCCATCACCAATGGCGTCTTCATCTCCATAAAATTACTCTTGCATCGGATCTTCAATGGAGCACATGACTTTACCATTTTTCTCCAAATCTTAAAACTTTCTATGCTCAGGAACTTTCTCCCCTGCAATTCTGACACTTTCCCCAGCTTTGAAATGCATTGCCTTGATTTTGTATTAATAAATCCAGCCATCGATCCCAGTATTACGATCGAAGTTGTTCCGGCCAACGAGTAAAATGGAAATATTGCATTCCCCACATGCTCCAATAACTTATGGTGTAAAGAGATGGTCAAATGTGTGCCCCAAATACTGCCCGTCATTGCAAGTAGGAGTACAAATGGTAGTGCAGTTCCTCTATAACAAAAGTTAACTTGAGACGTCAATACTTGTAGTTGTCGATATTTGTGGATGGGTTCAAAACTGTGTTCCGTACATTGAAGCGTTTTCCTGCATATTATAAAATCAAAATTTAACCGGATATTTGTTAAGCGTTTTTTTTTAATATTTTGCAAACCGGATTAAGATTAATATATTCCGAGCGAGACAAACCAGCATCCCAACAAATACTTGGAACACAATGAACGAAAATATAAAACTGAGAACTAAAAACGACCATCCTTGCAGTACGAATACGACAACGTGCAAGAAATTCACAGCGTGCGTGGCTTCCTTCCAAATTGGAAACCAGGATCCGAGACAAGGTTGAAGTTGTGGTTCGTAAAACGTGATAGCGATCGCAGTTGACGATGGAACAATGGCAATTAGTCGATAAGTCGTTGAGCAAAATTTGAATGTCAGCCTGTAATACTTTTTAGTCTGTGGAGGAGACAAATCTGCAACAAGTAAAGAGGAAAATGCAAATTGGAAACAATTTAATTACCAATCTTACCCAAAATGCGTAGTTTTGAATTTTCAAAGAAATTCAACAACTCAGAAAATCCGATTGGATAGAGCAATAATGGTATCACTGCCACCAAAGCGGTAAACAGGATCAAAATAAACATGATAATAAATCCTGTATGTCCAGATTTAACTGGCGCAAAACAAATTGCGTGCACTCCATTCAACACTATTGACAAAATTAGTACGAAAAGTAGAATAATTTTAACACGAGTGAAAGTAGTCAAATCTGAAATGTAAAACTTCACCGATTTGGAATAATTGTAAAGGATTGGGTTAATTCCAAAAATTTGCTGGGAGGTAATAAGATGTCGAAGTCGGGATGACACCATTTTACGGAATGAAATGCATAGAAAAACGGATAAGGTCGGCTTCCGCTGTTGCTGCATAATACATTCAGTGTCGAGTATAAAAATTTAATGCGGAGTAGAGTTGTTATGAGTCGTTGTTTTGCTTTTATGGTATTATTATCCAAGTGGGTAATCGCCATCAAATTGTACGTCCATTATTGTTTTAGAAATTTATCAAAGGTGTATGCGCAAAATGATAGGACAGAGGCTAGTAAATTATATGTAGGTGCATATGCCCATAGTTCACTAATTATCAAGGTCATGATACTACCAAATATCCACCCATACCATATATATTTAATAGACGTATATTTGTACATTGGTAATTGCATAACAAGAATTACCTACGCTGTAATTAAGCTAAACTTGATGGTAACGCCAATGTCAGGGTCTCGGGCGTTTAAACCATAATCCTTGTCGCCTAAGCCATTGGATAACTTTACGCTGAACCTCGGATTTCTGGCGCTTGATTTATGTTTTTCGTATGCCCCTTTGAGTCTTTGTTATTTTTCGTATTCAGGGACTTTATCAAGTCCCTCTATTGCCAAGGACATGTGTCACTTTTGACCAAAATTTGTAAACAGTATGTTGGCAGCCCGAAAGGTCCTTGAAAGGTCTTGAAATGAAAACATAGCAGCGCATATTCAAATTGCGTGTTCATACTTTTGATAAACATTTATCCTTTATCGTTGCAAGTATTTTACAATGTGGCCTGATTTTAATTAATATTTTTTGGCCTGCTATTTTTATTAATTCATTTTCTGGTCGACAAAAGTATTTCCTGCATGGTTTCCAAAAACATGAATAAGAATATTGTTCCTCCAGTCACGTTTCTCTATTTGTGGGGTTGATGTTATACTGTTGACTGTATATTATAGCAAGACTTACAGGTTTTCCCATCCTATATCAATATGCAATATGCAATCCTTTTCGAGATTCTTTGTATGGGATAGTAAGTTGGGATGACACTATTTTATGAATGAAGTTAAATGCATATATACGTAGGGAAGCAGATTATATCGACTTTCTCCATTTCTGCAATATACATCAGGTGTCAATTATAAAAATTTAATGGGTAGTAGAAGAACTGAAGTAGATATGAGTTTGGTTGTTGTGGTATTGCTTGCATGGTACTATTATCCAGGTCGGTAATCGCCATCACATTCTAGCTTTTATTATTATTTTAGAAATTTATCAAATATGTTTGCACAACATGACAGGACAGAAGACTTGTAAATTGTAGGTGCATATGCCGACATTTCACTAATTATCAATACATTCGGTCGCACCACTACCAAGTATCCCACCCATATCATAAATATAGTGGTTGTGTATTTGTAGATAATTGCATGAATAACAAGAATTGCACTACAATTAGGCCAAATTTGCTGGTAACTAATAAGCCAGAAAATTTCAATCCAGTTTTTGAGATACACTTTTGAGATATATTTTACTGTAAATATATATGTGTGTAAACGTATTGCAATTATAGCTCAGTAATTTAAGGGTAAGTTACTGCAAAAGTTTTCATTTTAGTAATCTATACATATCTGTACTGTAATTTTAAAAAACTACCTACTTGTGTAATTTTATTTTCCATCCTTTAAGCCAAATTTATTTCATACAACCCACCATTACACACGATTAGTTATAATTGTTATCAGAAATATTTGTGTAGGAGATAACTGGATTTGAAGGAATTTGTTTGTAAATTGAATGCAAAATACTTTAGAACATGCAAAAATACAAAATTTCGCACTATGAAAAACTACTGCTATTCATGTACATTTGCAAATTAATATTTGCATCATCCCTTCCAATAAACTTCGAACTAATTAATCTATGAATTAACCTAAGACCGAGAAATTAACCTAAATTGCGAATCCATGCTCGATTGTAAACGCTTCTTAAAATATTCCATTACGGTTTCGTCCATTACACAATACAGAACAAAAATTAATATTCCCTGAAATTAAATAAATATTATTTAACTAATTAAAAATATTGTCTGTAAGAAATCATTAAATGTATGGCATATCCCACCTGTGATGCACAGAGGATTGTAAATATATACGCCGAAATATATCCAGATATCCCAGGAAAAAGCATAAAATATCCAAACACCCATGTGACACCGAGCAAAATAGTCAGACTTAACCCACCCGTGATCCACTTTCTACAAATTCAGTATTATAATCTGCATTCGGACCAGTCATTTGCCTCCATGCTAAATTTAATTTAAAAATTAAAAGAAAAACCTGTTAGGACTTTGTGGTCCTTGTGGTCGAACAAGATTAGTTTCGTTGGTCTCACGTATCTTGCTCTTTTCAATTGTAGCAGATAATCGCAAAGTGGCAATCAGAATGACAAGATTAATCTAAAAAATAAATTGCATATACAATAATACATACATGTAATAAAATAAAAACCATTCTAATTTGCATACCCCAAGAATTATTGCCACTGGACTGTTGAACCCCCAAATATAGTCGTCATTTAACCAGCATCTGTAGCACATGAATTTTACGTGACATTATGGTGAGAAAGACAGCTTTATTTTACTAATAACTCACACTGCCTCATTTCCATACGCATCTCCTCCCAGGGCCCATCCCGTCGTGAACGTGACCGCCACGATGACCACCGACAATGCCAGACAGGCGATTTTGTATCGTTTAATTGTCATCAGGGGAGTTCTCGCGACACGGAAAAGCATTCCATAGAGGTGCCAACCCTCAACGGACATCCACATGAAGGCATGGATGAAAACAAAGTGTGCAGCTACACCGGTCAGGGAACAAAATGTCTAAAATGTAAAAAAATACACAATTTTCTAACAAAAACTACCAGTTCGTACGTTTGAGGATAAACAACTCACGCTATTTAAATTGAAATAGTCCCTGTCCAGCAGAACGATGAGAAAAATATTTCCCAGCATAAGATTGAAGGACAAATGTTTTGTAATGATGGATCTCTCCCGAAGCCTACTTTTCACCACGGTGTATGCAATCCATGTCAGGAAGAGAGCTAAAGCCGACAATGTGCAGAGCACTATCGTCAATATTTCCAGGAGTACGTCGTCTCCCTAGCACAAAATCATAAATGTCAGTCTATGAAGCATATGCATGTAATGTGTGTGGTATTTATTTGCATAAGTGTTGTGTTAATGTGGCAATACGTGACAATTATGAGTATCCATCAACACGGCAAAAGAAGTTAAATGATTGCATTTGCAAATTGTCACGGTGCTCGTAGACTTGACCAAGTGACACCCATCCGTTGACCAATGCCTGTGAATTATTATCTTCTTAAGTTGACTTGTTCTTTTAATTCATAAAATTGTATTATACACATACAGTTTATTGACATCCCAATACACGCAAGATCCAGAACTCAGGACAGCGCTGACATCTTCATGACCGCATTTTCGCCGGATATCATGACCATACTTTCCCCAAGTGTTTAGTTCGTGGGTGAAGGTAATCTCCACGGATACATTTTCTGCGTATGACACCAAATTAAAACATTAAGACAGTAACATCAACTTTTGTAATTGTGTATACAAACTGCGTAAACCTTGTAAAGCTACCAAGCTTAAAAAATTGCATAAACTTTAATGAGGCAGCTTTCAAGGGTAAGTACAAATTAAGTACCCAATTATTCCAATTATATGTACATATTTGTTTCCATCTTACTAATAATGTCCACTGAAGGATTTCCAGTTCCATTATAAACCACCGAGTCGGTACCATTTTCCCAACTTTGAACGATTGTGAGTGATACCACGTCTCCATTAATTGCTTGATGATTGTCCACTAGTGATTTATTGTTCTCTCTGTAAAGATGTTATTTATTTAATACTCAGTTTTATGCTATATTTACATTTACACATTTCACACGTCATCCTTACTTCATCCCAGGGAACAAGTATTGCGATGTTTTTGCATCCATGGAAACGAATACATATTTCAAACGCGTTTTGCCAGTGTCAGTTGCATTTTGATTTGGAACAATGTCAACCACAACTTTCGAGGTGTCAGATTCATTTTCAGAGTCACTGATCGTCGTAGTTGTTGCCTGACTTGTATTTTTTTCGAAATGGATTGTCCCCAACTTGACTCGAGTGGTGGGTGTATGAAGGACTTGAGTTTCTTTGTCCCCGTCTGTTTTATTGGGCTCAAGTTTTGGGACAAGTAAAATGGCTGCAGATTCTATCGTGCCTATTAGTTCAGTGAGTACAGAGGATCGCTCGTTCTGAAAAGTGGACCTTGCTTAGTCAAGTTACTATGAATTTGGATAAATTAATTAGCACCTGTGGTAATTGACCCCACTCTTGTTTCGAAGCAAGCAAATTGTCCAAACTTTGAATCGACTTTTTCACCAAGGGTTGCAGCTTTTCAAACGATGTTGTATTTTCGTTCGATGCTTTCATCGCTTTAATCGTCGCATTTATAATTCTGGGAATTTCAGTTCCAAAATAAAGCAAATTGGTCTTGTTAGGAGATGCCGTGTCATTTACAAGTTTATCCAAAAATGCGTACGTATCGTTCTGCATGCCAAAAATACACAGATTCATATTTCTTCTATTTCACGAGCTTTATTGCAATTTACTCACCAACGTTCTCACAGTATCCGCTTCCGCAACGAGGATATCCACCCAAAGGCTTCTACATCCTGAATAATTTGGCACCTGGGTTGTAAATTTGCCACCCTTTCCACAAGTCCAGGTCACGTTCCCTATCGACCCTGACGGACAAGCTTGTTCCCCAACTTCATCCGGGCCTACACTCCACGCATTTCCGTAACCATCGGTTCTAACACAATTCTGAAAACCTGACTTTGCTGATCGTACTGATCGCACGCACAAACCATCCCGACAAACCTCCGTCCTTCTACAATGCCGAATACTTGAGGAACAATTAGCACGACAGATTCCCTCGTGACAGGTCTCATTGTTTCCTAAACAGCTTTCCTCATTGACACAATTAATGTGACATTGCTCATTAAGACACGTAAAGTTTTCAGGACATCCGACTCCAAGTTGGGTGCAGCGGTGGGTAATAACCCGCTGACAACCCCGAATCCCACTGCGTACATCTCTTAAGCGGTACGAGGACTCGGTGCCTTTCACACAGTAACACTTGGGCGTTTGATTGCTCACTTTACATTCAGTATTCACTCCACATTTATGACCAAAACATGGATTTGAGCACCTGTTGTAAATACACGACTGGGCGTCCGAACAGTCCGAATTGTTAATGCATCCCCCCGGAGGTAGGCATTTTTCTTTGTCCATAGTTCGGTTCCAATGTGAGTCAATAAAACATTTAGGTTTCAACAAGCAGTCGTCAGAGTCGAGTAAAACACCTTTTGTAAAACGTAGTGAGAATTAGATATCACGGACAATTTTCAATTTTAAAATTGCATTTGTATAAAATGCATACCAGAATTTGTACATGGATACACACCATCCTTGCAAGTATTAATGCAATAACTATCCTCGCACTCGTAACTGGTGGGAGGACGAACTGTTTTTGCAGGAATACATGAATTGGATCCACCACATTCTTCATAGATAAAATACATACATAAAAATTATTAATTTGTAGCCATTAAAACAGATTCGTCTGGCTTACGTGAAACGGTTAAATTTACGTTCGTGACGCCTGCATCTCCCAAGTATTCTGAAAGTTTATCGATGTGCAGGACACAAACCCATTCTTGTAGATTGACCTTCCGACAGGGAAATTCGTCAACGACAGAAGTCTCATATCTCTCTGAGACACTTTTGATCACTCCAATGTATTCCGAGAGGGGGGAAGTAATCACGTGTTCGGCAAGGTACCTTGACCACAGGCATGGTGGCAAGTTTGCCACTTGTGATTGTCCGGTAACTAGATAATTATTTTTAACACTGTCAAAACTAATTGTACGTATTTATGTACCTGAGATAAATTTTAACCTCAAAAATGCAAATAGCACAAGTGCTTCATACCAAAGTTCAAGTAAATTAGAATTACGACCAGGAGCATCACTCTTAATTTCACAAGTTTTTTAACTCACAAATTGCACAACCAATTGTAAATATGTGACTACTCTCACTTCAGCAGTCTACAGCAGTTGTATGATTCTTTGAATCGAGAGGAAACTTGGTAAATGAATCACATTTCCATGTACGCAAGCCTCGCGACCACAAAAAACTTGGACAAATTCATATGCAAAAGTGTATGCAAAATCAACTTCTTAACTTGCAAGCTCGCATATTAGATGTGAATCATCAGTCATGATTCACCATCCAAATGGCTCACTGTGATTAATTCGAATGACGGGAAGCCAAGCCTGATAGATTTTATATGTTTTCGTCCAGTACAACAAATTCTGTGTACCCAAAATCAATATCTTATAAACATCTAAATAATAAGTTCCGGGTCAAGATTATTGTCATAATTTCTTTATTCCTTCAAAACTCAAACTGGCCCTGCACAAACAAGAATATCAAAATTTGTGCACGGGTGAATTTTATGGTAGTACGAATACTTCAATAAATTGTAGTTATCCGGGTCTAAATATCCACGAATCGGGTATGAAATGGGAACCTCTGGTTTTGTTGACCCTGCTGCGTTACATCTCCCGGCATATCCTCTCCTCAAATTTCCAATTGATGCCACATTGACCGCGTTCGCCCTGGCCAGCGCTTTTTCCGCGTCAAACCAACTGCCGACCCCATCAAGTATTTGGGACGATGGAACATACTGCAGTCTAATTCCGAGTGGTTGGCGAAGGTGATAAACACCTAGGCCGTAAGGAAATCCATACTCGCCTTTTGAGTACATACTCCAGCAATTATTTAAATGCCCTCTTCCGAGAAGTTCTATATCGCCAACGAATCCTTTACATAACGTGTCACCAGTAAATGTTGGTGTGTTGTTGTAAAACTCGGTCGTGGATACATCAGCATTTGAGACATACTCAAAGGTGGGTTTATATGTTGAGCATGCTGTAAAAAATAATTAGGATATTGTGTAAATGGTACATATTTTCGTACATATTTTAGTTATGTGTACACACTTGTTGGATGGTTTGGACTTGGAGAAGGTACCTTGTTACAATGCGGAAGATCAGATTTCTCTTGTATTTCTGACATCACCAAGGACATGTTTTTCAGTGTGGTTCGGATCTGCGGAAACCCCAAAAACTCTGTGGTTTACTAATAAGCATGACGTACATTTTTTGCTACATGCAAATTCATATATTATATGTACATGTGTTTACAACAAAATATTTCACGTAGGATAATTTGCGTAAAACAGGATGTTATTTAAATATGAACCTAGTCGTTAAAATATAAATTGTTAATTTTAATTACAGATTGAGTTTCACTCTGCAATGAGGTCAATCTATGTTCCAAAGTAGACAATTTGGAAATTGTTGATTCCCTTTGGTTCGTTTCCAGCCTCACTGATCTACCCAGTGAACTTATTTCTTTGGAGACGAGAGAAACCGCATCTTCCAGTTGAGAGCACTTATCTCCTGGATCTTCACCATCCTTGTCCCATGAGTCTCCTCTGGTGAAGGCTAGCTAAATATTTAGCCATAAATGGTAACGTTAAAATTTATGCCGAAAAAGTATTGATGTTATGAATAATTGTTTAGAAATACCAGATTTAGAAGAGTAAAAATTATGAACACAGAAATACTTGTGGTGAGTGCCATGATTCTTGTCTTGATTCTAAAACCAAGCTGGACGTTTGAGAAAGATTTCATTACCAATTGTACATAGACAATTACTGCAGTGGTTACTCTGTGGACAGGAAATTATGGTTTTTCTCGGAAAGCAGAATCAAGTTAATAATTATCGTTCTTTATCATGTACATACATACATGTAATACGTACCTAAATACAAACACGTACATACAAGATATAGGTACATACATACATATGTATCTACATTTGCAGGTTTATCTTTATACATTCCTTACTGGATGAACTTTCCACGAAACTCATTTCGCTAACACTAGCAATGTTTTTAGATGTTTTGTAACATTTAATTAATTTGACATTAAGCAATGCACAATTAAGTCACGGGTAGCAGATGTATGTATATAAGTGCATTTATACACATGTGTCCATGTACATCTCTATTTGCTTGTATATGTGATTATTTGGGAATTGTCGTCTGCGGGTCAACAGGACCTAACAATTTTTATCTATTAACGATCAGAATTAATAAAATTAAACAACTCAGAGCAAATTTTCTAGGTTTAATTTGTTGCAAAATGTTGTAAACTCGTTTACCTATCATTCTTACTTACAAAAATATAATCTATTGAGATCACTTACTTTACAAATTAGACATTAGAACGGCAAGTAAGAGTTTAAAGTTACTGAAATTTATTTATCTAAATATCTGTAATGATTGTGTACAGCATGGTACGAAATGTTGATCCTGATAACTTTCTCCGACGAATATATTTACATGTAGAACAATTATTCGTATTTCTTAAATTATCTCTAAAGGTTGAATGACATATACGAAAATATGAGTTACTAAGTTTGAGATTAGTAATAAAATGCCACGAAAATACTTCAGGTTATTCGCACGATTAATAATAAACTTTCAGATTCTCATTTCAACAAGGAAATAATTATCAAGGTAACATTTTTCGGGTAAACAGTCCTGTCAACAATGTTCTTTCACTACCATTTCCTTTGTTTTAATAACATTACTTGCATAACATCGACCAACACGCCTTGTTTGAAGTAAATTAGTCATCTTTAACTTCAACTTCCTCCTCCTTCTTTTCCACACTTTCACTCTTGACCGGCTCCGCTTTGACTTTCTTTGTCTTCTTGACCGGGTAGTTAGCCGCATGCTGATTTATGACAGATGTACTCATCCCAAATTTCTTACTAGCATAAGATGCTGGCATTCCCCTCCTCACCTAAAGTAGTAGAAAATAATATTTAATGCTAAACTGTGACCACATTTTTCTAACATTTTAACAATTTATTTAACTTAGCAAAATATATACCCACCGCTTTTATGGCACTTTTCAATTCTTTCACTTCAAACTGCCACACGGGATTGATTTTGATCGGCTTTGCTTTCAATTGTCGTTCAAAATCCGAATCAGAGTCCGCGTCTGACTTGACTCCTTCTTCTTCGTCCTCTTCCTCGTCACTTAATTTTTCCTCGTCGTCCTCTTCGACAACATCGTCGACCTCCTCGTCCCCACTGCGAGACGAGCCACTGAACGAGCCGCTTTTCACGGATGGAGGGTCACTCCCATCCTCACTGTCGCTCGAGGGGGCGACGTGATCGTCATCGGAGAAATTAGATGCGGATGAATTGCCATCATCGTCATCATCGGCAGTGACTTTGCTGGATTTCGTGACCGATTCCTTGGTCAGTTTCTTGGCAGTTTTCACCACTTCTTTCTCCTCCTCGTCAGTATCGGCTGTCTTCCTTTTCGGCATTTTTCTGATTTCGTAAAAACAATATCATACATATTTAACGATTAATTTCATTGATTACATGCATTTCCACTCAAATGTAGGTATAGTATATGATCAACTTTAAGGGGTGATCCATAAATTATGTCACGCAAAAAAGCCCTTTTTTAGGACCCCCCCACCCCTGTTGTCACGCCTTTGTCACGCTCGTCGTGACCCCTCCCCCCTCTTGTCACGTCACAACTGAAAATATGAATTTTCCCTATAGCAGAATAAGATACACATATGTTCTATAAATGAGGTGCGAGTAGTAAATAGGGCGTAATATCAAAACTCAGAAAGGAGTCTTATGTACTGTGTCACCGGGATTTTGCACAAATTAACTTTATTTGGCCGATAATTCATGAAGCCTTTGTCATAGAAGATGTAGTACAAATTGAGGTTGAAACGAAATATTTCGCGATAACTGAGTGAAACCCGTGTAATTTTACAGGATAGGAACAATTATTAGCTCTATTTATACTCATATCACACCCGTGATAGAGTGAAAAGTCATAGCGTGATAGATTTGTGGATAACAACCTTTTCCAAAATTCCTGTTCATTTTTTATTATTTTTAGCTTTTAAAATTTTCAAATAAGTTGAAAAAAATCCGCCAAATTTTTCAGTTTTCTTATATGTTATTTCGACACATTTTTTTAATTGTTAACATTTTTGAATCATGCAGTTGTCTTCAATTAGTACACATTTTTGAAACTATAAAAAATAGGGTCCTCTTGGACGAATTTTTTAAATTGTGCAAATTTTTGGAGATTTAGTAATGTTTTTTTAATTGTTAAATGAATTTTTGCAAAATTACTAATAATAATTAATAATTTGAAATTGTGCAGATTTTATGGCATCATGAATTATTTTTTTTGTAATTTACAAATAATTGGATATTGTGCAAATTATTTGAAGGTTTGAACAAAATTTAGAAACTTGGTTGAAAATCTCAAATTCTAAAACTTGGTTGCTTTGGATGCAAAGGTTTGATATTCGGTTGGACATATATTTCGAAATAATTGCGAAACTTTAGTTTGGTCATAGTCGGAGAATTAAAATGTGAGTTAAAGTTTGCATTTAGTTAGGTCTGAAAAACGTGACGTCACGGATCGGCCGAACCCCCCCTCCCTGTATGTCACACTTTGTCACGGATGCTTCGAACCCCTCCCCCCCATCCTCAGCGTGACATAATTTATGGACCACCCCTAAACTGATAATATAACACGGGGGATGGATAAATTAATTTAAAAAATATCTAACGTGTTAAAATGTATGTACATAACTTGTAAGTCAGAATTGTACAAAAGGGCGAGCCTTGATAATAGCACTAATAATGCAAATTATGTACCTTTTGTGATTCTTAAATGAGTAAGACCCAGTAATTTCAACCTCTGCCAACCTGAAAATTTCACTTGTAAACAGATTGACGAAAAAGACTTTCACGATATCTAAATTGAATTGCAGTATTTTAAATATATTTTTTAAATTTGTATGTTAATATTGTCTTCATTTGTTTATTGACACCGGCGGCCATTTATTAGTATTCAGCTACATAGGTTAGAAATATGTATGTATACATAATACTAGACTCGTATTACGTTACGAGTAACACGAAAAGATGCGCTGGATGCAAGGGATCACACAGAGAGAGTGCAAATTATCAGATATTAGAATACCATTGAATTTCGTAGCATTAATATTTCTGGTAAAAATATGGCATGTGCCATTCAACTGGTTTTATCCGGTAGAGTAAGAATTAAGTATTTCCAGGCATATTTAAGGTTGTGATAGTTCGACGTCCAACCTGGATCTTATATCCGGTTCAACATTTCTACATACTGAAAATGACCATGTAGTGGAGTAGGTTATGTTATGTGCTCCAGGCTTAAATAGGTACGAGTGATACGCATATAACCTTTCACTGCATGTTTGCTTTGATATATTATGGAGAAAGTAAAGTTTATGAAATGCATGCAATTTTTAAAGTCCTTATATCAAGTTTAACATTTTTTAACAATTGGCATAATTTGTAATTGAAAATGCTACACATAGAAAATAAATCTATATATTAATCCACTAATGAAGATATATGCATTCTTGTACAATGATAATACACATGTAATACACATTCAACCAAAATCTCTGATAGATATCTCTTTAATTGCAGTTTATTCAGTGTTCTAAGATAATAATTGTTTAAAAAACGTTGCCAAGACATGCGGAAAGGTCACAAAAGTATAAAAATGGAAAACGATGTTCGAGGAGCAAAAATATAACGCCCCCGGGTGGGGTCGAACCACCAACCTTTCGGTTAACAGCCGAACGCGCTAGCCATTGCGCCACGGAGGCCTTCATATAGATTTGACTGCTTTAAACATTACTTCAAAACTTGAGCCAACTTCGGGTTTCATGATTCACGTGAAATTACGTGTGGTGATTATCTGTTCATTAGCTTAAGTATTTGCATATCCCGTCCGTCACATGAAAATTTTCTAGGTGAATGAAACCAATGAAATTTTAAATAAAGTTTACTTTCTCGTTTGGGATTGCATTGTTTCTTTATTCAAATGACTTTACAAATTTATCATATATGTAGTAAAGTCCAACTTATAGAGTTATACTATTATCAGACGTCGGATATGAATGATCGATAAAACCTCAAAATATGACCGTAAAAATTCCCAAAATATGACCACAAAAATGACTATTAACCCTTTTGTGACTGAAATAGTTGAAACTTGCTTTCGTTTGGGGACCGGAAATTTATCATTGAATTGTTGCTACACAACTGATTAATTTTAACGATAGAATAGCTACGTCACCAAAATGATTTTAAATTAGCGTAGTTACGTCACCGATTTCACAGTGGGTGTGCAAACCATAAAGGACTGAATTTATTTAGTCAACTTTTGATGATTTTATTTAACACTAAGCATGTATTTATGTAAATTTAATTTGCATAAATAGATTTTGGTAATACCAAAATCTATCTGAAGTTCATTACAATAACATTAAGTTATTGATTCATACATTTTGACAATTTAGCAAGGCCCTAGTAGTTATCACCGATCTTGACCGGACTAATTTTAAATTGTTCATGCTTAGAAATAAACGGGCCCGTAGTTTTGCGTTTTCCAAAATGGGCATGTTTTCACCCCTGGCGGAATTTTAAAAAAATCAGCCAAAATCAGGATCATGTAGTTAGTCCCCAACGTAACGGGAAAATAGTACACAAATATGTGTACTTTGTCGTTTACGGAAAGAAAAAAACTACACAAATGTGTGTAGTTGGTCCCCAACGTATAACTCAAGAACGGTTTAACATATCGATTTGAAATTTGGAACATAAAAACTCCAAATAAAAACAAAGGTCAAGTTCAAAGATGGGCGTGCCAGACCACACCCCTTCGTAAACGCAGGGGTGTTCACAAAGATACTAGTAACAAATGGGATATGAACGTAAATGCTTCTTGTTTTTTTTAGGAACGCTACAACTCTCGGGCGAAATCGAGAGACAACAAGAATACTCGACCAAATGCATAAACTCGGGTCATTCGCTAGGGCGCACGTTGGAGAGATGCCAGTACTCGACTGGACTTATTGGCACCCGAACAGGCCAACAATTAGTTTGGAAGACGAATTTATGGCCTGTATGACTTTTTAAGTGCAAAATACACTTATAAACCGTTTATTTGTTACAGGATAATTATACTCCCAAGTGAAGCAGAGTTGGACGGTCCTCTGGCGTACATGGCGTCAGTTAAAGATGACCCATCAAAGGTCATCTATGACATCTTCGGGTCGTCATCTGAGAACCGACCCTGTCGGTATCACACTGACGTGACGAAATGTCACTCCTCATCCCCTGCTCAATTATGTTCCGAAGTGGACGAATTGGGAAACGCGAAGTTTGTCGCATATGCTCAAATGCTGACCTTTGGATCCCGCAATGCAGCCGATAATCAGACCGACGCATATCGAATGGAGGCATTTAAAACGGTAAGCATTTAGGGGCCACTAGAAAAAGCTACATTTCCCATTTAAATGGATTAAATTTACCATTGGCTACATTTTCTCCATTTTTTGGTCATTTTGTAACAAATTATCTTGTCCATGAACCTGATTTAATGAAGTTTTCTTGCATTTTGCGTTTTGCAAAATATACTTCGTAACATTTTTGTGCATTTTAAGACGAAATTTATCAGTGACGACAAATTAACGACTTTTTTGGACTGAGTTGAATCGGATCCGTTTTTTTCGGAAATCCGATCCGATCCGTTTTGCGGATTTAAAAAAGGGTTATTTTTAATCCACCAGACTTTTAACTGAAATCACATTGCGGAATATACTGAAATCGCATAACTTGAATTTCTAGTGCTTTAATTCAATTTAAAAACTCTAAAATTGAAACTTGCCAGACTTTCTGAAATCATATATTTTATTCAATTTAAAAAGTTTACCATTAGAAATTTAAGGAAAACATCAGTTATTATTTTAAAATCTTTCGTCAATGATTTTAGTCAACAAGTATGTAATGCCCTACATGTCTTCGCAGAGCGACCCCTACGACGCGTCGCCTTGTCCCAACAGTCACAGCTTCATCAGAAAGGGTGAAACCTTTCTGGATTATTGCAATTTCAATGAAATGGATATGAATATACATATAAGTGCAGGCATAACGGTGGGGGTTATTTTCATAGTAGACAACGAAATCTGGGCACCCCAATTTACTTACAAATTTTTTTGCAGTTGGAGGCTCACGGACGACGTATTACGGCGCTTTCTCAAGATAGGTGCCAGTGGATCCCTCTCAACGAGCGAGCTGAAGTGCTACAGGGATTCAAAGCTTGCGAGCATGCGTTGTATGCAAGAGATTATGGTAGAGCGAGGTTGCCACCAATATGCCTTGAGAACGTCGTGCATGGACTCAATATCTGCAATAAGTCTCATAATCCCATGGAGCTCCCATACTTCCCCCT